TTGCCCTCTTGAGTTACCTTTCTGATTGCTCTGCTTCTTTCCTGTATCTCGGGGACTGGTTTTTATAGCTGCCACGCCCTGGGGAGAAGCTATGTCGATTCTAGCGATGCATCCATATGTCAGTTGGGCTTGAGAAAAATCAACACGTGGATGGATTAGATCTCGTCCTTCCCGCTTGGTGGGAAACCCTTATCTGACACCCGTAAATTGTCTCCTACGAAGCTTTCAGTTAATTCTACGTAAGCTCGGGCGTAACAGCACGAGGGAGAGAGCATGTGGACAAGCGATTTCACTGTGCTGTCAGCCCACCTATTCCATGAGAGAGATGGAAAGAGAGGGATCCGGGTATCATCGGGAGACGCGTGTCGAGGAGGAACGATAGAAGTCTTGCTTGATGACAGGGTGATGTCTGCACGTTGAACGACTTCCGTCAAATTTCGGCCTATAATTTCTCACAAGTCACCGCCATCTCTGACCTCACCACAGCCGCTACCTTTTAATCACCTCTATTGGCGTGACTTAGTCGTTATATATTAAATTACGTAAATATAAAATTTATAAAACTAGAAAATATAATTTTTTAGATAATTAAAAGTATTTTTTAAAAAATATATCAAGTATAATTCAATAAAAATTTCAAAAAAAATAGGGATAATTTTCTAGGTTGATCACAGAGATGTAATATAATATTTAGTAATTATTCAGAATTTTTCTCAAAGAATACTATTTTTTATGAATTTTATACTAAGAAAGGAAAAGAAAATATATTTAAAATTCACAAAAAAAGGAAATAAGGGTGCAGGCATCAAGATGACGCCAGCACCCTGGCAAACACGAATTAGGTGAAAATAGAATTCTATCTAGAAATTCTTACGTAAGCGATTACAGACAATTTAATTGATCAAATTAAGATTTGTAAAAGCTAAAAGAATCGTAATGAAATAAAGTATATCTTGGTAAATTTAAAATTAATAAATTATCACTAAATGAAACGAAAATTAAGTTGAAAGTAAGAAAACAGAGTTCTGACGTTACAGTAGTGATGTGTCGACGATGCACTGAAATCTTGAGCATTTGAGAGGATAGTCATGAAGTGTTCATGGCTTCGAAAGTTTTTCTTAGACAAATATTATGTAGATAATCTCTAGATTTCCTTATAAGGTTTAGATATCAATGAAATGGGTCATCAAATTGTCTACGACGGCTGTCACTTGGTAGAGCGGAAAAATAGCGACTTTGCGGCTCTTCAGCAATTGTCACCTAATAGAGAAGAGTTAAATAGAGGTGGGACGCGTGTCAAGGAACTTCATCCTCAAGTCCACACAACAAGAAGAGGTTCTTCATCGCATCTGGTACGCTCTCAAGAGGTGACGACTCATTTTCCGGTAGATCGTCCTCTTCTCGATGACGGCTTGTTCGTCGATCAATTGGAGATACTTTACTCAATGGATTCACGATCCTTTTATCACGAATCGTTCAATAATTTTAATAACAATATTCCACGAATCGTGTTGACGAGATTTTTGCTGATGATCTAGCGATTTTGATTACTTAATCCTTCACCGGCGATCTATAGGAAAGTCGCAATAATCAGATAAAAAAAATAATGAGTTTTGGCTCTAAGAGGATTTGAACCCACGCTAGTTGGCCGCCTTTTCTGGAGAAGTTGATGCGGGTTTAGTTCCACATTGTTTGTGCGTTGAATTTTAGAATGAATATATAGTAATGTTACATTTAAAAGCAAGTCTCTTTCTCACGCATGTACAACTACTCTCTACCCCATAGTTGGCTGGCCACCGATGACGTGGAAGGAGAGAGGTGCACATGTGCCCCTATCAGTCGAAGGCACTCAAGCCGCTACTCGCAGCCGGCGAGTCCCCCTCATTTTTTCTTATTTTTATTTTAATTTCTTTTTCTTTATTTATCTCAAACATAAGACTATAAAAATTATATAAATTCGTATAAAATCACATAATTACCTAAAAATTCACATTAATCAACTGAAAATTAATTTTTACACTTTAACATAAATATAAATCTATTTCTCATGAGTTAAGACAAAAACTATATTATTTATTAATTATTAACTCATGATAATGAAGACTTATCATCCATCGTGTTGGAGCAGGACAACCAAAGGAACTCATCTATAATCGTCGTGCTCACGAAAAACTGTATCAAATGGTCACAATAAAAGCCAAATGGAATATCTTTTCGTTTGAAACTTGTTTACCAAGTATTTTGACGCCATAAAACCCAGATGGATATCAATTTGCGCTGATTCACGGTATTTTTTTTCCCACTAATATTCATAGTCAACAGCGAGCGAACGAACATCTGTCAAAAACGTCTGACTGGTCCAATCCGCCGCCGTCGCGAATCGGAGCACATCAAAACGAATGATGTCATGGACCCTGTGCAGATACAGTTTTCTCTCATCTACGAGTAACTAAACAGCTTTTCGCGAACCCCCTCAGGAGGGCCGGGCCAGTTCTTGTACTCGGTGATACAGAGAAACCCTAATAAAGGAGTTTGGTCGTCACCACACCGTCATGGGTTAAGTGTGGGACTTTGCAAACCTTTGTGGTCCGTATTTTGACATCTCTCTAGCTGTCTCCCTCTCACGCTGACAGCAGCAGCATGAGACTATACTCGCCTTTTCTCTCTTCTCTCTCGTTACCTATCACCGTGCCCCTTCCTTCTCTCTGCGGGCTATAGTATCATTTTTGCTGCAGCGTGGGACCATTTACGGTAATATCATGGGGAATGTTAGCTACCGCCTCCACACCATGGAGAGGAGTTGTAAAAACTGTGAAAGTACTCTCGTAGCACGCAGTAAAACCTAGAGGAGTCATATGGAGTTGCAGCCTCATTAAGGGGACGTTTCTAAAAGCATCCTTGCGCGTCAATAACTAGGCCCCTCAGGGTTCTATTCACGTACAGTGATAGGAGCAATCAATCCAACCCGTCCAACACGCTTACGCTAAGCAAATAAAGGGCCCTTTGGTTGTCTTGATGCCTTTTCCTTGACCCTGGCACTGGCTTGTTGTTCCTCAGGCATCGCCTACCAGTAGGCTGACTTTTCATTGGGGCTCAACCCCACCAGTATACAGCCACACGGTAGCCATCTCTCGGCGATTATCTGGAACCTTTACTGAGAGACGCGGACTAGTACATTATCTTACTCCCAATCCAGAAGTTCATTACGTAGCTATGACGTGGTTGCTCGAGAACCAGATGGCGTGAGATCTTTGGTTCCGGAAATAGCTTCATGATTGTTTTCATATACTGAGGTATCAATTTCCTCTCCATCTCCAGGGAGTTGCTGGACCAATTTCTGCGTTCGTTGCGGCAAAAAGTACAGCGGGATATTGTTGAACTTCTCTTAGATTTTATTCTTATTCGATCTGAGATTTCCTAATATATTCACCTTTCACAATCTTTTTCATTTTTCTGATTGAGCCCCAGAAATTCTGATCCTCTTAATGTTAAATCTATTTGTCTTTTGTTGTGGACAACCAAGTTGAAAACGGTAGAGGTTGATTAATATTACACCGACTGAAACTGACCATTTTGCCTGGTATTGAATTCAAGATCGAATATCTACTGCCAGACTCTTACCTGAGACCCGCATCGTATCCACTGTTCTCAATTTGCGAAGGTTCCGTCCCCGAGAATCAACAATACCATTTCAGAACTAAAGAACAGGACGTGATTGTCTTCAAAGAACAGGAAATAAAATCATTTGAACGATAATAAATTATTCCATGAGAATTTCCTTCGTAGTCATAGAAAACTGATGAGTTATCTTGAGGGTGGGCTGACATATTCTAAATTTTCATCCTCTTCTCCTCTTTTGGGCTGCCTACGACAGACTAAATAGTATATCATATGAGATTTCAATTATCATGGTTATCAGCCTGTTTGAAAAACTCTGTTACTAACAGTAATTTAGAGAGAGTCTCCTTGTTGCATGCACTGATGAACGCCTTTTCTTCCTCGATCACTTCTCATCCTTCCACGCATAGACCTATACGTTTCACTGAGCCTGTATCCCACTCAGTATATGAGAAGAGGAAGGGGGCTGGGACGCATCTTACAGGCCAAAAAATCTGACTCAGCCCCAAACCTCCTCCTAGCCACATCTCCACCCCACCCTCCCCCCCTAGCATCCACCTCAAATTTCAACCCCAAATCGCTGTCATAGGGCGTGATGGGTAGAAGACGAAGAGACAGTCGCCCATCATAGGGCGTGATGGGTAGAAGATCCCATCTAGGTTTGTCGGGACCTCTATGGAGAAACATATCAAATGATCGAAGCAAGCGGTTAAAATGCATTTCGAGCGGAAATTACGTGAAACAAATGTGTTTTCCTTCAAAATTGGTTCACTCGACCCAGCATTGATATGACACAGATGGGTTTCGTTACCTCAAGACTTAACCTGTCTCAATAGAGTTTTGTTTTTTTCTGTTAAAATTATCTGCAGAATCAAACCTCGAGAGAGAAGTAGGCGTAGATTCGCTCCTATTATAGTCATGTGTAGGCTTTGAAGAGTCTGACGAGTGAATTTCGAAGATTCTCCCTCTCTCTCTCTCTCTCTCTCTCTCTCTCTCTCACACACACACACACACACACGTCTTGATGTGTCGCTAGTCTAACGTTGAAATTGATTTCAGTTTTTCATGAACTTTCGTTAGAAATGAACACTAGAGAGCAGCAGACAAAGCAGAGCGAACCCTCGCCATAAGCTTTTGGGAAATCGTTTTTTCTTTTATCGAAGAATACCTCATGTCAACGCTGTCCAAATATTATATTTTACAATGCGATACACACGAACTATACATACGCACATCATCATTCCTCAGAAAAGATACTTATTATTAGGGATTTGCATTGTTTTCCCGTGCATTTAAGAGGTCTAATTGATTTATCGACGGATGAATGATGAGAACGGTATATTTCCCTAGCGAATCACCACCCACCAGAGGGTAGAAATATCTCAGCTACCAGCCAAAGAAAATGCAGCCGTTGATAGCTTCGTCACCAGCTCGTCGAGATTTCTGGAGGAGGTACCCCCGGGTTTTGTCGCATCTACTGCGCGCTCCTTCCACTCCCTGGCCCGACGCCTCATCTCCTTACCCTTTTCCCCTTCCATGAGCTCCGCGATCAGGCTCCGCACCTCCTCCCTCCTCACGTCGCCGTCGATCTCCATGCCGATGCCCCACACCGCGCACGAATACCGGCAGTTGGTTTGCTGCTCCGCGAAGAAAGGCCAGCATATCATGGGCACGCCGCTGCAGATGCTTTCCAGGGTGGAGTTCCACCCGCTGTGTGTCAAGAAACCACCTACCGCGGGGTGGCCTAGCACCTTCTCCTGCGAGCACCAGATGGCTAAAAGGCCCCGGTCTTCAATCTCCCTCAGGAACTCCTCCGGGAGCACCGCTGACTCTCCTTTGACGAGGTCGGGCCGGATGATCCACAAGAAGTCCTGGTTGCTGTCGGCGAGGCCCCACGCGAACTCCACCAGCTGCTCGTTGGTCATCACCGTTATGCTGCCGAAATTGACGTAGACGACGGACTCCGGCTTCCTCCGGTCAAGCCACTCGAGGCAGTTATTGTCTTCCTTCCACAGGCTGGAACCCACCATCGCGACCGGCCTGTGAGGCAGCTGCTGGACGAGCAGCGGAAGAGGGCCGATGGTGTACGCCGGTGGCACAAAGGAGGCCAGAGCCTGAAGAACGGGAGCTTCCAAATCGTCGAAAGTGTTGAAAACGACAGCCGAAGCCCTAGAACAATCCTCCGACATCTGGACGATGAACTTCATCATGAAATCATCTGGATCCGTTGTCCTCCAGAAGCTTGGTAGATCCCTCAGGCGCAAGTTGGGCATCCCTGGTATCCAATTGATGGGGGTGTTGAGGTACTCCTTTGTGAGGCGCTCCATAGCTCCACCAAGAGAGAAGTGCCCGATTAATGTAAATTTGAGTACGATTTAGAGAGTAAGAAGGAGAGAGAAACAGGCATCTATCTCCTCTTGTACCTTTGACAGGGGTGAGGCCTCTGTCGACTAGTTCTCTGAAGTGGAGATAACACAGGTACCCGCAGGCGCTCGTCGTACAGAGCCACACCTCGGGGACCCCGATCTCCTTGGCGGCGTCGAGGGTGAAGTTCATTCCTCTGTCGGATACGATGCAAGTGACAAGAGGCGCCTCGCAGGACGCGTTTAGAGCGGCAAGTAGCTCCCGGAAGGGGGCCAGGCAGTTGTTCTTGGTAGACTCGCACAAGGAAGCGGTGTCCTGGGTGCAATCGCCGTCGGACGACGGCAGCCCGTCCGGAATTGTCCTGAATTTGAAGTCGGGGATGCCGTCGAGGGAGAAGAGACTCTGGGACCTGAGGAGGCGCCGGTGGTTGTACTCGTTGTTGACGAAGGTGATGTGGAAGCCTCTGGAGTGGAGGAGCTTGGCCAACTTCATCATGGGGTTGACGTGTCCCTGCGCAGGGTAGGGTACGCACACGGCATGCGGCTTCTTCTCAGCGGCAGTGGGGATGGAACCCATCTTTCTATCCCTGTTGCGCAGGCCTGTTTCCCGGCGGCGCTTCTCTCCACCCCCTTCTCCTTGATTCTTGGGGCTCCAGCTTAAATTCTTACCCGTTAGATGTGATTCTGAGCAAGAAAATGAGTGTCCCTAGTAACATCCCGTGGAGCAAACCTGTGCCAGGATACCCATGTGATTCGCAACCTTCCATCATAGCCCCACACCCCATTTGGGTAAGAGGAACACAGTAACGTAGATAATAGAAATTATTGACTTATTGCTTTATTATACTTTAGATGGACCACAAAACGTGAGATGGGCCCCACAGGGCCGTCAGTCGTACCCACATTGGTTAATTTATCATGGAATTGTTGGGTGCGAGGTCTCGCCTTCCCCCCGATTTTAGATCAGTCCTCGGGAGAAGAGGCCGAATGTCTTCTCGGGAGAGCGGCGCCCGTGTCTAACGCCCGGGCAACCATCGTCTAGATCCGCCGCCTCCGGCCTCAACCAGGCTCTCTTCTCCGCCTAAAACCATTTATCGATCCCCCTGTAGAACAACCATTTAGTGAGTTTTCTTGCGACTAAAACTTGAAAACTCCGGATTCCATATATCTCACGTGAAAGTCAAGTCTAAGTTAGTAGTCTTTCTTCGACCCGTCCCGTCAGCAGCCAACAAAGTTCCTCTCTTCAGTGAGCTCGCGTCGCCGTCCTCCCCGCTACGCAAAGCCCTCGTATTGGGCATCCAGGACCACATACTCGAAGACCGGAACGTGTTTACCATGCCTAATTCAGTGATATTTTACAGCTGTAAGCTCCCCCGGTCGAACAACAATCTGATGGGTTTTGTTGGACTAGAAAAAGTCACACGACGACGATATGGAAATAACACGACCGAATAGATGATGAAATAAATTTCATGCACATTTAGTTACACCCCTCCAAGAACAGCATAAATCACAACTCTCTCCAAATCATATATCTTATCCACCAAAGACAGGAAGTTTAAACACGTACGGCTGTAATTCACAGGAAAAGAACACTTCAAAACCACGGGTTTAAATACTTTTTGATCCATTTGCGTCGTCTTATTGATTTATGGATCTACCAGTGACGAAAGTACGTTTCCCCTGAGAATCGGCATCCATCCAGACGAGATACATTTCTCAACTTGCAGCAAAGCCCGCGGCCGGCGTCGGCAGCATCCTCACCAGCTCGTCAAGTTTCCTGGAGGAGGTACCCCCGGGTTTCGTCGCATCTACTGTGCGCTCCTTCCACTCCCTGGCCCGACGCCTCATCTCCTTACCCTTCTCCCCTTCCATGAGCTCCGCGATCAGGCTCCGCACCTCCTCCCTCCTCACGTCGCCGTCGATCTCCATTCCGATGCCCCACTCCGCACACGAGGAGCGGCAGTTGATGTGCTGCTCCGTGAAGAAGGGCCAGCACAACATTGTCACGCCGCCGCTGATGCTCTCCAGGGTGGAGTTCCACCCGCTGTGGGTCAAGAAACCACCTACCGCGGGGTGGCCTAGCACCTTCTCCTGCGGGCACCAGCTTGCTAACAGGCGCCGGTCTTCAATCTCCCAAAGGAGCTCCTCCGGGAGCACCGCTGACTCTCCTTTGACGAGGTCGGGCCGGATGATCCACAAGAAGTCCTGGTTGCTGTCGGCGAGGCCCCACGCGAACTCCACCAGCTGCTCGTTGGTCATCACCGTTATGCTGCCGAAATTGACGTAGACGACGGACCCCGGCTTCCTCCTTTCTAACCACTCGAGGCAACTCGTGTCCTCCTTCCAAAGATTGGAGCCCATGATTGCCTGGAGGCTCTTGGCTACCTGTTGAGAAAGCACACAGAGAGGTCCGACGTGGTATATGGGGGGTAGGATGCGGTCCATAGCTTTAAGAACTGGGCCTTCCAAGCTTTCGAATGTGTTGAGGATGATTGCAGAAGCCTTAGACGCCTTCTCCGTCTCTCGGAGGGCGAACTTCAGCATGATCGCATCTGAGTTCGTCGTCCTGATAATGGTTGGTATATCCTTCAGGCTCATGTTGGGCATCCCCGGTATCCAATCGATGGGTGTGTCAAGGTAGCCGTTTTAAGGTCTGCAGAATCTGCACACCAGAGAGAAGTGAATTATTGATGAAAATATTCAAAGTTGCAGAGGAATCTGGCTTAGTACCTTGTAGAGGAGTGATTCCCCTGTTGATAAGTTCTCTGTAGTGCAGGTAACCCATGAAACCGCAGGCGCTCGTCGTCCAGAACAACACCTCGGGGACCCCGATCTCCGCGGCGGCGTCGAGGGTGAAGCTCATCACACCGTCGGAGACGATGCAGGTGACTGGCGGAACATCGCCGGAGGATTTCAAGCCTGCGAGTAGTTCCCGGAAGGGAACCAGGCAGGTGTTCATGGTGGACTCACAGAGGGAAGGGATGTCCTGGGTACCGTCGATATCGGATGGGGGGAGACCGTCAGGGATGGTCTCGAATCGAAAGTCGAGAAGGCCGTCGAGGGCGGACGGCCCCCGGGACTTGAGGAGGCGGCGGTGGTTGTACTCAGTGTTGACGAATGTAATGTGGAATCCCCGGGAGTGGAGGAGCTTCGCCAACATCATCATGGGGGTGATGTGGCCCTGCGCAGGGTAGGGTACACACACATCATGGGGCTTCTCAGGGCTGCAGCTTCAATTATTTCAGGGCATATGTGGTTCCGTGCAAGATAACGAGTGGCCCTTGTAACGCCCCGTGGAGCAATCCTGTGATTCTTAACTACTTTGAGATCAATCCCTATGTGATTCGGTACCTTTTATCTTAGCCTAACACCCCACTTGGTAAGAAGGACACCAACGTAAATAGAAAGATATGGCGAATTTGTTCTCCTAGGCAAGTCGTTGACTTCTTGCCTTTCCAAGTTCTTACTACCTTGAGATCTATCCCTTTCTGGTTCGCAAGCTTCTGCGTTCCACATGGCTCTTAAGGTATGAAGAACACAGTGACGTAGATAGAAATATATGTTCTCCTTAAGTAAGTTGTTCACATCTTGCTTTACCATACTTTAGATGGGCACAAGAACTTGCGATAGGCCGCACGGGGCCGTCACTCGTGGTCCCCGAGAAGTTCAAGAAAGTCAAAAATTGTATCAATGCGGCGACATTAAAATAGGCCCACATCGATTAATTCATCACGGAATTGTGGGACTCGATGCTCGAGAAAAGAAGGTACGTCATTTGAAAGCTGCTTCAAGGATCCAACAAATGGCTACAATCTAGGGGAAAGTTGTGAGACCTGCGAGTTTGACTTTATCTACGGCGTCAACCATCTGTTTGATGACATCGCCTTCAGTTCGAGCTGGGCGATGTAAGGTTTTATACGAAATAGCGCGAACTGTCGTTCTTTTACCTTCCTTCTTGATCAATTGTTTCATCTCGCCGGACCGACCTTGGTCGCCCTTACAGGCACCAATCAGGCCTCGATCTGGGCCGCCGAGAAAACCTTGCCCGTCCGCTCTACGAGATCGGATCAGAATAGCTGCGCCGCCCCGTGACATCCTCCCCCAGTTGCACCCGCCAATCTTTTGCCGTTTTGTGCCGCCGCCGTGCCGATGGCCAGAGAGGTCCGCCGGACGCCTCCACAAACCTGGGCCGCCCTTGCCGCGCGCGTCCCCGGGCCAGATCCTGAGCTCCGACCCGTTCTGTGCTTCGCTGCACTCCGCCGTCTAGCTCTATCCTCCGCTCGCGCGCCGGGCGTCGTTCTGCGACTCATCGTACCTTCGTACGCCCCGTGCCATCTTGCTCTGCGCCGCTGTTCGCCTGCGTACCTCTGCCGTGCTCTGCTGAGCCTCCGGCGCTGCGCGACCCGTGATGCAATTCCGTGTTCGCCGAATCACCTTGTTCCTCCGTGTTGTCTCCCCTGCTTTGTCGTCCTACGCTCCGCCGCCGATGTCGCGCCTCCTCCGTCTGCGCGTCCCGACCGTTCGACGCCTTGTCACACCGAGTATCGCCGCCATGTACCTCAGCGTACACGGTTATCCCCCGTGCGGGCCGCACCGTGCCCCACCGTGCACACCGCACGCCGCACGGGCCACCAGCAGCTCTATGCTGGCGGTGCGCTTCCTTGTTTGGAGTCGCGGTCCTTCCAGCTGGGAGCGTCACAACTCCAGGCTTGAAGATCTCCGTCGTCGTCTCGTTGCAGCTGCAGCACCGACGGCCTCATTGTTGGGTTGTCACCCTCCGTCGCCTCATCGTGCGCCGACATGGTCGCCAACCCACTCCCCTCCGCGCGATCAGCCCCATCTCGGTGGGACTTCGGACTTGGGCCCTCCTTGACCCGCGGCGTGTACCTGCTGGGGTTCTGATAGGCTCTTGGATAATCGCCATGTTCCCCAGAAGACACCGACAAACTCATCAATGCCTCGCAATCCAAACGTGCTTACTTCCGCACTAACAGCTCCACGTACCATCACCGCCAGCAACCCTACACCTACTTGAACAGATCGTGAGCAAGGATGATGTTGGGGCTGTCGTCTTTCTCTCTTCCATCCTTGCTGGACTCTACATTACGTCCAAGGGTAATGTTAACTCATCATTACCTGTCAAAGGGTACTGTATTTTACTCCAGAAGTACTGTCCATCGCTAGGGTGACGTAGACCAGTCTCCGTTCAACCTCGCTACCTCTCTCTCTTTCTCATTATCTTTCTCCAATTCTATCTATCTATCGCAGTGTGCCCTCCTACCAGGCTCCTTCCCCCGGGAGTCCCGATAGCCTGCGCGGTCTCATGGTGGCCTCTGGAAGAGCGGTTCTCATGGTGGGAGGACCGTGTTTCTGGGGGTCCATCACTTCTCCACTGCCTCCCATAGCACCTCTGCTGAGGGAGAGTTGGGGTGGGCTACCTCCATGGCAGCCACCTGTGAGTGATCCAGGCGAGACTCAAGCGCCTCGAAACACGGATTTCCGTCCCTTCCGGCAGGGTGGCCGTCGAGATCATTCGCTCCTCCAGACGAAAAACCCACTGGGCCCATCGTTCCGATCTGCTGCCATCACCTTGAGGAGAGGGGGACCCTTGATTCTCAGCCGGTCCGGGATCTGGGCCGCCCAGAAAACCCCCGCGTTCTTTCCGCCCCATAACGGGAGAACGCGCGACGGTTCACCCGATCCGACGATCGATCCGCCGCTCCACCGGGAACCGTTGCCTGATCCGCCTAGTACTGGCACGGATCCGCTCCACGAGTAGCTGCGCCCGAGACTATAGGCAAGCCCGTCGCCGTTAGTCCGTGGGAGAGGAGACCGGAGATTTTCTTCGGGAGAGCGGACACCCGACGGCGACCAAAATCCTCGTCTAGATCCGCCGTCTAGATCTGCCGCCTCCGGTCTCCACCGGTCCCCCCTCTCCGCCGCATCCGGCCTCCACCCGGCCCCGCCTCTCCGCCCAATCCCGGCTCCCAGCGGCCGTAATTTCAGGAATCCCCGCCTAGGGAGTGATTCCTGTTCACACCAACGATTCGTGCCACTTGAGATATAAGCAAGACCCGCCGTGGCCACCCTACGCCCCCTGATCTGTCGCCGAGGCTTCTCCTCTTTCCACCTCGTCGTCCGCTTCTTCTTCCTTCAAGTAAGATTGGGTAATATAGATCTGGTCTTAATCTTTTGTTTCCTCCTGGTCTGACGCAGGCGATCTCTTGTCTTCGTTAATCTAGTGAGCTTTGGCGGGATTCCGCTTGTGATTCATGTTCATACTTTGCATAGTGATAGATCTGGAAAAAAAAAGTACCTTCAGTGGTCAAATCTAATTAATTCCGATGGAACGGTGGTCTTCTGCTGAATGTTCGTCGTTAAAAATCCACATTTCCTTTGCGAGGAAAGGACAAGTTTTTTCCAAACCGCTGGTTTATCGTGCTTGATTCAAACACAATGGGATCATTTTCCTTGTCGGATCGAAAGTTGTTTTTCTTGTGATCCCAATGAATCGGTATCACCTGCTCAGGTTGAGGTTTCTGGACTAGCTGTCCGCCCAAAGTCAGGAAATCGTTGTCTCTGATTCTGTGTCGTTATGTTCGTCCTTTCCTGTTAAATTATATAAGGTTGATTAATTTAAAATTATATGCAGCGTCTGAATGTCACAGAAAGAATGGTCTTGGGACTATTACGTTCGTCCTACTGCTTTAGTTGTATTGGCTGGATTTATATAATATTCTATGCTGCACGAAAACTCCACATAGGCAATGCCCTAGTGCCTATTGTCCTGGCGATACTTTAGTTTGACCGTGTTTGGTGCACCTGTTTAACGGTTTGATTTCAGGTGTTAGAAGCACATTTGCATAGCTATTGAGTGAACCGTTAGAACACTCTGAGAATGCTCTCGTTACTCGTTTTCATGCTGAATAATCAGTGCTGAGAATATGCCTTAACCTTCATTTTCTCATCTTAGCTTTTGCCTTTGGATGAATTAGAAAATAACCGACTTCCATACATATAATGGGAGCTTCGATTTGTATTTTATTGGTCCATCTGATTAATTAACTGTATCGAAAGTACAACTATACTGAAACTTTCAACTTTGTTTCAGAGACGCACTCATGAGTCCTGTTATAGATGCACCAATTGTGGTAGATTCAGAAAAGGTATTATCTATTTTACCATCTCTCTTTCCTCAAGTTCTCAATATTTTACTTTTTGGAGTTAAAAGGACATATTTTGAAAATATGACAAAATGAGCAAAGATTTTTTTGCACGTGATCAAGTCACCTTGTACCGTGTTAAATGGTGATTATCAAGCATCACATTTTTTTGTCCTAAATATCAATCATTTGATTCGTACAGGTGTGTCATTTTTAATTTATTGGACGCCATTTTCCATAAATTTGAATTGTATTTTCCCTTTTATGTCTGGTCTGTAATGTGAAGGACGTGGTCGTTATACTTGTTGATATGTCTCTGCTCTTACCTGTCCAAAAAATTATATTTTACTCATCTCTCGAAATAATGCTGAGGATGATTTCACATGCCAGCAGCCCTTGTCACCTAGTGGGCTCAAACAGGATCTAAGTTGAACAATTTGGAGAGAGTATGTGTCAAAAATTGTTTACCTAAGGTTTTGAAGAAGCTTTGGAGACTAGTTTATTTGAACAGCAAGAACAGCAAAAACTGCAGTATCAGGGGACCTATGCACCTTTTGTTGTCACAGTGCCCTTTCTAACAGGATTTACTCCCTACCCAGAATTTTTGCCGAGCATCATAATCTCCTATGGCCCAATGCAGATTCTTTGATATGGAAATAAGCTTGAAATTTATAAGGGAACGTGGCGCAGTTCTTTGAGGAAGATGCTATCGATCCTGAATTCCATTCTCTGCCTAAGCAAAATACGAATACTTGAGAGTCGAGGAATTTGTCAACCAGAATACCTGGGCTAATACAATAAGTCAATTGCCACTGGTCAAAGAAGAGACGTTCTTAGGCATTTATAGCAGGTGAGTATGTTGAATGAGCTGCCCTCTTTTATTGTAGTACTAGGGGTCTACTTGAATGAAACAGCACTTATGTATTGTTGATGTGAAATGAAAAAGTGCGCACTGTGAATTAGTGGAACTATTGGGACACGAATTCACACTAGATACATCCTAATATGTTTGGTTCCCTGGTTTTCAAGCCTTTATTTTTAAATTTTCACATTTTGCATTTTTATTGTAGTAGTGGATGAAGTAAATGTCCAGATTCTACATGAGCTGTAAATTTATCTCTCAATATAATGTCACCGGCCTATATAAAGAAATGTGTGTGTGTATTCATTGTGCTGAGGTCAGCTGTCAATGTATGTCTCTGATACAGTGTCATCCATACATCTATTTCCCTGTGCCTCTACCATTTTGTCTGGAATTTTATCATCCATCAACACTAAACTGGTCTGCTACAATGATCGCTGAGCTTTACATTTATGGATCTTTCATTTAAAGATCTCAGATCACCAGCCAATAGCATATTATGTGTAGTAACCGTGGTGTTGTATGCAGGTTGAAAATGGAAATTCGCCAAGTGAGAAGAAAGTCATAGTTATATTTGTCCTTGGTAAGAATTCCTTAATTTTTAGGTTCAACGATGCCTTGGAGCTAGCAAGTTTTCTTAACTTCAAGTCTCGTTTCATAGAAAAAAAGGGAGCAGGAAAGGATGCTATTTGACTTTGGCACATGAGTGGTGGCTATGGGAAACTAGTGTCTTGACTCGACCATGCCCTTCCATTCCTTATAGATGGAATCTCCAACTAGATTTCTTTATATTTGAATCGAAATGCCTCATCTCATAGTAGAGGATTCTGCCTTCGGCCAGAAAAAAGGCTAGCTAGGCAAGTGTAGGCCTTGACAGTGCTCACACGTGGAGGTGGGGCGCTAGGAGAACAAGTGTAGGCTTTGATTTGGACTCTCCCCTGCTTAGCTTGCTTTTGAAGCCGCTGAACTGACGTAGTGATTGGCATTCCTACCTGAATCAGAGTAAGGATCATAATGACATTATTCATTTTTATTTGGTCTTTTTTTCCTTCTATGTGTATAGCGTATGCTGTGCCTTCAGATCTAAATAACTGGTCCTAGAACCAGAAAAAATAGGCATGCTATACTCTTCTATTGGCTCAAAACGTCAATCTGAAGTCAACATTGCTTGAGAAAGACTAGATTCCGTATTTCATTATTGTCTTGTAATAAACAGAATAGATGGAGAAGAAGAGATCCTTTTTTATTTAAACATGTTCATTCGTTTATACTACCCATTTGAGTACCATGCAACCCCCACGCCCTCTACTGTATAAGGAACAAGTAGCATGGCTTGTTGCACCCGAATCAACAACCCTCCAAAGATACCAGTTGTTCATCACAACAGAACATTTCTAGCTCTCAATACACCCCCAATGGCTGATAGCTTCCAAGAAACACAAGCAGGAAAACACAATATCTGCCTTTGTCACTCCAAATATCCGGATTCCCTACAGAGTTCCCTGTAGATACTCCAACCGCCCTATGAATTGTAAAAGGTACCACCTGTTTTCCATCTACTATAAAAAATATCTTTCGTCCTGTACTGTCATTTTAGATTTGTGAATCAATGGAAGAATTGGAACGCGAATTCCACGCAATAATGCTTGTGTAAGAGAGGAAATGCTAGAAAAACTCCATATCCAATACTGCCCTGTCCTCTTGAAAATTAAAGTGCTACCGTTTTCAGTTCATCAAATTCCCCATTCCTTCCATGGCTGAAGACATGGGTGGGTGGGCCGACAATATCATTTGCCTAACAGAGGAAAGGGTAATCTCCTATGTGATGGTATTTTATTCTCAGCGTCCCAGAACAATGAGAGTTCTAACCTGTACTGTATCATTAACTCTTCAGTGTCCTCTTTTGGGCGTACTTGAGATTCTTGCCTTATCCAGGACAGCAAACTCCAACGTCATATGCTTTAGCCTTTTGTAAAATTTACTTAATCCTCTTCTGCTTGCTTTGATAGTTCTTGAGAATCCTTTGGAAACACCTTATTCTATCTACTGTTTTTTATTATAAGAGCTAGAACCTAAGCACTTTTCTTCGCCAACTTCCCATGTGACCGACCTCCACCAATGAAAGATATTCGCCATTAATGCTTCATTGCCCACGGTTTTCTTACTTCATAGATTCCTTGACACGACCTTCATCGGCCGGCCCCACCCTCCCCCCACCACCTTCATCAGATTTGGTTCGCTGCTGCTTTGTGTTCATTATTTTCTGACATCAATTATCGTCAATCTCCGTGTAGGTGGCCCAGGTAGCGGAAAGGGCACGCAGTGTGCTCATGTTGTTCAACATTTTGGATTCACACATCTTAGCGCCGGTGATCTTTTGCGTGCTGAAATCAATTCAGGCTCTGAAAATGGGTACGCTTAATCCATTCACCGACCTCAATCCCTTTCCGAAAATGAAGATAAGATCGAACTGACTCGACTTTCCGTCTCCAATGTCTGACGCAGTACGATGATCCAGAACATGATAAAGGAAGGCAAGATTGTACCTTCTGAGGTAACTGTTAAGCTTCTTCAACGAGCAATGAAAGAAAGCGGAAACTACAAATTTCTCATCGACGGATTTCCTCGGAACGAAGAGAACCGCGCTGCATTTGAGCAAGTCGTAAGTCGTCTTGTACCTCGTAGCTCGCCTCCAATTATTTATGTATACTTTTTATGAATGAACTGTTCGTGCATCTGCAGACGAAGGTTGTTCCCGAATTCGTGCTATTCTTCGACTGTCCTGAGGAAGAGATGGAGAGGCGACTTTTGAGTAGAAACCAGGTTAGGAGAACGCTTTGACTTTTGTTTTTCTTCCGTGGTTTGATCCGATGAAGCCTCCTCGGCTTTAACTAGGGAAGTCTGTTTCTCGATGAAGGGAAGAGTTGACGATAACATCGAGACCATTAGGAAGCGTTTCAAGGTTTTTGCAGAATCCAGTGTCCCAGTAGTCGAATACTACGCCTCAAAGGGGAAGGTTCGCAAGGTACCCACTTTCATGGATCCTTAGCTACCCGAGTTGACCATTGAATCGTCTCCATCTCCCATGGAAATAACTAAGAGATTATGCTTTTGTGATTTAGATCGACGCAGGAAAGCCCATCGACCTGGTCTTCGAAGATGTGAAGGAAATCTTCTCCCCATTTGATGCAGACGTAAGATTTCCTCATCTTTGCTTCATGGGCATGCAGATCTCCACTCCCTGCTTCCCTTTGACTTTAGTCTCATGTTCCTGGCAGGTCAACTAGGTGTTCACCGTGGGTGCCAGACGAGACCACAGCATATCTCATGGTAATCTATCTCTACTCCCTCAGCTTCTATGCTCTTGGATAGACGAAGTTGCCAAGATTCCTAAATAAAAAGTAATGGTTATTCTTTGGTGGGCTGTCCAGATGTCTTTTCTTGGATACCTATTGAATTTATCCCCTACATTGGGAAAATATATATATTATTAAGTCAACGTAATTCTCTCAATGATTATAATGCTGAGCACGTATTTGGGCCTGGTTTTCTACCTTTTTCTGTCATCATTCCCAAATCTCCCACCCGCGTGGGGCCGTTGACTAGGGTATCCACGCAGATAGTCGAATAGCACGTGCGGGGGTCCCGCCTCATTTAAGGACGCCAGTCCCCCCTCCCCCCCCCGGGTTGACTCGTCAAGCCGCCTGCATTCTATTTTGGGTGGACCCCACATTGAAGTCGTCTCTATCCACATTGAAAAATATTAATGGTGCCCTTGTAATTCCTTTGACTTTTCTGCCGCCAACACGTGCGGAGTCTTGATTTCTTTCGTTTTATTTTATCATGTAAGTAATTAAATATAGGAAACGGACATATGCTTTGTACAATAAATTAATGGAATGCCCTTCGCTTGGACCCCCGGCCCCCCCACCGGGCTCGAGGCGGCGCGGGAAGGCCCTGGTCCACGGTACTTCGAGAAGCTCCTACATCCTTCGTTACATTATGACCCATTTTTAGTTAATAATTATGGATTAGCCATATATAGTCACCTAAAATGGGAAAAAATGTGGTCATTTTAAAACTTATATACCCATCAGAACATATTATTGCTAGAATAAACTCCCTATTCAAGTTACCTAATCAACGCCAACAAATCCACTCTCGGTTGAGGTGGGTCCCCGACTCCTATTTAGGGCAACCACTTGTAGTGGAACAAGTCGGATGGCCCGGAGGCCCCAAAACATTACTTCCTGGTGCTGGAGTTGAATGCTTCTAGACTATGGGTAGGCCCATTATCAGATCAGATCGTTCATTAAATCGAGGCTCACCTCAGGCAAAAGACGCGCATGCTAGTTGGAAGCCCATATAGGCCGGTGGGCCCACCCATCGTACCGCTGAAAGGACACGCATTGATATGACGTCATCCGAATAGGGACTCACAGACGCATCGCATCACTGCACGCTGATACGCACCTCGTCCTTGTTGACAGTCAGATATATTATGAAGTTGATTCCCTCCCCCCACCCCCCCGGCGCTCGAGGGATAAGCACGAGTGGTAGAAACCGTAAATTTGTATATTTTCGAGCCGTTTTCTCTCTACCTGCCCTCTGTCGGCTTGAGTCGCACGTCAAAGGTTCCTTTTTCTCTCACCCGAAAGAGGCTATCGGCCAGTTACAGCCTGTCCGGGATCTCGTCACCTTCCGACAACCCAATCGTCTGCCCCCGTTGCTCGCTACTCTGAACCAGGGAGGTGGCGAACGATCTCACTGCCCGCGAGTGACCACAACTACGGCGTGGGCCTAACAGAGAACTACCAGCGACCAACACGTGGACAATATAAAGGACCCCGCCGGTATCCTCCTCCCCCTGACATATATGTATAAATTGCTCGGCCTCTTACCGCCCTGCAACGCTGCAGAGAGAGAAAAGTAGGGAAAGAGAGAGAAAGAGAGAGATGGTAGGCGAGATCATCTCGTTCCTCCGGACGGCGGCCTTCGTGGTCGCCCTCCTGCTTGTATCCACGGCGGTGCCGGCGGCGGGGGCCGCCGCCTCCGCCGCCCACGTTCGGCCCCGGAAGCTGTTCCTAGTGAAACAGCAGCCCTTGGTGCTCAAATACCACAACGGCGTCCTCCTCAAGGGGAACTACACCCTCAACCTCGTGTGGTACGGCCGCTTCTCCATCGCGCAGCGAGCCATCCTGACCGACTTCCTCGTCTCCCTCTCCTCCACCGTCGTCGGCGGCGGAGGCTCCGATGCCCCGTCCGTCGCCGCCTGGTGGCGGACCACAGAGTTCTACGATGGCGGCGCCACCAGGTTCCTCCTCGGGGCCCAATCTATCCTGGAGGACTACCCACGTGGGAAGCTCCTAACCGACGGCGATATCACCGCGCTTGCCGCCGCCGCCGGGGGCGGCCGCCACCGGGGCTCGGTTGCCGTGGTGTTCACCGCCGGAGATGTTGCGGTGGAAGGGTTCTGCATGAGCCGGTGCGGGTCTCACGGGGCGGCGCCGCTGCCATCTGGGAAGAATCGCCGGGCCCGATTTGCCTACATCTGGATCGGCAACTCGGAAGCTCAGTGCCCTGGCCAGTGTGCCTGGCCCTTCCACCAGCCCGTCTACGGCCCGCAGACGCCGCCGCTGGTGGCGCCCAACGGCGACGTGGGAGTTGACGGGATGGTGATCAACCTGGCGACGCTGGTGGCGGGAACTGTGACGAACCCATTCGCCGGCGGGTTCTTCCAGGGGCCTGCGGCAGCGCCGCTGGAGGCTGTGTCGGCCTGCACGGGCGTCTTCGGCAGCGGTTCCTACCCGGGGAACCCCGGCAAGGTGTTGACGGATCCCGCCACCGGCGGCAGCTACAACGCCGCCGGAGTCGGCGGCCGGAAGTTCCTCCTCCCGGCGATGTGGGACCCGAAGACCTCCCAGTGCTACACTCTCCTGTGAGACGACCGCCGGGTTTGTAAATATCAAGAAAAAGGAAAAGAAAGCAGCAACTTTGTGGTCTCCTTCTTCATCGTCCCCTTTCGCTTTCTTCTTTCCTTTTTAGAAAACCCTCCCTGCATTTTGCTCCGCCCGATCCCCGGTTCGCCGTTGCCGGAGAGGAGGAACGGAGGCGGTCCTTCCGGCGACTAGGGGGGCCTGTAGATGCTACAGGGTGCGGCGGAGCGAAAATCATTGCCGCACGGCTCGAGAACGACCGGCGATTAAAATACGGATAGAAACTCCATTCCCGACGAGCTGAAACGTGTAGCAGAAGCCCCGCGCTGCGGTGAAGTGTGCCATCCGTCTGTCCGCCGCCATGAATCAATCCGGCGAGAGGCTAAACCACCGGCCTACGCGGTCGGGAGGCATTTCGAAGGGTTTGGCCAGTTGCAGAAGAACGACGTCCCGTTGCCCTCTCTCTCGCTCACTCACGTCACGTCGGCGACCTCCGGCGACCCGGAACTCTCTCTGCCACACGTCACGTCGGCAGCCTGCAGCGGCTGGCCAGAATCTCTTTCTCTCTCTATCTCTAGCTCTATCTCCGTCTATATTACTATTCATGCACGGGGAAAACGACAAGACCAAAGGCGAGGATAAAACCTGTAACAGGAAACGGACGGGGGAAGTGTCCGTATCCTTCCGATGGTAGCTGAAGGTACCGGGTTCTGTTGATTAGCGTGGCTTCCTCAAGTCTGAGTGGGCCTGATCGGATATTAGATGGGCCTAAGTCACAGGTTTAGGCGATCTATTCACCAGGCCCGAGCCCAAGCCCAAGTCTGATATTTCACGGTACTGAAGGCCATATCTGCCGATAACGGGGCCCAAGCTTGTGAAGAATCGACTGTCGGCCCAATTAGGGCCCAAATCAGTTTTGTTTTCTGCTGGTTGGCTGGTTCTCAGGTTCTCTGCAACTTCTCCCCTCGCAGTTCCCCCTCCCTCCTCTCTCTGTTTCTCTCTCTCTCTCTCGTTCTTCTCAGAGAGCTCCACCGGTGAGTCCTCCACGACCTCCAACACAATAGATAAGGGTGAGGGAGGAGCAAAGACCTCTCTCTCTCTCTCTCTCTCTCTCTCTCTCTCTCTCTCTCTCTCTCTCTCTCTCTCTCTCTCTCTCTCTCTCTCGATCTCTCGATCTCTCTGTCCCTTGTTAGAACATCGAGATGGTAGAGGGGAATATGAAAATGTGTAATTGATGCTTGTAGGTGAGAAAATCCCGCCGATATTTTTTTCTCTGATTTGATCTTCTAGGTCGTGTGCTGTGAACGATGCTAGGAGTCGTGCCGATTTCCGGGCGGATAGTTGGCGGCTTCGTTCCTTCCGATAGGGTTCGGGCAATCTGACGGAGGCGAGATCTGGCCCCGTCCAATTCGAGGGGCTCTTTCTGTCGGATTTTTCCCTGCCGACTTCTAGTCTGCTCCATCGGTGAGGAGCATCGGGAGTGCGGATCGTCGATTTCGTTCTCTTCCCCTCGCTTTGCCCCATTTCACCGGATCATCCCCTTCGAGGAGGTCCGCATCTCGATTTCTCGGATCATCCTCCGTTTGCTCTTCTATCCCACTCCTACGCGTAGATCTTCCTGGAAGCCTCTTCTTCGGAAGCATGATTATTTCGGGCGATACATCGTCTATCGGAGATGGTATCCTTCTGTGTGGATGGGGCCGCTCCGCCCTCGAAGGCATTCAATTGGCGTGCTTCTCTCGTTTCTTCCCCCATGGAAGAGCTATCGATTTCTCTGGTTTTTCTGCCAGGAAACCGCATTAACTCCCTTCCCCACCAGGGCCTTCTCCCCTCAGTAGTCACATCCGGGAGGTCATTTCTTCTGCCGGGATGCCATCAATGGCAGCAGGCAAAATGATCGCAAATCGATCCGTCTTCATCGTCTCCCCCTGGAAACTGTTCTTCTTTCGGCTCTTTTATCTCACCTCCTCCTGCGTCTCCGATCACAGTTCCTTCCTTGTGGGTACTGTTCCCCTTCCCCTTCTTCGGCAAGCTCCCTGCTGAAGCATCAGAAAAAGATCCCTACCCCCGCTCCTCGTTCCTCTTTTCATTTATCTCTTTCCATCCCAGTTTGATCTGGGCATTTGTGCCTGGTTCTGCAGATCAGAAGGGTCCCTTGGATCAGACTATGGACGAGGGGGACCAATTCAGATGCTGGGATGAGATGATCCCGGATGCTCTGGGGCTGATCTTCCGTAAGCTTCCTCTCGAGGACGTCTTGACCGTCGTCCCGAGCGTCTGCAAATCCTGGAGGAGAGCCGTCGCCGGTCCCTACTGCTGGCAAGAGATCGACATTGATCAATGGTGCCAAGGATGTAATCCCGAGCTCATCGGCCGGATGCTGCAGATGCTCATACCCCGAAGCTCCGGCTCTCTCCGCAGGGTCTGCGTCTCCGGCATCCTTGATGATCAGGTCTTCCACTACATCGCCGACAAGTAAGCGAAACTTGCCGTCGGAGCTCGCCTGCTCTATCCCCCCTGCGCGCCTGAATTCCTCAAGAAAGAAATCTTTTGACCATAAGATTCCTGCCGCTTCGTTGACATTCCTTGCCCGCCGCCGGTCAACTGATCCCCGCCTTTGTTTCTTGGTTTTTTTAATCATTAGCAGACATCTTCTCGCGTGCACTGATACCTGCTTGTTTCTTTTCTTCCGAAAAATCGAACCTGTTTCTTCTTCCAGCGTCACTAAGAACAGAACAATTATTGGTCTCATTTGATTCGAATTCCTTTTTAATCCAGAACCCATGTGGGCTATCTATCTGCATCGAATCCTCTCAAAGAAGAAATTTAATTTTTTGCAAGTGCGGGCTCCCTCCGGGCTCTGGAGCTGCCGCGGAGCGAGATAAGCGACGGCGCGGTGGAACAGGCGGCGGCGAAGCTGGCCAACGTGACATTCCTGGATGTGAGCTACTGCGTGAAGATGGGAGCGGCGGCACTGGAGGCGTTCGGGAAGAACTGCACCTCCCTGGTCGGGCTCCGGCGGGTGATGCACCCGCTGGAGGCGGTAGACAGGCCCTCCCAGGACGACGAGGCCCATGCCATCGCCGCCTGGATGCCCAAGCTCCGGCGCCTGGAGATGGCCTACTCGCTCCTCACCGACGCTGGCGCCATCGAGATCCTCTCCGGTTGCAGAGACCTCGAGTTCCTGGACATCCGCGGCTGCTGGGACGTGAAGCTCGACCAGAAGCTCCTGAAGGAGAACTTCCCCAGGTTGAAGGTCTCAGGGCCTCTCATGGTGGGCCGCTGCGAGGATAATCACTTCTGGGACGACGACGACGACTTCGACGACTGTGGCTCGGATTCCTCAGGCCACCTGCCGTGGGGCGACGCCGCAGGCGACTACTACGACGGCTTCAGCGACGCCGACGCCGAGTGGGACCTCGACGGGCTCGAGGTCAGGTTCTATGGCGGCGGATTCGAGGACGCCTCTGCTGCTCTGGACTGGCCGCCATCTCCCTGAGCCTGAGCTTGAGCTTGGGACGAAGAACACCCCGTTCCATGGCATGCATGATCCAATACTCACCGTATTGCTGCTTAGCTCTGTGTTGTGAATAATCCCGTGCCTGCCTAAGTTCCGAGGCCTGCAAAACATTGCAAACATACCCCTGTTTTGCTTCCAGTGACGGCTCTATCCTTCCCACAGGCATTAGTTTTATTTGCCCAGTGCCCTCGTTATTAATTTAATTTTTTGTAGCTGTTTTACACGCCCCAAGATGGCGACTTTCGGTGCGAAATGAGTTGGGTTTGTAGAGAGTATTTTGGTGTCGCTCCGCGCCAGCGGCCATCTAGTAATATATATCTCCCATCAGGTGTGGATGTCAGAGCAGTTTTATTTTTTGGGGGTAAATTTTGTAATTGTCATACTTTCCATGGACTGTAGTGCAAAGAGTTGACAGGCGATGCTCAAGAACAGCATTTTCCTCGCTGTTTATTTGCTGCTTGTCCAAGTACAACGGAGCACGTGCATTATTGACAATCCTCAGCTCTCTGCCACGCCAGCCCACGGCTGGGGAATGTCTCATCTCGCTAGAGGGAGAAAGAAGGAGAGAGGCAGCTACGAGGGCGGGGCCAGACCAACTGAGCAACCAACGGGGAATCTCCATTGTCAGTCCCCAGATGTTCCTAGTTCTCCGGAGTTGACTTTCCCGACTTCGAAGCTAGCAAGATTGCCATTTTTAAAGTCGTGTCCTGGATGCTCTCATAGACTTTGGGTCAACTTTTCCCAGAGAAACACGTACAACAAGGAAGAGATAATCCAACATTTGGCCCAGTGCCCTCAATAATTCGGAAAAATCAACTTACCATTTTTTTAAAAAATCAATCTTTTTGAGAAAAAAATGGCAAATATGATGGAATGTCTGAAATCTCCAAAAGAAATCATGAAGAAAGATGGGGCGAATCTCCCTTCATACATAAATCATAATCAATATATGTAAATAAATGCCGGGAATTTATCAAGAAAAAAAAAAGGCAGCTTGACGAATACACATATAATCCTGATGGGATCTAATCGGACAAATAGCATACTCTTCTCTGAAACCCTAGCAACAGGACTCAGGGTGCTTCGTCAGATCAAACACTGGAAGTTGCCGCAGAAAAAAAGGATAAAATGAAGCAAGAATGGATCGAAAAGAGCTGCTCTTCTTCAAACATCTTGCCCACATTCCTTTCTGGGACAGAACTGTTACATGATTTTGGCGGGGTTTCAAGCCTAAGATGCTGGATGAAGGGACCTATGGATGGTCATTGGCGGGCATCCTGACCTTGCCGGGGTTGAAATCCATTGGCGGCGCCCTCTTTTCCGGAAGTGGACTGCGGGCCGCACTGGCATCCCCCGCTGCAGGCTCTCTCTTGGGGTCTTCTGGGTCCGTCCTGCTATCTATCACCTTTCCTGCTTTCCCAATTGCGAGGATCAGCTCAAGCTGTTTCTGTTGTTGTTCCTGCAGAATTTCCCAACGCAAATCAATAGAGAAGCTGATCACTTGAGCAGATCATGAGCTTATAAGGTATAAAAATGAAGCCCTTCACGGGATACATGTCATTTATTCATCCTTTCTGGGTACTAACACTATGATAGATTCGATGAGGCATTTCCCATAGATTTTGTTTACCATGGCGTCAGAGTTGACGTTTGCTTAGAATAGACCCACATCGAAAATAAATAAAATCTCCTCACTGTATGTTTAGTCGCTCTTAGACCGATTCGGAAGAGGAGAAGGATGGCTTCTTGATGATTAATTCGGAACTGATTCACACAAAATACCCAAAAAATCTCGAGTTTCCAGCGCCACAGAAAGCCAGGCAAGATAATGGTACTTTATTTACTGGTTTTAGCGAGAATTATAGGCTCCCTTTTTTTATGGTTAGTCCTTGCTCCCACGGACCTGGGTGAAGATCATCTATAGCAGATCTCGTTCAGTTCCAATGCTCAGTTGATCCTCACAGAAGAGAATTTTCCATAATCTATGAACAAACGTCCTTGGAAGGTGACATTCATCATAGCTTTCAACAATAAATTTTTCGTAGTATATGAGTTCGACCGAAACTAGCAAAGAATATTAACACTTGATCGCAGAAGCATGCCTGTGTTACTAGGTGAATAAGGGAGGGCAGGCACATCTAGTGACTGTAAACATTCTATCGCCCAGTTCTGCTGATGAGTGAAAGAAGAGAAAGAACTTCGACACATAGGTAGATAGATATTCGGGAGTCAAGATCCCCTGAACTAACAAAATCAGAGTCGCTAGAAGATCCCGAGGTCGATCAGTGCCTCAAAGTGGTGTCACTGAAAATCTCACCTGCACCTTGAGCAGGTTGGGAATCGATAATGACTAAACACAAGTTCTACCTTCAAAGAACGCATAGCTAGCTGCTTAACCATGATTCCCGGGTCAGTAATTTCCACCTGAGTGAACATCTAAGTTCCACCTTCAGAGATCATCCCTGGTTCCAATAGGCCCATGTCAAAGAGTCATTCCCACCATCAAAAAAGAGTAAAATCAATTGTTGCAATATATAGCGGTTTCTCACTGCGATCTGCTCCTGCATGCTACCAACTAGCAGCGTTGAGCACAGACTTCTGCTATGTACATTTTCATGTAAAAAAAGAATGGATTACCGCAGCCACAACCCCCACCCTCCTCTTCTTTGACTTTTTATTTCCTGAAATTTAGGGTCTGGGAACCGTATCTATACGCCTGTGAGAGATATGCAGAACGATTAAAATATTTGCCCTCTTGGAGAACTCGAAATAGCCATTTGATCCACATAGGCCCCCTATAGTATGTAATCCCACACTAGTTTTTCAAATATTTCGACCTTGCACAGCTTAGAGAAGAATATCTAAGTGCCTCACTGAAATTCGCTCGCGAAATTAACTGAAGACGGATGAAGCATCCTTATTTCAAACCCCACAACTCATCCAAAATTTTCTGTATACCAAATCAGAAGCCTTATATGTATTGGAAATTTCCTAACCCCTCACACCCAAAATCTTAAATAAATAGCAAGCATCCTTTGCTCGAATGGAGCTGTTTGATTCTGGACTTCGTGTCCGAGCCTTCCATTTTTGTAACATAAAACCTGATGTCAAAGCTTACAATCATTTAGTTCCTCAAACACCGCCATTCTGGACTTCGCGAAATTTGAGCCAAGTCAAAGATGCCTCTGTTAGTTTCCTGAACCTTTTTTAAATAATTACCAGGAAAATTGGCCAGGTAGGGCACGTCATTATCAAGGTACCTTGGGCTGTCTGGTAGTGTGATCTTAACCAAGAAAATTTAACGAGCATTTTTGTTTCCTCACAATTTTCTTTAATAGTGGCTTTACATGTTAAAATAAAAAATAAGTCTTCTGATAAGTTCTAATACCGACAATGCATCCATCAGACTAAAAATGATATTTGGAGACACAGGGAAAAGTTCATCCATGTCCGCACCAAGTTTTCTACCAAATATCTAATGACCTAATATTACATTTTGGGCCTACATCCAGATAGGTCTTGTCTACAAGGTAACCTTAACTTAAACGAGTATAACTACTGCTTCATGTTAAAGTTCACCCAGGTTCCAATGTCAGATCTTCTATTCGATCCTAACTCCACACAGCAGTCATCTTTGATAACAATGGTCAAGTTGTTTGCATGGCAAGGAATCAGATATCACCCAAACAGGGTAAGCCACCCTCACAAAGACGCTCTAATCAAACAAAGCGCAGACTTGATCCAAGACAGGTTCAAATGAGATGAAACACATCTACCCTTGAGATGAGACGGTGAGGGATTCTACATTTCAGCCATATGCATGCCGCAGTTCGACCAGCCACGTCTGCAAGGCCCACTTGAAAAATATTTCAAGACTTCCCATGGAAGTCCTCTCAAACGATCAGTCCATAATCTAACCTCAGTTTTTGGTAGTGGTCCTCCACTTGCAGCATCTGCAAGGCATCTCACGTGCTCTCTAGTCTCAGGAACCCTACCCCCATCACACCGGTCATCTAGCTGTAACTGAAGACCGGCTGCTCATGAAACCTACACCATTCATCCTGGATATGACCACCTCAAGCAGGTCTCAAAGAAATACAATCTCTGCAAAGCCTTTACCTGATGATTGTTGGTGGCTTCAGCTCGTATTTAATGAACACTGAAATGACAAAAATTATGTTGGCATTTGCATTGGGGTGGCTCCTCGTATATTTTCATAGAAGAGGGCCCTGGCATAACAATTCATAGAATTGGGCATCGGTGTCACCAGGTCCAGAATAGGTTTCGTGGATTTATGGAGAAATGAGATATCTGAGCTCAAGTTACCAAAAGGTGTGGGCTTTGGAAGGATTTTCAGGTAATGATGCATAACCTCAAAAACTATATCTTATTACTTAAAAAGTTTCGTAATCTACAGCTTAATATAAATCAAGCTACAAGAGAATTACTGAGAATTACTAAGAATTAGAATGGGAACATTGCAATCGTTAAGTTTATTGATAAAACCATTTTAAAAAATGCAAGAAAAATCTAAAAAAGGGTACTTTGCCAATGTACTCTTATGATTCCGCGGATTATGGCATATACAGGAAATGCAGCAGACATAAAATAGCTATTAGTAACCCCTAAAGGAGAATCGAATAGACTAAAAATCTAATTCCATGGTTCAATTCTACATTTCAATACAGCTGTTTAAAAACAAGTGCTTCATCGAGTATGAAAAAGAGTTTCCCAATATTGTTGTCACCAATTCAGGAAGTCTATAGAGCCAAAGACACCAAAACTTCTACAGAGACCAGAGAATCTCAGGGGATAACAAACGAAGAGAAGAAGAAACAGCAAACAAAGAAAGAATACTCCAATACAACACAAGAAAATTCACTGAGAGTTTCGAGTTCTAGTTACCATGAAACATTTGATGCATGACAAGGTCAAGATATCATGAAAATTTCTACAATAAGCGAAGCTCACCTGCATTGCAAGTAACACTTTTTGAATTTCACCAAGCTCCTTTTCAAGAATGTCCTCATGCATTGCAAGCGCTCGGGTGGCCTCCGAGTTTTTTTGAGCCAAAGCAGCGGTCTTCAAGAGGAAAAAAAGGGGACATGTACGTGGATTCAATTTCATATGGATGCCATCATCAGATAGAACAGATTAACTAACACGAATCATGAGGCGGTGACCGCAAACCCTGGTTAAACATCTATCATATGCATTCCAATCTTGAGAGAGAGAATGAATGGCTTGCTGTTATCTACCGGCAGATTATACAGTCGGTCGCCTCACTGTCAAGGTACATGTTAATAGCCACCAATGGAGAAATCCCAATTCGTCGAACCTTTCTATGAAAGAAAATGAATTGCCAAAAGGCTGGTGGCATATTTTCCATGGAGCCAAAACTCTACGACTGAGTAAATTTTCCAGTATCCATCATAGAAAAGGACTCATTTACCTTCTTTAAACTCTGATTTAATGATCAAGGACATCCAGTAGTCCTTAATCTTATTTACATCAAATCCATAGTTTGAAAAATTCGTAAAAATATCCCCCCCTCTAATGCTTGATTTCATACTTTTATGAAGTCGGCAGGAGACGACCGCAAGAGTACCCCTATAATGGGCCGGTAAATTACTCTGACGTAGTAGCTCATAGCATTTTTCACAAGCTAATGCATCTACAGTGGACCATCTGTGGAGTATGAACTGCGAGTAGCTATCTTTGGCGTTTTCCCTATTTCTCCGACTGCACTAGTTTGCACATTCATTGACTGCGTAAGGTAATTTCTCAAGTGTTTCTCTTCATTCAGCTTGGATGGTGAAAAAGAAAAGTGCATGGTGTGAGCTTACAGACATGTCTCACTCCTTGTGGGGGAAAGAGGAAGTGGGTGAAAACAGAACTGTATATGAGGAGAGGAAGAAGATGAGGAAAAGGAAGCTAGTGCAGTGGTTTTTCGGAAAGCAACTTGGTCATATTGGAAGATGGATGGTAGCCTAATAGCAACGGAGGTGGGAGAGCAGAACTCGACATCCCAGGATCCCGATGAGGAATGAACACGTCTGAAGACTAATGGCAGTTGGACAACAGGAATCAGCAGTGAAAGAAAACGTCGAGGTTCTTTCTCAGCCCTGCAGAAACCAAGGTCTGGTCCAACTCTCTCTCTCTCTCTCTCTCTCTCTCTCTCTCTCTCTCTCTCTCTCTCTCTCTCTCTCTCTCGCAAAGGGCATACAAAGATTGGGCAGAGCAGATGAGGATGGTGGTAGATTGTAGAAATGATCATGGATGCTGTCTCATGACGACCACCACAGGAGGAGAGCTGCTGGGTCCATGACATCTTTATCGGCATAGAGCCCTCATTTATAGAGTTACTTTTACGGTGCATCTAGCGAATCAAGCAGCCAATCTGAACAGGAATTTAGTCCCCACCCCGAAAGAACTTGAGCATGCCCAAGAACCGGGAAAAGCGAACTATGAGCTACATGGGGTTGGGTAGTATCCATTAGATCCAGAAAAAAATGACTGACCCACTAAAAGTGAATAAAATTGACCACAAAATGATATATCCTCTGGTCAAAGTGTAGGCTGGAAGCGAAAACCCATCTCGAGATTCTCCAGAAACACAAAAACAGAGGAGACGCGGTGAAAGGGATTACCTCGGAAATGGGCTCTTTCAGAGTCCTCCTCGTGACTCGAAACCTGATTCCAAGCTTCTCGAGTTGCCTCGAGAGTACCCGAATGATCGTCGCCGAGCTCCGGAGATCATCCTCCACTTTCTCAATCCTATCGAGCAAATTAACACTTGCTCCGTTATCTCGGCAGAATCTTTGCCACTGTCGCTGACGAATCATCTTCCCAATCGCCACCGCGCCGACGAGAAGCACAAATTGCCACGCAAAGAGCGCGTTCCCCAAGCTGGACTGGAGGGGCTTCATCACGCTAGGGAAAACCAAGCTTACAACACCACCGATCGCAAACACCACGGAAGGCGCAATACATAATGTCTCCACGAACACCAGGACATCGTCGAAGCTTGCCTGATCTAATTTTTGTCTCCTTTGAACACCGTCGTCAGCTTCACCTGAAAGGCCAATACCTTTTGTTTCTCAGAGACCACCCAATACTTTTCTTCTATCCCGTCAAATACTTGCAACTACACGAATCGAAGGTATTGTACTTCACATTACCCGACACGAACGCCCTTAGACGCCATTGGTGTCTGCTCAAGGACAGGGTTCTGCTCCGGAAGGGCACCACGTGGAGAACGCACCAGGCGTGAGCTCGGCAGGCGTGTCTGCTCGAGTAGGAGAGGAGTCTCGGGCGACTCCCGCTGACGGACACGGAGCAGAACCATGAAGAGGGGAGATTACCCGGCACGCTTTGGGCAACTGCTGCAGCAGCAGACATCGCCGCTACCAGCTTTGGTAGTACTTTGTTCTCCCTCCCTCCTCGAATTCCTACTCTTCCATCGGAGTGGTGGCGGGTGGGGGAAGAGAGCCAGAGAGAGGACGAACTGAATTGGGTCGGTACGGATCGGATTGGATCAGACCCAGCGCCAGGGAGGCCCCAAAATTCTGCTTCACGGACGGAGGAAACGAGACGAAAATGAAGGCGAGCGAACTCTCTCGCTGCCAAGTAGATCCCCGATGGGTCATCCTTGCCTCCGTCACTATAATTGGACCAACGCTTTGGGCCAGAACTATTGGACCGGTGCCCAGACAGCATTCATTCTCTCTCTCTCTCTCTCTCTCTCTCTCTCTCTCTCTCTCTCTCTCTCTCTCTCTCTCTCTCTCTATCTCTCTCTCTCTCTCAATCGGAATGATTCGAGCTTACCCAGCACAGGGTGTCGAGGACCCGATTCCTCAATTCTCGATATTTATGATAAATTTATGAACTTGGAGGAATTTAGGAACAGGACTGGAATTGGGCATTTCCCATTTGGAAATATCTTCATTGCTTCTTTATTGGGTGATAATTTCCGACATTATTTACTGCCCAAGATTCATCAAGATCTCCCCTTTTTATCGGTATTACTTTAGTTCCCAGGTTCACCCATCACAAAATGATTCAATAATACATCAAACTGAGGATACTCATTAAAGAGGGAGGAAATCTCACAGCATAGATGGAGCATAAACCCTAAAAAATCCCTTCGATGAGGAACTTGTGCAGTTTGTGCAAAAAGAACTGGGGCACAGGCTCCACAATTGCTCATAAAAAAAAACCCAGCTTTATTTTGCGATGAAAGTTATATACATTGCAATAAAATAAAAGACTCGGAGATAATTCAGGATACTCGAGAGCTAAAAGCCCACAGAATGGGGGCAATTTTTAGAAATAAACGGCAAAAGAGCCCCCCTTTACCATTGAGCTCAGAATAAACTAAAGATAGCAACTTTGAGTGGTGCTTCAACAGTTGGTGGCTCCATATTCACGGTACAATATACCATGTGATCAACAGTTTGCTTTTTCTTTGTTTGTGGGCCAACTAAGTCTGCACCTCTATTCATCTCATTGAATGCAAAATCCTACTTCCCAAAAGCGCGCACACAGAGAAAGAAAGAAAGAAAGATACCCACAAACAGAAAGAGAGAGAGAGAGAGAGAGAGGGGGGGGGGAGGGGGTGGAGGGCGATGAACTCATTTCAGATGGAACTCGTTTCGGCATGAAGACACGGTGAATAGGGAGAAGAAATGAAGTCAAAGCATGCGGAGGCACTTCTGATCAAATAATCGATTGATTTTTGTAGGTATGTTAACAGGTAACATTGGCGGAGAGGGAAAAAATATGGAAAGCGCAGAGGTTTGGTAACTGTGAGCATCCTCAACAAACCTTTACGAGAAACCCAGTGAGCAAAGAACCCTAAAAGATGATGATTTGAATGCCCACAATATATATCTCGTTCTAGGAAAAGTATCGATTGGACTAGCAAACAAGAGCCAGGATCAGGGTTCAAGAAATCTAAAGCATTCTTCACAAGAAATCTGAAAAGAAAAATTCCAGGAACACAACATATTTGCTGAGGCAATCGGCTGGTTTACCCACAAGAACCAGGGGAAGAGATTGCAGCTTATAGGAATACCATCCAGGATACCTAACTCTTTAACCAAGCGATCCGGAGTAGCCCAAGCCAAAGTCTATCGGAATAAGCAAAGAGTATGAAACCAGGTTGATCTGCCTAAACCTTAAATAAGAGATGGAATTAAGATGAATGTTTACGATATATGGTTCATATAAATGCACCAATTTGAAACAGGATTTCTGACACGAGTCCATTTTAAGACGTGCAATCTTAGTGACAATCCACAGTGGAAGTGGAAGGAGTGGTCTCCCCATCTACTGAAGCCCATTTAAATTTTCTGCCCAAAAATCTCAGCCTCATCTTCCCCATCATCTTGTTCATGCTAATCGTTTGCCCAGCATTGATTACCACCTTAGGGATAGATAACCAATGTTAGCTGTCAGGTCTCCACCTCTATATTTTTTTGGCTGCTTAATGCTAGAATCCGGGTTTTTAGTTCCTCACTTCAACCAAAAGACAAAGCAATCGACGAGTTCCATTGGTGGAAATCTCTTGGAGAGGAGTCAAAATTGTTCTGTAGAAGTAAAGGTCAAAGCCCAGACTGTCTATTTTGTCATCAGAGTGCGATGGTTCGTCAAAGAATAAGTCTCATTCAACAACCTCAGAGGCAGCCATAACGTGTTTCAAGGAAGCAACTACATCATATGACCCCACAGTAAAGGATGGAGGATCCTGACAGTAAAGGGTCAGTGACTTTTTTTTCCCAAGAGATGATCCAGTTTTCATGGATGATTACAGTAAGCCAACAAGAATGAAAGAAGCTCAAGACGACAACAGAGGAAAGAAACAAGAAAGAAGAGAAAGATGGGAACCGGGCGTTCACTGGTCCACAGTAAATGGAACACATCTTTCTGCATCGAAGAAATTAAAGATGAATAGGGTTTCTTCTCTCTCTCTCTCTCTCTCTCTCTCTCTCTCTCTCTCTCTCTCTCTCTCTCACACACACACACACACACACACACACACACACACACACACACACACACACACACACACACACACTCATCCAAGAATCACACAGACATCAGAGCGAAACGGGAATCACCCATAAAGCTTTAGTCTTTGATTACTGGATAGATGACCATTCAAGGATATATATATATATATATATATATACAGATATATATATATAGAGATACTTTGGCTCCGAAGCATTGCTTGCCCGCTGAATGAACACACTAACAGGACAGATGGAGAATTGACAAATTGAAAAGGTCAGACTGTGCCGACAGGAACCACAAGCAATTGATACGCGATAATCAGAGGCATCGGCAGTATTTTTATTTTATCTTTTCTGCATTGATTTTTGGTCAATTGTCCAAAGTACCTGATAGAGGAGCTAGGAAACTCAACAAAAGAACATGGATTGAACTGATGGCCGGGGAAGAGAACTTGTTAGAGAGAACAGCTGAGACAGCGAGGGGTCAACACCTGTGGCTTCTGTTCATGTTGTCGGCGAGTGCTTGGGCTTCTTGATTGATCGAACAGCCCTTGAGATGGTGTCGAAGAGGTGCCTCTGGGAGTCGACCAGCATTTCCGCCCTTCGGGTCTCCATCTGAATCCAGTCCCTTTCCATCTCCCTCATCAACTCCATCCTTTTCATCTCCATTCTAACGAACCCTTCCCTGAACCTCTTCACCGTCACCACCAGTTCCCTCAGCGCCCCTCTCTCCCCGTCCCCGCTGCTGTCTTCCCCCCCGTACCTCTTGGATCTTGAAATCTTCGGGTGGAGCAATTCGTCTTCGTTCAGTATCCCATTGATCCTCCTGGTGTTACCATTAAACTTTTCTTCCTCTTCTTCCTCGTCGTCTTCCTCCTCGGCTCCATCCTCACCGCTGCCGTCGACTCCCTCGCTCCCCTCCTCATCCTCCACCTCCTCCTCCTCCTCTTCTTCCTCTTCCTTGTGCCCTTCAGCAACCGGCAGCGGATGGGGCGGTGGAGGCCGCACGGAGATAGGCGACGGGCCATGCTCCAGGCGCTCCATCCGCTCGAAGAAGGGCCAGCGCGATGGCACCGATCGCTGCCGCTCGGCACGGTAGCGCTGGCGGAGCTTCTCGATCTTGTGGCGGCACTGAGTCCCGGATTTGGGGGGCCTGATTAACCCTAGGCGGGCGGCAACGCCGGAAGCGACCTCCTCCCACTGGTGGGCCTTGAGCTGCCCCCGCTTTAGGGCGTACCACCTCTCCTCGTAGGCATCGATCAGGAACGCCGTCTCCTGGTCCAGCCACGGCTGCCCCGGCCCGCCGTGTTTCCTCGGCGGCGGCGCCGCCCCCTCCCCAACGACCATCCCCGACTACCCACCGGATCGGAGCCCAGGATTTGAAGGGGAAACCATGCTCAACCGGGGGAGGGTTGCGCTTTTTAACAAAGTGGTGGCGGTGGTGGTGCTGGTGGTGGCGGTGGCGGTGGTGGTGGGTCGGTGAGTAGATGCTCTAGAGACGGTGGCGGTGGGGGGAGGGAACGAGGAGTGGGGAGTGGTGGAGCTGGTGGTGGCGGCGGCGGTGGTGGGTCGGTTACAAGATTGGGCCTTGGTGGACGGTCACGTGAATCGTGGGCCCCAACCCAGTAGGAGGGAAGAAGCGCTATGTGGTTTTGTAGTGTTTCGCCACCGCGGCTGCGCCGCCATGGATGGTCCCGAGGGTTGCCTCGGTCACACCCCGTCAAGTCAGATTGCGACTCAGCAGCCTGCTAGAGGATCCGCAGGAGTTTGGCATGTAAAAACCTATTTTTATTTTATTATTTAAATATGTAATAAAAAGTGTTAAATCCCTTAAAATGAGTAATTATAAATCCGATGCCAAACGGGCTTTTGGCCTCAATTACTACCAACATAATATAATTTAATTCCCATTTTTCAAATAAAAATTCAAATCATTACTGCAAAAGATTCTTAATTAAACAGCCTGATCCGATTCACTGATTCCATAAATGACATATTTCTCAGTATTATGCGTACCTTAATTACTACAAATAAATTAGTGTCAAATCCCTTAAAACGATTAATTAAAAGTCCGAACCCAAACGGGCTTTTGACCTCAATTATTACCAAAACAATATATTCGAAACTCCCATTTTTTAAAATGAAAAATACAGTTAATTATGCAAAAAGATCCCTAATTAAATCAAGCCCGATCCAATTCGTCGATTCCAAAGCCGACATCTTTGTCAGGATCATGCGTACTTTAATTACCATCATTTTCCTTTTATAAACAATCCAAATATGAAAAAATGGCATACTCGGGGTGAGAAAATCCGATCAGAGATGAGAATCAATCAATCTTTCGATCAGGGTCAACACCAACCGATCCGCTCCAAAGAAAAACTTGCCTTCCGAAAGAGTTACCTGAACGATGGATGAGACACCAGAATCCAAGTCGTAAGGAAGAAATATGATCATTTCCAAGAATAAACACCACCACAGGGTCAGCAGGATTCATCTGCAAAGTCAAAGAGTTTCCAATATTTCGGGAATTTGATTCCCTTAATGCAAAGTCTGGGCATTATGACGTAGTAAGAACTCCATTGTGCTCCACAAAAGACTTGGGAGAAAAAAGCCCACTGGAACATCATCACAAGAGCAAATAAGCGGATTAGGGAAGAGTAAAACTTACCAAAATATAGGAAAGGCATCAATATCAATATTGAAGGGGTCACATGATTCCAAAATCTTATCTATTTCATATTTAAATGCATCCAAGAAAAGCCCCATGGAAAGCCCAGCCTTCCAATAATTAAACATGGTGATCAGCCTCCTGATTTTCTCAACCAAAGGGAAGGAACTCCTGTACATCAATGCCCCAATCCCCTCGACAACAACCACGGCGAGACCCGCCGAAAGGATGTCCCAGTCACCAGTCTGCCCTATGAGTGTGGCAAACGCAGTGGCACAGTAAAATCCAACCAGGAATAGGAAGACCTTCATGGGCCAGTCCTTCTTCAGTTTCTCAAACCGAGCACTTAGCTTCGTTCGGAAAGTCTGCAACTCTCTAACAAGTCGAGGCCCACCATCAGAGTCACTTCTCGTGGGATCTTCACTGCTGTCACCTGCCATGCTTCTAATCGACCACCTTGCATGCCTATTAGATTCAACGAGATCTTAATCAGTTTCTTGTCCAATGTTCTATGTAGTATTTGCCAAATTAATTCTAAATGTAGAAAGAACCCACCTCCTCGAGCTGTTGATGCAAAATATAAGCTTACGGAGAAAACCAAGCTGAGGAGGAAATCTCTGGCTGCTGTTGTGAGCCGTCTTGTGACCCATGCAGAGAGAGATTGATCTTGAATATCTCGAGGATGGAAGAATGAAACAATGCGAATAATTCTGTATGCTCGACATATTTATGGCAGCCACAGATCAACCTGATCGAATATAACTTTGATTATTACATAAGATAAGATTTCCGCTAATGTAGACAGTCATGAATGATCAACATCAATGCGTTAAGGTAATGGAGCATAAGATAAACCCTTGAGCATAGATCTTGCAATACATATTTATAAGCAGCAGGTTGTGAATAATGAACAGCAGTTTAGTAAGGAACTGGAGCTTCTTATTTCATAAGTACGAAGCATCTGGATCAAGAAAACATGGCGCATCACGTTGAGTATATATTTTGAAATAGAGATGATAAATAGCATTCATGAGAGACAAGTTTGTAATGCTGAGCAGCAATATATTAAGGTAACGGAACTGCTTACTACTAAGACAGAAAGCATTTGGGTAAAGACAACGCATTGAATCACAATGATGCATGTACGATGATATCCAGATGGCACATAATATTCGTCATTTTTCACAGGTCCGCATTCTAGCACTAAGAAATGTGTTCCTTCAGGAGAAGGGACAGTCACTGAAGTTAGCAGTCTATGGGTAATTGGAAGCTGCAAATCCCATACCCTACTTCTGTCAAAACCAGAAGCCTCCTTGATCGCCACTTTTCTAATTCGGACCACTTTCGCCATTACATCCAAAAGCTGATACATCATGGATTTCTCCCCCCCTCTCTCATCATTCCTTCATTTCTTTTACAAAATCCTTCAAAATCTACGCCAATATACCCGAAAAGCTTTGCCAGCTTGGAGTAATCTCCATGTAACTTTTGAATAGCAATCCACGAAAGAAGAAAAAAATCATTGATAAGGAACAAATATAAACCCTATTTATTTATTTATTTCCAGGTACAGTTTCTTAGGTGCCCTTTAATCGATGGAAGAAAGACGTCTCCAGGATACAGGCATTCATAGACATGAGGATACATGTCATTATAATCATCTGGTGTAGCTTCTGTCGGGAGCGGGGCGATATTTCTGATGCATTCCATGTCGAAGGTCGGATAAAAAAGCATTGGATTAAAATCTGAAAACAGCAGAGAGGCGAGAGGAAGTACCCAGATCTATACGTACTCTAGAAATGACATTAATTGCGTTGGGGGTGGGGGGGAGAGAAATGTCACCTTCTCACTAACGTCTCCAACCAAAAGGAAGGACTCCTCAACGACTACTTATTCCGCGAGAAAGCTAGGGCACCTGCCTCCCCTGGATTCCTGATTGGCACTCTCGCACTCAGTCGAAGATAGAGGACGGACGACTAAAGTGGAGAGAGAGGAGAACAAGGACCCAAAATCTGTGTGCCGTCCGTGATAAAGAAGATGAGCTTTCTCACGCCACCCGTCGACGGATGAGCGCAGAGGAGCTAGTCGCCGTGCGGTGATGACGACGCTGGTCTGCCCTAGTCGGAGCCACCGCCAACGGGAGGAACCGCATCAGTTGCAGCAGAGTGAGAAAGATAAGAGCAAGTAGCGTTGGCTTTCCGCCGCCGCGTCGCTTGGCCCCATTACGGAGTAGCGGCGGCGGGTTTCCGCCGGAGCAAGGTTGATCGGATTAGGCTTCCCCCCACCCGCTCAGGTACTGACTGCAGAGTCTACCGCTCATTTACTAAACGTAGAAATGCATTGGGAATGGAATTTGTAAAGAACAACCCATATTTAAAATAATTTTAAACTGACCTACTGTAATTTATTCTAGGATCTCTCTCAAACTCCAGTCTTACACGCATGACCAAGGTGACTCGAACTATAAAAATACCCTTCTTTCTTTTTATATTTACGTAAAAAAATGCCTAAACAATAAAATTATTATTAATTAACGACGTCAATCACTAAGACGTAACGATAGCGACCGTTTTGGAGACACGTTCAATGGCGAGGATTCATACAATTCCACGAATAATTTCTTTATAATATTATTTTGAACGTATTTTTTTTAAGAATTATCAAAATATGTTATTAGTTGAAAGAAAGCTTGGAAAGCCAAATTCCCCGAGTTTTCTATGGGTCTGGCTTATTTTATTCCATTATATATTATTTATTTATTGCGAAAATATGCAGTGATTTATCGTTTATATTGATTTTCTTCTTTGAAGTGACGTGATGCGTGGGAACTTAACCGGATCTTGTACCCGTTTATACGGATCTCGTGCACCGACACGAGGAGTGTGGGCTATCTATCTGCTCCAGTTGTATTCCGTTTCCAATCCGGACCGTCCGTGTGATCACGAGGCCACCGCTTTGGCTGTTCCTGCGGAAGACTACGTCGCCATCAGGGGTGCACCCTCATCGGACGGCGAGGGGTGGGGACAGGGGGAGGGGTCAAAGTCGCGCGTTCCGGGAATAAATAAATTAACATAAATGACACCATCATATGAGCGTAGGCAGTTCATCTCTGAAAGCCATACGTATAGCTACGTACGTTGCCAGACTCGGAGAGCGAGGGAAAATTTGGGGGGGTCTTACGTGGCATCGTGCAAAGCGACATACTGCCAATCCTACACGGCATGTTCATCCTACGTGTTTTAGTGACGTGGCGGTTGCCTGCTACCTTGGCCCACCTCTTTTTCGTTAATGTAGGCAGTCGCCTTTCCTCCCTCCCATCTGTGCGTCCTCCTACGACCAGTTCCTCCCCTTTCCTCCGTCTCCTCCCGGATCGGGGCGTCGGTCGGAGGAGAGAAACCGGAGGCAGCGGTGGGGGCGAGAGCCGTGGGGACGAGTGCGTGAGACGAGGGGGTTGAGGAGCGGAGAAGATGTGGGTGTTCTACCTTATATCGCTGCCCCTTACGTTGGGGATGGTGATGGTGACTCTGCGGTACTTCGCAGGGCCGGATGTTCCCAAATACGTGCTCTTCTCCGTCGGATACGCGTGGTTCTGCTCCCTCTCTATCATCATCCTCGTCCCCGCGGACATCTGGACGGTGTGATCTCTCGCCTGCCTCTCCACCCTTTTCCTCCCACTTGCATGGCGCGGCCCATATTGTCTTTCTTCATCTGTTTGCACGAGTTATATGCTAATTCGGCCTTTTTCCCCCCCGAGAGCATATTATACGATCCCACTTGGACTGGTGTTTCCTGGTTCTTTCTCCTGCATTGTTGGTTCGATTTCTTCTTTTTTTGTGGTGATCTGATTGTTGCGCCTTCTGACCTCTTAGTTGGATCCTTTGAGTCATAAATTTGCGTGAAATGGGTTTGACTTATGGCTGTTGGTTGCTTGTACGTAGTTAGGCACTCATAAAACATAACCTGATTACGAGAGAGGTGAAATTTCGAAATAATCAATGAAAGAACTGAAAAGGGAAGAAGAATTGGGACGAGATCTTATGGTTTCGTCGGTTTCTTGCATTTACTATTTGGCCATGATTTGGCATAAAAATGGGATGATAGTTGAAAATGACGTGCAGAATTCAAGCTGGCGTAGCGTATGAGATGGGATGAAAAATATGTTACGAGATATTATTGGATTGGCATATCTTCTCTTGCGGCATGGTTCCAATTATAGGGCAGAATAAATGCAGGAAGAGCGGACTTCATATATAATTTATTATCTATGATTTGGGGAAATCTGACGGAAAATTCAAGTTGTGTACATTTATATTTTGACATGGTCACACATTTTGACATGCAATCATTGGTTTAAGATATTGGACGACTTGGCTGGCGGGCAAAAAAAATCTCCTTGTGAAAGAAATAGGACCTAAATATTGATAGAATTTGATGCTATTGTAAAAAGTGGTTACTCGGTTGACATGGTAAAAGAAAAGAACTGAAAGTCTGCTAAAACCAGAATTTAATGAGAAGCAACACTGGATGAATGTATCCGAATGCAAATTGAGACAAATGACAATGGAGTATTTGACCTGAGGGATGGCTCTAGAATCAACTATTCTTTTTTTTTCTTTTCATGTTTCTATCCCCTGGAAACCCTCCAAAATTTTCAAAATTTTCGACTATAAGCCATAATATCTGTCTGATTTCTGCTGCTTTTATTTTTTAAAGATGTTTTTCTTTTTTACGACTGATCCTGTGTTTCGTCTACATTGACAAAAGTTGTTTTCTCTGGCATGCTACATACAAGTGGGAATTTTGAGCTCATCTAGATGTCCATATTTTTGGTTCTGTGCTTAGATCATTGCAGCAATTCCGTTTTGAGAACATGTTTTACATGTGGGATCCTGAATTGATAAAAGAAAACATTGAAATGAGAAGTGGGAAGGATGATAAGGATCCCAAATTAAGGGGATTACCCCCACTGATTTATGATGTAGGAAAGCTGTATCAGCTGCAGTGTCTTGTTATAGCTACAGCTATTATTACTGTTTCGTGTTGCATTACAGCCAACTGCAACTGCTGGTCGTAGTGCCAGACAACTGAAGGGAAAATGTGTGCAGAAATTATTATCAGAGTTGGTGTTCATTACTATAGATACGTCAATGTCCCACGTTTTCAATGCATATATGCCCATTTTGACACATGATGTGAGAGGATGATGACATAATATACCTTATTTACTATGCAACTATAATTCCAAGGACCTGAGCAACGTTTTCCTTGATACAGCTATGCATTCCCAAAGTTCACGAAAGATACGACCAGTCTGGTATCCATTATCATTTTCGACATTTTTTCGCATGTATGTAGTCTTGGTATGGTATATTATCTATGTGAAGATGTTCATCTTAGTGCCTTACCCCTCTGCCTTACCACCGTCTGCAGCTTACTTTGTGATTTAGGTTTTGAAAAACTTTTCCACCAAATTGAAGATGAATCCATTATTGGGTTCATCTCCACATTATTCTGTCTTTTGTGTCGTGATGAATCCATTATTGGGTTAAAACGTGGAACAAGTTTCTGCGCTCTTGCATGTGAGCATCTATGGAACGTTCTATTAAATTGAAGATACTATCATGCTCCTTTAAAAACCCTTGGTATGGTAACATCTCATTATAGATGTTAGAAAGTCCCATATTTGTTACTACAAGGGAAAACTTTGATTTGCTCTACTAGTTACTATTTGGTTTTGAGTTGGGTGGCCTAATAATTCTAACATAGTTTTAAAGATGATGGCTGCTCTTAGCTTTCTTGCACTCCTTTTATCTCATCTTTGTGGCAAAGCCCGAAAGTCGAATGTCACAGGCCTATTTGTTATAATTAAAGAAGTACACTGATAAAGATTGCAAAATGTCACAGGCCCCACTTTTTGTTTTTTTTTCTTTTCTCATCTCCCTCCCATATTTATTTAATTAATATTTTTTTTGGAAAGGTAATTGCTTCACACATTCATTCAATAACAAAATAGAGGGAGGATATACGTGTGATTCATGTCATATTCCATTATCAGCTTAATGATGCAGTTATTTGAGCCACAAAATGGTTCTTTTGATCCATTTGGCTTTTTCTTTTAGGGAGTATATATTCTATCCGATCTGTATATTTTTAATTTTTTTTGTCCTTAATTGTGTAACAGACAATTATTGGTCATGATGAGGGAGCCATTGCTTTCTTTTGGAGCTGGTCATACTGGAGTACTTTCGCACTTACATGGTATGCCTGGTTTCTCTCTGTGGTAAATTATTTTTATTTCTCTTCCTCTGGTATGCGCTTTCTTAACTCATGTAACAAGTCAACTCTTCGAATCTGATTACAACTTTAGTATTCACGGTCAACTAGGCTGTCAGACGTGCCTGAAAGTGCGATACGCATTATCAAGGTGTCCTGTAACATATAATTGCACGGGTCTGTCAGAATTTCTATGAACCTCGTACAAATGTTTTGAGCCATATAACCCCCCATCTCATATGAACAGAGATATGACATGAGTTAGATGAATGTGGAAAATTTTGGCTGCTTTGGCAATTTATTATATGTGCTTTTCGAACGTTTCAAGGGATTAAAGACGAAGATGGAAAACACTGCCGCAACTTCTTGATTATCCAGATGTTAGTGGTGGCAATGGAGATCTCATCAGGTGGCAACCATAGTTTGCTCTGTTGTCTCATGGCATCGCAGTGGATAGGAAATGACCATATAGATGACGATGAAGAGGAAAGATGTGCCGTCTGAAACGGAAGAAGATGTGAAGGGAAATTCCTAATGAGCACGTTTAGATGCTAGTGATTGTATGCTTACCATGATTGTCTCATGAAACTAGGTGATCCTTAAGCTAAGTTCAGGTTTCTGTCATCTGCTTTGCTAGATCCTCCTAGCATAGCTTCAAAATCAAATGAATTCCACATGGTGTCTTTCATCTAGAGCTCATCTTCTTCCAGTCTAAACATGCATTATTTTTTTTACTTAAATTGAGCTTCTCCAGCCACCTATATTCATCTATATCCAATCTCGTATTCCCACTCTCTAGGAATATACAATATATTGATGCAATTATGCTGTCAGATCCTCTGAACATTGCACTAGATCCTCTGAAATGGTTTACTAATTCTATTTATATGACGCATGATCCCTCTGAAGATAAAGAAGCCCTTTCTTCTGAGTTTTCTTTTTCTCCCCAGAGCTTTCAGGTTGCCATAGCCAATGCAGCTTCAGTTCATTTCTGCTTGTCTTGTGTTTTTTTTATTGAAGGATAGTTAAGTACCTTACAGTGATTCATAAAGTTGCTGAAGTAAATGATGTCGGCTGTTTTAACTTAAAACGTTTATTCTTCCTGTAGGGCTGTGGTTCCAACTATTCAGTGTTATGAAGATGCTGGCGATTTCACTGTGACTGAAAGACTGAAAACAAGCATTAGGGCCAACTTGATATTTTATCTGAGCGTGGGATCAATCGGCCTTTTTGGTCTTTTTCTACTTATTATTATGCGTAGAGACTTGTAAGCCTCTCAACTGTTTATTTTTTAATTTTAAGTATCATGTTTTGATCTCAAAAATAGCATTTTTTTAATTGGTTCTCGTGTATGATGTATGAAGGGCTACATGCAACGATATCCCTGGGAACTGAATTTTCTTTGCGTCCGGATCACTATTTCATGCTTGCTAGTCAAATATCCTAGCACAGATTACAGAGTTTTCCCTATTTTTACATCATCACCGACCGCTTCTATATATCAAATATAAGAGACTAGTAAAATGAATAATTTTGCCTGTGAAACTTCGATGGTACGAAATTCAGGAAGCACCTCAACTTTAGAAAACCCGTACTCTAACCATTTAATCTGAAAGTGGATGGTCGAAATGTGAATGGGGATCTGGACAGACATCGAATACTATTCTAGTCACATGTAATTTTTTAGCTCCAATTTACAACAGACATATTAGCTTGGATTCTGCTTAGCTCTGAAGTTGTATTGGATGCAGCAGGGATGAAGATCTTTGCCAACCAAGCGTTACCTTTTGCTTGCCCTTTTTGTACTCCAATGAGCAAACCACAGAAAAACGAGGAACGTCATTCGCTATATGTGACTAAAGCCAAGTATATTATTACAAGTGAATATAATATGTTCCGACTGAGCCAGCTAGTTTTCAGTAACGTTTTTGTGGCATATTATATTTAAACTACTTTTTAGTAAAACAATTGCGATTTGCGAGCATGATTCATATCTTTTTTTATGCCAGTGGGATTCATTTTTCTCTTTTATTTGAATTACTTATCAATCAAGGAAAGAATTCTGTGAAATTTTCAAATTAATTATAGTTTGATGTTATACACTTAATGGTTCCTAGTTTCAGCATCAAAAGTTTGAGGTCTTATTTATCCTCTGGAGAAATCAGTGACTAGTCGGTATCTGCGAGAAAGTGGTATCTTCAGAAACCTTTCCCTACCTGCCACCGGCATTCACCAGAAAATTTGCATAACCAATTGGAGGTGCAATAAGTTAACATGAAAGTTTCTGATTGGATCCATGAAACTGTCCTGTGAAGCCTTAGGTTGACACCGAATAGCTGAAAGGAGGCTTTTTGATACGTGTATATGCCGCTGTTTTTTGTTTACATTAGTCATTCTGATTTTTTTTGTCCTGACTCTTGTTTGCAGGAGTGGAGGTATTATGGGCTTGGCAATGGCTTGCTCGAATACCTTTGGTCTTGTGACGGGTGCATTTCTTCTTGGCTTCGGTTTGAGCGAAATTCCAAAGAGTATATGGAAGAATGCCGATTGGAGTAACCGCCAAAAAGTTCTGTCTCATAGAGTTGCTAAAATGGCGGTAAACCTTGATGATGCTCACCAAGAATTTTCAAATGCCATTGTGGTAACTTTCTTTCCCATCTGATCCATATGTAATGAAGGCTTGTTATTTTATCAGTCTTAGTGGACGCGCCGGGTTTATTTTGCTAGTATTCTTAAGAGACTTAATCTGCTCTCTTTTATTCAGTGCATGTACCTTAGAATGATAAATTAAATTTCCGTTTAAAAAAAAAAATTGTTTATTGGGTTTGGTTCTAACTGTCTTCTGAATATCAGAAAATTTTCTCTTGTTTTATAAAGCGATGTGGTCTAATAGAGTTATCCCTTTCTGAATATCAGAAAAATCTCTCTTTTTATATATCTTAACATGTGGACTTTTAAATCTTTTCAAATATCTCGTTCGCTTTGATAAGCATATTCTCATTAGACTGCCGTTTTGTTGTTTCTAAAATATTTGATATTTGTCATTACTATTAGGTTGCACAGGCAACATCAAATCAGATGACCAAGCGCGACCCAATGAGGCCATACATGGATGTTATTGACAACATGTTGCGTCAAATGGTACTTCTATCTCTTATTTAATAGGTTCTATGCTCCCTCTATATAAAATAATACGATTTTTGTTCTTAAAGACAATTACCATGTTTTCCATTCTTCTATTCAGTTACGAGAAGATCCATCTTTCAAACCATCAGGAGGGAGACTGGGGGAAAATGATATGGACTATGACACAGATGAAAAGTCGATGGCAACCCTCCGTCGCCAACTTCGGAGAGCTCGAGAGGAGTATTACCGCTATAAGAGGTCTGGTTTTCTGGTTCAGATTAAGTTTCTTTGTGGATTGTCATTCTTTATTAATGAGACATAAAATAGTAGTCGAAGCCAATCGTTCTAGTAATGAGAATTCATCCTAGGTGTTATATGCTTTTCTATGCGGGAGCTATTTTGTTTGACAGCAACATCTAGCATTATATGATGATCCTCTTGCGATTTTCCATTTGGAAGCTAAGATTATCTAGGATTTTGCAGCGCGTATATGACCTACGTCACAGAGGCTCTTGAATTGGAGGACACTATAAAGAACTATGAACGTCGAGACTCAACTGGATGGTCTGCTCCTCAAGCCTTCTGTTTGTTGCCATGCATACTTCACCTGTTATGAGTCATCGACCATTTTATCATTATAGCTGCAAGAATTAATCTGCCACTTGTTTGCTCTTAGAAGCTATGCCTGTGACATTATCAGTAGTTTAAAAGCAATATCTGCTTTAGTACTAAGTAACGAGGGCATATTAAATTGCTTGGATAGCTGAGGGAAATACAAAAAAGGGAGATTACCATGGAATAATTTAACTCATTAGTTCTGGCAGATTTATTCTCTGAGACTGAGTTCTCTGAAAAACTGTATATAACCGAGCAACGGGGTGTTCTGTTGTTTATTCCCTTGCAAAATTTTCTATTTCACATATTTCTGGCTGGGTTTGGGATCAGCTGAGGTGCTAATAGTCCTATGTTTCTCAATTCCTCCTTGGTATGGATCTAGTTTGTCAATAAGAAAAACTGTCCCTTTCCAAGAAATTGTTAACTCCATATCACATGAGACTCAGTGGCAGATACGCTTTACATTTCGTGACCACAGTTTTGGTTCTATGTGCAAGGTTAAAAATTCACAAAAAAAAGAGCAAAATATGTACATGGATATTTTTTTTGTTTTGTATGAGTAGCATCTGCGTTCTACTCCATAACCATGTCTGATTTTTTTCTCAGGAAATATGTCTCAAGTTTCAGACCTACTCGGACTGGGTCGTTAGGAAGCTTTCTTGACACAGTAGGTAAGTCTCTGTCCGACACAAATTGATAATTCGGAATGTTCTTGATTTTGTATTTAAATTTTGTCCCAGTACCCAAAGCGTTACTTTCTACCGCATGAGGAAATAATAAATTGCACTCTCTATCTTCTTCATTTCTTATCTTCTCGCATTGCACTCTTTATCTTCTTCATTTCTTATTTTTTGGCTTGGTCAATTCTGCAGAATTGGTTTGGCGCTGCATCCTAAGAAAGCAGGTCGAGAAAATTCTGGCAGTCACACTTGGTTGCATGTCAGCTGCTATTCTTTTGGCTGAGGCTACTTTGCTTCCTAGTGGAGTTGATTTATCACTTTTCTCTATCCTGATAAATGCTGTTAATAAGCGGGAGATGCTTGTACAGGTAAATATTTATGATCCTATGTCAATCAGAGATTAGCATTCAATGACCATGAATTATGCTCTAATTTTGGCATATTATCGAAAATTTACCTACACCAGAGTATTTTTCCTAAATTCAATGTAGATTAATGAAGTCACACAAAGTCTTTTTTGAGTTGGATCACCTAGTCACATAGGAGATGCTCTGAATTGTACTTGCCATACGAAGTTGTTATTTCCTATATGTTCTAATCATATTAGGTACAGTCACTGTGGTAGGTCTGTTGAAAACTATGGAACGCTCTTGTGCGGCCATGCACCAACACCAACTATGAACTTACAAAACCGAGCATACCCCACCTATATTTTCCAAGTGGCCATGCATATAGTTAAATTTGAAAATATATTAATTAGTTAATTAATATTATGAAAAAACAAACTTTTCAATGATTAATCAATGTTATAAATAATTATTGTACGTTTAGTCATTCATTTAAACACAATTTATATTTTTACATCTCCATGTATTATCTTTTACATTTATTAGATCATTTTAAATAATTTCAGTTTTTCTAGAAGGTCATTGCCTGGCACCTCGCCTTGTCTCTTTAGGATAGGAATGGGACAGATCACTGTTATGGTCGCCTCAAAATGTTTTCATATGCATGGATACAACGAGTTCGTTGCTAGCTAGAAACTACTATCAAACTCAGGACATGTTTAGTTCGTGGGATAAGCATTAGAGACAACTCTTGTTTCATCATGGCCTGTGATTCACAGGTCAAAAGGTATTATGGGGTTGGCCTTCAGGAGCTTTCCACATTTTTGTTATTATGACTTCCAAAAGTTTCCCTAGTTTTCATTGAATTTGCAGAAGAAAAATAAAAAAAGATGTACTTATATATTATCAGCTCTGATGGCATAAAATTCTACTTCTATGATTAAAAATGAAACAAGCATGGCATATGTGATGAGTATTGTTAATTGTCCTAACCTTTTGGGCGCTTTTTCCTTTGTCATTGTCACCACACCTCGTAATTTGAAGCATAACATGGTCACAACTATGTTAGAGTGGCATGAAGATCATAAGATCTCTGTTGCAGTTCCAAAATATTAAAAATATAGCTCTGAAAACCTCTGAGAAATGACTGCTGATAGTGCCGAAGAACGTGCTTTGAGGATTGTGAATTTTCAATGAATAATGGCATGGCTGGCATAAATCCCTAGGAACATCAGACATCTGATGTCCCTAAATATGCATGATTCCAGTCATGCCTTGTGCGTTCATCTTTAAGCCTTGAATTTGTGAGGAGGGCAATACTGTAAAATCAATTCCTTACCTCTTATGATATTTTTATTTTGCTATTTTTATTTATAGAGATGTTTCATTAATGTGGAATATCTCTGGAGAAAGACTTGCCAGAAATGTACCATATCTGTTGTCCATGTTGCCCCCACTCTCCCAAAAAATGGCGATGGCCCATTCCCACCTAGAATGACAGTTCTTCTGGAGAACTGTTGAAGTGGGCAAGGGCTAAAAGGTTGCCAGCACTCTTCACCTGACTACAAAAACCTCAATCGTATATTTTTTATCTATAATTAATCATGATGTTGTTCTATATTCGGTGTTATTTTTAGTAAATCCCAAGGCATCCCCTTGAATCACACATCAAAAGGGTCTGATATTATTCTTGCTTATGCATTTCAGATCGCTGCATTTGTTCCGCTGATGTACATGTGTATCTGCACATACTATTCATTGTTCAAGGTAGGAATGCTAATGTTCTATTCATTGACACCGAAACAGACGAGCTCAGTGAGTTTGCTGATGATATGCTCGTAAGTTTCTCTTTCGATCACCTTATTTTCCAGCCAAATTCTTAGCGATTCAACTCTGATGATCGGCTATTAATCGAACATCTCTGCCAGAATGGTTGCACGATACGCGGCTCCTATTTCGTACAATTTCCTCAATCTCATCCGCCTCGGAGACGCCAAAACTATATTTGAGAAGGTAACAATAATAGTAAAAAGTCTCTGGACCTATGAAACAGTGAAGATTCATATGCTGGGTTGTTCTGATGCTTGGTTCTTCTACTTTTTTCTTTCTTTTTTTTTTATTTAATTTAATATAATTTAACAGAGGATGGGGAATATCGACGATGCCGTCCCCTTCTTTGGCCGTGGGTTTAACAAGATCTATCCACTCATCATGGTCATCTACACTCTGCTGGTGGCCAGCAACTTCTTCGGCCATGTGATCGAGTTCTTCGCAAAATGGAAAAGGTTTAAATTTCAGAGAGAACAGGACGATATGGACGGGTTTGATCCGTCCGGGGTCATCATCCTTCAGAAGGGTGAGGGTTTTTGGGTTTCTTTTCTCTCATTTCTTGATATTTTTCGGAATGTAGAACATCGTTCCTCACTAATACTTGTGAGATACGCCACCCTTTCAGAGAGGCTGTGGCTTGAACAGGGGCGCAAGGTCGGAGAACAGGTTATACCGCTGGCAAGAAACTTTAATGGAGCAAGTGATGTTGAATCTGCCAGCTTGCCCCCCCCGGTAAAGGTCAACCCTTCACCCCCCACCCCCCATATAATCTCATCTCATGGTAAACTATGGTGTTATATCTACATAGTTGGATAAAAATAATAGTAAGAATGCGAATATTTCTTCTCCAGGAGAAGGCTGCTGTTGAAATGAAAGTGGAAACCAGCTCTGCAAGGGAGAGCAGATGGGGCGGCCAAGCTGCTCCCGCCAAGGATGAGGACCGGCGGTATTCGGGCAAGTACTCCGCCGCCAGAGAGCACCCAGGCCGGCAGAAGCCGGGCCTGGCTTCGAAGGAAAAGCCCGTGTCGCCGGCCACGGTCTCTCTACTGGAAGGAGGGGGCGACTCCGAGAGGCCGTCGGCGGGCTTTCTTCCGGGCCCGGCGTCGGGGATAGCCTCCACTTGGGCGTCGATGAAGACCGGGCTGCAGAACTTCAGGGCCAACATGGGGACCAAGAAGTTCCTTCCTCTAAGCCACGTCCCAGAGGATGCCCAAGCCCATGTGCCCACCTCCTCCTCCTCCTCTGCGTCCTTGGATGAGATCTTTCAGAAGCTGAAGAAGCGGCCAAGCATGCACCGTGGAGTTACTCTTGATGATGACGAAGATGACGAGGAAGACGATGCAGAGAATGACTCAGGAGCAAGAAGATAGAGATAGGGGGGGAGGATCCAGTCAAGGTCAAACCCCCTCCTCTCCTCCTCCCAGCTTCTTCTTCTTCTTCTTGCCCTGTTATTCTTCACATCAATTGATTGACATCTCTAATGGAAGGCAGTTATTCTTTTGGCGTTTCTCGAGTGCCCACTGTGGCGGCAGTCTAGTCCATAGAAGAAGAAGAAGAAGAAGAAGAAGAAGAAATGGGTGCCTGTGGAGTTGGTGGCTATGGTGGTGGTGCTGCTGCTGTTCTTAACCATGAAAGTATCACCACAATGACTACAATCTGCATTTGCAGAATCACGACAAAACAAAGGTAAATATAACCCAAGAAGTTTTCCCTGTTCTGGGCTCCTCTCTCTCTCTCTCTCTCTCTCTCTCTCTCTCTCTCTCTCTCTCTCTCGATATATATAGAGTGGGGGCAAGTCTGCGCTGCGGCTAGTAGATTCGTTGGATATTCTTTTAGTTACTATAGATTCAATCGCGTAGCTTCTGGCCAATCCTCTGCCTAGAGAGAGAAAGGGAGAGAGATGGGTAGAGAACAGATGACGAGGAACCCCAACTTCTTCTTGCAAATTTAGGATTTTTAGCAGGTGGATGCGTTGTAGATCGAGCCTGATTATCTGCTATTTGCCAGCATCTGGTCATTTGATAATATGGAAGACTTTGAGGAGCGGACACTCGTCAAACACCACAACTTTCTCGGGATCTTCTTGTATACTACTGTATATACCTCTCTCTCTCTCTCTCTCTCTCTCTCTCTCTCTCTCTTCTTGTAAGGGGGGTTGGGTGGAAAAGCGCGGAGAGACAAGAGGGTATTTCTTCCCGGAATAGCAATGCGGGTGGACTCACGCTCCACACTGGAAAGTCTAGAGAGGGAGAGATTAGGAAGGCTGGTTGTCGCTGCGTTGGCCATCACTATCTCCGCTCCCCCCGACCCTCTCTCTCTCTCTCTCTCTCTCTCTATCCTCCTTACCCGTCTTTTTAACGTAGATTATGCATACTGTGTACGCCCCCTCCTTACTACTTGAGGAACTATTAGCTCTCTCTCTCTCTCTCGCTATCCTCTTTACCCGTCTTTTTAACGTATTTTGGAACTATTATCAGCTCTCTCTCTCTCTCTCACGTCGCTGCAAGGACAGGTCTTACTCCGCATGGTCAGAACGTGTCGGTTCCCCTTCCCGGGCGGCGCCACCAGTGGGTGCCCACGGTTTCCACACCCTCACCTCCCACCCATGGGAAGCGTGATCCATCTATGGCCGTTCTCGTCCTCCGCCTCACTCAGGTCTCTGAGGCCTCTCGCTCACTTCGGTAACCACATCCCTCGGAACGGCCACCCCGCTTCCCAGGCGATGTGACCAAAATGCCACGTCATTGTGGATAACGCTCGTTATGTCAACAATAAGGGTATTTCAGTCTTTCACCTCCCGAAGTATCCAATTCGTGACACGTTCCCGCATCCGGTGCTATAAGACGGCCACCGGCCCCCATCAGCAGTCATAGAGAGAGAGAGGGAAAAGAGAGAAGAGAGAGAAAGCATGGAGCAGCCGGGGACAGAGGCAGTGGAGCAGCGACGAGCGGCGGAGCAACAGCGGGGGACGAGGCTGAAGGTGATGGTGGCGGTGGACGAGAGCGACGGGAGCCTTTACGCGCTCTCATGGGCGCTCGACAACCTCTTTCCGCTGCCGCCGCCGGCGGAGGACGCCGGCGAGGTGGTGATCGTTCACGTTCAACAGCCCTTCCAGAACTACGTCTTCCCCGCTGGGCCAGGTATTATGTACCTACCCGCAACAGATCATCCACTTCTTCATCTCCTCCTCCGCCGCTCTGCCTTGCTAGGGTTTTTCGAGATCTGAATTAACTCGTCGGGATCCTCTCCAGCAGCTTTGTACGCCACAACGGCGGTGATGGACTCAGTGAGGAAGGTACAGCAGCAGAACGCCGAGGCGCTGCTCGCGAAGGTCTCCCACGTCTGCTCCGAGAAGCACACTACGGTGAGCACCTTCTCTCCCGGAAATCCTATTTAGGAAGGTGAATCATCTTGACGATCGACTGTGAAACCTGAAACCTTCGTGATTGAAATTGATCTCGGCTTGAAGAGGGAAAAAATAGAGTAAAGGTCGATGGATCGGATGAGATTTTTTCGGTCTGATACGAACATCTAAGCGTTTTCTTGGGTTATGAAATTACTCGATTCGAGGAGGATGAGAATTCTGAGACCCGATCTTAATGGAGCACCGTAGGTGAAGGTGAAGACCATGGTCATGGAAGGCGACCCCAAGGAGATGATCTGCCAAGCCGTCGAGCAAGTCCACCCCGACCTCCTCCTCGTCGGCAGCCGCGGCCTCGGCAAGCTCAAGAGGTTGCCCATCTCTCCCCAACTCTCCCTCTCTATCACTCTCTCTCTCTCTCTCTCTCTCGCTAAATCCATCAATGTGCTGTGGGTTGCAGGGCGTTTCTGGGGAGCGTGAGCGACTACTGTGCCCACCATGCGAAGTGCCCCATCCTGATTGTGAAGCCGCCACACAAGTGAGTGAGAGGGACGAGCTTTCGTCCTGTAGAGGTTGGGGTTGGGAGAGGGAGGAGCCCTCGTCCTTCCTGAGAATAAACTGGACCCCCCCAAGAAGAAGAAATTTCCCATTCGGTAGTCTGTTTTGGTCGTCACCTTCCTCCCACCTCCCTTCCTTTTCTGCCACTGAACTATAACAAGCAGCTCACTGCTCTCTCTCTCTCTCTCTATATCGGAAAGTGTTGGCCCACATGTTTAATAATTTCAGAACGGGCCGACCTATCGGGGGCTGGGCCGGACCCACTTTCCGGTCAGAGTTAAATAATAGAAGGGTATTGGGCCGGGCCCGTTTCGTCATCGAGCTCGATCACTCCCGGCCAGATTTCGCGGTCAAACCAGCGCATTAATGCTCATTTTTTGGTTCTTTAAATTTCTATACATATAAAACCTTTTTCCATTCTGTCTGGCGGTCTCACTTTTTCACGGGGCCCACCACAAACTCCTCCCGCACGTGCCTGCCGTTATTTAAATCACTACTAATGATCACACGGATGCGTTGACCTCAATAAATGTTATTGTAAAAAGACGGTGATAGGCCTCTAAGTCAACACGCCACGTCGGATTCTGTCCGCCCGAGGTCATCCGTGGACCGACAGCCCGTCCGGCGCACCTTTCCACGAATCCGTCTTAACTTTAATTATACCCTTTTAAGTGTTCAGATTTTTTTCCCACTCTCTTTAAAATAATAATCGTATTTGGACCGCTTTTATCTAAGACATGGTTTTTGGAGGGTTTTCTGTACATAAATCATGCCTTTCATAAGGTTTGAATGCAATTAAGCATCTGGTACGGGTGCTGAAATGCCATTAGGCTTAAAATTGACGGTTACGGCACCGGCAGCCAAGAATGATCCAGATCGGCTTGGCTTAACCGTTGGATCATAATCGCAGGGTAGTTGGACGGCGATGCACAGCCTGCATCTTCTGAATGGACCATCATAGCATTCCGTGCCCACGTGAACGAAACGCGGGTGGATGACGTCGGCGGTCGGCTGTCGTCGATGGCTTACATTAAATAGCCTCCTCCCCACCGCCAACTGTCCGATTCCATTACGCGCAAGGGTACCCACCGTTCAAACTGGGGAAAATAAGAAGTCAACGGAGCATTCCCGTTGGATCAGAATAATTCCGTTGATCTGGCGGAGCATTTACATGCATGGGGGACCATTAGACCAATGCTACACAGCAGACCCCCAACTCTGGTGTGGCCGGCTCGAGGGAGTGGCGGAAGGTCGATCGATGCCCCCTCCTCTCCCCGCCATGGTTGACTCCAGCGGCGGCACCGGCGGCGGGGGATCGGAATTATCCTCCGGCTTCTCCGGTTTCTCCGGCGGGAGCCAGCCGGCGGCGACGGCGTATCGGACATTCCGATCTTTGGTGGAGAGCGCGGACAGGAAGTTCGCAAGGGTGAGGGACTCGCCAGCGTACGCAAAGGAGAGGAATCCGCACTGCCGGAGGAAGGTGTTCAAGGCGTACACGAGGGTGTGGAGGTTCCAGCAGGAGCACAGGAGGGAGCTGGTGGAGGCGGGGCTGCGGCGGTGGGAGATCGGCGATGTGGCGTCCCGGATCGGGCAGCTCTATTACGCCCAGTACCTGCGGAATAGCGACGTGAGGTTCCTGGTCGAGGCGTACGTCTTCTACGAGGCCATACTCAGCAGAGGGTATTTCGAGAGGGGGAAAGAAGGGAGGGAGGTCGCAAGAGGAAAGCAGCAGCTTCTGTCGGATCTGGGAGTGAGATGCAAGGAGCTGAGATTTTACGCGCGATTCGTTCTCGTGGCGCTTCTGCTGAACCGGAGAGAACTGGTCTGGACGCTCGTAGAGAGGTTCAGAGCGCTAGTCGACCACTGTGGGGTTACGTTCCCGGTACGCCTCCTAAGCTTCAGTACCCCCGTGTCCGCCGCCTCCCCCTACAATTGCGTAGCCTTTTAGAGAAATTTGAGATATTCGATTTGTAAAATTCTTCAATTCTCTTACTGCTGATTTTTTTCCCCCCTATTTCCCGAAGAAAATCGACAATTCCATGGGATTCTTTTTTTCTTCGTTGCATTTGTGCTTCGGCTTCCTCCATGCCCTTTTGTTGTTTGCGTCACATTTTTTTGGATAAACTGGACTGAACTTTTAATGCTTAATCTCACTCTGGAGGGGACTAATTTTCTTCTCGCGCATCGTCTACTTTCATATCAGTGAATCTTTCTGATATGAAGAGCATGTTTTCCTTTGACATCGACTCTTTCATTGAATCTTTAGCTGGATCCTGCTGGAAGAAAATTGAACCTCTTTGTTCTGCACTGAGAATACCGAAACTGAAATGTATCTCCGAATTGAAAATCATGAGGGTGGTCAGCTAAACGCATTTTTGTTCATTGCTGATAGACGTAAGTACAGACGCTCCGAAAATGCTCCATCTGAATAACCAGATCTCTAGTGGACCCTGTTGTCGAGTCCTTCTGACGATTCAATTACGAGGGAGAAAGTTGCATGTATCAGTCGCTTTTGTATCGAATAACAGATATGTTGGCAATGGAGAAGAATGGAAGAAAGACTATGAGATACTGATCTTTTGATAATCGTAGATTTTTGCCAATTTATTTACGGTTGACCATACTTTCGCAATTTATCATGGGTCAATGTGTTGGTATGCATTGGTTGACGGATTGCAGATTGTAAATAACAAATTTTTAGTGGCTGAGATTGGCTTTTAATTGGTTGTTGATGTACTAGATGAAAAAACTGGGTATAAAGCAAAAGGGAGGGATGAAGAAGCTTTATAACTTCTGTGTTTTCTAACATCCAGCCAGTTGAAGCAGTTCGAACGAGGGAGAGGATGAGTCCATCTGGTAATGTGTATACTGTGATTCTAGAACTGCTCAATACCCAAGCAGATGGGTAATACATTTCGTGGTGTTTATGAAAGGGGCATAACCCACTGCAAGGGGAATCTCTAGTTGGAGGATGGAAGAGAACAGGTTGCAGGAGGTTGATGTTTTGATCGGAGAAATGCTTATTGGTAGATTGTGCGTTATGTGGCTCATAGGCGTGGAGTCTTCTCTCCAAATTTATATTTTTGGAATTTTTGTCTTGATTAATCCGTTGCGAAACCTTGTAGCAGCTGCTTTTCTCTTAATTATATTATTTTTCAATTTTAGGAGACAAATTTCAAGGAGTGGAGGCAAGTGCTACAAGATATTTCTAGGTTTCTAAAAGCTGACGCAGGCTTCACCACAAGCAGCAGGCCTTTGAGATGCACTCCTATGTTTGACTTCCACCCGTCCTCCAGCTCTCATATTGCTAGATTTCAGGCTAACAGGAGTTTGAGACTCCAGGAGGCGATTTTAACTAGCTACCATCGGAACGAGGTCCGTTGACTTTTAAAATGGTTTTTCGTTTTTTTTTCCCTGAAAAATAATTTTGATAAATTGACGGCAACTTCTTGTTGGTTGCATCTTCCATCCTCAGGTGAAGTTCTCAGAGCTCACTCTGGATACTTACAGAATGTCGCAGTGTCTGGAGTGGGAACTCGATGGATCCATTTATCAAACGAATGCAGGAGATTCTACTGATAATTCTTCATTTAATGACTACAGTGGAGCCTCTGGGGCCATCAAAATGAAATTTTCTTCGGATATGGCTGATCCAAGTCTGCCCCCAAATCCAAGAAAATCTATTCTTTACCGTCCATCTGTCTCACATCTGATTGCAGTAAGTATCGAGTTGCATCATCCTACGGCTTTTATTTCCAACCTTGTGACGATCTTTACATGCATTCCGCATAAAAGTCAGCACATTCCACCTACTTTTACTCCTTTGCTCGTCTATCTTGACGCAGATAATCAGAATTCTCTACTCTTTCACCAGATATCAGGCGTTAGTCCGTCCTCCTTCCGGATTAATGTGATATATGCTTTTGGGTTACTAAAATGTTAGGTCAAAACAGCTCTGGTTTGAACGGAAACCTGTGTGTTTGGGTTGTGTGAATCAGATCAGGCTTTCAAGATTCCGATCAATGAGATGCCTGAGGATCCTCAATCTTATAGGCACTTTGAAAATAAGAGAAGGGCAATATTTTTTCTATATTTTACCGCTTTTTAAGTTAATTAAAAAAAAAACTCTCTTCCTCCATTAAAGAACAAAAAGTGTCAAAATACTGCATTGAAACAAACTCCCTTTACTTTTTGCTGGACTATTTTTTTTTAAAAAAATAAATGTATGCAGGTGATTGCTGCTATCTGCGAAGAACTGTCACCGGACAGCATCATGCTGTTATATATATCTGCTTCAGGTTGTTGACTTTCTCCCCTTTCGCTCTCACCCAGCTCCTCCCTTTCCTCATATCTAGTCCCCCACGGTTCACTCATCTCCACCCTATTTAATGCAGGAAGAGTTGACCAGAGCGTTTCTTCCCAGAAATATAATCCTGGAGCTTCAAGGAACCCTTCAATAGCGAATGCTAGCCGCTATAAATCGGATAATCCATCATCTGACGACTCCCCCCGCAGCAAAGACCAGAGGGACACCTCTGCAAGCGGCCTCCTTCTTGGCTCTCAGGGAAAGAGAGGTTAGTATCCTCGTTCACCATGCCAGCATTCCCGTTGTCTAGAATAAAAATACAATATGTATATTGTATTGATATATTGATATATATATATATATATATTCCCATGTTTCATCCACTTATGTTACTGGTAATTTGTGTTCTTCAGGTTTGAACTGGCTGTATCCTTCTGATCTGATCCCCTTCACCCGGAGCCCACTTTTCCTCATCATCGACAGCGATAACAGTCATGCATTCAAGGCAGGTTTGTCAAAACTCTTTTGGATTCGCCCGATATTTTCTTGGAATGGAAACGTTGACTAAATACATCAGTTGACTTTCTATTGCTTGAAATGGAAATCGATGCCATTCTGAACCAAATTCGCTTTCTTTATTCCAATCCCTGTCCGCTCACTTCTGCATCTGGAATACCCACAGGCTTTGCATGGTTCGGACAGGGGAGAGCCCGCTGTGCTCCTTCTTTCCCCTCGGAGGTCAACGCCTGATGCTCAATTTGTCGCCAGTCCAACGACCAATCGAAGCCAGTTTACTCTCTTCCTAACCTCTCCTCTGCCAGCATTTTGCCAGCTGGTGGGCCTGTCAGACGTTGACCAAGTGGGTCCACCCCCGCACTTCGTTTGACCCTTTCCTCTGTGACGGCAGGTCAGCGTCGCTGACTATTCCGAGCTTCCTTGTTTAAAATTTTACAGGAGACCTGCGGCAATACGGAGGCCGTCCTCTCGGCCGCCCTGGCGAAGTGGGAGGTGATCCTCTGTTCATCAGTTCGCTTGAATCCGGTCTACGCCCGAGTTCTGCTGGATCCGTTTCTCCGGCGCCTGATCACCAGGTACCACGCCTAATGCTCGTGAGTTTGACTTTATGTTCTTGGGACTGATCTCCGTCCCCGTCGACGATTCATCTGCTCAAGGAATCCTCTCTACTTTCTGAGACGATCAAAAGAAACTAATTCAACGCCCCTACGTTCTTCGCAGGTTCATCTTCTGCCGATCCGCGCTATCTCTGTTCCGGCACGGAGGGAGCGGAGAGGGGGAGTACCTGCCGGAGTGCTCGCCGGAGCTCCCGGAGGCCGTCTCGCCGGAGTCGTCGGCGGTGCAGTCGGGGCTCCGGCAGGTGGCAGAGTGCCTCGGCGTCGCCGGCTGCTTCCGCTTTTCGGGGGAGGGATCTGCTCGGAGGAGAGAGTTGGTGTAAATTTCCGGTTGAGCTGTAGATAGCGATGCACACCCCCCCCCCCCCCCCCAATTTTTTGTTCACTGTCCGGCGATCATTGATCGCGCAGGCGCCAGGTGGTCGCTAGGGTTTTATTGAGGCCGAGAACCGCTCCTTCCCGCCTGTTGCTGCACCGCGACGTTAGCTCTCCGCCAGCGGCGGCGGCGGCGGGCCCAACTGGTTTACGACTGGTCGTCTGCGTGCTCTCTTTTCGTGCTCGTATTTGAGTGAATTCCCCCTGTTTATCCTCTCCCTTAATCGACGTCTCCTCCATCTTCAGAAGGAGAGAGAGAGATGGTTTTATTGGATGATTCTTCTTGGTAATTATCGTATAACGATTTGCAGTGTGAGAGAGAATAATTTATTGGACTTTTTTGGTAATTATGGTAAAACGATTTACAGTGAGAGAGAGAGAGGGAGCGAGCGAGAGAGATAGAGAGAGAGAATATTTGGATTTTTTCATTTGTTTGGATAATTATGGTATAGCAATTGAAGGATGGTTAACGATAATTTTGAAATCTTCCCCGCCAGAAAGCATTCTGAACTGGCCGGCGTGTCGATCCGCGTGAAGAGGCGTCATCCAATAGAAAGAAAGGAAGGATGACGTGGCGATCCTGTGGAGAGAGAATCACAGAGCCTAGCCGTCCATCTCGCCAGCGGGAAACACACTGCGGGGGGGGCTGGACGGTTGGATGGCCCCCATCTGGAAGCACACCCCGGAGAAATCTCAGCCGTTGGGAGGGAAACGAAGCTGTGTCGGCGACCAGGGGTGGAAGGCCTCAGGCACCTATAAATCGGGGACGTCCTCCAAACGGCTGTTACTTTCTGCCACCGGAGGAGGCTCAGGGGAGACGCAAGGATCTGAATCTTCTCGCGGAAGGAAGCCCGTGCCGGAGGAGGATCTTGTGGAGAGGGAAAGGTACGTCCGAGAAGGATGGATTTATAGAATATTTGTGCGATGGATCTATCTCTTTCTTTGGCCGTTTATTTCTGGATAGAGATGTGTCATTAGTCCGGATGATTGTGGGATTGTCCTGGATTCCTGTGTTGGTGGCGAGTTGAAGGTCGATGTTTCGGGGTGGGATCTAGGTTGATGTCGAATTGACGATGTTTGGTGATTCTGTGACTGGGGGGGGGGAGCCAACCAGGGCTTTGTGTTTCTAGGCGCAGTTCGTGTTTTTGGGGAGCCATGGTAGATCATACTCTGCCGCTGGCAGACGGAAAAAATGTTGGGTAAAGGTTTGTGCTGGTTTATCGTGCCGAATTCCGCGTGGTAGATATTCGCTTGCCTCATGTGTTTCATTCGGGGAAACATTTGGATTAGGTCACTCGGGGCACGATGGTAACATAGTTTGTCATTCTAGTGGTATTTGGGGCATAGATCGACATGCCTTGTTTGATTCCCTGGTATCCACATTTTAGCACAAACCTGGTAGGAGGAATCATTCTTGTGGTATACTAAATTGGTTAGCTTTTCGTAAATTATGCGTCTATGTTCTGAGGAGTATACCGGTCCTGCGATGTCTTCCCTTTCACGAGCCTTATCGGGGGGGAAATCTCATCCTGCAGATGGCTCGTACTAAGCAGACTGCTCGCAAATCCACCGGAGGAAAGGCACCCAGGAAGCAGCTCGCTACCAAGGCAGCTCGCAAGTCTGCACCCACCACCGGAGGTGTCAAGAAGCCTCACCGTTACCGCCCTGGAACTGTTGCTCTCCGGTCCGTACGTCGCCGTCATCCTTTCGATTTCACGATTTCTATGAGCGTAATTGCTTTTTTTATCTTTGCAATGCATCTCTCACCCATGGATTGCCACTGACTATCACTTTATCCTCTTTGATGTTCTTGACAGTGAAATTCGTAAGTACCAGAAGAGCACCGAGCTTCTGATCAGAAAGCTCCCCTTCCAAAGGCTTGTTCGTGAGATTGCCCAGGACTTCAAGGTTAGTTTGGGAGAGAAATAGATATGAATCTTTCCATCTGTTGGAATGATCCCCGAATCTGATCCTTGTCCTCGAATGGCAGACAGATCTGAGGTTCCAGAGCCACGCAGTCCTTGCCCTCCAGGAGGCAGCCGAGGCCTACCTCGTCGGTCTCTTCGAGGACACCAACCTGTGCGCCATCCACGCCAAGCGCGTCACCATCATGCCGAAGGACATCCAGCTGGCTCGGAGGATCCGAGGGGAGAGGGCCTAGAAAGGGGAAATCCCTCCCCGCCATAGCGTGGGCGGACGGCAACGTCGCTGTGGCAATCATCGTTACACCCCCTCCCTTTTCTCAGCAAATTTCGGTTCTTTCTGATTCGGGAGGAAGCCTAGCTGGCTCGGCTGCTGTCACTAAGTTAATGTGCCTGTTTAGTAGTTAATTGGGTAGTGTTTCCTTTCCCAGGACGACGACGACTCCTCTCCTCCCCTCCCCCTCCCGGAGTCGGTTCCTTGCATAGTATCTTAATGTGGAAGTTTATGCGATGTTACAGAACCTCATTCTTCTCAATCTGTGTGCTCTCTCTTGGATCTTGTTCAATCTGGTACCAGAATGGAATCTGTGATCCATCGTCTTGCTGGCCCTGGGAATCCACCGTCGGAGTCCTTACTGAAGCGAGCAACTCGATTCGTCAAACTCAGTTGTAATGATTTCTCGTCGCGATTCTTATTGATATAGCCGTTAATGACCCAAAGTCAAACGCCTACGCAGTCAAATCAACAAGAGGGCTTAGCACTGTGTCGGCGTTGTTCTTAGTATCTTGCCGGGATAGGGGATAAAAAAGAGGAGAGAGGGTTCGAGCAGAGGCCCCGTGCTGCCGGGCCGAGTCAAAATTTTTATTGAGTAGAGAGATGTTGATCTGGCCTGGGAAGCCCGTTGACTTAAAAGCCGCCTACAGGGGGCCCGGGAATGTGCCGTTCTCCCTCTGCTCGTTCCACCGTTCCACCTGCAAGAGAGGGCGAGAGTTGGTCAGATCCCGCCGGGACATATCAGACCGTTGACTGAAATGTTGTCCTTCAACCTGCTTGCATCACGAGCATAAAAAGTGTACATGAATATATTTGTCCAACCCCGAAATCTATATATGATGCCTTGAAAATCTCAGTCAGGAAAGAAGCATGGGAATGTGAGAATTTTCCCTTTTATAGAAAAAAAAAGGTTGAAATGGCAGGCATAATATATAATCCTGGCTGCATTTGATGTGACGGGATGGGATGTTCTTCGCATTCGCCTCTTTCTTGATGCCCAACAAAACAAAGCAAAAAGTCAACGTTACTCATGAGAGCAATTACCCATTGATCATGTTGTCCATGGTGGCAAGAACAAGGGATTTAAATGGAGGCCATGATTGCCTGCTCTAGATAACTTTGAATCTGCTTTGGGGATTTATAGCATGAGAAGACTGTGCCCACATCTAGTTTACCCCAGCAAATACCCGCAGACATGATAATCTCTTAGCAAGTTTAGATCTCATTACCTAATATCCCTCGCCTATTCTCAATTAATGTGATGGCCATGGAAGCATTCGGTGAAATAAATAACTATTCGATAGTTGAAACCATATCATATGTCCACCCAAATGATCTAAATATGTCCGTGCACTTTGTGAGGAAAATAATAGCGATGGTGATTAAATGAGCTTGAATCTACGTCCACAGGGGCATCCAAATCTTGGACATGAGGAGAAGGCTACTAAATTTCTGAACTTATATTGCCATGGATCTTGCAATCTTCTGTACTTATTCACAAGCCCTGTCTTATCATCGCCGCATTGGAAAATGGAAATACCATGTTCATGGGCTAAAGATGCCTGGAGAAAAAGAAAAGAGTAATTCAACAAGTCACAATAACTCCAAGAAACATGTTCAGCTGTGATCTTGAACAGAAGACCTCCGAGAATTTTTCTGCGAGCATTAATTCTATTGGCATCAAACTTCAAGAACTACTAAAAAAGCAATGGCCGATATGTACGTGGCATCTTTGCATTTATGTAAAGATGCATAAATGCCCAATATGTATGTGGCAGCAATACCCAATATGTATATCTTTGCATTCAATTATCGTGGCATCTTAGAAAGAAGGGCACACAAATGAGTCAAAGGCCATTTTGCGAGATTAAAATAACAAGTTCGGCTTGAGAAAAAAGATAGGCGGAAAATAAAATAACAAGTCAACGGGTATCACGATCTTGTTTGAATGAAAAGATTTAAGGTCGGAGAGATGATATTAGAGAACGTACCCATTCACTAGGACAGAGTGAACGATAATACTTTGCGAATTTATCACACTCAGGCGCGCCTTCACCTTTTGCATTTATGCACCTAAATTAACACATAAGCGTCAATCACAACGTTTGCCTTGTTATGGAAGAGATTAGGGGAGACGACGACATGATCAGGACATGCGAGCAATATTAACTACTGTTTTGAAGCTGGACAAAGTTCACAAATCTACAGTTAGTTCTACCTGTGATATTCAATATAGCGAGTAAAGCAATGCCTCGTCTGGTTTGTCGTTGGGAAACGGAAGTCTGCAGGTGCTGTCTCAAGCTGAAATAAAAATAAAGATATTTCGTCAGCATGTTTTTCAATGGCTCTCTAAAGCTATTATGGTCAACGTTTAGAAAACTGGTCTCTTTTAAAATGATACCTTGACAACTGGGGTCTCTTCAGATGCTTCTTCCTCTAGTGATTCTGGCTCGGTAGCTTCAGTGGTCTCCTCTGCAGCAGGTGTTTCGTCACTTTGCTCTGTCACTGCTTCCTCAGGTGAAGCATCATTCTCTGCAACAGGGGAATTTTCAACCTCCGTTGTCTCATTTGGCTTCGGATCCTCTGCTGCCTCTCTCAGGTCAACATCTTCGACTGTTCCTTCAGGGATCACACTCTTATCCGCATTCTCTTCAGCTTGCAGTGACCATTGCTGCACAATAACGTATGCTGATTAAATTAAATCATCAAGAAGATTCAGCATTGAAACTGCAAAATCTGTTCATGGTTCTGCTACCGACACATTCAAAGCTGGAATAGGAAATAATGATAATGAAGAAGCTTGAGTAAACCATGACAATAGAAAGGAACAGAAGCACAGAGGTCAACACAACACAGAAGCTAGGAAAACTGATGGCTCACAACTACAAAAGAAATCAAAAAGAAAAAAATACATTAAAAAATTGGTAATCATTGATAATCCGGTTTAAAAGGGAATTATTCATATAAATATTTCAATGGGTAAATAGTAGGCAGCGCTGGTCAGATCGTTGGTCCAGGGTAAGGCTTTGATTTACCTTGACAAGGTGTATATTATCTTCGAATTATTGGTATCCATTCTATCAGAAAATTACACCTTGATCAGCTATAGAAATTGGCAAGAAACCGTAAATTACGTGAATAAACTAATCCCCGACATTCAACCTATCTTTAAACTCTTGAATTATTTCACGCTTTTTTCTACCATCGAGTAGAACTCGTTATATAGTCGCATCCCCTTAATGCTGGTGAAGTTCAAGTCAACCACCAAGAGGTCTTCTCCTGAAAGATATCTATATTCTTTCTAATTCATGACCTTGCACCACATCTGTGATGTGTGGGGAACTGTTGAACATGAAACCAGTGTTGGTAATCATAAAACCAAATGTAGGAGAGAAATATGTAATCCTCACACAATGCCATATGAAAAATCCCACTTCAATCCACAGATGCTTCGAAGTTCCCGCATGTTTGTCAAGCTCATGTTTCAATAAAAACCTCTCATTGACGGTATTTGAAGAAGTAAGCCACCAACAATCCTAAGAGTTTCTCTCACATCATCGCTCTATTTACTTTGTAGAGCATAAGACCACACTCTTACTTAGCAGGCCCATCAGCCCTATAAAACAGCACGGCCTCCGATTTTTACAGCCTTCGTTATAATATCCTTGACATCTTTATCTACCATGAGGACCACGTTGATTCTGTGCCCCTTTTCACTGGCATAATTTGCTCATTTGCCAAATCTCACATTCGCAGTCAAATTTCCTCATTTATTGGTTTTCTACGCAGACACTGAAACTCTTCCAAATATCTGAAGTAATTAACCTCTCTCTCTCTCTCTCTCTCTCTCTCTCTCTCTCTCTCTCTCTCTCTCTCTCTCTCTCTCTCTCTCTCTCTCTCTCTCTCTCTCTCTCTTTCTCTCTTAAGCAGATAGCAGATAACACCCTAGATGTAGAACTGTGCCCATAGTTGGTGTACTTAACACCTAGGTGATCTATTTGACTCAAACGATGTCCTTCCAAACCTGTGATACCACAATCAATTATGATGATATACAATACATACCAAATAAAATAAAAGCATTGGTCGTATTTCTTGTGAACCCATCTGCTTCAAAAACAAAGAAAAACAACTAAACTACCAAATAAAGTGGGTAGCATCAAATGTCACTAGTAGTCACAACATTTGAGATGTCGAAATGATATAATAAATTCGCATTGTTTCATTGGAAGAGACTTAACGACGCATGTGAAATTTATTTATCTATTTACACCCGAACGGTGAAATCAGAACAGCAATATCGGATACTGTGTGACCAGTGATGCCCGCTATCCTAACTGGACGTTCAGGAGAATTATGGTTCCGCACAACAACTTCCAACTTAAAACAACAACATTAATAAAAATAGGTAAAACGAAAATACAGGGCAAAGTGACAGAAACAGCCGGGATAGTACATAAGGGAATACGAAGAAAACATAAAGATAGCAATTCGAATTAAAATAAGCTTGACAAAGCAAGAGTCCTGGCGCCAAACAAACAGGATAACAAGCCTCTGAGCATCAAAAAAAGCACAGTCGTCAAAGGTGTCAATAGCATACTAATCTCCAGGGCCAATTGTGTGTGGACAATGCAACCATCCAAGCAGTATATTCATCAGGAATTCCCTACTATGCCGTAACGCCCGAGACTGTGAACTTGGCGAATACAAATGGCATCAATATCATAGCAGTCACAAACAATAGCAGTACTGGAGAGATCGCATCAAATTATAGATATGGAAAATATTGTAGTGAGAGTGAAGGGAAAAAAAAAGGAAGAAACCAGTGTGGATAATCACTTAAGGGTCAGTATGACAAAGGGAGGTCTTGTGAACAAAAGAGGAAGTAGAAGTCGACAACAACAAGCAAAGAATATAAATCAGTGCCACAGGTTAGGGAAGGAATCTTGGGCAAGTCCGCGTTCAACAGTGATCTGATCCATGCACACTAGCTGTCTTGAAAAGCATCAGACATTAGAACACCGTGCACACGCGTACACACCCATGCAAACACGTGCACACAAACAATGCACATGCGACAAGTAGAAAGGTGGCATTCATGAGCATGCAAAACATGGAGATCATCGTTCTTTCGGAATATGGCGAAGTGGCAGCAGCAGCCAGTTGACTATGGGCATTACCCAAGTTCTGAGAGAGTCTGACAGTGAAATGGGCCTTTCAATTAAAAATCCCATTCATTGCTTGCCTACTTACAGGTCGCTGGAGTGTATTTTTCATGGTACGAGCGACTGAAAATCAAACTACCGAGGATCCCGAGACCCAGCGTGGGCCAACACTCAAAGACGGTAAAATTAAAGAGGTTTTTAGATCTCACTAGAAGAAACTGGAGATTTTATCTGATAACTTTTTATGCGCAAGCCCATCTGGAAGTCAACAGGAGGCCGAATTCCTTCATGTAATCCCCGTATCAGCTATATAAGCTATTAAATTTGTCTCTTGATGTGAGGATTTTACGGTTGAATGCTGTACATGATGAAGGAGATAAAGAATAGAGAGGCGTTGTTCCATAAGCCCTTGGACTTAATCTATATGAAAAAAATTGATTCTTGATTGACCCAACATAATTACAGAAGATAATTACTCTTAGATGATGGCAAGAGAATTCGGAGTTAGATCCCCTTCAGATAGCACATAGAGATAAGGAGCTCATTGAAGTCGTCTACTTCATTCTCAGCGTTTCCCTCAAATCAACCTGGAAGACTAGCGGGCGATGAAAGATGAGCGAGAGACAATTCCATCGAATCTGTAATCGACCATTCACAGATCCGGGAGATGGAGACCAACCTACCGCCGACCCAGATCCTCAGAATCCAAAAAAATCGTAGAAGCAAACTAAACCAAAATGTGAAAGCATTATCAGATCAAAGAGAGGAAATCCGGAGGATCATAGAAGCCTCGTCGGCGGCTCCGACCGGCCGTCTATGGCTGCCGCGACGACTGGAGAATGGGGATAAAGATGATGAAGAAGGCGAGCTAGGCACCTCGGCGAGACTCGGGCTGTTCTCCTGCTGCGCTGCTTCCGCCATCACCCGCAACTCTGCCGCTGTGAGATTTGCCCCAGGCGGCGCCGGTCGGTTCTCCTGCCGCCAGTCCAAACTAGGAGATTATGAGAGGATCTCCCTCTCCCAACGGCGTCGTTTAAAGGTAATCGACCTCCCGTTTATGTGGGCCATACGGGCCATACTATTATTGAGCTTTACCATATGTTCAGCCCATTACATAACCCGCGACAACCAATCTATATTGGGCTTAATATGAAATATGGACCATATATATGGGCCTAGCCCAACTTCCTGTAAAATAGGCGTTGGGCCTCCTCATGAGTGATGACAGAGAGAGAGAGAGAGAGAGAGAGAGAGGGATGGCCATGATTTTAAACCTGCCAACACTATAATCCGACGAGTGACAAAGTCAAAGATGGGCAATAGCTGCGATACGTTTTGTTCGTGAGTTGACTTACAGAGTTAGTCAAAACCATTCTTTTAATGGCAAGCCAATGAGCTGTTGGCTCGATCAGCACCTCATGTTATCTTAGTATAATCGGGGGCTCCCGATGCCCCACGTGGACATGTCTTCAGAATCACAACGTGGCACTCAAAAAGTCAAATGGTGATATGTTCCAAATAAATGGGAAGCTCGATTTTGTTATTAATGCTCGGTGCGCAAAAATCTGCCGCGGTCAACCGAATCAATGACTTGGAAAAGAAAATATAAGCTCGATATGCTAATAGCCAGGAATTTCACGTATGGCCACTTTGGTCATTGACTATTTATTTTTCACTTTAAAAATGTATTTTTAGAAAGTCAACCAGGCGGCGGAATATCGGCGGCTCATTTTTTTTTTCTCGATTTCCCATCGTCTGGTTTAATTTCGTTGAACTTTTATTTTATTTTTCAGGTCGAAAAGCGACACGTGGGAGATGAAGGGGCGGTCAAAGGCCGATCCTCTCAGTCAAGCCTGTCGCCAACCGTCCACATTTAATTAGCAGGATCAAGTTCTTCTGTCAGCATCCTCCTCCAAGTGGCTCAAAAGACATAAACTTCTTAAACCCTATAAAATATATATTTTTTAAATACCCCCACATGACAGTTGAGCACGTACCCAGACATTATACACGTAGATCTTTAATTCGGGGCAAAAATAAACGAGAAAATGGAGAAAATATATAGCGGGAATTAATCAGGAAAAATATTTCTTATTTATAAAAAACGCGTAAAATTAATCATAATTTAAATTTAAGTAATTAAATATATAGCGGGAATTTGAGTACTAAATGAGAAAGAACGTATCTAGATATTCCAGTCGAGAGAGGACATATATGATATCTTATATTTTTGTGGGCTTATTGCAATTAAGGAAAATATTCAATTATTGGTATCGATAAGCTTTTTGCGACTCACGCTCCAGTCGCACGTACTAGCTGGCTTCTCGAATTCACCATCTCCGTCCGTCCTCCCGTCATCTCCCTCTCATCACGAAGAGGAACCACGAGGTGAGTGAGAGGGCGATAGGGAAGTGCAGATGACTGCGGAGGCCATATCCGCCTTCCATGCGAGCTGTGCGGATAGGAAGGGAACGACAGAAGCTGAGGCTTGGCTGGCGGCGAACCTCGACGTGGCTGCATAGGTTTCTCTCCCCTCCCCCCTCTTGTCCGCTCTCTCTCTCTCTCTCTGTGTCTGGAGCGTGTTCGATTCGGATTTGAGTCGGCGGATATGGAGAAGAGCGCTGATCCGGCTGCGCAGAGCAGCAGCAGCAGCAGCGTTAGCAGCACCAACAACGTAGGCGGGAAATCGGTGGCCGTCCAGAACGCCCTTAGGCAACTACACAAGAGTTCGCATAAGATTTCCAAACCTACCTCGAGGCATTGCAGCGGCGGCGGGGACGGGGGAGGTGATTCCGGCTGTCCAAGCGATGGCAAAGCACCTTCTCCTTCATTACCGGTGCCGGCGGTGCCGCCGCCGCCGCCGCCATCTGCTAGCCAGCAGCCGCTGCCGCAGCCGCCGGTGTATAACATCAACAAGAACGATTTCCGTGAAGTGGTTCAAAAGCTGACGGGCTCCCCGGCCCACCAGCCCCGTTTATCTTCTGCTCGGGAACTATCAAAGCCAGCCGCGGCCGCCGGCGGCGGCGCCTCCTCCCGTCTGCAGAAGATCCGGCCACCGCCCCTCGCCCAGCTCACCCCCCGTTCCTCTCCATCTCTAGCGCCCGCCGCTGCATCCGATCCCGTCCACGGCTCCTCCGGCGGCTTCGGCGTGGGTGCGTGGCCTAGGTCATCGCCTCTCTCCCCGCTCCCGCCGCTTCCGACGGTCAGCGCCTCCGCGGAGTCGCCAATCTCAGCCTACATGCGGTGCCTCCGGAGTGGATCTGTTCCAAATCAGCAAAGCTCGATGCCATCTCCGGGAGCCGGCTCTTCCGGCGCTCCTCTGCTCCCGCTGGGTCCGCCGTCGCCGCTGGGTCTCGGCTGCGTACCATCTCCAAGATCAGCTTACCAGATGATGCTCTCGCCGGGTCTGTTCCTCCCGCCATCGCCAGGCCGGCCATTGCCCAGCCCGAGATGGAAGGACCAGTAAGAAGTCGAGGGGAAGCTCACGGCGGAGGAGGTAAGTAGGATCTCGGCGCCAGAGATCTTTAGGTTGCCCCCGGCGGCAGTTTTGTTTTGTAAATGGCTACCAGCCTCCCTAAGCTTGACATACTCTCGGCTTCCATAGAATCTTCGTTCATCATTGTATATATAGAAAACAGATGGCTGATCGCGTAAGATCCTGCATTCCTGGCATCGCTGCGACTTGAATCTGACAAGGGTTCTCTCTCTTCTGTGGATTTTTCCGGTTGGGCGTGTTCTTCTTGCTCATGTTTTTGCTGAAGTTCCCAGCTTTGATCTGTTGCTTGCTTGTCATAAGCTAGTTACTGAGTCGAGTTTCTGCTTATTGTAGATCATTCATCTGGAGGGTAGCTATTCTTAGAAACATTTACTGCTCTCATGGCAGCCTAGCAGTGAAATTATATCTTCCGAATAATTTTCTGTTCAGAGGCATTTCCTTGAGGATCCTTTTCTTTGATCGATTACGGCAGGAATTGGTCCTTTTCAATCTGGTGCCGTAGAGGACTTCTGACTGCGAGAAGGCCTTTTGACCCAGCTCATGCCGGGCGGATCGATGGCCACTCCCAGCCTCACTTAGTTGACTAGCAATGGTGGAGGGTGGTGCTTCCTGCGACCCAAGGCCCTGATCCCCTCTGTGTACGATGTTTTTCAGCTAACTATACTTAGACTCCCGGGGAGTGGGGGAGAAGAAGAAGCCAGATATTGAGAATTTTCTGTATGTGGAAAGAATTAGAGGCCCTAGAAATCGATTTTTTTTCTTTTTTGGGTTAAAAACACTTACATTTCTCCAAATTTTATCTGTTGGATATTTTTAGTGCTAATTAGCATCATATTTTTACAGGTTCAATTGGATATCAATTGCGCTCTAAAATTAGAAGCTTTTCTGCATGCAAAATCTCCACAAATTGATTTGAGATTTTTCGTGGAATTACTCTGAGCTGTGCTTTCTAACCAACGAGTGTTGCCTGCAAGTTCTTCCCTATATCTGCATGTAATTATATGAGAAATCTAAGCCTGGCCCCAATCAGGGTCTCTCATTTGGTTTTCCTGCACAGAAGCTGGCTGCTGTCTTCCTCCTTCTTTCAAGCTTCCTCACATCTTTTTCACTATTTACCATTATTCAGAGCTTTACTGAATCAGGGGAGCAAGATATTAATCAGGGGCCTGATACTTGATTTTATTATGGAAATAGTGGGCTAAAAATAGAAGCTCTCTCTCTCTCTCTCTCTCTCTCTCCCTCCCTCTCCCCCTCTCTCTCTCTCTCTCTCTCTCCATCTCTCTCCATCTCTCTCACTCCTAAATCTTAGAAATCCTTCTCACTATCTGCTGTGGGTCTCCATGTCGTTCTGGGCTCTCTCTCTCTCTCTCGCTCGCTCGCTCTCTCCTGCATCTCTGAAATCCCTCTCACTGTCTATCGTGGGTCTACATGTTCTGGGCTTTATTAGGGGCCCAAATTTAACAATAATAGGGGAAGGCCCAGCCCAATTCGAGTCAGTGCGATACTCCTCCCAGATTTTCGGGATTGAACCAATCGGCTGGGGGGTGACGTGGAACTGGAATAATTATAAGTTAATTAAAGCATATTATGTACTTGGAAGGACCAGGAAGGGAAGCTACCTCTTCGGACAACGCCATGCTGGTCGTCTCCGCCACTCCGCGACACGTGGTACCGACCCACTCCCACTCCGACGAGGACCTTCGATGTCGGAACCGATTCGAAGCTTATCTTCTAGTTCTCGCCTACTCTTCCCTTGCTATTTTATAAATATATACATGGTAATTATATATTTAAACTTCCAGATAATTAGGTTTTTTTATTATTACAATAATTACTATAAAAATAGGAATTTGGATAAAATCGGTAACTTATCGGGTGTGGATGTCGGCAAGAGACCAGAAGCTGAGCTTTGGGGCCTGCGTCGTGTGGCGAGCTTGGTTGGCACGTGTGACGCTCCGCGGCGGCTTCCCCCTCGCAGCTGGCAGCACCGGAACGGTGGGAAAGGCCGGAAGGTCCATCTTCAGATGTCTGCTTCTAGAGATCCACTGCCACGCGTCTCCGAGGGGCTCGCCGGTGGTGGGGTTCGGAGCAGAAGTGGAGAGCGCAAGGGCGCATGTCGCCAACGGAGGAGCCACTCTGGACGGGTCTCGGGATTTGGATGGCGATGGGTTACTTCCTCTGGAATCAGCTGTTTAATGCCGAAAAGGGAGCTCCTCGGTGCCGGGCAGCTCCGGGAGGTCGGTATTTGCTGAGTCGACGGGTTGGGGATTGGACGGAGGGGAGGGGGAGGGCGAAACGGGGTCCCTTTTTGAGATTGCCCATTATCTGTTTGTTGTTTTGCCTCTGAGAGCTTCTTCGGGGCTCTTTTATAGGCAGGAGGGGAGATAGTTGAGTGACCTCAAAAGAGTGATTGCGGGGCTGAAATTCCTGGTCTTTTCCCTCTTCTGGCTTCTGAGGGAGTTGGGGGGGTGGTGGGCGATGGAGAGGTATGAAGTGTTGAAGGACCTTGGGTCTGGGAACTTCGGAGTGGCCAAGCTGGTCAGAGATAAATGGACCAAGGAGCTCTTCGCCGTCAAGTTCATAGAGAGGGGCCAGAAGGTCTGAGCGAGAGATCCTGCTTTCTCTGCCCATCTTCGTTTTCCTTCCTTCCCTCTCGTGGGTTAAATTATGACTTCTGTGTTATCTGGATTCGCTCCCCGGGCTCATCCTGCTCTTCTTCCTCCTGGTGTCTGGTTATTAGCAGATCGACGAGCACGTGCACAGAGAGATCATGAACCACAGATCGCTGAAACATCCACACATAGTCAGATTCAAGGAGGTGCCTCTCGTTGTTCTTCCTTTATTCCTCGCTATATTTTCCGCACACATATATTATCGGGTATTTTCACCAGGCCGATTTTTTTTTTTTCGGATCTTCGTGTTGATGCTAGCAAGATGTGGATTCACTGGGTCGTATCTCCGTCTCGATCGAAATTGAACGACAATCTTCTCTACAGATCGTCGAATATTATTCCAAGAGCTGAATCTCGTTTCCTTTCCATTGAAGGTATTGGTGACTCCTACCCATCTAGCTATCGTCATGGAATATGCCGCCGGTGGTGAGCTCTTCGACAGGATATGCAATTCTGGGAGGTTCAGCGAGGATGAGGTAAGATAAACGGACATCTCTCTATATTTCAGTTTTGATAGGTTTTAATACGATAATAATAATAATAATAATAATGTTCTTCATGGATATTTTGACAGGCAAGGTTCTTCTTTCAGCAATTGATATCAGGAGTCAGCTACTGTCATTCCATGGTAATTGGACATCACCGCTGCATTCTTCTTTTTTTTTTTTTTAAATCGTGGAATAACAGGATATGGTTCAAACCTAATCTGGGTTTTCTTTTCTTTCTGAATTTAGCAAATTTGTCACAGAGATCTAAAGCTAGAGAACACACTGCTGGACGGAAGCATGGCTCCTCGCCTCAAAATATGCGATTTTGGGTATTCCAAGGTGTGTACTCGAAGCCAATCCTCGTGAAACCCAGGTGCCAATTTTCTTCCACTGACATGCCCTGCCGGCAGTCTTCGGTGTTCCACTCTCAGCCAAAGTCAACGGTTGGCACGCCCGCTTACATCGCCCCGGAGGTGTTGTCCAGAAAGGAATATGACGGAAAGGTGGTGTGGCGGTCTCCATCTCCTGCTTTTTCTTATTTACCGGCGATATAAGTTTCTGTATGTGAGATCCTGAATTCATTCCATCCCCATTTCCGGGTAGCTCAGATCGCAGATGTCTGGTCTTGCGGCGTGACCCTGTACGTGATGCTCGTCGGAGCTTACCCATTTGAGGACCCCACCGATCCGAGGAACTTCAGGAAGACAATTGGGGTAAGTTTTCACTGTCTTGAAGCTAGAACAGCCCCATTCTCAGGGTTCAATTCATTTCCTGTAAATCTTGTGTTTTGGATCTGATATCCCGATTCTTCAAGAAAAGAAAAGAAAAAAAAGGAGAGATCTTGCAATGCGGAAGACATAAGGCATTGGATGACGAAATTTCACTGTCGATTGACAGAGAATTCTCAGCGTCCAGTACTCCATCCCCGAATTCGTCCGGGTGTCGGCGGAGTGTCGGCACCTGCTGTCGCGCATATTCGTCTCCAACCCCGAGAAGGTACCCCCGCTCCACCTGGTTTCCTCGCCGCTGCTGCCCTGCGATTCCTCAGAGATGGAGGATACCTTGGTTCCTTTGCAGAGGATAACCATCCCGGAGATTAAGGAGCACCCGTGGTTCCTGAAGAACCTGCCGATGGAGCTCTCCGAGGACCCGCCGGAGGACTGCTCCGGCGGCCCTGCGCAGAGCGTGGAGGAGATTCTGAGCGTGTTACAGGAGGCGAGGAAGGCCCCCGAGGGGCGGGTCGTCGCCGGCGGGGGGGCCTTCGTCGGTGGCGGCAGCATGGACCTCGATGACATAGACGCCGACAGTGATCTCGACGACCTTGACGCCAGCGGAGACTTTGTGTGCTATCTGTGAGGCAGCTCCGGCCGGCGGCGGCTTCCCCCGGCGATTGCGGCGGCGCTACTGACGAGCTCTTTCATTTGTGTGGGTGGTGGTGGGGATGCGGCTTTGCAAGCTGTTCTTTTTGCTTGTCGTAGAGTTCCACATCTCAAGAAATAATTTTTGTAGCTTGTAGTTTCAGATAAAAACTACGTATGATCTTCCTCGTACCTCGGGGAGGAAGAGAGCGAGGGAGAGAGAGAAAGAGAGAGAAAGAGAGAGAAAGAGAGAGAGAGTGCGAGTGATAGAGGAGAGAGAGAGAGGGCGAGAGCGAGAGAGAGCGAGTGAGAGAGAGCGAGAGAGAGCGAGAGAGAGCGAGAGAGAGCGAGTGAGAGACAGCGAGAGATAGCGAGAGAGAGATTGCATCGTTCTGCCTATTTTGTCTAATATTGACCATAAGGTTTACGATTACTTGATCTTTGACGTAGACATACTTGATCTCGTCAAATTTAGCAAGGGGCGGTCTTGCTGACCGGAGTCGACCCGCTAAGTGGTGAGAGTCCGACAAGGGAACCTCTATAGATCCGAATAAGGATTCGGGGCGTAAGAGGCCTCGCCGGTGAGGCCCAATAAAAGAGAATGCTCCGGTTCGGCCCATTAGCTAGTGTAGTTGTCGTCGGGAGATCCAACGGCGGGTGACGCCCCGATCTCTTCTGTCCGGCACACCATCGTAGTATAAATACCCGCAGGGGAGGACTCGGGAAAACCCTTACGGCGAGTGAGAGGAGACGGCTGGTGTTTGGTTATCCTGCGACCGCCGCCGTCTCGTGACTAAACAGGGCGAGGTCGATCGAAGATGAAGGTAATGGGGGATCAGGGCAATGGGCTGACTTCTGGATTCTTCTGCGGCTCACTTTTTTGTTTGGGAGATTTTCCAAATGTTCATGCTGTTGTTTTTGTCTGAGTTTGCCTCCCTTTTTGCCAGTTCAATATCGCCAACCCGACTACGGGATGCCAGAAGAAGCTCGAGATCGATGATGACCTGAAGCTGTGAGTTTATTTTCCCATCTTTTTGTTGTCACCGTTATTGTAGGATGGATCTTTACGACGCTCTGCTAGTCACTCCTGCTGTTGTTGTTTTGCATCTTCTATGTCAGGAAATTATTTCATGGTTCTCTTTCTAATTCTTATGTTTAATGTTGGTAATGGCCCGGGGTTTTTCATCGTCAACACTCTATCATCGTTATATATGTTTTGATTATCTGATTATTCTGGGAAACTCGTCATGTAGACCTAAAATCGAAAGCACTTGTCGAGTCGGGCCAGGCTCATCGTTACTCTTAGACGAGGGACGATTGTGTATGCTTTATCGTTAGAAACTTATGCAGTAGTTCGCGCTGTCTTATGTTTTTAAAGGTAGGCGTTTCTAGTTTTTTGGCATGCATACTTTTTGAGAACATGGTATCTTGAAATAGAAATGCGATATTGATTTGTAGCCATGTCTAGGATTTCGACAACTTTTGCTTTTGTTACTCTTAGACGAGAAACCACTTTCTATGGAAGCACAATGATTTTTTTACTTCTGTGAAGCTATTTAAATGATGGAAATACCCACTCCATGCCACCATCAAAAACTTGAGAAGACATGCCATAGTTGACCGTGGTCATTATATTTTGGTAGTTTGCTTCCTAGATACGTACGATTTATTCTTAATTAAGATTATGGTTTATGGTGCGTAACAGTACTTTTTCGGATGGTAGAAGCACTCTTGCGTGTGCATATCTTTATTTCATATTCCATCTCGGCTCTCTTCATTGCATTGATTTTTCTTAAATCAGTCCTTCCCTTTAGTTTACTTTACGCATGTTTATTTAAAATACATGTTGGAAAATGAATTTCATAATTGTCGTTACCTTCACCTGATAATCGTCCTCTGACGTTTGACTTCAATTCTCAGTCGTGCGTTTTACGACAAGAGGATATCTCAGGAAGTTAACGGAGATGCTCTCGGTGAGGTATGTATTACCACTGATGTCTGCTTTGGAATTAGTTGTAGTTCCTTGTATTCTTACCCGATGTCCTTACCATCCTGAAATCACATGCGCCTATTCCTTTATTGGGGCCACTCGTTTTAGGAATCAACAAGATACATCACCTAGATCTTAAACATGTCGCTGATCAGATTTGATAAAACATTCTGGCCTAGGTAAAGTAAAGTCGTCCGAGTCGTACACTAGGTGTCGGGAGTGGGACTGGGATTTGACCTTGCTCTGGTCGCCTGGATTTGTATCTGGTCTCTGAACCAGTCTTTTAGTATGTTAAATTTTTGCTATCTTTCCCCTCAAATGTATCACAGGAATTCAAAGGTTATGTCTTTAAAATCATGGGAGGATGCGACAAACAAGGGTTTCCCATGAAGCAGGGAGTGCTAACACCTGGTCGGGTCCGCCTGCTGCTGCGCCGAGGCAAGTAATCTAGCCATATAAAGGATTATTTTTTTATAAGTAATAAAAAATCTAGCCTCTATTAAAGATGAATCTTTCATCTTTTCTACTTATTTATATCTCATTTATTTTATGAGATATTTTTTGTTTCTGACCTGTCTATTACATCATCTCAATTTTTGTATGGATGGTATTTGAGTGCAGGGACTCCTTGCTTCCGTGGATATGGGAGGAGAAATGGAGAACGCCGGAGGAAGTCTGTCCGCGGGTGCATTGTCAGCCCCGACCTCTCGGTTCTTAACCTGGTCATTGTGAAGAAGGGAGAGAACGACCTCCCCGGATTGACTGACATCGAGAAGCCCAGGATGAGGGGTCCGAAGAGGGCCTCAAAGATCAGGAAGCTCTTCAACCTCTCCAAGGAGGACGATGTGCGCAAATACGTCAACACATACCGCCGCACCTTCACCACCAAATCAGGTCCGCTATCGCTCCAACATTTTTGGAACTCTTCAGACCCACCCTTTAATAATCACTTAACCATAAGCATGAGTCTGATTTCGGGTCATCATCCTAATTGAATAGTTCGCTTTTTGTCGGAATTTACCCCATTTGGTCGTGTGTGGCAGGCAAGAAATGCAGTAAGGCACCCAAGATCCAGAGGCTGGTGACACCCCTGACACTGCAGAGGAAGCGCGCGAGGATCGCCGACAAGAAGAAGAGGATCGCCAAGGCCAAGTCAGACGCCGCCGAGTACCAGAAGCTGCTGGCCGCCAGGCTGAAGGAGCAGAGGGAGAGGAGGAGCGAGAGCCTGGCCAAGAAGAGATCCCGTCTTTCCGCTGCCTCCAAGCCCTCCCTTGTAGCCTAGACTCATTTTTGCCCATTACCGACGCGCTCCTCCTTTTCTTTCTCCTTCGGTTCTGTTGAAGTTTGTCGTCACTCTGTTAAGTAGAGGATTATTTCCGTGTCTGGGTTTTTCTCAAGCTTTTGTTCTCTGTATGTGACTGAAGAACCTTGCGGATTGTTGCTTTATCTCAGTCATTTCCCATCTGATTCATCTTCCTGCTTCTATCAAATCCACTGCAGCTGCCTGAAGAACTGGGTTTCCTCAGATGATCAGATAGGGCCATCTCACAGCTTCTGGGGTTTTCTCAAGCTTTTGTTCTCTGTATGGGACTGAAGAACAACGTCTTATTTCTGTTCTGTCTAATCTACTGCTGCTGCCTAAAGAACTGGGTTTCCTCGGATGATCAGATCGTGAATTCTCACAGCTTGTTTCGGCGTCGATTAGATTTCCTGATATCTGAAGAGATTACCGCTGCGTTTTGTTTGGGATCTGTGAAATGAGTTATACATGACGAGTTATTCTTTGTTAATTTAGACGAATATTCTTGAAAATAAATACTAAGTTTTAACAATAATTTTTATTTCAGAACTTATAAAAAGAGGTTATTATTTAGGCGGTATGAGTTATTATTGATTTTCCCAAGTCGGTGAACAGAACACGCATACAAGTGAGAGATAGAGAGATGAATGAAACATGATAATTAAGATATCACGTGATAAGAACATAAAAAGGGGAAAGGGTTCCCTTTGAATAGTTCTATACGAATTTCAGAGCGTCCCAATCTCACGCTAACTTTCCTCCCAAGACTGGTCCTCACCATGGAGCCTTATAGGTTCATATATCACAACCGCCTGAATGGGCCTTGGGCCCGTTTCCCCTTATTCCTTCATAACCCTACTTCATCCCTTTTGCAATGGTAAGTTCAAAATAAACTGCTAGGTCCTTATGTCTTGCTCATACCTGATAATGGACCCAATTTGAGTACTATGACAGGACCTAACAATCCCTTCCCTAACTATTCCACATTTTCCCTAAGATGGAATGTTGGGTAGTTAGACTAGAGTGTAGAAGTCAATTTCCAAGTGACTTCAAAGAGTGACAGTCAATGCCACTAGATGAGTAGCTCAAGTCCATCTGATCTAGGGGGGGAGTCTAGCCTAACCTCAGGTTAGACAATATATTGCATGTTCTTGTTGATGATTAGTGAGATGGGGAATCTATAATAATTGATGCCCAACACACCTTCATGATTTGAAGTATATGATCAACTAGATGAATCTTAGTATGGGCTAATAATTTTAGCTTGTAGGTGATAACAGATCAAAATATATGAGATAAAGTTTTAATTTTATTTATGGGTCAAGAAGAGCATTCTATACCATTGTAGCTTTAAGAAAACCAGATCTCATGTCTAGAAGCTTACTTCCCTTTGATGTCAATTGACTTGGGTCTTCTTTCTTGCTTGAGATTTGCTTAAGTATTGTTTAAGCTCAACCAAGATAATGTACTTTTAATGTAGCTGATCTTCCACAATGACCACCATTGTAGGTGGCTCTAGAGCTAGAATGATGGCCAAAGGGTCACAACTATAAATAGTTCAAAGTGCCATGGTATTGATGGTAGTATGGAACACTAAGTTAAATCAAAAATTGACTCTAAGTCTTGGGTCTCTCACATGAAAGACAATAGAGATAAATCTCTAAACATCTATTAAGCATCCTTTGTCTAATAGAGGAAGACAATGCTTCTCTTGAGGCTGGTGCTTTAGAGGTAAAACAACTTTGTCTAAAAGACATTGGTGGAGATTTTATCATGATTCAAGACAATAGATCATGGAATGCCAAGGAATAACAATGAATGCCACAGAATAGGGCTAGAGGAGGCTTGATGCCATAGTTGTATCATATTTGTTATGCTTACATATTAAATAGTTATATCTATAGTCTTTTATGCTCTTCTTCATCTTATGTTAGTACAAATCTTGTGAGATCTACTTGTAAATTCATAAGAACAATGAGCCCTCCCCCTACTACACTATCATGGTAAACATATAATATTTTACAAAATCATACTCAATGTAGAAGATAGTTAATCAACTACTATAAAAAGGAACGTTATGATTGAATTTTTAAGAGGTGATTGAATTAAAATTTATACTTGGGCAACCCTCTGAGGCTTGTAGAAGAGCTTATTGAATTTTTAAGAGGTGTTCATCTTTGAAAAATAAGTTGTTGTTAGTCAATGACCTTGAGAATCATGTTAATTATAACTTGTATTAAGGGTGAGTAAGGTAATCTAAATAATGCATCAATGGCCTTGCTACTTGCACCTAGCTTGTACTTGTTACTGAAGTAGAAAGCTATGATTTTAGTCAACCATTTCTGATGTATTAAGTGTATTTGTCATTATTAAATAAGAAACATAAACTTGATTTAATTAGTAAAAATAATAAAAGTGACCCATTAAGTAATACTCCCACTTATAAAAGAATGACTAAGACTAAAGCTATGCATATATGCTTGTAAATCAATTTCAATCGATTTCATTGTGAAATGACTTGATTAAAATATGACACTAATTTATGATTCTACATAAGGAAAGCTACTATAAATAACTATAGACATCTATTTTTAATTGAATTATTGGTTTTTTTTTGTTTTTTTTGGGATAATTGTCTTGGGCCGAACTTCATGAGAGGTCACCCATCCCAATACTTCACACGCCCAAGCACTTTGGTGCTTCTCAAGCACATTCTTCGGAGATGATCCACTATTGTCTCTCAACATCGTGGTAGGGGTGCCTCCTCGGCACATTCTTTGGAGTTGGGGGCGTCTTGGCATGGTGAGACGGATGCCACATATGCCTCTCAGCATGGTGGCAGGGGTGCCTCTCGACACGTTCTTTGGAGTTGGGGGCGTCTTGGCATGGTAAGACAGATGCCATAGATGCCTCTCGGCATGGTGGCAGGGGTGCCTCTCAGCACGTTCTTTGGAGCTGGGGGCGGGGGTGCCTCTTGGTACGTTCTTCAAAACTGGGGGCGTCTTGGCATAGTGAGACGGATGCCACATATGCCTCTCGACATGGTGGCAAGGGTGCTTGTCGACACGTTCTTCGAAGCTCAAAACATCTTGGCATGGTGACGGAGGGGTTTGTAACACGTGCTAGGCAGCACGATCATGTAGGGGTGCCTTTCATCACATATAGAGCAAGCGTCTCGCAATGCATGCACACATACCCAGGGACTTCCCAAGGAGGTCACCCATCTAGGGACTGCTCCCACCCGAGCACGCTTAACTCTGAATTATTGGTTAACATTCAAAAGAACCAGTATTGTTAATGTGCTAAGGGTATGTTTCAACTACATAAAAGCTTGATCAACCTCTTTGCTCCACCAAAATTGATCATTTTTCAATTATTGAATGAGTTGAAGAATTTTATATAATTATCATTATTTGATAGGAGTAAGTCAATTTCTTATTACCTCAATTTTGTTGACATACACTTTTACCCCCTATGGTAGACATAAAAAACATACTTCTTAATATTGATGTGTAGTTGGTACTCTTCAAGTAAATTTAATAATTTAAATAAATCATAATTATGAGTGGATTAATATTTTATTATATATTAAAATATTAAGAAAAATTTCATCAAAAAGGGTCATTTTGATACTGTCTATTATGTCTCTAGAAAGCCATTTTGTAAACATTTCTTTATGCATGCTGATTTGATGATATCCAAAGTTTAAATCTTGCTTGGAAAAAAATAATTATCTCATGAAGCTCATCTAATAACTTATGACTACGAAAATAAAAAATTAGTTTAGAATCATGATCTTGTTGATGTCCTTATAATTTATAAAGAAATGTCAACTACTATCCTTTTTCTTGATCAAAAGACATTACTTATAAATGAAATAGTAGAATGTTGTATAAGGGTAGATATAAACATCTTTCATAGCAACTTCTTGAGTTGGAGGTAGACCTATTCTCGGTGTAAAAATACTTGAAATTTTTTTAACCAATTATTGATTCATAGTTAATTTCGATCCCTTAGTCATTTCTACATTATTTGTGATGATTCGACACAACTCAATGAACACCGATTGTACATGTTGAAAATTAGTGAAAAATAGGTTTATGTGACATTCCTAGCTTATATACATGTGGGTCTCTTTTGAGGCTCATAGTTGTGCTACTTATTGAAAATCTCATAATTAGGTTATGTCAATCCACCACCATTCTATCAAGGATTTTAAGTTATGACATTTTCAAGATAACATTAATATTCATGACATATATAAGTAAATAGTCTTCCTTCACCATTATCTCTTATATTTTCATGACTAGCCTTAATAAAATATCACACCTTCTCATTCTTGTGTTATTCCCCAATATGATTGTATAATTCACGGTGCTTAGTTTTCTTACTAGTTCTTGGGATATGAAGTTATGGGTTATCTCACAACTAATTAATACTATCAACTCTTTTGTTGAGAATTTTATCATCAAGTTTCATTGTTATGAGTAATTATTGGTCTAATAATATAGATAAAAGAGACCTAAATATTAGGTTCTTTTGTCTCTCCTTGTGTTCGAGTTGTGTCACTTAATTGTGCTTACTTTAGTTCATTTAGATCACCATCCTCTCATATATTCAAATTCTATGTAGCTTTTTCTTGCATATATGTCTTAGTTGGAACATCATGAAAGAAACAAAGGCCTTTAGCTCATTATTTTTTTTTTGGGTCCTCCTAAGAGGTGCGTCTAGGGCTTAGCCCCTTCCTAGGAGGAGGCCACCCATCCTAGTACTGTTTTGGCCCATGTGCTATGACGTGATATTTAGCCCATTCTTAAGAGCTCGATCGTCTTAATACTACTCCAAAGTCAAGTGATATTTTTTGCCAAAAGAGGTGGGAGAGAAGGATACCAAGGTTTAGTCCCTTTCTATGACGAGTGGTAGTACTACTTTGACCTGGGTGCGCCTTGGTTAAGGTGTGTGGGTGGATTAACCCATTGTTCATGTTGTTCAACTTCTATTAAAGTTAATCTCCTTCTAGTGATTGGTTGTTAGATGGTTTATGTTCACGTTGCTTGTGAATGGTCTAGATTTTAATTACCATACACATAGTTGGGATCACTTGATTCTTTGAACTCTATTTATATGTTTTTTGGACCAATTCATATAAGGATTGATTCTCTTCAATATGATCACATTGCAAGGTCTTGACTTCATCATAATAGTCATATTCTTCTCTTCTATAGCTTTGGTCATATTCATAATATTGTTGAGGCCTCTTGGTTTGAATAAAATAAATTTAATCTTTGACTTAATCCTTTAATAAACATGCTCTATCCGTGTTTTAATAGCCAATAAATTGATTGAATAACAACTCAAATTATTTTCTATACTCAACTACTATTCTTTTTTATTTTATGTTTAAGAACTATTCCTAAAAACTTCTCATCAGTTGGAAGTCGAATCTCTTATGTAGCCTCTACTTGAAATCCTCTCACTTTTTGAAAGCCTTTTAGCATCTGTTTATATGAATCATTCAAAGGCCTCATCACATAGACTCAATATTGCCATTCTTAGTTGATCTTGCTTTATGATGTAGTGCATCTCAAAATAAAGCTTGGTGTTGAATATCTAGTTATAATGGTTAACCCATTCAAAATGAACATCACCAATTGATACGATGCAAATACCACTAGTTGGAACATATCTTGATGAACATTGTGTTAGAATTTCCACCCGTTTTATATAAGTTGAGTTATTGATTACTTGTGATTATTTGCTTGCATTCTCCACTTTTGATGGGACTATCGAACTTTGTCTTTCCTTTATCACTATGCCTGCTCTATTCTATTGAGATTGGTATACTTGTCATCCATTTGAGTTGAGATTTGTACTACCACTTGAGTAAGTCAATTCATCATGATCTCTAGGAATGAAAACCTCTTGTTGATTACCTCAATATAGATAAATGATTGCCTCAAACTTCCTTTCATTTACCTTTGCCAATATAGTTATGATACCAAGTTGGTAGGATCATGAACAAAACCCTATTAAAGCAATGAACTGAATGCATAACAAAAGAGATATAGAGAGATGACTGAACATGATAGTTAAGATAGCATGAGATAAGAACATACAATGGGGAAAGGGTTTATAAGAAAAACAATAGAATAGTTTGGGATGAATCCCACTTTTCTACTGACTTTCCTCCCAGAAGTGGTCTTTACTATTGGGCTTAATGGGCCTCGGACCCAATTCTCCTTAGTCCTGTCTTATCTACTTCATTCCTTTTGTGGTGGTAAGTCCAAAACGGGTTGGGTCCAATCTGCACTATGATGAGACCTAACAAATTATCTATACTTGGATTTGGTCTGCAAATAAATACACACAATATGGGAAAAATAAGAATAATAATATCACCAATATCGAAGAGGGCATTTTTGTCATTGTACACGACTTAATGGACCGTAATGCCCACGAGTAATGTAACGCGAGATAAAATTATCCGGCCATTCATCGGCATTTTCCCTCGGATTAGCGAAATCGGCCTCATCCCGATTCGATGCGGGGTAGCTGACCGAGTTGGTACCCACACTGTCTCAGCGGGGCAAGATTTATCATGTGGGCCTTTACTGTAATAATGGGCCTGACTTAAGCCCCGTTTAGGGGAGGAGCTCATTCCTTTGCCTTGCTGGGAAGCTCTTCGCTCAGAGGGACTATTAGAGCTTCTTCGCAGCCCTGCTGAAGCTCGGAGATTCGCAGGAGCGGCGCCGCAGAGGTGTTGGCGGCGGGCTTCAGGGGCAAGGGAGGGAGGGAGGAGGGCCTTGAAGGCCGAGCGGGAGCATGGACGAAGATGAGCACGAGGTGTACGGCGGGGAGATCCCCGACGAGGGGGAGATGGAGGGCGACATGGATTCCCAGAACGTCGACATGGACATGTCCAGGACGGAGGATGACGCCGTCAAGGTCCTCTCCACCGCCATATTCCTTCCTCCTTTGCTCCGAAACGTCCGATCACGTTCGATTTCTTTTCGGACATGTAACCTAACCCTAGATTTGCGTCAGGAACTGGATGAGATGAAGAAGCGGCTCAAGGAGATGGAGGAGGAAGCCGCTGCCCTACGTGAGATGCAGGCGAAGGTTGAGAAGGAGATGGGCGCTGTTCAGGGTCTGTTTCTCATTCCTCTTCTTCCTGGATATATAACTTTGTCAACAAGAAAATAGCTGTATGCTTGGTTGATCCCTTTCGTACGCCTCTAGGTAGAATATATTCATTCTAAGATCTGATAGGGTAAGCCAGCTTGTTGTTATCTAAGGGTTTTGGGGGGCTACGTCCATGGTTCAAAGCTCAATATGTTTTGTTTCCTTGGCCTAAATCTGTAACGTCCTTTTTCTGTTGAAGTCGTTCCATTCTTATAATCTCGGCGATCTCTTTGATAAATTTATCATCTATGTTTCCTCTGTTATCTATTTGAGGTTCACAAGTAATCTTTAGAAGATCAACCTACATTTAGACTGTGTGGATATGCCTATATGTCTGTAGCGTTTCCTGGGAGACATCATGTTGGGACCTAAATGGTACTTGGGGTGCTTTAGTCTAATGTCCTATGAGATTTTGCTGATCAATGGAAAGTTAGTAATTGGTCCAATGGAAATTGTGAAGATTGTGCTTATGTAACTGTTTGGTTACATTTCCTTCTGCTCCGAATCCATCTTAAAGTTTTGGGAAACTTTCATCATTATCTGTAGTCAGACATGGTTATATAACAAGTAACTAGTTTATTTTCCACCCACTAAGTAGCCACATAAGATTTACGATGTGCCTTTCCCCGCAAAGAAAATTTTGTAGAGAAATGAAATCACATTGCCTCATCCTGTTGAAGTTGACGCTAGTTGGCTCAGCCAATTGAATAAATTACCGAATGTTCAGATCATTCTTCAGATTTAGGGTTTGAAGATGCATGCCCGCCCCCCGCCCCCTCCAATTGAAGCGATTACTTTAAATAGGGAGTGATTCCACTTACTAGAGAGGCTTGTGTAGGTATCAAAGATCAATGTGACTGGTAGCAGTAGGAACGATTGGCGTCATCTGTTTATGGGAAGGCCGATATCATAGGTTGGGAAATACAGACAATTGGATTGTTGGGAGGAGTGGTGACAGGAGCAGCAATTTTAAGATATAGAATGAGGATGTTTTGTCTCTCGTCTCATATTCTTTGGAAGACCTACGAAATTTCATTGATTTTCATGTAATTCCTACATTGTGAAAGTAACCACGGTCTTGAAGCATCTCCGTTGCTTAGACTGGTAGCTGGGGAATGAGCTGGGATGGTGGTCGTCGTGGGTAAGAATATTGGTTGCACTCTCATAAAATACATTACCTGTTCTTTGCAATGAACGACTATTTCATGGATTTTTTATCTGAACATCTGTAATATGTTTCACCATATTTACCGTTATTGATGTCATGGATACCTATCTCCTTGGTTTATAAAATATGTATGGCCAATCATAATGATGTAATCAGAGTATTATAACCAGACTATTTATGTCATTCTTGGGACGTCGGCTTTTATCTGTTTTTTAATCTTTTATTTTCAGATCCCGCTACTGCTGCTGCATCTCAAGCAAATAAGGAAGAAGCTGATACACGATCTGTGTTTGTTGGCAATGTAAGTATCTTTGTTTTTATTTAATCTATTTGGACGTGCTGGTCACTTCATTTCGTTTTTACGTTAATTCGGTCATCTCAACTTTTATGCCTCAAGGTATGTAAGATGACGATAGTTGCATTGTAAGGAATAAACCTGTGGTTTCCTTTAGTCGATGGGTGGCTGGAGTGTTCTACCAAATTCATTGATAGAATTGATTCATTCGAAGTGCAACTATAGTGTTACGAATGTTTCTCTTTTATTCTAATCTAAAAAAGGAGAAAAAAATAAAGCATGTCTTGATCACGGATCCTCTTCAATTCCAGCATGTTGTCTTTGCTTGTTCAAGTGGTGATCAACAATATGGTCATTTTTCAGATGATCTCACATTGTTCTAAAGCAAGTTTGTTACTTCGACCGATTGCATACTTTAAATATATAATACAACCGTAACTATAAACATTTTTGACGAAATGTTTACTGTTCAGCACTTATGCATTCCACCAAAAAAACTGAAAGACATACGTGAAACGCCACCTTATTTTATTGTAACAAATAACATTGGACGAAGTTGGATATGAATTTTTTTCTTGAAATTTATTTATGATATGGAATATAACATATCAGTATTTACGTTGTGGGCTGTACTGCTGCTTGCCTAGGTGACACCTTGAAAACTATGTTTTAAAGAGTGATTTAAAAAGAGCTCATATCCTTTATGCACTGTGGTCTGGAATACCTTATAGGACCTTTTTTTTTTTGTTCGTCTTCCACTTAATTTTGTGGTTATGATTCCTATCCACATTTCTACATTTGTGGTGAACTACATATGTTCTTGGACTTGAAGTACTTTCTGGGCTCTTATTCATGTACATCGATCTGTTACTATTTCAAAATTGGAATAGTTGAATAGGAGATCTACCGTCACTATGGGAAATCCGGTTCTTTTGGGCTCTTAGTCTGTTCCACAAATTGTTAGCATCTACTATTGTATCCAAGGAAAACGGGAGGAAAATATTCATATCGAAAGCGTCAAATGGCATGCTTGATAAATTGATCTTTTTACCTGAGGACAAGGTGATTTGAACAATTCAAAGAATATAAGATTGATTCAGATGGCTATGGAGGGTTACTGAAGCAGAATTAAAAATATTCAGACAAGAAAATACCTTAAAGATAAATAAGAAGTTCAGTTTAGGTGAATGATTAAAGAGATTGTTCTTTTATTTAGAAAGCGAACTTGTTGCGAACGTAATCAATAGAAGAATCTTGGATTTAGCAAGTGATCTTAGGATATACATATATATATATATGTATATGTATTACACTTGTAGATCTACTTAGCTTTGGAAAATCTACGTCGTTTTCATTTTGAATTCCTTCTTGCCTTTTCTTTTAATTCCAGTTAAGAGAACTCATCTCCCGGTCATTTCTGTATTGTGCTTTGAAAATGAGTTAGGCTGTTAGTATGTCTCTTCAATTGGTTGACACAGCCTTCGTGATTCCTTCCTGTCTGACAATATTTGTATTTATTTATTAATATTTTATGGCCTGCCCATATCCATTTCTCTTTCAATCGGTGGTCAAGGTGTCTTTCTTGTACTCACATTTTCCCAACCTGAGGCATTCAGTGTGGTACTACTCTCTGGCAACATGGGATGGCCAATGGTTCTCTTTTCCTTTTGTTTCCCCTTTTTATTAGTTTTAAATAGAAGTTTTTTGGGCTGCTTCGTTCTTTGACTTCCTTATAATTTTCCACTCTTAGAACAGTCATGTAGCGTAATCAGCCTGGTTTCATAATTTAATCTGTGTATCCTTTCCTATGATTCTCATGTTTGAATTGTTTGTAATGGCTTTCTATATTTTCAGATGTGGAGTTGTCCTTTGACCATATGCCTAATAATGGTCGCAGGGTTGCCCTTCAATCTTCTAAGTCCTTGGAACACAGTTCTTGGGATGCCAGTAATCTCTGGTTTAGGATACCTGGTCCTTAAAGAGAAGAAAAATAGAAAATTTGCCGAATGAATATCAGAAAAGAAATGTGGAAAAAAATTCTAAGCAGCCCCCCAAAAGAGAAAACTGAGGGCACAAAAAATACAAATATGTCATGAGAAGTGTAAAAAAAATGAGGTGAAAAAAAGTTGAAAGAAAAAAAAAAGGTGACGGTATTCATATCACATGAGTAAAAAGATGGATAAGAAGGGAAAAATAGATGTACGACCAGAGGGATCTGTAGTCCCAAGTCTGGGAGGGCTTAGTAGATTGATGATACAACGATCCAGGACCTAAAATGCTGCTTGCGGCTGAATTTGTTGGCTCCATGGACATTGAATGTTGAATGAAAGATGAAAGTCTGATGCCTCTGAGGTTCCTAGTTTCCTTGTGTAACACGGTAAGAGGTCTTTGATCTCTTACTCATGGATTTGGTCTCTTCATCTAATTTTTTTTCTTGCAAAATCTTTACATTATTTCATTGTATGCTGTTATCTGCTTCTTGTCGAAACATGAACCGCTAAAGAAAAATAATCTAATCGTCTGCTGCTTTTATTTAACATTTTCATATGCTTGTATTATGGGGAGAGAATTACGTGGGTCATTCCATAATAGTTAGTTCTGTTTAAGCCCTTGGCTGTGCTACGTTAGTCTCACTAATGTGATATTTTAACCTTGCGACATTATGTTTATCATTATGCTAGGTTAGGTTTTCATCTTATTGGACATTGGGGCTGCATTTTTATTTTTATTTTTATTTTAAACATAATAACATATCTTACTTAATATCAATCGTTGTGGGGAGCGAATGCTCCTGCTCATCTTCTCGTTTATGACGTTGCCTAAGGTCCTATGCCTCATTCTAACATTAGAGCGTCTCCAAAAGTTGCCATCCAAATACATGATAGATCATGGTGAACAACGAATTTAGGTTTTTACTTGGAGAGGGACCCGTTTCATTCAGAAATTTTGAGTTTTTTTCTCTCTCCCAACATTTAGGCTCTCGTGATCCATTCTGTTGAATATGTTTGGTGGGGGCTGTTTTGAGTACCTTATATTTGTTTATTTGAAATCATTTGTCAGTTACTGTTGAGTGATCTTACCATCATCTGATCGAGAAACAGGATTGTTCAGCAAAATTTAGGGTTTCAATAACATATGGAAACACAATCGAAGTAGGGTTTTGGTAGCGTGTTAACATATGGATTATCCTTTTGTATCCTCCCTAAAGTAGAAATTTTGGATAATCTCTCATCAAGAGGGCTATAATCTCTCTCCCCCTGTCTCTCTCTCTGTCTCTCTCTCTCTGTGAGATGATAGGAGATCTTGGTACCCGGTAGTAGATGAAAGAAATCCTTTGCTTTTTTGTATAACCCATCAGAAATGAGATATGTTGCAGATCATCTCATAAAATTCTGTGGGCTTCTTGCTCAACAACCCACTGTGGGGCACCCCAATCTGACGGCGTTTTTGGCATGGGCGCTTCACAATCTTTCCCACTGCAGGTGGACTATGCCTGCACTCCCGAGGAGGTCCAGCAGCACTTCCAATCCTGTGGGACGGTCAACCGGGTCACCATCCTCACCGACAAGTTCGGCCAGCCAAAGGGCTTCGCCTACGTGGAGTTCGTCGAGGTCGACGCCGTCCAGGAGGCCCTCGTCCTCAACGAGTCCGAGCTCCACGGCCGCCAGCTCAAGGTCCTTCCCTCCCCCCTTCTTCTTCTTCTTGTTATTATTATTATTATTATTATTATTATTATTATTATTATTATTATTATTATTATTATTATTAAAACTTTATCCAATGGTACCTGATGGAGCTTAGGACCGAATTCGCGATTATATATAGATATATAATATTTTATTTTATTTTATTGCGTTTTATCCCAGGTTTTGCCTAAGAGGACGAATGTGCCCGGAATGAAGCAGTTCCGCCCGCGGCGTTTCAGTCCCTACGCGGGATACCGCTTCCGCCGGCCCTACGTACCGCCTTATTTCTACTCCCCCTACGGCTATGGGTCGGTCAACCCTTTCTCTCGCCTCCACTTCTCTCTCCTTCCATCTCTCTGTGCCTTGATGAAAAGTTGACTCTTTTATTTTGTCTACAGGAAGGTCCCGAGGTTCAGGAGGGCGACTCGCTATCGGCCCTTCTGAGAGGGCTCGCGTTGACCGTCCCCTCCCCAGCGTTGACTTTGAGGCCCGGTTTCTCCCTTCTCTTAGTGGCTGGGGCGCACGCCTGCGATGTGCTTGCTTAAAATGACCGACCGAGTTAGATCACTGAGCTACTTTTTATATCACCCTTAATGTGGGACTTTATTCGAATTGGCATTAATGTGGGACATTATAGTAAAAATCTTCCTTCCACGTGTCTATCTCTGGATCGCCCACTTGGCGGCAGGGCCTAGATTAATATCGGACGAGGGGGATTTGGCCTTGATTTATAAATAGAGGGAAATTATATTTTTCGATTTTTTTGTTTTTTTGACAAGAACGGCGGGTGGGGTTATTTTTTTTCGGCAAGTGGTGGGCGGCTTAACGGGATGAACGTGGGGGGAGTGGGCCCCACTTCTCTGTTTTGTTACGAGAGGGCAGGGAGTGGGGTCCCCCAGCTCCTTTTGTCCTTTTTCTTTCTTGGTCACGTTCTCCGCTTCTTTTTTTCAAACCTTTCTTTCTCCTTTTCGGGATTTTGAACGCCGAGGGAGAGCAGTCCAGTCGCTCTGGTTGGCACAGTGAACGGCGAGTGCGCGGAGGAGAGGGCAAGGGAGAGTGGTGGGGATTTCAGACACTGCAGGAGGCGCGGATCTGCTGGCCGGTGGGGGAGAAGATGGGGAGGAAAGAGGGCAGATTGACTGGCTGAAGGAGGGCTCGGGGACGACGACGGGAGGGAGGCGGATACTTCTTCGGATGCCGAGACGTTGACGCTTCGCATTGGATCCTGTTGTTCTCTCCCGAAACTAAACGGGTAGATCTGATCGCCATATGTTTCTGCATCTTGTGGTGTCTCTAATTTTCCGAGGATGGGGGTGTAGCTCTGGTTTGGCCCTGTCGTTTATTTCCTCTTTTCTTCTGTTACCCGGCAGATTTTTTGGGCGTCACGGTCGTCAGACGTGTTGTATCGGAGGACGAGCGCTGGGAGGGACGATTGGAGGCGCCGGGTATCTTTCCCTTTCGGCATTTCGCAGGCATTGCTCCGATATCAGGTTTGGGCGGCGGTTTATGACCCGAGAAGTGAGAATTCAACTCCGCCACCGCCGCCATGTTCACTGAAGGGCTTGATCCTCATGCCGTCCGATGGGTTCAGCAGGTAGGTTTGCTCCTCCTCTTTCCCCTCGTCATCTTTTTCTTGTTCGTCGTGGATGGGCGGTTCTGTTCCTTTGGGCGTTGTCTCGGTCTCGTCACGTCTAAATAGAACGATGCATGTTCTACTAGGAGACGCGCACAAATTCCAGCTCAAACAAGGGTCTTCATTCTGTCCGAGGCGATAACTGGGGGGTGGGAGGGGCAGGGGGCGCACGGGCGTCTGTCTTGCCACGACCGGAGAAGTTTCGAAGTGGGCACTTAACTCAGGCTTACGTCCCCGTGTCGCGCACCATTCCGGCTGATGAAGACAGCGTTTCAAGCACTTCTGACATGGATGAGGATACGGACTATGATGAGGATAGATACAGCGCGAGATATTACCCTAGCTCACCGCCCAAAGTTGGTCGCATGCAGACCCAGCATCATCAGCAGCGGGGTCAACGGCGTTCTGGTGACGTCAATGGAACCGTTAGCGTGCCCAAGAAAACTGTTCTGTCGAGCCAGTATCAGTATTCCAGTGATACATACTCAGATTTGAGTCCTTCCAGAAGTCAGCGTTATCCTCAGAAGCAAAGCGGACAAACTCATACGAGCGACTACACAGAGGATGATGAATCTGAATCAGGTTGCAGCTTAGAATTCACTTCTGGGCTGCAGAGACCTAATGGAGATACATACATGTCGTCACGAAGATCTCCCCAGAAAAGTAACTTCCACAATGTTCCCTTCCAGGGAGGAGGGCAGACATATTCTGAAAAGGTTCGACCTCTAACCTTAACCCCTTTAGGATTATAAAATTACAAATATGCATATCCTGTGTAGTTTGGAGCATTAATGTGGAAATTCTATAACACCTAACCATTCTATTAAGTCTGTCCGAACTGATCTTATAGAATGGTTAAGTGTTTTAATGTGGAAATTGTGCTTTGGATGAATGTAACATGCCAAAAGAAGTTGATCACGAGAAGAAGACAGGCCAAATGAAGATGATTAGCCCCTAAAAATGCTCACTACTAAAAACTGAAATACATAGTAAAATTCATTAATTTTTTTGGCTGAAAATTTTTATGTTCCTAAAACAATTAGCACTTTTCTTGCTTATAACTGAACTCTATCTGCATAGCTTCACTGGGTAGTTACATGATACTCTAGTGGTGCTCATTGCAATTGGGAATGTCAAAATAAATGCTTGCCCAGGAGGCTGCGCAGGGAGAGATGCCAAGCCAGGTCCTGCACTACACAGTGCAAAGGATCTACAGTTGAGGACCAGCCACGTTTGCAAAGATACCCAGGAATGTACTGGACTCCATAAGTGGGTCTTTAGGTGTGGAAGTCAAAAAGAAGTTCGTGGGCGGAAAGATAATTTGGGGGATTATCACAACTGCTTATGGATTTCCTCAGCTAGGAGATGCATGTACAGCAAAGTTTGGACATAAGGATTTCATTACCTTTAGAACTGTCTTATAACTTGGGAATGGGACTCATTTTTTCAAGTGTTTTACCGATTATTTGTATTAATTTTTAGAAAGCTGAAGTTTTTCTAGTACGTTTGCTTAAAGTTTTACTGTTATCAATTGAAGTTTTTTTCTGATAGGATATGCTTTCAGGATCCTCAGGTTGGACGCCTGGCTAGCAAAAACAATAATGATGCCAAGGTTCCTAGTGCCCCACCACTATACGTCCCTACTCATCAAATCAAGGAAGAGGTGGGCAAAAAGGCCTCAATGCTAAGAGTTACTCCATTTTCAACTGCTTCATCATCATCATCCATCAAGAATCAGCAGAATGCAGATGCCAGTGTTAGATTGAACGCATCCAACAAGTATGCTTGGCCCACGAAGCATAGTTTCCATTCTCTTTAAGAATGATTTCTTAAATTTAAAGTTCTACTACCTGTTGGCAGGACAAATGATGCTGATGTTGAGGCGACAACTTCTGGTTCTGTTGCAGTTCGTGTACCCAATTACCATGCAAGGTGGAGTGTCCTTCACGTTATTCGAAACAACAGTGAAATCATTTAGTGGATAAACTTTGTGGTGCCTCTACACTCATTCTTAGTCTTGTTGACTTGTAAGTTAGCATCTGATTTCGTCTCATATGTTTCAGTGGACAAGGACCATGGCATTCAGTTATCGCATATGATGCATGTGTTAGACTTTGCCTTCACTCATGGGCGATAGGTTGCATGGAGGCTCCTACTTTTCTGGAGAATGAGTGTGCCTTGCTGAGAAATGCATTTGGGTGAGCTGAAGTTTTTTCACTTTTGATATAAAAAAGGATTAAATTTAATGTTTCTATAAAAATAATTAAATTGCGCCAGGCCTCTACATTTATCTCGTTTGAGTGTTTTTTGCCGTGCAAAGATGCCTTTGCATTTGGTCGTACTCATTTCGTGGCTTTCTGTGCTTTTCCTAGTTTGCAGCGAATCTTGTTACAATCAGAGGAGGAATTACTTGCACAACGCTCATCTAAAGTTACCAATGAAGTTCCTGTTGTAAAACCAAAGAAGACAGTTGGCAGGATGAAAGTACAAAGTGAGATAGTTTTCTTGTTTGCAATGCTTCTCTCCTTTCTGAAATTTGGTACACTACTGCGGTCTGATTGTGCCATCTTGCCCGCGTTTTTAATGTTTGTCTAATTAATCTCATTTTCTGAATGTCATCCCTGTCTTTCTCAAGAAAATACACTAGCCTTGCTATTATCTGCCATTTTTTCTGATCTATGTTTATCAACTTTTTTAACGTATATATTGTATAATTTTGGATTTATGGGATCAATCTTTGACTTCTAAGCATAATATTCTTTTGCAGTTCGCCGAGTTAGAATGGTCGCAGATGGGCCTTCAGGCTGCAGCTTTTCTTCTTTGCAGCCGCCAGTTATAAACTTGAAAACATTCCGGCACCAAATCTCAAACCTACAGTCGAGTCTTTCTTCTGGATGGGGGTCTCTTCGAAATGTTCGTCTAGTACCTCATTTACCTACCACCAGGTCCTTTTCACGGAATAGCATGGCATATATGCATGCTAGTACTCAGTATATCAAACAGGTTTCTGCACTCCTTAAAATTGGTGTCACTACATTGCGTAGCAGATCCTCATACGATGTGATGCAAGGTATAGAAACTCAACAATGTTGATGCTTACTCTTCTGACAATTGATATATTTGTATTTAATTACTGTTAACGAGAAATATATCATTTCGACAGAGTCTTACTCATGTCAGTTGAGGCTCAAAAGTGCAAGTGAACAAGATGCCATTAGAATGCAACCGGGATCAAGTGATTCACATGTCTTGTATGTTTCGTTTATTTGTATTTACGTGCATTGTTGTTTTACATTCGTGCCTTCAGTAGATATTGACTTAGCATGGATCTACGCACTTTCAGTTACCTTTTTTGCATTTTGTAGAAAGTTGTTTTATCTCTTGTTTGTTACCTATCAATCGGTGTTCAGGGAGAAATATATGAGGCTTTTCTTTTAAATTGCAGCTTTCCGGATAGTTTAGGAGATGACTTAATTATTGAGGTCTATGATTCCAAGGGAAACTCTTATGGTCGTGTGCTTGCTCAAGTGGCTACCATATCTGAGAGTGCAGTAAGTTGTCCTTGATATTTTCGTCGCTTTTACTATGCGGTGGGTTGTTCCTTTATGACCATCGGATTTCTGGTTCTGTGCAGAGTGACAAGCTTCGGTGGTGTCCCATTTACCGTGAACCTGAGCACGAACTTGTAGGTCACCTGCAGCTTTTTGTAAGCTACTCGACTGGTCTTGATGAGAATGGTTCTCTTAAGGTAATGATATCAACAGAAAATCTTGTTTGTTTTGATACAAAGTAATTCATAAATGAAAGAAAGACATGATTACGGATTTCACTCCTATTGCGCATATGATGGCTAATCTTAGATACTGGGTTTTTACTTCGCTCATCATTGTCATTTTCTGCTGAACCCATCAAATTGCAGCTGGGGAGGCAGAAAATGTCTTTTAGTGAGCCTGTTGTCAAACATCTCTCGCTGTATCGAATCTATCTTACATGGATTCACATTGTCGTATCTATGTTGTTTGCTTCATCTCCCTTTATTCATTTGATATATCATTTCAAACTTCTCATATAAATTTGGCACCACAATTCCCATTTTACAGGGATAATTCAACCAATAAAAATGTAGAAAAAATATAAAAGGAATCATGTATGGCTTGTAAAGGTATATTACAATACTAGAGGGGAATAACAAAAGAAAGCACTGAATGATTGTTCCCTTGCTTGTGATTACGACAAGCTTTCACAAAAATGCATTCACGGAACTGTGTCTAGGAATGATTTTTGTTGTCAATCCAACCTCTTTCAGTTTTTCGATTGAACCTTGAGAACATCACAGTAATGTTGTGCTCCTCTTAGTGTGGTTCTGTCGCAGAAACCATGGCTTATGATGTGGTCTTGGAGGTTGCGATGAAAGTTCAACATTTTCAACAAAGGAATTTGCTGTTGCACGGGTCTTGGAAATGGTTGCTTTCAGAGTTTGCATCCTACTATGGGGTGTCGGATGCGTACACCAAACTAAGGTAAAGCTGTCTTACCGATGTTTTATTGCATAGCCTTTTTGTTTCTGTTTACTGGCATTCTTTTTTCTTTATTTATCTTAATTTCCCCTGTCCTTGTCAACTTATAATTCTGATTCTTGGGCAGATACCTTTCTTATGTTATGGATGTAGCAACACCCTCAGCCGACTGCCTCACCTTGGTGTATGATTTGTTGTCTCCCGTAATTCTGGGAAACCAAGTTAGATGTACCCTAAGTCATCAAGAGGTAAGCACTTTTCCGGTACCCGCATTCTTTTGAGATTATGTTTTAAATTATAGTGATATGACTGGGATGTGACTGTTAAGGCATGTGCTCTGGATAAAGGTTCTCTTTCTCTTTCTTTAAAATTTATCTACCCTGTTCTTATGGCTGGACGCTGATAAGTATGTTTGAATTTGAGCGGATTCTATCATATCGTTCCTATTTTTCTTGTATTATTCTTTTATAATTTTTTTCCTAAGTTTTAGTTGGATGTGCTTGACCAGAATCGGATCTTGGGAGAGATTGAGGAACAAGTTGAGCAAATTTTGTCTACGGTTTTTGAGAACTACAAGTCTTTGGACGAGTCATCACCTTCAGGAATGATGGGTGTCTTTCGATCAGCAACTGGATCCCCAGCTCCAGCGTTAGCACCTGCTGTAAAGCTATTTACGCTTCTCCATGACATTCTATCCCCAGAGTCACAGTTGAAGTTATGTGTGTACTTTCAGGTCTGGAATTGACAAAACTTAATTCCTTGTATGTTCTCTTCGATACTTTATATCTTAGCTTGCCAGGATTCTGTGTGTTAGACTGCAGTGAAGAAGAGATCGAGGAGGCACCTTGTAGAAACAGATGAGTTTATTGCCAACAATTCTGAGGGATGCACTATGGATAATATATCAATGTCCACTGCGTATCAGAAGATGAAAGCACTTTGCTTAAATATAAGAAATGAAGTCTATACTGATATTGAGATTCATAATCATCACGTACTTCCAAGGTGAGCTCTCTCTTGGCTGTACCATTTTTACTCCCCAGCCACAAATAGCATCCTGTGGTTTCTTGTCATTATCTGGCTATGCATAACATCGAATGCCCTAAAAAATCGAACCTGAAATTCTAAGTGCTATTGATAGAATGCCCAACAAGTAGTATTCTGCCTGCCCTGTCTATTTTTCCTTAGGGAAAGAGGGCAGTAGCAATCAACCCCTGAGGAAGCCATTTCCATAGGGAGTGATCTACTCCGGAGAACTACCTTGTATTTACATTCTTTCATAATTTTATTTTCAATTCGCCTCATGTAAGTTGCTTTTTTTTTATTCTCCATTTCATTTTTGTTCAGATTTAGACACAGTTTTTTTTTTCTAACTCATGCTTGGAAAAAATATTCCAGGACCCGTGACCTACGAAATTTGCTGCTTGAATTTTAAATGTTAAAAATTGAACTTCTTGTATATCTCTCCGTTTCCTATGCATCGGTATTGATGATCGGGCATGCCATCCTGCACACCTCTCCTTACCCTCCCCATCGGTTTTGATGGTTGGACGTGGCAGGCTGACTGCTCTTCCCAAAAAGACTGAAAGAATGAAGATCTTCAGGCGGAAACTGATGTGACCCAACCCAAAAAATTGTAAATATTGGGCTCATATATCATTTTGTTCATGCGAGCCTTCCCATGAGTGAACCCATTGTAAGATAACTTCAGTTTTGAAGTTGTCCAAATGGACTACAGTTCATTGGTTTATATAATTTTTCTTTATAAGTGCTTTTGCTTATGGACGCCAGATTTGTGTGCCTGTACTTAATTTGCCGTTAAATTATTTTCGCCGATTATGGATTCTGTGCCATATAAATGGCGATTATGGTTACTATTATCGTCTTCTTACATTGCTTTCATCCCAGCTTATCTGCTCATCCGCGTGGCTTTTCTATAGCTACACGTCTCTTTGAGCCTAATCAGAGCTCCTGTTTACTAACCCATCGTCGCTGGCTGTTTCTGTAATCTGACCAATCGCACTTGTTGTTTCAGCTTCATAGACCTTCCGAATATCTCTGCCTCCATCTACAGCGTGGAGCTTTGCAATAGACTGCGTGCATTCCTCGTGGCATGCCCTCCCGCCGGTCCTTCGCCCCCTGTAGCAGATCTTATCATCGCCACTTCCGATTTTCAGGGTGACCTCGTGCGCTGGAACATGAGGTAACCAACGTTGCCAAATCCTCTGCAAACCCGTGTCAGTATTTCTTCCAGATAGTATGGTATTACTGAGCCATGCTGTTATTCTCCGCAGTGCCGTCAAAGGCGGTGTCGACGCGAAAGAGTTGTTTCACTTGTACATAGTACTGTGGATTCAGGACAAGCGTCTCCAGTTGCTTGAGTCTTGCAAACTAGACAAGGTAAAGGGGGGGGGGGGGCGGGGGCGTGTTCCTTCAGTATATATATATATATATCATCTTTCCCGGGACGAAGAACCCTGGTTGATCTGCAGGGACCTGCTCTGGGCCTCCTCTGCCTGTTTGCTCCATGGAGATATGTGTTCTATCTTCTAAGTACTGGGATGGATTGTGCAGGTGAAATGGTCCGGGGTCAAGACCCAGCATTCCACCACCCCATTTGTGGACGAGATGTACGACCGGCTCAGGGAGACGCTGAACGAGTACGAGGTCATAATCAGTCGCTGGCCCGAGTACACCTTCCTACTGGAAAATGTGAGCCTCGTTTACTTCCTCTGATCTTGGGGCGACGACGACGATGACGACGACGGTGATGATGATCTGATCTTCTGTCTCGGAATATCCAGGCTGTGGCGGACATTGAGAAAGCCGTGATAGAGGCCCTGGAGAAGCAGTACGCGGACGTCCTGGCCCCTCTCAAGGACAGCATGGCCCCGAAGAAATTCGGCCTCAAATACGTCCAGAAGCTGGCTAAGCGAAGCTCCCCAGTACCTTACACGGTCTCCGAGGAGGTAGGCTGACCCCCTCATCTTGACTTATTTTTCGATCTACCTCATTCGGCATTCTTATGTATATGTGTGTGTGAATTTTCCTTTTGTGGGGGGGGTTTTGTCAGCTGGGGATTCTGCTGAACACGATGAAGAGGCTGCTGGACGTGCTGCGGCCGAGAGTGGAGGCGCAGCTGAAGTCGTGGGGTTCCTGCATCCCCGACGGCGGCGGCGGCGGAGCCACGGCCCCCGGGGAGCGCCTCAGTGAGGTGACTGTCCTCTTGAGGGCCAAGTTCAGGAACTACCTCCAGGCCGTCGTGGAGAAGCTCGCCGAGAATGTAAGACGCATTTTAGAAAACCACCATCCTCTCTCCTCTTCCTCTTCCTCCTGATCACTCAGAAAACCAGACTAGTAGACTGCGTATGCATAAACCACATCATCATAACCCCTCTGCTCTTGCTCTTGCTCTTTCTCTTGCTGTGGCTCTCTGTATGTGGATTACAGAGCCGAGGGCATAGCCAGACCAAGATGAAGAAGATCATCCAGGACTCCAAGGACGTCGTGATGGAGTCGGACATCCGTACCCGGATGCAGCCTCTCAAGGATCAGCTCATCGCCTCCATCGACCACCTCCACTCCCTCATGGAGCCCCACGTCTTCATAGCCATCTGCCGCGGCCTCTGGGACCGCATGGGCCAGGTCCCCCTTCCCTCTCTCTCTCTCTACCCTCTACCCTGTACTCTCTACCCTCTATCTCTCCATATCTTACTGATGGGTGTGGTGTGATGGACGCAGGACGTGCTGAGCTTTTTGGAGAACAGGAAGGAGAACCGGTCGTGGTACAAGGGGTCGCGGGTGGCGGTGGCGGTGAGTTGCCCCCGTCTCTCTCTGTCTCTCTCTCTCTCTCACTCTGTGTTGCTGCTGCTGCTGCTGCTGCATCTCCCTTTCTCTTTACCTGGGACGTTTATTAGTCCATCTTCTCCTTCTCCTCCTCGGCGATGGCGCAGATCCTGGACGACACGTTCGCGTCGCAGATGCAACAGCTGCTGGGGAACGCGCTCATGGAGAAGGATCTCGAGCCACCGCGGTCCATCGTGGAGGTGCGCTCCGTGCTCTGCCGAGACGCCCCCAACCACAAGGAGTCCAACTTCTACTACTGAACTAAAAACTAAGCCAGGGCCCCCGTTTTGTGCGGCCTCCCAATACCCCTTCCCTCTCCCCCACCCCCCACCACCAGGAGGCGGCCACTTTAAAGCTTCCTCGCCGCCCTGCAACCCATCTGATTTATTCCTCTGTTCCTATTACTAGCAATCTATTCCTCTCTCTCTCTCTCTCTCTATTTCTCTTGTTATTCACATATTTATTATATATTGGGATTCACGGTTTCAGAAGAAACACTCGAGAGTGGGGGGGGATCCGGTGATGCCGTCAGAGATGGTCATCGTTGATCCGCCATTGTATGAGCTTCTGGGCAATGCCGTCGTCAGATGCGGCGCCTCTCTCTCTCTCTCTCTCTGAGCTCAGCCGCGAACCTCCTCCTGACCGATACCACCAATATCGTCACTCCGAGGGGAAGCACCCGGCCATAGCGCGGAAGACAAAAGCTATGCGGCCGCCGTCGTCCCCTTCGAGAGCCCCATGTCGCCGCCGAAGGAACCGGATACGCCGCGTCCTCTTGTCCTTCCTCGACGGCTGTTGGACATGCCGACGAATCTCTCTGCTACAGATCGGCTCTGCCAAACCGAGCTTCCAACCCTAAATACACCTTCTCCGGGGAGTAGCCCTCCATCTCCAAGCCCCGTTCCTCACCTTCTCCAATGGGGCTTCCTCCTCTTCCCGATGGCCGCAAATGGGGCCTCCTCGTCGTCAACTTCATCCTCACCATCCTCGGAGCCGCTGCCCCTTTCCTCCTCCGCCTCTACTTCCTCCGCGGCGGCCGGAGCTTGTGGCTGTCGAGCTTGGTGCAGGTCGGGGGCTGGCCGCTACTCCTGATCCCTCTCGCCGTCTCTTTCCTCCGCCGCGGCCCTGGCGGCGGCGGCGCCACCCTGATGAGCTTCTCTTTTGCGGCCACCTTCGCCGGCATCGGCGTGCTCATCGGCGTGGACAGCTACATGTACGCCGTGAGCTCCTCCCTCCTCCCTGCGTCGACCAATTCGATCCTCTCCTCCACTCAGCTGGCCTTTGTGGCGGTCTTCTCCTTCCTCATCGTCCGGCAGCGTTTCACGGCATGCTCCACCAACGCCGTGGTGGTACTGACGCTCGGCGCCGCCGTGCTAGCCGTGCAGGCCCCTGCCGGCGACCGCCCGGCGGGAGAATCCACGTCCAAGTACGCCGTGGGTTTCGCCACGTCGCTCGGCGCCGCCGCTCTCTACGCGCTGACCCTGCCGTTGACCGAGCTGATGTACAGGAAGTTCAGAGAGGAGGTGACGTATCGGATGGTCGTGGAGGTGCAGCTACTAGTCTCCGCCCTCGCCTCTGCTGTCTGCATTGTTGGCATGTTAGTCAACGGGGATTTCCAGGTTCTTCCTCCTCCCCTCTCTCTCTCTCTCTCTCTCTCTCTCTCTCTCTTTCTCCCTCTCTCTCTCTCTCTCTCTCTCTCTCTTTCTCCCTCTCAATCTCTCTCTATCTGTCTATCTTCCCCCCTCCCTCTCTCTCGCTCTTGCTCTAAGAAAGGAGAGGACTAAAGGGGGTGGTTTGAATTGGTCGCAGGCGGTGGGGAGGGAAGCGAGGGAGTCGGAGATGGGGGAGGCGAAGTTCTACGTGGTGCTGGTGGGGGGGGCGGCGGCGTGGCAGGCGTTCAGCTTGGGCCTGATGGGCACTGTCGCCTGCTCCTCCTCGCTCTTCGCCAGCGTGGTGCTGGCACTGCTCCTCCCCGTCTCGGAGATCGCAGCCGTCCTCCTCTTCCACGAGCGCTTCGACGGCCGGAAGGGCGTCGCCCTCGCCCTCTCTCTCTGGGGCTTCGCCTCCTTCTGCTACGGCGAGCTCACCCTCAGCCACCACCTCCTCCCTCGAACCTCCTCCCTGTTAGAGCTGGAGCTGCCTGCTCCCTAAAACCTGCCGCTCTCTCTCTCTCTCTCTCTCTCTCTCTCTCTCTCTCTCTCTCTCTCTCTCTCTCTCTCTCTCTATATATATATATATATATATATCTATCTATCTTTCTTTCTCTCTTTGTCTCTCTAAAACCTGCCGTCACCCTGAGTTTCCATTCAGTTCTCTCTCTCTCTCTGCCTATCGTTCACTCTCTATCTATCTCTAAAACCTGCCGCACCCTGGGTCTCCATTCAATCCCCTCTCTGTCTCTCTCTCTCTAGACTGCAATGTGTAAACTAGAAAAGGTCCTGATACCGTCCACATTCCTGCATCACCTGTCTCGGTTGGGGGCTTCGATATCTCTGACCCCGAAGCCTCGTCCTACCTTCCTGCTACTTTCTCTCGTCTATCCTGACATCATCCTCTCTCTCTCTCTCTCTGACTGAGAATTAGGTGTGGTTCGGAGGGCTACGTAGTTCAGGCCACCGCATTTGAGTGGTCGCCAGAGTGCGTAGACCTCGTAAAATATTCCAGATATGCAAGTGGGCCCATGCGAGGGCCATATCGACATATTCCCTACCTGTCATTTTAACTATAATTGGCCTATATTTAACTATATAATGATAATTCCAAGCTTATGGACACAATCTGTCATTTTATTAACATTCTTGACGCTTCTCATAACGGGCTACGCGCGTTCATTATTTTTCGTTTAATAATAATAATAATAATAATAATATGTTGGACTCCTAGAACTTACCAGAGGAAAGAGATTATTCGATCCCCCTCGTACACGTGTACGATCATGGCGTCGGATGAGAGAATCGTCGACGAACGGTTCAGACCAAAACCGCCCGCACAGGTTGGTCGGGTCAACACGTCACCGGGAAGATGGAAAGAAGCTTCAGCTCGGTCAGCTATCGTGCGTCTTCCACTGTTAATTTGACTTTTCAACCAATTTGGAAGGTTCCCGACCGAATGGTCCACTTCAGCTTCCTAGACTTTGTGCCGCCGCCGCCACCGCCGTGACCCACAATCCACATTCCCAGTCAGAACCCGCAATCTTTGAATAAAAAGTCAAACGTACATATTTGGGAATCCTTCCACGTGGACGTCAGATTGCCCACTACTCGGATAGTGAACCGCGTTTAATGTTAGGCCGCGGAATAAGTTTATGAGGGAACTGTAATCAATAGGGACGTTTATGCAATAAAAAGTTTACTTTAGGTTATTTATAATGCTAACTTGTCAGTTCATGTCTGAATTTTCTCTGTTTGTGGAGGCCGAGTACAATTTTATAAAGCGGACCCGCTTCGAAGAAGTGATGAACCGACACTCGCCGCCCACTCTGGGTATATAAACCATTTAATGTTTTATGATGTTTTATTGTATATATCCCTTACAGAAATGCCCTTGCTGAGAGTGGCATATCCCCATGCCGTAGTTCTTCTGACAAGAAAAGGGATCCCCCCCCCCCCCCTCCTCCCATCGAGCATAAAAGCTCTCTAGTCGGCGACCACCGGTGCTCCCCCCCCTCAGCCACCCCACACCCCCAATGAAGACGACCACCGCCACCTGCCGGCACCGCCATGGCTACTCCGCCTCCCCTCTCATCGTCTTCTTCCTCTTCCTCTCCCTCCTCTGCTCCGCGGCGGCGCAGACAACGTCCAACCCCGGCTCGCCGCCGGAGCCATTCCCCAACGCCTGGAGGGGCAACTTCAACCCGGCCATGGCCGTCATTGTCATCGGCCTGATCAGCGCCTTCTTCTTCATGGCCTTCTTCTCCATCTACCTCCGCAACCGCAGAGAACGCGACAGCCGGGCGCTCACCGCCGGTGGGAACGGCGGCGCCAGGTCCCGCCGCGTTGGCGGCGCCCCGCGGGGGCTGGAGGCGGCGGTGATCCAGACCTTCCCGACGCTGGTCTACTCCGAGGTGAAGGAGCACAAGATCGGCAAGGGCGCCCTCGAATGCGCCGTCTGCCTCTCCGAGTTCGAAGACGACGATACCCTCCGTCTCCTCCCCAAGTGCGACCACGTCTTCCACCCTGATTGCATTGACTTGTGGCTCGCCTCCCACACTACCTGCCCCGTCTGCCGCACCAACCTCTCCCCCGCCGCCGCCGCCGCCGGCGACCCATCTCCCCCTGCCGGCGACGACGCGGTGCTGGTGCCCGTCGAGCCGCCGGAGCAGGTTGCCATCACTATTGACGAGGAAGAGGAAGGAGTAACAGGGGCGGCGGCGCGCAGGGCGGAGGAGGTTCTGCCGAAGCCGCTGCCGGCGAGCCGGGCGGCACGGCGGCGGAGCTGGTCATTCTCGAGGGTCCCCCGGTCGCACTCGACGGGGCACTCGCTGCAACCGGCGGTGGAGGAGGACCGCGAGAGGTACACCCTGAGGCTGCCGGAGAATATCCGGCGGGAGGTGGTGGCGGGGAAGTTCCGGCGGTCCGCGAGCTGCCTCGCCGCTTCGGCGAGCGGTGGGGAGGGGAGCTACAGGAAGGCCCGCGTCGGCGGCTCGGTCGGAGGGAGGAGCTTCAAGATGAAAAAGTGGGAGTGGTCGGTGAAGTCCGACCGGTGGGCCTCCTTCAAGAGGACCTTCTCCGTCAAGATCTCCAGGGGCGACGACGCCAGCGAGAGCTCGCCCAGGAAGGGCGGCGACGGGGGCGTCCCCAGCGCTGCGGCGGCAGCGATGGCGGCGGGTCGATTGTCCTTCAAGATGAGGGTCAACCCCAGCACGGCGGATTCCGTCGACTCTCGCGGCGGCAGCGGCGCCGCCACCGATGTCCGACCGGCGGCGAGTTGACCACGCCGCGCCCTACTCTTTCCTTGAACCTTCGATAATTCTTTTTTTGGTTCAAATTTCAAATTTACCCCTGTAGATATTATAATGTCATTTCAAAATCTTTGGTAAAACCATTTGTGAGAACGATGCATTTCATTTGCATTTGAGACGTCGTCGCTGTCGTCTGAACTGGTCAGTCTCACCGAAGCTATGGCGACCTCCGATCACCAGCCACAGGAGGAGCCTCGCGCCGCTCCTCCACCTATGACGGTGAAGGAGCTCGTCGACTCCGGCGCCGTCGGCTCCGTCGTTCCTCCCGAGTACCGCTCAAGGGACCAGGATCACGCCGCCGTCGAAGTCGAAATCCCTACTGTCGATTTCTTGCTGCTCCGCGAGGGGGACGATCGCCAGAGGAGGAAGACGATCCGTGAGCTCGGGAGGGCGTGCGAGGAGTGGGGGTTCTTCATGGTGAATCCGTGTGGCCGCACAGATTGCGATCGATCCGCCTCCGATTGCGGGGGAAATTAGGGCAGAAGAAGTCACGGGGATGTGGAATTGCTGCAGGTCGTCAACCATGGGGTTCCGATCGGGATCATCGACGCGATGCTTGATGCGGCGCGGGGGTTCTTCGACCTGCCGGAGGCGGAGAAGAGGGAGTACGCAGGGAATCATGTTCTCGATCCCATCCGGTGCGGCACCAGCTTCAACCCCGCCGTGGAGGACGTCAAGTACTGGAGAGACTACTTCAAGTTGATCGTCCATCCGGTCTTCACTTCCCCCTCGAAGCCTCCCGGCTTCAGGTGAGCTCCCTTCCCGATCGTCCGCTGATCAGCGCGGGCCATCTGTTTGCGGACATCTCTCTGTGAACTTCACCTCTCTGTTCCAACTATTCGATGGATGGCTGTGGAGCGAGGCGCTGCTGGGCTATGCTACGTGCGTGAGGAAGATGACGATGGAGCTGCTGAGGGGAATAAGCGAGGCGCTGGGCCTGGAGCAGCACTGCATGGAGAGGGAGCTTGATCTGTACAATGGAGTTCAGTTAGTGGCGGGAAACCTGTATCCTCCCTGCCCACAGCCGGAGCTTGCGATGGGCCTGCCGCCGCATTCTGACCATGGCCTCCTCACCGTTCTTCTCCAGAACGGCGTGGGTGGCCTCCAGGTGAAGCACGGCGGCAGCTGGGTCCACGTCCGGCCGGCGCCCTGTTCCTTCCTCGTCAACACCGGAGACCACATGGAGGTCAGTTCCATCTCCGACACAGTTACCCTCAGAGTACCACGGTGATGAATCCATTCTGCCCTTTTAATGGAAAATCTGGTTCAATTAGGTTGGCTATAGCCTCAAAACGATTGAATTTTCTCAGAAGTTGGATAGATTGTGGTAAAAATCCCATCTTGGGAATGGAATCCTCATCATCTTCTTCTTCTTTTAGAGAACTATTTATGAAGGGAAAAGAAGTCAAACCGTATTCTCTTAAAGCTTTCTCCTGTTTATTTTCTAAGTCAAAAGGATGGTCAATTGTGACATGAAAAAAATACCGCACTGTGCAATTTTTTATTTATTATTCGCCCAACATTTCTTGCGAACTTAACCGCATAATAATGCATTGTTTCGTCATCATAAATCATCGTTGAAGCTTACATCTTGCTTTCTTCTATTCAACGTGGAAAGTCAACCCTCTCAACGCTTCATCATCCTCATGACCGCCGTGCAGCGTTTATATGCTATTAGCTGTCATCGTCATCAGATTCTATGATGTGGGCCGCAGATATTCAGCAACGGGAGGATCAAGAGTGTCCTGCACAGGGCGGTGGTCAATAGCTGGGCCACGAGGATGTCCATCGCCGTGGTCCAGGGGCCGTCTCTGGAGACCTGCGTCCGGCCTACTCCACTCCTGGTGAAGGGCGTTGACCGTCGGATGTTCCGCGGGATGAAGTACCGGGACTACGTGGAGTTCCAGCAGAAGAACCGACTCGAGGAGAAGTCTGTTCTGGATGTTCTCAGGTCAACGGGCGACTGATCGTGGGTTCTTTAGAGCCTGAATGCAGCTGGCTAACATGTTTATAGAAGGGCTTCAGTTTGACCCAGAAATCCCCCTCTGCGAGAATAAATGGGTTTCCATTTACCCGGTAAACTGCCATCCTGGGAATGTCTTCCATGGTCATACCGATAAATCTCTCTCTCTCTCTCTCTCTCTCTCTCTCTCTCTCTCTCTCTCTCTCTCTCTCTCTCTCTCTCTCTCTCTCTCTCTCTCTCTCTCTCTCTCTATCTCATTCTAGAAATGGGAAAGTGTGTAATTCCTTGAGGATTTGGATACTTGGGCCTTTCTGTGTCGGGTTGGAGTGTCAATGGGTCGAATCAAGCTCGAGCCTTGCTACCTGAGTAGAGAGAGAGAGAGAGAGAGAGAGAGAGAGAGAGAGAGAGAGAGCTGGGTTGAAGCATTTAGAAAAAAACTCAACGCCGACGCTCTATCCAATTACGGTTTATATTTGGTTAAAAAAACTTCTTTATTTATAAAATATCATCACTTTTTTTTCTCCATTCCCTCGTTTCATTGAAATCAGAAGAACCCAACAGGAATCCTGGGCACTCTTTGCAAGTCAACTTACCTTGGGACAACTGAGTTGATCTAATTCTCATATCCGAGACCGAAGAAAGATACCAATTTTAGTATCAGATTTCCAAAAGGGGTAAAACTAGCAGAGAGACAATCGGATTTGATCCGTCTTGGTTGATATTAATCGGCTGATTCCCGCACAGTTTAGATTTTTCACCAGCAGAGTATTGTTCGGAGAGGAACGATGGAAGAAACCGGAAGAAGAGAAGAGGAAACCGCTGAAGCCACGGCGGAGACTGCCGCTCCAAAGCCTCCCTTCTTTTGGTGGCGGCGGAGGGAGGAAGAAGACGGTGGCGCGAGCAGAGATCAGACTCCCGCCTCCTCCTGGATCTTCATCAGCATCTGGTTCACCGCCGCCGCGATCTCCTCCACCGTCGACAGCTGGCACTCGTCCTCCACCTGCCCATTCGTCGGCGTTGAGAGAGAACGGAATAAGAGAGAGAAAGAGAGAGAGAGGGCGGCGGCGGCGGCTGACCTTGAGACTAAAGGAGTAGAGGACCGTCTGATCATGGGAGGTGACGTTTAGGTGGAGAACGGAGAGGCGGAGGCTCTGCAAACCAGCCACCGTGTTTATAAGATGCCTCGGCCGCCGGCGGGAGAGGATCTTCAGGTTGGCGTGACTCTCCACCATCGTCACCTCGATGTCCGCCGGCGGCGGCTTGGCGGTTCCGCCGGGGGGGCTCGGGGAGGATGACAGAGCGGCGGAGGCGGAGTACTGCGGGAAGGTGAAGAACTTGGAGAACGGGGAGGCGGCGGCGCCGCCGTTAGCGGGACCCTCCGGGCGGTGGGTTCTCCTCTGGGCTTCGAGGAAGTGCAGAAGCTGCTCGAGCTCCTTGACGAAGTTGATGGCTCCGCCGATGATCGACGCCTGATCTCCCTGCGGAAAATGAGGACGAATTCAGGAAGGGCTTCACCAGACGGGGGAGAGGGGGGGGAGAGAGCTCGAGTTTCTTCCCCATGGCAGAACACAGACCCTCTGAACGTAAGAGAGCGGCATGAGCGACCGGAGAACGGAGAAGTACTGGTTCATCTGCTTGCGCCGGTTGCGCTCGACGGCAATGTGGGTCATCCTCTGGTTCTCCACGTCCTCCCGGTTCTTGCAAGTCCTCGCCCTCCGCCGCTTCCGCCGCCCGTTCCCCTCCGCAGCGCCGCCGTCGCCGGCGAAGACGGCCACCTCGCCGCCACCGTCGTCCGGCGATGGCGAGCTGACGACCCAATTCGTTCTTCTTCTCTCCGGTTCCTGCCCCATCTCGGCGGCGGCGCCGCCGCCCCCATCGCCCACCCCACATCCCGGCGGCGCCGCCAACGTCTCCCCCTCCCCCAGCGCGCCAAAATCGTACCCCCACGTTCCCCCAGTCACCGTGCAAAGATCCCTTCCACCGTGGTTGAAGGATTCTGAGGGAAAAACAACAGCTTCCAGGGCCATCCTCTCTCTCTCTCTCTCTCTCTCTCTCTAGACCTGTTTCTACAGGTGAACACGTTGAAAGAGACCCAGCCGCCCACTTTTCTTGAATCGCCGCCCCGAGGTGATGGGAGAAGGAGCCCCGAGCTTCTTAAAGGTGATCGCCGGAGAGGTTGAAGGCCGTCGGGGGGGGGGGAGGAGAGGAAAAGGATGGTAGAATGTTTTCGGAGAAAAGGCTGACAGAACAGACGCTTACATAGGGAAGAGAGAGAGAGAGAGACAGAAAGTCAGAGAGATTGTAAGGTCAGAGACTGTGATATGATGAGCCAGAGAGGTTGAGGTCGTCAGCGAGGGGTGAGATCACTGCTCAACCCAGGTGCCCGCCTGGGTCCTCACTCCCCTTCGTCGCAACTTCCCTTCTCCGCAGCCATTAGAGACTCTTCAAGCTCTCTCTCTCTCTCTCGCTCTCGTAAGAACCTTGGGGAGCCGTTTCTCCCTTTTTTGGCGCCTTGCTTCGCTTGGCTCGCCAGGTGGGAGAAGGCAGCAGTGGGAGGAGAGAGAAAGGGCTTCAACGTGTTCGACGGCGAGGCGGCCGAAAAGCGCGGAAGAGGGGGGTGCCCGGATGATACGAGGAAGAAAGCCTCTGTAGAGAGGATTCCATGAATACCCAATTTCACAGGGATTTTTTTAAAAAATAGTCTTTCTATGAATTACATGGCACAAACAATAAATCGGTGCGAAGATTATCGATGAACTCTTATATTCTATTAAAAGGGCCGCTGAGGTCCTACGTGTCAGGTGGCCATATGCCACGTGAGACTGACCGAGCCAGCTGCCATGTCCAGTTTTTTCTTCTGCTCTTCCGCTAAAAGCCAATATTTAAACACAAAAATATTAATCAATGCCACGTTCGTGGTGTACTATTATTGACGTCATAATATCCCCCCCCACTAAATGGGTGATGTTGTCTTCAGTTATTATCGATCATAATCATACACGTGGCGTTTGTCGCGGTTGATCGGGCCGATGTCCAAAGAGAAGCCCGGAATATGCTCACGGGCCTGCCCTGCCCAGCCATGATCGGGGGAGAGAGAGAGAGAGAGTCCAGAGACCTTTTTCCCCGGGCCTAATGTTGAGGGCCGAGCCCGAAAAAAACGGGCCGGGTTTATTTGGGCAGCTGATTACTCTCGATATATGGAAGATTCGGAAAAAAATAAATCAGAATCGAAGATCTACGTCGGAGCCGTACGAGAATCGGGCCACAGGGGGGCCACCGGAGTGGAACTGCTGAAATTGGATTTCAAGTGGGCCCCCGAGAGATAGAGGGCCCCACTCTGGCTTCCCTTCTTACCCACGACGTGATTGGCTCGTAGGCGGGGGTGTTAGTCGCCTTTTGTTGTGCCGACAGGACATCACATCGGCACTGACTAACGTGGACAGAGGGCGGGACGGCGAAGGTGGAAAACGGGGGCGGGGGGGGAGGGGAATTTCTCCCAGTCGGAAAAATAAATAATAAAATAGATATCGGAAATATAAGTATTAATAATGGGGCCATGGTGACTGACGCTTTTTTCATATTTTTTATAAAAATAATACTCAACGGAATTATTATTTTCAGGAAATTACCAAAAAATGTATGAAATGAATGATATTTACCCAAAAAAGAACAAAAGAGTCAACGTTTTTTTTTTATTGAGTGGTTAGGTGGGGAACTATGACCTGTTGCGTCTCATGTAGGCTTCCCCCGTAAGATCACCATGCAGATGATCCTGGCCGTCCAATCGAGGAATTCGGTTGATCGAGTAGCCGGGTTGTGAGTGCGGACAGCGATCGTGTCTGAGCGATGGACACCCTTGAATGAGGCTGTCATCGACGAACCTGTCGAAGAAATCACAAGCCAAACAGAGAGCTACATCTTGTCAAACCGAGGGTGTCATCTCTCTCTCTCTCTATCTGTCTTTCTCGCCCTCTCCCTCTGAATCAATCTCTTTCTGTCGCTCACCTTCTCTCTCTCTCATCGTCTTCCCGTCGGCAAGTGCAGAAAAAAAAGCTGGTGCGAGGCAGGGTTGTGGGTTCTCTGGGAGGCCAGGGGCCACGATGCTTATGTAGCGTTTTGTCACTGTCATACCCGAGGTGAAGAGGGCTTCCATGGTTTTGTGGCCTTGTCTCTACTCTCTACCCTCTCTCTCTCTCTCTCTCTCTCTCTCTCTCTCTCTCTCTCTCTCTCTCTCTCTCTCTCTCTCTCTCGCTCGCTCGCTCAGGTAACCCATCAAGATCAACGACGTCTAAGTCTGACGATGATGGTGAACGACTAATTTTCAGATTATCATACGAAGGCATGTTAATTTAAAAATTAGTATTTTTATAGCCTTAAAAACTCTATTAGAGTGAAGTGAAGGAAAATTAAAAAATAGACAGTTCTATCTATCAAACCACACAACTCCCTTAGTGACGCTTGGATTTTAAAAAATAAATTCATGTATGTATTATTTTATAAAAATGTTTAAGATATTTTTTCAACACCTTAATTTTTGACAAAAATATGCTAATCTTCATTTTTAATAGCTATTAATTCTGTTTATAAACTAATATCTTATTATTGCCACAAAAATATTAAGCGTTTATCCACAATTGCCTACTCAAACTTTCACACTTGTCACCCAAAAAAGTACATTCACAACTCAGGGCGCGATTCCCCACATGAGAGAGAGAGAGAGAGAGAGAGAGAGGAATGATCATGGCACAATCATGCATGAATCGTCCCTGGACTTTAGCCGGGCGCCTTAGGTCTTGGAATCTTTGACTTTTTGTTGCCCGTATCTCCACTTAAAAATCAAACAAGAATTCATATTTCTCCCAAATTTATCCAGAAAAATGGACTTTGAACTTGTGAGCAAACCGAGGTGGATGGGTATGAGCGCGAGCTCATGTGGATGGCATCTGGTTGCTCGAATGTCGATTGCGATGATCACGAACATGAAGAGAGTTCCAGCGATTATACGCGATTATCCTATCGTGTCGTGGATGGAGTCGGTGAGAGCTGGGTTTTCTTCGAATAATCCGTAGACTAGGCATCTAACGGACATGGGTTTATGAAATGGGAAGAGAGAGAGAGAGAGAGAGAGAGAGAGAGAGAGAGAGAGAGAGAGAGAGAGATAGGCAAAATTGTCTAGCGAGAGAAACAGGCTATGGAGGTAGCTCTAGATCATCCAGTGACAAACTTCTGGTGATGGGAATCAAAAAGTTTCATAAAAGGAAGTGGTGGAGAATCGATGGGGACAGGGCAGTGATACTATAAACGAGGAGCAAAAGCGGAATCGGAGATTTAGCAGTCGGAGGGGAAGGCGTGGTGCTGGGGGAGGCCTTGTCATCTTCCCCGTGGACGGGAATGGATTCGGCGGTGGGGTTCATGCATTCCCTGCAGTCGTCTACCTGAGCCTGGGACTGTCGTCAGGGATGAGAGGCCCCCACATGTTGGAAAACCCACATGCTGGAAAACACTGTTCCCTCTCTCTCTCTCTCTCTCTCTCTCTCTCTCTCTCTCTCTCTCGCTATCTATCTAAATATCTGTAGAAAACCACTGGTCTATGCCGAGAGTTGTGATCAGATGCATCTTTGTTTTCTAGATTTCCGATCTGACGAATCTATGGATTGCAGGAGGAGAGGGACCTCTCGCCCTCTCTCTCTCTCTCTCTCTCGCTCTGGGATGACTATTCGGTCAGACAGAAACCAGAAGAACCTACAAGCAGGAATGCTCTCTCCTTCTCTCTCTCTCTCTCTGTCTATCTATCTAAATATCTGTAGAAAACCATTTGTCTACGTCGAGAACTGTGATCAGATGTATCCTTATTGTCTAGATTTGCGATTTGACGAATCTATGGATAGCACGAGGAGAGGGACCTCTCGTCCTCTCTCTCTCTCTCTCTCTCTCTCTCTGGCTGGGTTAAAACTATTTGTCCATTTTATAATTAGCGGCCAAGGATTTGTGATCACATGAAACAATAGGGCTGCAGAGGTAGACTAATCTCTTCTGCACCCGCCGCACGAGTCTATGGATTACAGGGGGAGACTGATCTCTCTCTCTAGGTCTACTTCTTTCTCTACGTGAGACATCTTCACCATCTCCTCCCTCCCTGCCGCCGCTATCTATGAAGAATATTGGCCGGAAGAAGAAGAAAAAGATTTCCACGTGGCAACCCACTGTTCCGCCACCTGGCAAACAACCCACCTCCAAGATACTGACCATTCCACCGCCTCCATATTATAATTGGGCTTTTACCTTTTCCGTCGAGCCCAATAAAACCGTCCAGTCAAAATGTAGCCCAAAATGGTGAAGTTGCCAAAAGCGGAATGGGGCCCAGCCTTCGCCGGTTTGCCCTGTTTTACACTTATATTAATGGCTTTCTTTATAATAATTATTTTTTCCATCGTCATTAGTGGCAGAGAATAAGGGCCTTTTTGCCTTGTCACCGGTGCAGTGATATTAATTACATCTTATTTAGGCTGTAATATTTAATTAATAATTATTAATACTTTTTAAAGGAGGGATATTAAATTAAACATATTTTAAACCTGAAATGTCGACGTGGAGCGGCAAAATTTTAGATTTTTACGCATTTTCTTTTGGTGCCATTAATTTTTATTCCAAAAGGGGGACCCGGTCGGTGCAGGGGATTTTCGGTTCCTCTATTGCCGCCACGTCATGCAGCTCCCCGATGGACTCTCTCTCTCTCTCTCTCGCTAACGACGTTCGTGCTCCCGCCCCTTTCTTCGCTTTGCTCGACTCTCTCTCTCTCTCTCTACGACGTTTGTGCTTCCTTTCTTCGCCTTCTTGACTCTCTTTCTCTGTCTCGGTCTCTGTTGCCTTGCTCCCGCTCCCTAGTTTCCATGAATGCCTCATACTCTTCGTTGTCTTTTCGTGTTCTTCCTGGTAGGCCGGAGAGGGGGAGGGGGTGATACTCCGACCGGCGAGTCGGTAGAGCTCTGCAGCGTTCTGCGACCATGAGGGGACGGGGTGGTCCCTACCGTTCTTCTTGGGCCCCGGGGGGATTTCCTGCGAGGGTGCTCTCACGGAGGCCTTGCTCGATCGATGATCGGCGGCAGCCTCGCGTGGCGTCCCTGCCTGCGGCGGTGTTCTCCGTCGTTCTCGAGCGAAAGCGCCACCACCGGGACCGAGGCGGAGCGGCGGATTTGGCGCCGGCAGACCTGGAAACCCTGATCGCCGACTGCCCCGTGCGGCCGAAGACCTCGATTGTCCTCAAATCGGGATCCGTAGCAGTGAAGCTCTTCTTCCCCGCGTGGCCTGATGCCCTCGAGTCGGCCGTCTACTTCTGGGGCCGCCGCCTCGACGGCGCCCACGAGATGGCCGTTCGGGTTCTGTCCAACGTGCCGACTAACGACGAGGTCTGCGACCGCGCCGAGGAGGCCGTTCGCCTCCGCAACCTCTTCGCCGGGCACGCGCGCGGCTTGCTGGCATGCGAGTCGGTCAGGCGGTGCGATCAGAGGATCGAGGAGGTGTCCGCCGAAATCAGGAAGCTGTCGGAGTCCATGAAGAATCGAACAAAGCTTCCTCTCTTCCTGGAGCGTATGGCCCGGCGGAGTCGTCTCGAGGAAGAAAGAGATCAGCTCAGGCAGAAGCGGGGGGAGTTTCAGGCAGGGCTGCGCTCCATTTTGACCCTCCTCGGCGAGGAGGCAGGAGGAGAGGGCAGTGTAGGAAAGGAGGAAGGAGATGGAGTGGAGGTTTTTGGGGCCAGGGGAGAATTGGACTGGAACCAGATACACTGGCTGCTAATTCGGGAACGCAGGAGGCTGGATGAGGGACTACCCATATTTGCTTACAGGAGGAAGATACTGAACGTGATAAATTCAAACCAGGTATCTTGGTTCCATACTCTGCTTCGACCCCATGACTGTTAGTTCTGGTTTGAGGGCTTGAATCAGCCATTTTCTGATAGATTTAGGCTAGTTTCTCCCATCTAAGCTAATGCAATGAATTGACTGACAAAAGAGGAGTTTATTTTTCTGCTCAATTGGTATCTGATTATAGCAAGGGTCTCATTGCAATTGCCATCACCCATAGACTCAACTGGCCCTGACTCATGGGTCACAAAAATCTAACTTGGATAGTTTAAGAATGCAGAATAATGTGTTGCATTGGGTTGAATTTTTTTTGCAGATGTTGTGGATGGAAAAGGTGCCTGAATGGCCCATATACCATAATTATTCTAGAGAAACTGAATTATAATAGAAATGGTGACTGAGACTTGGCCCCTTGAATATGACAAACCCACCATCTTATGCTGTTGCCATTCATAGTTCAGACCAAAATTTTCTGTTATAGTTCCCAGAAAATATATCGTCAACATGGATTGAAATGGTAGCCACTGTATGCCTTCGTCGTCCCTCACATCATAAACCTTTTACCCAACTAGAACTCTCTGTTGCAATGTTTAATGAATATCAGTGAGCTGAATTTCTCAACTGTTAAGCATATTTATGTACATAAACCTTGATCAGAATTTTCAAATATGTGTGTTCGATTTTTCCACCTCCATGTGGATCAATCTATTTAATCCAATCATGGGAAAATCGGAATCAGACTGGTCCGACTCCAATTCAATCTCTTGGCCGTTTTAAAATTGTTCATGTCCTTCTTAGAATTCATACAGAAGCTTCAAAAACGCATGCCAAGTCCGTGAAATCCACAAGACTGATGATGCATACACGTTTGAGGGCCCACCCACTGAAGTCTGACCTCGGTTTCATCACTATACGTCATTGTTTAATTTGAATGGCCATTAATTCTCGAATTTACCCCTCACAAGAATTGCATGATGCCCTCATAGAAGTTGGGTTTCTCCCTTCTCGACCTCATGGCTGGCTTTTCTTCATGCAGGTTGTGATATTGGTAGGGGAGACTGGTTCAGGAAAGAGCACGCAGATCGTTCAGTTTCTTGCCGATGCATGGCTGGACACCCCCGGGTCGATCATCTGCACTCAGCCCCGTAAGATCGCGGCCGTCTCTCTGGCTCAGAGGGTCTCTGAGGAAAGCCACGGCTGCTGTCAAGATGACCTGGCGACTTCATATGTGACGTACTCGCCCGCCGCCAGGGCCTTCAAGTCCAAGGTGGTCTTCACAACGGACCACTGTTTCTTGAAGCACATGATGAACGATGCGAGCTTGACCGGGGTCTCCCATGTCCTCGTGGATGAAGCCCATGAGAGAAGCCTAAACACCGACCTGATCCTGGCCCTTGTGAAGAGCCTCCTCTTGCGGCGACTGGACCTGAGGCTCATTGTGATGTCCGCCACGGTCGATGCCAGAAGGCTCTCTGACTACTACTTTGGCTGCCTCACCTTCCCCGTCGCAGGGAGGGCCTTCCCGGTGGAGGTGAAGTACGTCCCCACTGCCTCCATTGAGTTCCCCCCAGCCGCCACTTCAAAGCAGGAGGTATCCTGCGGTTCAGCAGACTATGTCGCCGATGTCGTGAAGATGGTGGGTTTGATCCACCGGACTGAGGAAGACGGAGCTGTTCTTGCGTTCCTGACATCTCAGATGGAGGTGGAGTGGGCGTGTGAGCGGTTCGAGGCTTCTTCTTCGGCCGTCGTGCTGCCACTGCATGGGAAGCTCTCTCGTGAGGAGCAGCACCGGGTCTTCCAGAGCTTCCCAGGGAAGAGAAAGGTGATCTTCTCCACGAATATAGCTGAAACTTCTCTCACAATCCCAGGGGTCAAGTACGTGGTTGACTCCGGCGTGGTCAAAGAGAGCAGATTCGAGCCCGGCAGCGGGATGAACGTGCTCAGGGTCTGCAGGATCAGCCAGAGCTCCGCCAGGCAACGCGCTGGACGGGCAGGGAGGGCAGAGGCCGGCAAGTGTTACAGGCTCTACTCCGAGAGTGAATTCCAGTCCATGGCCATGCACGAAGAGCCCGAGATTCGCAAGGTCCACCTCGGCATTGCAGTTCTCAGGATCATCGCTCTGGGTGTGAAGAATGTGCAGGAGTTTGACTTTGTCGACTCTCCGGATCCGAAGTCAGTCGACTCGGCCATTCAGAATTTGATCCAGCTTGGTGCCGTCGTCACAACAGGAGAAGGGTTCGAGTTGACCGACACTGGCCGATCCATGACTAAGCTGGGCATCGAACCGCGTTTGGGGAAGATGATCCTCGACTGCCACAGCCGAGGGTTGAGCAAGGAGGGCGTCGTCCTCGCTGCCGTCATGGCGAACGCCAGCAGCATCTTCTGCCGGGTCGGCACCGACGAGGAGAAGCTCAGAGCCGACTGCCTCAAGGTGCCCTTCTGCCACCGCGACGGCGACCTCTTCACCCTGCTCTCCGTCTATCAGGAGTGGGAACGGGCGCAGGAGAGCAAGAACAGGTGGTGCTGGCAGAACAGCATCAACGCAAAGTCAATGCGGCGATGCCAGGAGACGGTGGGGGAATTGGACCTCTGTCTCTACAACGAGCTGAACATCGTCGTCCCAACTTACTGGAAGTGGGGAAAGCAGAATAGTTCTTCTGAGTACTGCAAGCTACTGAAGAAGGTCGTCCTCTCCTCCCTTGCCGAGAATGTGGCGATGTTCTCAGGCTGCGACAGGCTCGGGTATCAAGTGGCGTCTTCTGGTCAACACCTGCAGCTCCACCCCTCCTGCTCGTTGTTCGTCTACGGGAAGATGCCGACTTGGGTCGTCTTTGGTGAGATCTTGTCGGCGAAGAGGCAGTATCTGGTCTGCGTGACGGCCGTTGACTTTGACTGTCTGTACGGGATGCAGCCGCCTCCTCCGTTTGACCTCATTCGCCTGCTGGGGAAGATGATGAAGAGGAACGAGATCATCGGTGTCAGCCGCACCGTCCTGAGCCGGCTCTGCGGCAGGGGAAACAGCAATCTCCGGGGGCTCTGTTCCCGCGTTCAGAGGGCCTGCGGGGACGAGCGGATCAGGATCGAGGTTGACTTCGACAGGGGGGCGATCCAGCTGCACGCCTCGCCGGAGGACGTCGACAAGGTCAACGCCCTCATCAACGACGCACTGGACCACGAGACCAAGTACCTGAGGAACGAGTGCACGGAGAAGCGCCTGTTCCCCAGCGATTCCCCTCCGACGGCCCTCGTCGGCGCCGGCGCGGAAATCAGGCATCTCGAGCTCGATGGGCGGCGTCTGACGGTGGAGATCTGCCACCCGGCCGCTCACTCCCTGGACGACCTCGAGCTTCTGATGGCCGTTGACCGCCACGTCTCCGGCGGAATCGCCACTGTCCACAGGTACGGCGGCGGCGCGCCCGCCGCCGCCAGCTCGCCGGAGGCAGCTTCTGATGGGAGCAGGTGGGGGAAGATCACATTTCTCAGTCCAGATGACGCAGAGACGGCCGTCTCGGTGATGGACGGGATGGAGCTTCAGGGGTCTCCCTTGAAGGTTCGTATGCTCAAGTCGACCTTTGCCGGCGACGGTCTCCCCTTCGCCGCCGTGACGGCGAAGATCTTCTGGCCGCGGCGGCCCAGCAAGGGGGTGGCGATGGTGAAGTGCTCGCCGGCGGACGCCGCCGCCATCGCCGGCGACCTCGCGGGCCTGGTGATCGGAGTAAGACCCGTCCGCGCCGAGGTCAGCCAGAAGTACGACGACTGCGTGGTCGTCGGCGGGATTGGCAGGGACGTCTCGGAGGAGGAGATCTTCGAGGTCCTCGGCGGCGCTACGTCGAGGAGGATCGCCGCCGTCCGCCTGCTGCGCGGCGTCGCCGTCGAGCAGCCGTCCGCGAAGGCGTGCGAGGAGGCGCTGCTCAGGGAGATGTCCCCCTTCATGGCCGGCAAGCTCCTTCCCTCCGGAAGGGCCCTCCGGGTGCAGGTCTTCGAGCCGGCGCCGATGGACCACCTCATGAGGGCCCTCATCTCCTTCGATGGGAGCCTGCATCTGGAGGCGGCGAGAGCTCTGACCCGTCTCGGCGGGATGACCCTCCCCGGCTGCCAGCACTGGCAGAGGATCCAATGCCGGCAGGTCTTCCGGAGCTCCTTGACCTGCCCCTCCCACGTCTACCACGCCATCAGAACTCAGCTGGATTCCCTCCTCGAAAGCCTCAATCGGCTCCGAGGTACATTGTCTGTGTCTGTCCCTGTATGTTCGTTCTCTCAGAAGAGTAGCTCGATGTTGAAGACGACGATGAATTTTACAAGGTGGAAGCTGTGGCATGTTTTCTCAGGTGTGGAGGTCGGTCTGGAGAAGAATGACAACGGGCTGTATCGCGTGAGGATCTCTGCGAACGGGACGAAGACCATCGCCGACCTGCGGCGGCCGCTAGAGGAGCTGATGAAAGGGAAGACAGTGGCCCACCCGGAGCTCACACCGGCGGCGACCCAGCTCTGCTGCTCCCGCGACGGCGCCGCCGCGATGAAGTCTCTGGAGCGGGAGTCGGGGACCTTCATCCTCTACGACAAGCGGAGCTCCGGGACGATCCGCATCTTCGGACCGCCGCCGGCGGTGGCGGCGGCGGAGAGTAAGCTGGTGCGGTCCCTGCTGGCGCTCCATGAGAGCCGGCAGCTCGAGGTCCCCCTCCGCGGCGGCGACCTCCCGGCGGAGCTGATGAAGGAGGTGGTGCAGAAGTTCGGGCCGGATCTGCGCGGGCTCGAGGAGAGGGTCCCCGGGGCGAGCTTCCTCCTCCACACCCGCCGCCACGTCCTGCAGATCCGCGGTCGCTTGGAGCACCGCCGGAAGGTGGACCAGATCATCGCCGAGCTCGCCGGCGACTGCGGCGGCCGGGCAACGCGGCCGTCGCCGTCCGACGACGAGTGCTGCTGCCCGATCTGCCTTTGCGAGCTGGAGGACCCCCACCGGCTGGAAGGCTGCGGTCACCGCTTCTGCCGGAGCTGCCTGATGGAGCAGCTGGAGTCGGCCATCAGGACCCGAGAGGGCTTCCCGCTGAGCTGCCTGGCGGCGCGTGGCGGCTGCCGAGTGCCCATCCTGCTCGTTGACCTGCGGTGCCTGCTCCCTCCCGGAACCTGTAAGCTGGAGGAGCTCTTCAGGGCCTCGGTGGCGGCGTTCGTCGCCGGCAGCGGCGGCGCTTACAGGTTCTGCCCCTCGCCGGACTGCCCGGGGGTGTACAAGGTGGCGGAGGAAGAGGCGGCTGCGGCGCCGTACGCCTGCGGAGCCTGCTCGGCGGAGACCTGCAGGAGGTGCCACCTGGAGTACCATCCGTGGGTGTCTTGCCGGCGGTACAGGGAACTCAAGGAGGACCCGGATGTCTCCCTGGAGGAGTGGCGGCGGGGGAAGAACAACGTGAAGAACTGCCCCTCCTGCGGCCACGCCATCGAGAAGACCGACGGCTGCAGCCACGTGGAGTGCCGCTGCGGCGAACACATCTGCTGGGAGTGCCTCCGGACCTTCCCCTCCGGCGACGACTGTTACGCCCACCTCCGCTCCGTCCACCTTGCCTCCCTCTAGTCAGAGAGAAAACAAGAAAAGAAGGAAGAAGAAAGCTCTCCCTTTTCAATCTCTGTCTCTGTATCAGAAGAGGAATCGGTAGCCCATCACGAAGCCAAGGCCGGCGATGCCCAGACAGAGGGCGAGGAGGACGCCGCCGGTTGTAGGGGGGTCCGCGACGGGAGCGGCGGCGTTGTTGGTCTTCTGGCGGCGCAGCCAGGTGGTCTTCTCCGCCTCAAGGAGCCTCAGCCACTGGCGATGGGCGTAGAGCCTCATCGATTCCCCCGCGAGAAGGGAGGCCAAACGGGCGTTGCTCTCGGCCAGCGCCGCTGCCGCCGCCTCGGCTTCTCGCGCGCGGGTCTGCGACAGGCGTAGGGCTCTCAGCAGGTGGCGGTGCTCGTCGGCGGCGGCGGCGCCGTCCGGCTTCCGGTGGGGGGGCTCCTGGAAGACCTTCAGCGGCGGGGGGAGGTCGCAGTTCTCCAGAAGGTCCAGGCCCCCCTGGGGCAGCATCATCTCCTCCTCCTTCTTCCTCTCCGGCGGCGGCGCTGCCGCCCCTCCGCCGCGCTGGTTCGAGCTCATCCGTCTGGTGATGGAGAAGGAAGAAGAAGATGGGGGAGAATGGCGGTGGGTGGGGGATGCGTGTGGGGAATGGCGGCTCGTCCGCCCACCCTTTCTCCGTCAAAGTAGGTGGGGAATCCGGTGGGTAGCGTGTCCGCCATAGCCACTTCCTCCGTCCGCCCTCAGGCATCGCACGACGGCAAAGTGAAGGAGTTTTCTTGTCCGGCTCTTCCGAGGGCGGCGGCGGAGAACCAGAACGACGCGGAAGTTGCCGGCGGCGGAGAACCAGAACGGAAGGGAAGTCGCCGCCGGCGAGCGGCAAGGCCACCAACGAGATCGCGCCGTTGGCCCATGCTAAATGGGCCATGCCCAATCCAAGATATAGGAAGCCCAGGACCACCAACTGCGAGGACGAAAGCCCGGGTGTGGTAAATGGGCCAAACCAGAAAGCCCAATGATGCATTTTAGGTATGGTCTTTTAATAAATTGCGGATACTGGACGGTTTCGGATTCCCGACAATTGGGACCGTCTTAGATCCGTTTACATCCAGCGAACGTTGGTCCTCTTCGCTCCGCCGCCATGGCCCTCCTCCCTCTCTCTCCCCCCTCTCTACTCTCTTCTGTGGCGCTGAGGGGCGTCGGGTTCTCTCTGCGGCAGCTGCATCCTCTTCTCTCCTCGTCGCTGGTCTCTCAGTCGGCAGCCGTCTTTTTACATCCTCTGGGGGAGGTTCGGGGTTGGTGGCGGTGGTGGTGGCGTGGTGACGAAGGGAAGGGGTGCCCCTCTGTACCATTTCATTGTTCCGGTTCTTTTGTCTTGTACTGCGCAGGGACGCAGGGTTTTGCTAGGGTTTAAGAGAGCGGAGAGTGGTGAGTCGGAGTGGTGTAAGACGGAAGAAGTTTTGCGCTCGCGACATGGCCTCTCCGAACATCAAGGACCTTCTGACTGCGTTCAGCCCTCGCTCTGAGTTCTTCGCCATCTCCTCCGGTGACGGGCGAATCAAGGTGACAAAATTTTTGGCGGGGTTCTTATTAGACACCATGTTTAGGCGATAACTGCTGCTTTTCTTTCTATTGCTCGTTTTTGGTTTTCAAAGCCGAACCGGCAGCAGTTTCTTTGTTGTTCATCTGAAGCATCCTTGACGAGTTATGATTCGTCTTCGCTTATATGGCATCTGCATTATGTGCGTGCTTGCTCTGTTGTAGATTTGGGACACATTGAAAGGTCATCTTCAGACTGAATTTTCAAATATATTATCAACTGACACAACAGCAGGCCTCCAACCGAAGTTGAATGAGCGTGGGCATCTGTCCCTTGACTACAAATGCATGCAGTGGGTGCAGTTGGCGAACAAGGTAACTCTTTCTTTTCTGCTTTGATTTTGGGTTACTTTTGTTGGTTCTATGCGTAACATTATTATGGTTTATGCTTTGCAGAAGAAGAGGAAATCTGGAAATTTGCTGTTGGTATTAGGAACGGGTACTGGGGATGCCTTAGCACTTGATATCTCTTCTGGCACGCTGAAGTGGAAAGTCACCAACTGTCATCCAGGGTACTGTTATTCAGAGCTGCTAAATTTCTAGGAAAATATTTTTATTTACCGCTTCCTAGGATATATATATATATATTTTGAACATGTTGTCATCTTAGACTCAATATTTTGCCTTTGGAAAAGACTCTTAGGAGTTCAAGTGTATCCAACGTTTATATCCTGATTATTTTTTAATGAACTTCGTCTCATTTGCCATTTGATGAAAAAAGATTTGCTCGTGTTCTCAGTGCGACCGTGAAATATGCCATTTCCTTTCTGTATGAGTACACTATTGGATTTTCATTTTTCTGCCGTGAAAATGTCGTAGTAAAACTCCTCGAACTGTAAATTATTAATGCTTAATTATACTCATAAATAAATCCAAATAAAAGGTACATTTATAACTGCTGTGCAATCTTAAGTTTATAAACCCGAAAAAATAATTGCGCCGAAAAGGTATGGAAATGTTTTTGGGGCTTGAAAGGAGAACATGAGCTGCAGTTGCAGAATTGGATCTTTAGTTTTGCCCTTTTAGCTAGGAAAGCATGAATTTAACTGGAAGTTCAGATTCGTTTAGGTTTCTTTCACACTTTTGGCTATATCTGGCAGATTCAGAGTATTAAATTTCAGTAAGATTTGATTTGAAGAGAGAAGGTTGTAGTCCAAAGAAAATGAAAATGTGAATCCCGATATTGCATATCATTTTTGCATAATATTTTTGCTAGGAAATTTGCATAATATTTTTGCATATCATTTTGCACATGTTCTGCTGTTTTTCATAGAATCTTCTTTTCGTGATTTGAAAATAAGTGAATCATCTTGATTCTGTTTTTTTTCAAAAAGATAATCTTGTATAACTGATGTAGTCTTATTTGATCTTGTATAATTACTTTGCATAGTCTTGTTTGACGCAATGTCGTCAACTGATTCGGGCATTCTATTTTTTGAAAACGATAATTGTGGAATCAGGTCGATACCTGGTCACTATTCTTTTCTTAACTTTTGTGATCATAATCCTGTTTGATACTTTCATGGATATGATAATGCTTATGGATGATTGATCGAGTGATTCTATGTATAACTTTCTTTGGTTTTCCCTACTAATCGTAAAATCCATGTAAATTCGCAGGGGTGTAAGTTCGGTCTCTTTCTCAAAACATGGTTATGTCTACACGGGGGGGGTTGATGGTATAGTATGCCAAATCGATTCTTCATCAGGAAATATTCTTGGAAAATTTAAGGCTTCCACCAAGGCTGTGTCTTCCTTATCTGTCTCTGCAGGTACTTCTTAATCAGTATGTTAAATTGTGCTATATTTTATTTACTAAGGTTCTTGGTTTATGGAATACTGCTAAACAGGCCTATTGGGTGCTGGTGCTATAAAATTTATGAAAATTCTGAAACTATTATAAGGCATTAATTCATTTCATTAATGGCATGTGTTGGGAGCATGCTTGTGTTTTAAAAAGTCTTATTATCATTTTTATCCTACTTGAACTTGGTTGAAGACAATCAGAAGACAGTGGTTTGCACTTATTGAAGCAGCGCATATTCGCTTTTCATTTTTCTAGCTGCCTTTGTGAACAAATTGTAGTTTTTGCTAGCCATGTTGGTCTGGATTTGGAGTGTGTGGGTCTTCAGCAACAGAGCCCTTCACCGCATACTGCCCTCCTCCCACCGCTGATCAGGGAGGCTATGCAACTTTTGGTGTTGGAGGGGGGGATGTGTTCTAGATGTCCCTTCCTTTTAAATCTTCTTACATTTATTTCCTGTTATATTAATATATTTACCTTGGATTATTGTAATTGCATCCTTTTTTTAACTTTTCAAACCCACATGGAATGCTCAACCCGATGTATCCATCCGTGGTTATGATGGTTACTGGCTAACATACTTCATAGTAGGAAACGCTTTTGTACCTTAGATCCTTTAGAAATTGATTCATCTGTAAGAGACACAAAAAGGAACATTCCCAAAACATGTGAGAAAACTCGCATGTCTTCTGTCAAGAAAAATAAGAAGTAAGATCTAGAGAGAAATAAGGCAATTGAGCAAAAAATGTACAGTTTCCTTTCCTAAATTACTGTAAGTTTATCCAGATTGCATGTTCCATATATTTTGTCCGCATTTCCGTTTTTATGTCTGAAATGAATCGAATTCGTTCTCTAAACATTTTTGTACGAAATTATTTACCCCGGCATGTGTTTCCTTGCAATTAATCTCTTGTGCCTTTTTTGAGACCTTGTTATCACAGCTGCTTTAATATATCCTGAAAGCTGAGAAAAGTGTTTCGTTGGAAACATTCTTGCGAATGAAATACACTCAGTTTAAAAAATGTCAGCTGAGGGGTCTATATCAGGTGAATTATGGCTGAGAAGTGCTTCCATTCATTTCCAGTTTGAATGTTTGACTGAATCTAGAAAAGTGTTATGGCAATCAAAGGGGCCAATAAATCTTAAAAATTTCGGTCATGTTTACATATAAGGATGTAAATTCAAAAATAATCCCTAGACAAAGTAAGATCTTCATTTGGAATTATATTATGCAGTTCTTCCTGCTGTTTAAATAGAAAGAAAATTTTAGTTATCAGGAGCATGTTGAAAATGTTTACATGTTTTCATTTTTTTAGTTATCGATTTATTCTTTTGCTTCACAAACTGTTAACTTGCATTGCTTTCTGATATCATTCCTTATTGTTACGGATTTGCTCTCTGATATCATTTTTTATTGTTAAAATTTAATATCAGCTAACTCTTTATTTAAAACGCCCAATTTTCCTTATTAGATGGGAGGTTATTGGCCACTGCAGCTTCTCAACTGAAGGTTTTCAATTGTTCAGATAATAAGAAGATCCAGAAATTTTCTGGGCATCCTGTGAGTGTTTGTAATTTTAGTTTTACCATCTTATCTAGTCCGGTTTTTTACTCATTTATATGAATACAGTGATGCCTTTCTTAAAAAAGGAAAAAAATCTAACGAAATGAGAGAAGAGCTGATCATCGTGTGTCTGATTTGAGACTCTAATCGTGCTTGGCTCTATTTTATTCAACGCTAACAGACAGTATTGGTGCATAGGTGGGCGTTCGTTGTATGATTTTCAGTGAAGACGGAAAGTACATTTTATCATCTGGAGTCGGTGAAAGATTTGTGGCATTATGGAAAATAGATGGTAGAAAAAAACAGTCCGCAGCTTGTGTGCTTTCAATGGAGCACCCATCTGTGTTCTTGACCAGCAAAGTCATAGAGGCTGACAATAAAGACGAGGCTGGCTTTTGTGTCCTAACACTTTCAGAAATCGGTCTTTGTTATTTTTGGCATGGAAAGACCCCTGAGGACCTGAAAAATAGTAGACCTGCAAAGATCTCCCTATCAATTGAACGTTCCATCCCAAAGAATCACCATGATATATGTTCTGCTATATATTCTGCGAAGTTACAGGGGATTGCTTCACCCGCCTCTGTAATAGTTCTCTTTGCATACGGTTCTGTGGTGAAGCCGTTATTTGAGAAACTCTCATTGGAAGCTGGCACAGATATAAACTTGACTACCCGTCTAGACGGTGTTCTTCTGCCCATAGGCCATTCCTACAGCTCTCAAAAGGTGCAGATGATGAAAATTGATGGTAAGTTGGATGCCACGCATTGGTTCTTCGGTGAGTCTATTCTTTTTTTATAGGTTTAACCACGTTTATGGGCTTGTGCTACTCAAATATGAGAAGTGTAACCTATAATATAAGAATAATGGACACATACGATTCGTTCGGTTTTTTGTAGCTTGATCACTTGCTTTGTATCACTTTAAACATTTATAACTAATTATAATTGCAGTGCATATTTTCTCAGAAAAAAAATGATAACTATTCAAGAAATGATACAATGAATAGTCTGTAATCTTTTTGAAGTGCCATCCCATTATCATTAGAAAAGCACCAAGAGATGTTAATATAATATCTGCGAATCAGAATTTTCTGCATACGGAGGTTTTCATTGAATCAGTGAGTTCCACTGCAGTTTGATATTGTACTGTTATCATATTTTGCTGGACGGGCTTAACTACTTGCTTGTTGTTGAGCAGCAACATCTCTGGATCGTGCCAATGCTGAAGATGCCACAATGCCGATTGCAAAGCTCTATGATTCTCACAATAAGAAGAGAAAGAACCTTAAAACTGATCCTCCTGAGTTTTCAGAGCACGCAATGGATCACCTTGCTGTTGATATTAAGGATGAAGCTCGACATAAAGGTAGAAGGACAATCTATATTCCTTTACACAACAAATGTTGTTTTGTTTTACCTTGTGATGGAAATCAATCTTTAATCTTTTCCAAAAAAATTAAATTTAGACAGTCTTTTAAGCCAAGGATGTTGTTCTCAAATAAATGGCATACCTTGAAATCAAGGCTACCAAGTTCCCAGTATTTTTGAAACAGCACTTAATTCCATGTAAATCAAAAATTATAGAAAATTTCGTATAATGTGAGAGGTCAATTCCATACGGTACTTTCTATTTCGTATTTGGCATAGTATGATAGATATTTAATGCATGCCTTTGAGCTATGGTTGATTCGATCCTAACTAGGTTTAAAATCTATAAAAGCCCTTTAACTTCACCATGATACCTGGAAAACAAGCTCTATTTGATACAAGATTAATCCGGTTGAAAGCTTTTTTGTTGCGGGAATTCATGCGTGCAGTCTAAGAGGGTCTTTTCTTCATCTGTCTACCTAGTCTTATATGTAGAGCTATATTACGGCCAGTATTGTAGAATGATAGTAACTAAGGAAACTAAGATTGGTACTAGTGTGGAGTGTAGCTTCCATTGAGCTTATTATCAACTGCAGCATTCGATTCAAGATTGGTTTCTTCATGAAAGGTCTGCCGATTTCTACCAATGTGAAGTTATTGACAAGTCGAGCTTGATTTGATTTTCGAATCTGATCTCTTTCCCAAGATTTATGCACCAATCTACAGAAGGATTGTCTTCTGAGTAGTCAAAAGAAAATTTGCATGCTTGTGGAGTGACCACTTTCCGGTTGGCTGATTGAGTGCTGAATTGATACTTGATCGACAGCTGGGAGCTGTAACAACTTTTAGTGCTTTTATGTGGGCTGGGAAAACTCCGATTCTGAAATGAATGAGAGAAAGTATGATTTACAGTATGGATCTTGATGGAATGAGGCGGTTTCCTCTTTCCTCGTACGTTCAAAGGCATATATGTTTAAAGTCATAAGATAGAAGGTGATAGTCTCACTAACTTGATTCGAAGATACCTGCCATTTTAAAATTCATAACTAAATAGGTGCCATATCTCTGAAAACTGATCAAAATATTTGGGAATTATTTTTGTTTTGAAGTTAATTTTCCTGTTTAAGTCTAGCTGCTACTCCATTGCTCATTCCCGTTGCATTATTAGCCGGTGACTGGATGTTCCATTCCGCTAATTCTGCAAGACTTCAAAATTATTTGCATTGAAGTCAGTATAGTTATTGTTTACTCGTCATGTGTCTAATTTACTGCCATCTGGTGTTTGCAGTTTCCACAGAAAGTTTAGAAGATGATAGTGTTACTTTATGCCTCGAAGATAGGCTCAAATCAGCAGGGATTCTTTGCGATGGAGATGTTCTAAGTTCCTATAAGCCAAAAATTATGTCTAGTTTAACACCGGCTGCCAGTAATGAACCTCACATTCTAGTTGGGATGGATCTACCAGCAAAGAAGGTATGTTTCTTCCTTGAACAGTGAAATTACTGCCCTTATACGTGAGGAATCAAGTTCGCCAGTAACGTAGTAAACCCAGCCATAATGTTGACTTAATTTTCTTTTCTTTTTAGGTTAAGTCGATCATCTTGTCCATGAGTCCTACGGACGCATTGAACTTCTTGGATGCGTTGATGATTATGTGGAAAACAAGGTTTGTAAACTTCGTTGCTACGTTATACCCAACCATTTCTTTTTTTTCTTATCGCCTGGAAGGGACAAAAGAAGCATCTTGTTTTTTCTTAAAACTTCTCTGATCTCTTGTGGACCCCTCAGTAGGATTCGAACCCAGGTGAAGTCCTGACCATTTTGTCAGAGAAAAATGAACGAACTGATTTTGCAGGATTTCCAAGAAATTCTTCAATTTCTCCCTGAAACAGATGATTATTCATCGGCTTCTCACGTTCCGTGAAAGCAAAACACGCTAATCACAGGACATATGTGCTGCAAACTAGGTTCCTTCCTAGCTCTCTAGGTGAAATTTCATGAGTGAAACATTATTATTTGACTTTTTTACCATTTGGGATTTTCCTTGGAGACAGTTTGGGAATCTGCCCTAGACACTTTTTTCCCTTGCTGAACTACTTAGATTTTGTAAAAGTTTCCGTTGCTGAAACTATTCATAACGTTTCCTCTTTACTGTGCGATCTATTATTTCACAAGCTGCGTTGGAGGAAAGCTAGCGCACTCATGAAAAGTCCTTTCATTTCTAGTGTTATCATCCAAAACGGAGATTCTTTTCTGTCTTCCTGAGATTCGGATGTCTTCTATCATATGTACTTTCCAAGTTTTATCAGTGGCAGCAAATACTTAATCCGTGATAGTTTGGAAATATCAACGGATTTTGGGGTATTGCAAGTCCCAGCAATCAAGCAGCATTGAAAGCCACAAGCTGGGCGCCTTGGCCTCCTCGGTCCAATATTATATTATTAATGTCATTGATGGTTGCCTTTTTTTTTAGTTGTGCCCTGCCTTCATATGATGAAATGGTGTGGGTGAAGGGGCATTCACACTTGTTTACAGAGGAAATTCAATGATGACGCCAGATGGACCACATTGTTTACTCAAAGACTTGTCTTCAAAGAAAAATAGCTCCGAACCTGTTTGACCACATTTTCTGTTTATTTAAGTCTTTTTCTTATGAATTTTGGCCAAAGTGAACTCGTTAATATTTGAAAAGAGTGAATCTAATTTAGACGAATTTTCTCTAGTGCATGTTTTTCAAATGCTGTGCTGCAAAGCAAGCATAAATTGAATAAAACTCTGTCCTATTTTCTTGCCTGTTACATGAAAAAGGATTTACATCCATCTCTGATACCGGTCATGTTTCAGCAGCTCACTTAGTAGACTTGGTCTCGTTGAAGCTCGTCGGTTTGGCTTTTGTGTGAAATAGAATCACTATGTTTGGGCTTGAACAATGTCTCTCATAGATGGTCTTGCTTGGCATGTTCCTTATTCACATCATTGGGCCGTGGATTTGAATTCACCTCTGTGGTGTTAATTAGTGATTTGCTGGGTGAGATGGCGAAACGGTCCTGCTTTGTGTTTCTATGTGGGCTTTTACTTAGTTTCACTTTGGATGAGAACCTTCAGGATTGTTGGCTGCGAATGTTTCCAACTTGGGATGGATGGAATCTTATCTGCTTTATTGTCTTTGAAGACTAAATAAGCTAGTAACGTTACTATATATCCACATGCAAGAGATTATGCTTCCACATCAACTTATGTTCTTATTTCTTTAACCTCACTATATTGTTGACTTTTGTTCACAACAGTTGGATTGAAAATGCAAAATTGTTTTACCTTTTTTCCCGAATTACCCGCGCAAAATCCATTGCTGTTGTTAAGATTCTTTCCCCTTTTTACAGGTCGGTCAGTGAAAATCTTGTCCTTCCCTGGATTTCGTGTATTTTAGTCAACCATGGTCACTTTATTGTATCACGTGTATCATCTGTTCACATGCTTTCTACTTTGCACAAGGTACGTCTTTATCTTTGATCCAAGTGTACAAGCTGTTTTATGTTGTTCCTCTTTCAGCCATTAGACTAATCGATGCAGAAAATAATGCACATTTCTATGGAATTGGCTTCTCTTTTCTTGTGATTGCATCCCAGTTCTTGGTATCTATTCTTTCAATATAATATATTTTTTCCCATCATTTAATGGGGGAAAATCCCAAGAAATGGGCATTAGATTGTGCTGCTTTTCTTGAGAACCCAACTTGGGAAAAATAGAATAAATAATTGCGTTGCGACTTTATGCATAGCATTGTTTATTCTGTCCCAAACCTGTTCGGAAATCCAGATTGATTGATTGATCTGGGGGAAAACCCAGTCTGAAAAAGGACTCAAATAAAATGAATTTGGATTCGCCTGTGGAATTCAGCAGACTTCCGGTCTTCCATCCCCGTGCATCTTGAGTTCTAAAAATAGTATTTTTCGGAAAGTATCATCCTGCTAATCCCAGGAAAATACTTGTTTTGAAAGAAGATCAAAAATAGAAAAAAATACAGCATAAATAAGTCCGGCCTGCAATTCCTCTGCCACTGCTTCCAATATCATCTCGATTTGTGTAGAAATCCATGGAGGGGGGGGGGGCGGGGGGGAGGGGGGGTGTTTCGATAACGAACACTCCTGGGAAATAAAATGGTTGGCTTATAAGGCTAGCCATCAACTATGGTGTTAGATCCTTCAAGAAATGATATCCCTTGCTCTTGTGGCAGATGTCCGCGTCCAAATCTGCAGCTGTTCGAAGCCTGCTGCAGCTGTCCGGCCGTCTTCAGCTCTTCACAACGCAGGTCAAACCACTCCTGCCCTACCCTCTTTATCTAATTCTGTCTACTCTTTTTTACTTCTCTCTGCGTTATTCTTTGCTCACTCTCTTGTTCTCCTCAATCTTCAAGGCCGGTGGCAACACGAACCAGGAACCAGTTCTAGACACAGCTGACGAGAGTGAGGTTGAAGACGATGGGGTCGACGATGTCATCTATGGGGAGGAAGACAGTACAAGAGAGAGTGGCACAGATGATGATGATGATGATGATGATGATGACGAAATGGAGAATTAGTATTGAAGGCGATCTTTGGCTTCAAGCCCAATGCGGAAGGCACACAGTAGATATGGAGATTTTGGCCAGTTTTCCTAGCTTAGGCCATTTTTGGCTGGGTTTCTGAAATTGGGCATGTATTGACTTTTTGATATATTTATTGTTCTTATTTATTTTCCTTGAATGCATCATAAAGTCATTATTTTTAATAAATGACGAAGGTCAGACCCAGGTTCAGGAGTGAACAATCTTATCCATAATTGGCCTAATAATAGAATGCGGCTGACTAGAGCTGGTCACAGAATCTCCAGCCTTGAAGCATTTCTACGAAACAGCTAAGCTTCTATGAAAATATATTTTTTATTATAAAATAAATCACACGTATAATATACTGCGTAGAAGTTCATTGCAAAATCTAACCCATTCAAAGTTTCTACTAATTTCATGTTTGTGGGCACATCTAATATGATCCTCTATGAAACAGCTAAGCTTCTATGAAACGATGATTTTTTTATATAAAAAAATTTAACATGTATAATATACTGCGTAGAAGATCAGTGCAAAACATAACCCATTCAAAGTCTCTATTAATTTCATGTTTGTGGGCACATTTTGATATGATCTCAGGACCTCAAGAACTTACCAGGAGAAAAATTCGAACTCTTCTGATCCAAGTCTCATGCTTGCATAAAAACCAACCAGTAATCAGAGGGTCATAAATGTACAAGACTGTTAAGGGAAGGCGAGGAGGAGATCAGTAGGACTTGTATAGGCCAAGCAAGTGTTTCTCCCTCTCTTCCACCCTCTTCCGAGCCGCCTCCCTGGCTCTCAGGGCGGCCGCTTCCTCGTTGGACACAACCTTCGGCTTCTCATCCGCCCTCTTCCTCTTTGCAAGCGAAACCGACGATGGCACACCCTTGACAGGCTTTGTTGAGACCATTGACGCCAGAGGTCTGGAGATAACCGGCCCCGGCGGCGGGCCACCTGCTGATGCCAGTGTAGACTCTTCCTGCTTCACCCGTTTCCCTGATGTCGCATGTAAGGAAAAAAAAAAAAGCGTAAACACAGGGCCGTATTAATTCCACAGAGCCAGTGTGTGTGAAAGAGAGAGAGAGAGAGAGAGAGAGAGAGAGAGAGAGAGAGAGAGAGAGAGACAGAGAGAGAGTTGTCGACTTCGTTGGAGAAGTAGAGTCGAGAGTTGGGCTCATAGAAATATCCGTTTGTTGAGTCGTGATAATATCCCAAAAGGAGCATCAAGCTCCCACTCTGGAATGCACGAAATCTATGGGAAATGAATAACACCGAGCAACAAGAGGATATCTCCAATGGGCAAAGAATAGCGCCCTTGTTCAGTGAAGAGATTCACTGCGGAATTATAAAAGCATTAAAATTAAAAAAAAAGCCGACCCTAGAAGTACCTTTTGAATCATTGCCAAGTGCCGAGGGCGTATGTTGAACTGATTGATTGGCCTTCTCAAAAGCTGCTAGATCCTTCTGGTAGCTGCGTTGGGCTTTCTGGGGCAAGAAAGGCATTCTATCAAGAAGCAGAAGGTACAAACATAAGTGTGCATATTGCACAGGCATACAAGTCAAAGTCATAGACCAAGATTTCGATCTTTGTCAATAAAATAGGAATGATCCTTCGCCTCAGAATACCTAGATACTTCGGTTGAATATGGCTGAGATGACAAAGACCTGAGAAATTATAGGCTCACCGATTCAATTTGCTCTAGGGCCTTGGCCGCTTCCTTCTTCTCTTTTTCTTTGGCGGCACTTTCTTTTCTCATGGTCGCCAGCCTCGCAGTGACATTATCTTTGTGGCGTTTGCCGAGCTCATGAGTTCTTATGCTCAAGGGATTGTTTGATATGTAAATCTTGCAAAAGTCGCACCATTTGTTCCCCTGGCTGACCCAGTACTGAAATGCAAACGTAGGATGATCATAAGTTCATGTAGAAGAGTGTTCTAGAGCACCATACCAATTATTATGGATCCACAAGAACCAGTTAGACATAGATGTGATTTCATTCAAATACCAGAAGGAAAACAAACCCAACTAAGGGAATATGAAACCAATAAAGATGCCACACATTACAATGCAGTGAAGTACAGCGCACAGCAACAATATGGTATGCGAAGAATATGTACAAGTCTGCAGATATGTATGTATATATTATCATAATGATGTACACCACGCTAGTTTCACACTGAGATGGAGCGTTCTTCAATACGATCGCAAAAAAGTGAAATATGCGAAATTAAAATAATCGTAATAGTCTAGAATCTGATGATAGAAGTAAATAAAGAATGCTGTAAAATGAAGGAAAGTGACAGATTGTCCATTGTATATCGTGTGTCATAAAGCTCAACAGACAGATACAACCCAATGGACAATGATGATACGGACCATGTAAAACCTTAAATTAATGTCGATGACTAGAAAATGAGAATCAATATATCACTACCCAAATAATGAAATTAACTTCTCTTCAATGCTCTCAATACAAGTTTCTTTGGAATTTTGGCCCGAGGTGAAATCAGATCAGGAATCACCGAATCTTCTACCCATGGTACCACCCTATTGAATAAACTTATCACTATATACTTAAGAAATTACATTGCGATGACCAATAGATAAGCATGCACTGAATCTTCTAAGAACTTCAGTGGTCAGCCTACTCCAATATCTTAAGTCTCGTGTCATAATAATGCCTAATAGATAAACATGACCGACAAACTTATATTGTCAGGTAGCTTGTCAAGTGATTTAACAACCAGTTAACAGAACAGAAAGACGACCATTGTCATTTCCCAGAATTTTCGTGGCTTAAATATGGGAAGAAACGAAAAAAGGGTACATGTGAGCTTGATTCTCCAAAAAAATTGGTAACTAAATGTAACTTTTAACTAACACCTAAAAAGTATGAAATTTAGCTAGAGCCTAGCTTCTCCTCCAACGGTTTAAGAATCATTGAGAAGGAAGAGAATGAATAGGCAGCGTAGCCTGCTTCATCCAAATGAGCACAAGTTTATCTTCATATCACCAGAAAAAGTTAAATCCTCGAGAATTATACATACCACCATGAAGGCGCTCACTACCTGCACCATGAGCGTGCCATAACAAGTGGAGACACCAGAGAGCCGTTATTTTGATAGCTTTGTCGGTTTACAAGGCTAAATTTCTTTGAGAGGTTTTAAACAAGAAACTAAAAGAGAAACAACATCAAGTAGATTCAGCGCCAAGCTGAACAAAGAGTTCTATAATTTTCATCTTCTATTCATACGCAAGGGACACAAAATATCACGGGTTAAACAACAAAAAACCGAGAAATACGCCCCGATTTATCCCTTCTGATGGAACACCACATGAACCAGACATCGTACAACAAAAAACCCTAGCCAGCACAGCCACCGCGACCCTGCATTAGCTTTCTAGATAAAAAAAAATAGAAAAACACGATCGATAGTGATACCGCGGCGAAAGTATGGGACAGATCACTCCTTACCTCCGTCATCGTCGAACACCAGACTCCGGCAAAGCTTACTCAACTGAACCTCGCCGGAGAGCGGAGGGTGGGAAGGTGTTGCGGCAGAGAGAGAGAGAGAGAGAGAGAACATGGTGGATTTCGAATCTACGCCTTCGTGTTTACAGACGGTTTCAAAACGGAATCGATTGACCCGAGAACCAATAAGACGCACAAGAGACCCCGACAAGGTATTCGTTGCTTCCCGGGCCGCCTTTTTCTGGGCCTGACTCAAAAAAGCCCAGGTCATCGGGCCAATATATACCCAGAGTAAGCCTGCGCCTGACTCTACAGAAGCCTACCCTCCCCCTGAACAGCAGCCCCAAAATGGGCTCCGGGTCAGGCCCTTGTGGACCCCGGGCCGGGCCTACTTAAGCCCGGAATTGCCTTCCACGTGAACCTAGCAGAGAGATGCATAGAGAGAGACCAACGACTCTCTGCATCGAATCCTATCGGATCCCAGACCCCAGATCTGGATGAAACTAGTTTCAGGAGCAAAAACTGGGCCAAGATTGGCCCATTGATCATTTCGGGCTCAATCGGAACCCTAACCCCGGCCCATCGACAAGCCATGCAGAAAAAGGGCAAATGCACTGCCATTTTCGTGAGATCTTACAAGCTGTGGTCTTCTTTTACAGGGCATCTACAGAGGGGCAAATATCCAATGGAGATGCTCGCTCAGGGACCTTCCGGGCATTATCCTCTCTCTCTCTCTCTCTCTCTCTTGCTGTACATGAAGGCATCCGGAATCAGAAAAAAAATCTGGGCCCTGGAGAAACATCGCTGAAATCCTGCTCTTCAGCAGGCCGGGGACTGAAGAAGGGAGAAGAAATCATTCAAACTAATCGTCAGTCTCGAGCGGAAAGGAGGGGTTAGAACGCAAAATCGAGAAAAAGAGGCATAAATTTGAGAACATAAACCTGCTGCTGACTTCTCAACGCCTCCAGAATGCTCTCAACCCATCTATCATTAGTCATAAGAATTTCAATATCTTCACATAGATAAATAAACAAATAAATAAATAAATATGAAGATGGCATTACTGAGAGAAGTACCCATCGAGGCCAGGGTTGCTCGGGTAGAACACGTTCTTCAGTCCTAATCTCTTCGCAGCTGAAGCAGTCGTCTCGCCAATGCAGGCCACAGAGTTGCCCCATTCCTCTCCTCTTGCCACAAGGTTCATCCAAGCACTGGGCCATTCAAATAAAATAAAATAAAAATACGCAGGCTGAGTAATTAAGATATTTTATAAAATTACCAATGATTTTGTGGACAGATGAATGAATGCGATGGCCTAGTAATCTCACCGGACAGCAGAAGGGGAAGCAACAGCAAGAACAGGAGCAGAAACAGCTTCTTCTAGAACCCCCTGGTCAATGTCGTTGACTGGAACCTGCAAGGAAGCGGCGATCAAGTCAACTCTGACAGCGCCGAGATCCACCATGGGTGGGTCTTGTGGACTCACAGTGTTATAGGTGTTTAGCCTCGTGACCTCAAATCCACGCGCAGAGAGGCCTCCCTCTGCACAGAGCATTCCGGTGAAAAACAATGTGGATGAGTAAAGATCATCAACGGGCTCATCAGCGGCGAAAAACAAGGTTGTGATGATCTTCCGGCGAAAAAAATAGCGTTGACTTCTTTCTTCCAGGGGGAACTATGATTCAGGACACAGAGCTTGTGAACTGCTCTGCTGAATAGTCAACCCCTAGGGGGTTTTGCTAAAATAAGGTTATTAGAGCATTAATACCAACATCTGGAATAATATCTTCCTGACCCATTACAATATGATGGGCAATTCATTAAATGACTCATTTGAGGGAAGAGGTTATTCAACGCTTCCATCATCACCGTGGATAATAAGAATTTAATGAAGCCAGAAAATATATATGTGCTCACCGATTTCATGGCCAGCTTTCACAGATGCAGGATACAGAACAGAGCATGTCCCCCGGCCATGAACTGGGAGCTCCGAAGCTAGAACTTTCCCTGTTGCTGAAACAAATGATAAAATGGATTGTGAGAATTGAACTATTTTCCTAATATCTTATACATTAATATGAGAAGACTCAGACCCAACAAAAGAATCCAAGGCTTAAGAGAAGGATGTAGGGTTCCGATCACACTTCCACCCAATTCTCTGTATGTTCCAACATCATCTGACAGTAATGGAAGAGGAGGATCTACGATTTTCTTCTCATGGTGATGGCTGGAAGAGGGTTAAGGATTTGCAGTATTTTATAACGCTAATCTTGCCCAAAAAGCACCCAATTTAATGTAATATTGGATCATTGGTTGCCATATTTCAAAAACTGTCTCAACAAACCTTTCGAGGGAGAGAAAGCCACTTCAAGAGATTTTTCCGTGGATTGTAGCACTTCATTAAAAATACTAGCCGTACCAGCTCCAACCACACCTAGTCGGACTCCTGGGCAGCCAGCAGCCCTGAGCATATGCACAAATTATGGAAAAAAAATTAAAAATCGACGTATTATTTCTTTGTTGCATAATGTATATCAATGGTGAGGGGGTTCAACACAAATTTTCCTATGCATGGTATGTAGCATGCATGGTATAGGCTTTTGATGTGAATATCGATCGGCATGTTAATAAGAGATTACAACCATAACATAAGGCATGCATGGTATGTAGCATGGAAGATTAATCCTATGATCAGGTTCTTTCATGAATACCTACTTCCATGCATCAAGAAAAACTGAACCAGCTTCTGGAGAAGTGATAACAATCCAGTCAAACTCTTTCTCTGTGCAAACATGAACATCAAAGAAAATCATTTACTACAGAGGTCTTAAAAACACAAATCGCAGGCACATTAAGAGATAAATGAGGAGCTAACGAAGAGCAATACGCAGGAATGTATTGGCAGCTATCACACGAACCACGATCATGGAACTAAACCTCATCTGAATCGTGTCTTTTTAAAAGATTCTGCAGATATGGATACATTAATATGATGAAAAAACTGGTGTGGAAACAGTTCTCAATCCTACATCAATGAATGAGCTGATTGACAATGAAGCAGATACTTTGTTCCTACTGTGAGCCTTCAAACAGTTACGCGTATCCTTTTTTCTTTCTGAAATTAACCTGTTTTTTTCATTTAGGAATATTTCTTGGTGCTAATCGTGAAGGTGTCCTCCAAGAGACTCCAAAAATATAAATTTCTTCAACGTATTAAAAAAACCCCATCCACACAATAGTATAGGGAAGATCTAGAATCACATGAGGGAGCAACAATTTCTGTGGTCCTTGAAATGAAACAATCGAAAAAGGCAACTCTTTTCAATTGATTGAAAGTAGATGAGGTATATTCCTAAATGCGAATGCTGGGTCTCTTTCTAGAAAAAGTAAAACATTAATAAAAATATATAAAAATGTGCAGCTTGAAATTGATCATCATAAATTATTATGATATAGTTAGAAAAAGGTTAGATATGTTTTGACGAGGCATCCATTAAAAAAAATTAAAAAATTGAAAACTCGTAACACATCCACTTTGTTGTCATTTTGCCTAATTTGATAACAAATGATGTTAAAGTATTGGTACTTTCTAGATGATTTTCACCATCCAGCCTTGAATCAACACTAGTCAAGTCTCTTCCACAGTAACAACACATGCGCCATGATTTCCTGTTCATGTTCCCATATTGAAGGTTCATAACAGTATCGGAAATGCATAAGATTCCTCCGTCCGTCAACTCTGTTTATGCCGAATATGGTCAAAGAAATCTTAAATGGATTTGAATCACAAACCTCAAGGTACGCAAGTCAACATATGGGCCAAAAAATGATGAAAATTGATGAGTGATTAAACATTTCTGTTATTAAACCACATGTATTGGTTATATGAATCCCTCACACACTATAAAGTGCGCAGGGATTGTCATACGCATGCAACTCATGCAACTGGTATCAGTCATGTCAGTCTTCTGTTTTGCTTGGGTTCCGTCTGCAGATTTACCTGAGCTAGACAGATCAGTGTGTACTGAAGAAACAGGAACCAGATGGCTCAATTCACAACATATGATATAAAAATAGGGCGACTATTTTACTCATTCCGCTACCAATTCATGGAGGCCAACTCGATTTATCCAACGTTCCAAGTCTCCAAACATTGGTTTTAACAAACCTGTTTCTTACAAATGACAGGTTCAAATCAAGGTCAGAACATTCAAGAAGATCAGCCAGACTTGGTTATACCAAGCACGCTACAGTTTCAGGTTTCTATCACGAGCAAAGCAATTAGTTGCTAGCAGACTTCTTACTCCATAAAGAACCTCATTTTCACTATCAGATCTCTCATATACGAACAGAGCTCATCGAAGTGTTCCCCATGTTACAGAAAAATAATCATTCAAAACAGAAATTCCACAAGATGCACCAGAGTCACAGTAAGAAGAATCAAACAGCAAACAAGAAAAATGGTCAATGAAGGCGTTGAGGCTGAAGTAAGTACCTCTTAATAGAGATGGAAGCCTGCTAGTGTCGGGTCCTTGGGTGTGCATAACCAGAGGGACCTCCAAGCAATGAACATTGTATTTGCCCTACAGTTTGAACACGAAAATGAAAATGATGATTTCTCAGACGTGTCGCGTTTCGTTTTCTGACGGCAAAAAGGTTGTCATTGGAAAGTTCTAAGCAATTATTTAGTGCAATATGTGCTCATTACACTTTAAACAAAGTCTGTCAAAAGAACGATTCAATGCAGAGATTATAATGAATGTTTCATCACACTAATACTGGAGTGGCTCTTCTGCATTCAAAATCCTTCTTGCCTCATCTTAGTAAGCAAGGTTGCAGGGTCGGCCCCCGAAGAAACTGATTTTACCTAACGTAGTCAAATCAACCACAAAAGAGAAGACAAAATTAAGAAGACAGTTCTGGAAACGATAGCCTGGCATGAAACCCTCGGAAAATCCTCTCTGAGGTTGATCTAAATCTCAAGGATGCGTTATCATGGGATACGTATCGTCAACAATGAGGAAGCCAATGGGATAAAACGTACTGACTAAGCCAGAGGTGAGCTGCTCATTATCAAAAGACGAAGGAAAGCTCTGCAATAGCGTTGCAGACACAGAGGAAAACCGAAATAAGGTTCTATAAGAAGAAAAAAATAAACCAACGAGCAAGTAGCACTCATCCCGACAGTCAAACACCAAAAAAAGAGATATCAACTAACAAGAGGAATTAGAAGATCACGAGGAGGTGGTACATATGGACAGTCGCAGAAACAAATATGAACTATAGAGCCGATACCAGCGCATTGATGAGCTTTCCATTCTTCCCCTGCTCCCTCGTGACCACCACGTCCGGCCTCTTCCTCACGGGAGAAGGAGGCGGAGAAGAGCAGCATGCGAGCACGCAGGGGGCGGAGCCACGTCCCTTGAGCATGAAGCCAGCGGCCCAGAGAGGAGCAAAGGACCGGGAAGGGCCTGGAGAAGGAACGACATTCAGGGCGCGGCGGAGGGTGAGCGGGTCGAGCGCCATCTCCACCTTCTCCTCTGCGAAGGGACAAAAATCTTTACCTCGACGGAGAAGAGGTCCAGCCAGCACCGACTCCCCGATCTCCGAGACGCAGACAGGGAGGGGGAAAGAGCCCCCACCTTTCACGTGGCAACCTCTAATTGGTTGCTCAAAGATTGGGCCTCCGGCACCGGATAGGAGGGGCCAAGTCAGAGCTGGAAAGGGCCCAGTGACGTCGGCCCGGGCCCATAGCTCTGGCCCACAACCTCTCTAACCATTCCCATAGCTACGGTCAATTCATGAAGTCAACCCCACATAGTCTCCCTCCCAAACCCATTCTTTCTTTAGATATACACTCGATTTTTATGCGAAATGTATACCATCTTACCTCATTTTGACCGCTGCCAGCCTTATTTCAACTAAATAGTCAACGGTGAAGAAGCCCTCATAGAATATTTGACCCTGAAAGCCTTCATACCGGGCTATTAATCACAGGGTTGACATGGGTTCTTGTTCTAGTCTAAGTCATTCTTTTTCTTAGGCATACAATGGATTTTGATGCCAAAATGTGCGCCATCTTACCTCATTTTGACCGCCGTGAGTATTATGTCAAGTAACCAGTCAACGGTCAAGAAGCCCTCATAGAACTATTGACCCTGAAAGTCTTCACACCGAAGGTTGACATGGGTTCTTGTTCTAGTCAACTGCAAGCATTCAAAATCTTTCCATTTCGGATCCTAAATGTGCCCTTCAGAGAATCATTCCGAAAAGGCATCTTATATGACAAATAATCAATCATCAGACGAGAACCTGAGCAGCCACCCGATCATCGCATGAAAATAAATCACCATGATGCATGTCTTAGACTAGGAGAAAGCCCCCAGGGTACCAAAAGGCTGTCTGATTGAGTACATTGACTGGGCCAATCGCAGCTGAGATAGTTCCTAGCTCACTTGCTGCTGGCTGCCATACAGAGGAGGGTAAGCTCCATAGGCTGCGGCGTACATGCCCGGGTCATGGGGGCTGGCAGCGTAGCCGTAGCCGCCGTAGACCTGCCCGCCGTAGTACCCGTTGCTCCACTGGCCGGAAGAGTCGGCCCTCGGCTGTCAGACCCACCGAAGGAAGAAGAAAGTCAGATCCCATCAGTCGTTTTCTTGAGAGACGAAAGAGATGACAGGTTAAGTTTACCTGTCGATTGGCGGGGTTGCGGCCCCACGAGAGGCGGACCATCTGCTTCCCAATCGTCGTCCCATTCAGCTTGTTCAACGCTTCTTCGGCGCTGCTCCTGCCGAGGACGAGGAGCAGAGAGAGAGAGATGTAAGAGAGAAGCTAAACAGAAGACATGAACCCTTTGCATAGATCCTCCGCATGAGCATTCAATGGGTACCTCTGGACGAACTGCACGAACCCACATTGCTTTCCGACGGGGATTTTGACGGAGGCGATGTCGCCGCACTCGGAGAAGGACTGCCGGAGATCGTCCTCACTGACATTCGGATCGAGCCCTCCGACAAATACCTGGAGCACGAGGAAGAGGAAGCTGTGTTCATAAGGGTGGGGGGGGGGGGGAACGGGCGGGTTGATGAGAAGGGCAAAGAGGAGAAGGATGCACTCTCACAGTTGTGTTGCTAGAGTCTCCGTCCGTCGGCAAGCCTTGGGAACCGTTGGATGCGAAACCTAGAAAGTGAGGGAAACTGAGAGAAATCTAGAGAGAGAAGTTACTGATTCGAGTAATGGGCGTCAGCACTATGACTCAACCCCGGGAGATGCTGACAAAACTCTCACCTTTATATGGGTCAAACGTTACCCCATTTAGAAAGAGGTGGCAGAAACATATTGAAAATAATGGGAAAAGATATCAGGAACACCATTTTTCTGAAGCATACGTAAACTTGGATTCTCTCATAGAGAAAGATGCAGATGGGATTGCCATGAACCGATCTGTGTATTTCTTATGTTTCCCTAATTGTCTTCCAAGGAGGAAGAAAAAGTTAATACAAATGGAAATTCCTATGGAAAGAAAGGTTCTAATTGTTTAGAATCTCCATTAAAATCCGACTGAACTTGTGCAAAACTGAAATTGGCAAAAGACAGAGGGCCAAAACGATGATCTGAAAGAAAATCAGAGCCATGAGCAACAAAGGAGATGGGTCATAAACAGACAACCTGATATTGGATGGGCTAGGATTGAGAATAAAGATTAACGTAAATAGTGAAATGTTCTTGAATCGCATTTGCATCTACTGAGCCATTGGATCGATCCAGATTGTGCTTGGGAAATGTAGGCAGTTCAGCATCAGCCGTCCTTCCATTCAATTAATCCAATCACACGCAATAAAATAAAATCCAACAAATCATATCAATCAGATGCAAAATGAGGGAAGCAAAACAGTGCTGGTAAAACCGATTTGGACATCAGTTATTGAATGGAAGTAAAAGCAGAGAGGAAATGGGAAGCACTAGGGGTAGGGATCCAGTTCAAGTCGCGTACCAGAGGACTTCCTGGGGGTTGCAGCACCAATTCGCATTGCTCTACTGGAACAAAATGCACCATTCATCTCTGTCATTGCACGGGATTTCTCACTTTCGTCTCCAAATCTGACAAATCCATAACCTTTCGATCGACCGGTATTAGCATCGATTACAACCTTTGCACCTTTAACAGAAGGGTATCTAGTGGCAAATGTTTCTTGCAATAAGTTATCTGTCACATCAGGAGCCAGATCACCGACAAATATAGAGTGATCGGAGCCAATATCTGAACGTTTGTCACCCATGCTAAATGACGCCCAGTTGATTCGAAAGAGCTGATCTGTGTTTGGCATTATCATGGCACCATAGGCCTGGAGTACCTTTTCAGCTGCTGCTCGTGTGTAAAATTCAACAAAACCATATCCCTCTGATTGCCCAGTTTGCTTATTTCGGATAACTTTTACTAAGGCAACCTTCACAGAAGCATGGAAATCGATTTAAGAGAGCTACCGACGAAATTCAAATAAATGATGATAATAATAATAATAATAATAAATATTCGGTAAAAGAAATTATCAGACTGCCACAAAATAATTCCCAAGCCAAATACAAAGATAAATGACTTCAATGTCAACGTGATTATAAACAAGCGAAAAAAATCGACTAGATTTTATTTGTAAGTTTTAGACATTCTGATGAGGCATTACGTTCAAATTTCATCCACATTGCATCAATTTTAAAAGCATAATTTTCTCTTATTTTAATGATATAACATCACTACAACAGTCAGATGCAAAGGAAATTTTTGTATCAAATTTTTATTCAATATGATAAGGAACTACATATGCAGCATTCTCCAATTTTATTCCGAAGGCAACCTGGATTCCTTTTACACAAAATAGAAGGCCCTAAATTTCACTACATCGAAGCAGGCGGCCATCAGATAATTGAGGTGAACATTTTTCCAAATCCTGGAATTCCATATCGTTCTGAAGAAAATACTCCTTTTCTATGCGTTAAATTTCTCTAGGAGATAGATTTAGAATCTAGAAACAAACCGATAATTGTTTTAGGGGCTTCTGCTACTACTATTGTTAGAATCCTCCATTTTTTATTTTAACTACAGTAGTGAGCACTAGGTTATATCACCATCTATTCATTTCTATTCCTATTATTACTAGTTAGTACCTTGTTGAACCATTTTTGTTCCAGTGATCTACTTAAATAGGTTAAGCCAACATTCAAACGCGGTTGGGATTAAAAAAATCCTCTATCAACTTTATAAATATCACACGAAGCAACATCCATCACAAGTTTTGTACGAGTTTCCCCTGTCTTTTCTCTATGGGACACGGCCCTTCTTCCTGTTCCTAATGTATTTAAACATATGCAACCAGGTGCTCCACATCACATTTATGCGCGGTGAATAAAACATATATAACGCTCATCGACACAAAACTTCTGCTATTATTTGCGAAACGTTTTGAATATTCCAGAGCCCCAAAACATTGTTGAGAGACACCACAGTTCACTCACAAGAGGCTTATCATGATGAAAGATGAAAATAAACTAGACAATCCTAACAGTAGAAATGCCGCCTTGCTTGAAATTCCCAAAAAAGACTAGGAGATGCTACAGCAAATGAAAAAAAAAGCAAGAAAGATCACGCAGCATTTCCTTTTGTGAAACATCCATAAACAAAGACGTGGAATAATAAATTAATGCATTCATCGTTTTGCTGCCCCCATCAAATTTTACTAACAAGTAAAAAGAGAGCCTATCCTAGGATGAAAATAATTATACACGGCTATAAATTAACAAGAATAGCGTTAATATGTTGTCAGCCCCTAAAAATATATAAATAGAAACATCAACGTTCGCGTGGTTTTATTCCTAGACAGCCAACAAGCCTTTTCATTGTCTGGAACTCTGTCATACTTCATGTACAAAAGCCACATGGTTATGTTGATCAACATGTTTCATGTCCATAAAATGGATATGCTAGAACATAGCAAAGAAACAAGAATCATCTGGATAGTTCAATACCCAAAAACCCGCTTGAATCCCAAGATAGAGGGGTTGAAAAAATTACAGCCGTTTTGGTTGTCTCCGAGCATGTGAATGATGAGGATACGGATGCAAATATTAACAATTTGCATTTATTAATAGATACGGTGCATTTATTAATAATTTGCACATATTTATGACGAAAACTCACGGAACTACAGAAGATAAGTATAATATTATGATAATGTGCAAAGCAGTGTTGGGAAAATTGATCTACCATCTCCTCCACATAAAATTAATTGTCAGGATACCAAATTCTCCACATGAAAACTGCAATGATTTCCATGTCAAAACATAGATATCTAGCATTAATGTTGGACGACACATGATTCTTGTTAACTTCTACTCAAAAGTTCGTCTATAAAGATCATAACCAACTTCAAATCTTAACTTTGATCAAGACTGGTCCAGGTATTATACACACACACGATGACTAGGCCGATTTAAAAGAAAGGTTACTTCGGAAGAAATTTTGAAAAATTAAAGGATCGATTAGATGTATTCATAAATCATTATAATTCAACTGAACAGAACTACTGTACATTCCTACGTGTTTGAACGCTACATTAGACTAGACCAAATCCAACTAGGTGAACCAAATGTACTAGGATAGATCAGACAAGAATCAGTTGACATGAGTGAGATCAACTGACCCTGTTTCTTCCTTTTTTTAAAAAATGATCTGAAGAGGCGGAGATTGTCTCTTTTAAATTAGATCAAGAACTGTAAATAACTCCCATTAAACTGTAACGAAAATTGACAGATTTTGCGAACCACTGTCATCACCGGATTAACTGGTAACTTCGTGTCCACCATTTAAAACAAGAAAGAAGAGTCGTGGCTCTTCCTGTACCAAAATTCTGAATGTTTCTCTGCATCAATCTCCAGCTAGAGCTCTTCCAGTAATACTACACTTAAAAATTTCTCACTTAACATGAATTTAAGAAAAAAACAAAGTCATGGAAACAGAAATCACGTATGCATACGGTTCTCAAGACGCCATCATTGCGTGTGGCAACTGAGCGACATCCAATGCCTGAATCCGGACCGCCAATTGAGAATTTACAAGTCAGAAGACGTCAAACACGGCCACAAAACAAAATCACAAAATACATATTTCACCCAAATGATAATGTCTAAAGTAAGAGGATGCCGAAGGTAGATCTCGGAACGTGGTATGCGTCGGTCTATGAGTCTACGATGAAAAAACGAAAGCGACCCACGAACAAAAATATTTGTCCAAATGTTTGAAAACAAAAAAATGTAGAAAAACGGAAACATGATTCCTAACCTCGCCGGTGTGACCGAAGCAGTGCTGAAGATAATTCTCGTCCATCCAGTACTGAAGATCTCCCACCCAGATCGTCCTGTTCTCGTCCGCTGACCCCGGCTGCTGTTGTTGATGCTGCTGATACTGCGGCAGCAGCGGGGACACCTGGTGGAATGGAATGTAGTGCGGCGCATACGGCGGCGGCGGTGGCGGCAAACCCGCTGCCGCCATCATCTGGTTTGGCATTATCATTGTCGCCCCCGGGTACGGCATCGCCGCCGTCCACTGCGGCGGTGACGGCGCCTGCGCCTGCGGTTGTGACCTCTGGTTCTCGGTCCCGTTCGCCGACGACTGCATCGTCTCCGCTCTTCCCTACAGGCTCCGACGAGAGACCCCTACTTGAGGAGGCGCTCCGGAGAGTACGAAGAAGGTAGCGGCCGCACCAGAGGGGAACGAAGAAGAAGATGAGGAGAAGGGGCCTGCGCAATGGCTATATACCGGAGGCGGCTCTGGCGGGCCGTTTGTTCTCCTCCGTCGGATGAGACGATGCGTGGGCCGCCGGCTCCCGTCGATCCGGCGGGCGGTGGCGCTCGTGACTCGTCGGCTCCCCGCTTTGACGGGATCCGGAGTTGACCTCTGCCATCCCCTCATCCCCTCATTCCCTCATTTAATAATATTTTTTACTTTATTTTAAAAAATATAATTCCCACATGTTAAATTCCAAAAAGGTCGTATGTTAATATTTTACAAATTTACGATTTTTTAGTCCCTTTTTATGAGGAATAGATGCAAAATAAAAATGCTTGCAAAATTAATATGAGGAATAATGCAAATTAATTGGCAAATATCATAACTCAATTTTGACATAGAAAATGGGAAAAAGAATTATTTTTTATTTACTTCATTTGGGGTGTTTGTCACAGATTTAATATTAGTAAGTATTCAAAAATTTAAAATATGTGTATGAATTTTTCGATCACACTTTTTATTGGATTTGTCGGGATGATGGTGAGATGGAGAGAGAGAGAGAGAGAGAGAGAGAGAGAGAGAGTCTCTCTCATGTCATTGATCCCTTAACCTCAATTCAAGGTAAGATAGGTTAGGAGGTTATTATGGGCCGGGCCTATAAAGGTAATAACGGGCCGGGCCCATTAAATTATGGTCGATATTTTATAATTTCAGCAATTATGAGACCATCGCATGAAGCGGATTCCGTGAATCTGGGTCACGTTGCCACGTCAGCGCCGCAGGGCTGGATCGAACCGGGTCCACAAGTCGGAGATTCAACGGCGGCCTTTATCCCGAACGAAGATATTTTCGTTCCCGGCTACTTTTATGTATGACCCCCATAATAATTGTTTTTAATAAATAGGCCTTAAAAATATATAACTACATATATGCCTCTTGGTTTCGAAGAGGTCAAACAGAGTGAACATGCTTTGTATTTTGGGTACTTGTACAGATATATGATATTTACGGTTCAAAATGATATGTGAAAAATATGTGGATTCGAAGAGAAAAAAGTCAGATATTTTAGACCCTCTGCCACGAATCACTGCGTCGGAGGAAAAGCGACGACACGTGGACCACGACCTTCGCTTCAACCTGTGCCTGCGCTTTTCCTTCCTCATCTACGTGTGTGTGTATGTGTATATATATATATACATAAATTCTTCCTAATCTGGTTTCCTTCGTTATTCGATCTCGACTTGGGGAGGTAGGTCTCTAGAATTTTCTTCTGAAGGAGAAGCGGACAAAGGCTTCTAGAGCATGGATCCAGGGATCTCCGAGGAGATCAAAGGGATCGAAGGAGCGGCCACCGGAAGCGGCGAGGTCAAGTGGCTGGACGGCGTCGAGGGTTGCGAAGAGGTGGAGGGCGCGGTAATGTGTTCTAGCCTTGGCCTTCTGGTCAGTGCCATTTTTATTGGGCGGATTTGTCTGGTCGGCATGGTCTCGTGCTTCGGCCGGTCGCCAGATGTTCGAGCGTCCTTCGGTGGTCTGCTTGACTTGGGTTGCTTTTTGGCTCCAATTAAGTCTTATACCGTGGTTTAGGATAATAACCTCTTCCAGGTGTGACGTATATGCGAATTCATGAATTGCAAGATTGAGGAGGGTTTTTCTTCTATCGTGGAGTTGTTATCTTTTGTATGTCGTGGTTTAATTTTTCCAATGTCATTTTCCTTGTACCGGCGATCACCTAGAGACTCCCATTTCTATTTACATGATACGGATGAATGCGCTTGTTGCCATTTTTGTTGTGATCCCTGTCCGCTCTGAGTTTACGGGAAGAAACTAGTGATCTTAAGTTGACGCAAGTGTGGAAACGGAAGATTAACGCAGAAATTTGAACTTCTAATAATAATCAGCTAAATCAGGCGTAGGCGATACTTCAACATGATTGCTAGACATTTTCTACTGTCGGACATTGAAGGAGTTGTTTCTACACAATAGCGTTGCGCGTTCAATAGACTTTATTCTCATATAATAGTTTGGAGGAGGGTTCCAATAATCTCCCGAAGTCTTGAGTGCCCTTTTGAGCTGAAAAGCACTGAGTTATCTTGGTTTTGTTACATCAGGATATCAATATGAGATTTCACATACTAAGATGAGTATCGTGGACAAGATTGTCAAGGATGTCGATTAAAACTAATAAATATAGTAAGAAATGAACTAATATGTCTTGCAGGCCAATAACTACTTTGCATGTAAACATTACCCCCACTTTGCCTGCATTATCAATGCCAACTCTTTTATCTAAGATTTCTGGTAACACTGGCTTTTTTAATCTGTATATTGGGAATAATGGTTGGTCTTCTTTCACTTCTTTGGAGAGCAATGCTGACCATTCGGTGCAAAAACTTATAGTGACACTTTCGGTGGATAAGTTTCAAATTCTTAGATCACGTCAAACAGATAGTCACGTATTTCCTCCTTTTGTACGTTAATTATTTTTTCCATTTTGAAAGCCTTGAGCCTTATCAATCTCTTCCTTTTGGGAACTACAGATTGTGGAATCTATGCCTATGGAATGGACAGATGAAAAACACAACTCGTATCTGAATTCAATAGAGGCATCATTTGTCAACCAACTTTACAACCACGAGTTCAATTCAAATCATCTTTTGGGTTGGTCTTCAAGAACACAAAAAAATCCACACTTATCTGGACCTCATACGGGGAGCTGCTACTCTGGTCAGGTACGAGATGAGCTGGTTTGTTGTGTTTTCTATCATTTCTTTGATGCCAAATATGGTTATGTGGAATTAATAATTTTATGCAGTTTAAGGTGCTGCGTGGAGGTTGCTGGAGTGAGGTTAAGTTTGAAAGATCACGAATATTGACGGCTGCTAAAAATGAGACTCGTGTCCTTTCAAGAAACCCCTGGATTCAGCATTTCAGGTCAAATTCCGACAACGAAGCTGTCGACTCATGTCCACATATGGAGATCAATTGTACATCCGAGCAAGAAATAGACATTGGGGGAGAGAGGCAAGGAGAAGAAGATTGTGGAGAAGCAGCAAGTTCTAGTCAGTTGCCATCTTGTTGTACTCACGTATGCCATGAGGATTCTCTCAGAAGCAGTACAGGTACATCTCACTTCGAACTTATCCTTCTCTTTTTCTAATGTCAAAATTTCTATCAATTTATGCCAACTAATACCCATCTATAGTTGGAAAAATAAGAATCCTCTTTTTCTTAAGTCTGTGGCATCTTATAATTTAAATGTTAACCAAGAAGTAGAGAATTGATTTAATCTTTTCAAGGATAGCATTAAGTTTGATTTATGATATCTTTGTTTGTTCACTTTTTAATAATTTCTCTTAGGCAGCATGATTTATTTTTACTTGTATCATAATTTTTAGTTAATTCTCTCATAATTCTATATTTGGAAGCTGATGATTAGTGTGCTTTTTACTCTTCAGATCTTTTAACGGGTTTTTTGAGATCATCAACAAACGAGCAATTCGAATAAAAGTTTGAAAACGTGTGCTATATAGATGTAAACGCTGCTGACCTGCCGACTATCATTTTCGATGCTTCACGAGTAAAATATGGGGAACATACGAGATATTGCCTATTTTCTTCGTTTCAGCTCAACTATCAATTTATTACGTGGTGTATGCTAGATGCTACAATTGCAATACGAGATTATGTTGTAGGCAATGTGTGACAAAAATACTTGAAGAGCGAAAATCAAGTCTTTTCCATACAGTTGGCGGCTGCTCACTCAATACACGGATAATCTTATGAAAATTCGCTTTGTTCTATCTGAAAAAAAATCTCCCGTAGACTAGAGAGAATCCATTAATTGTTGATAAATATATGAACATATTGGATCTATACTCTGTCTGTTTCCAGTTCTGCGGGCACAAAGGAGACCTAAACTGCTTGAAATTTTTGCAGAGGCGTCAGGTCAGAACTTTGTGGATGACCTTGAAGGAGATAATCGAGTAAGTAGATTGTGCAAGAAGAGGTATAGAACTACAATGTTTGATGCCAATCATCATCAAGTACTCTCGGACTCTTCTTCTGTCGTTCCTTATTCATCATCCTCTTAGAATCTGCCCTCAAGTCCCACTTATTAATCCTCCTTTTCGCCTCCTGCCTCTCCAGGCGGCCCAGCTCGGGAAGCTCCCAACCGTGCCAAGAAACGACGAGAACGTCCCATCTGATCAAGGGAATGATTCGGATTGCACTAGCCCCAAAGCTCCGAAGATCGATTGAGAAGCCCGCCCCCATTTTTTGATCATACGACGGATTAAGCGACGAAACAAGTTCTAGAGATCATTTTCAGAGATTTGGAGCGTCGGCTTCTATGAGATGGTGCGGTGCTCTCTGGTCGCCGACCTTCTGTAACATAAACATAAATGCAGATTGCACTAGATTAGATGCCTGCGTAGAGGAATGGTCAAGGTGTGTGTATATATATATATATATATACACACACATCGACAGTGGTTAGGAGCTTGGTAACAGATGACTGGAGAATTTCATGATTCTTGTGTTACCTATGAAATTGGCCTCAGGTGAGGAAGCATCAGAGGCATGGCTCAGTTATATAATACATGGAGAATTCATCTGCTACTTATCTTAAATTTATTCTCTCAGGGCCTGGGATAATCGCAGGTAGCAGGGGCCTGGACGGGAGAGACTCGGAGCCTCTGAGCTCTCTTCCCTTCAGGGTCGCCGGAGCCGACGGGCCTGGCGGCCGCCCGCCGCTGCCTCGTCCAGCTGACCCATAGACCCCGTTTCCTTTTGTGGGCTATAAGTGGCAGTAAGTGATATCTCTCTTTCTCTCTCTAAGAATGGAGGCGGAGGGACTAATCTGGGTCAGGCACGTGTATAATGGGCGTCCACTTGGCCCTTGGATAGGTTGGGCTCGAGTATGATCTGTATTACGCTATAAATGAAATTTGATTTTTTTTGGATAAATGCTAATTAATAATAAATAGGTAACCTTGTTCTGTGCGGAAGGCGGGCCGAGTGAAGTTTGTGGGCTGGGGGCCGTCTGCTTGAGACCGGCCTGGTTTTGAAAGCGGGCTTATGTTGGTCGGGCCATGGGAAGGGGGCGGGCCTGTTTGGAATCCGGTGAAGCCCGGCTCGTTTGGCACCTTCGTGTGCTCGTCCTCTCATTGCCAAAGGGGGACAGCGTTGCGCGACCGAAGGCCGGGCTTTCGGACCTATATAGCAGGGAGGCGTTGGGCGAAGTTTCGATCGGAGTTTGCTTGAGAGGGAGGAATCCACTGAGAATACCCGGAGAGATTCCATTCGATGGTACTGGCGATCTCTCTCGACGATTTTTCCCAATCTGATCCCCTTTATCTCTCTCTCTCTCTCTCTCTCTCTCTCTCTCTTGGCGTTTTCATGCTTGATCTGTTCGCAGCTTTTGCCTCCTGCTTCCGCCCACATCTATTTTCGCGATCTTGGAACATCCTGCCGCTCTGGATTTCGCTACTGCGTTATTTTTCTTCTTTCATTGGACTTGGAAATGAAGGGGACGGGCCATGCTTGTCGAAGTACAATCATGGATGTTGGTCAGGAATAGCATCTTAGTAGAGAAAGGGTTAAAACTTCTCAGGCGATCAGGGAGAATTAGGTATCTATTTTTACTTTAGGAATCAGGCCCTTGATCGTCTGTCTATAATGTGGGGTTTTCTGGCCCTTCTAAAAGAGACGTGTCTCTTTTTTCAACTATGTGGACAGCAAGAGGAAACTGGCTATCCTCGATTTCCAAACTCATTTTAGACTAATGATCCTATGTTGACGTCAAAAAACGTTATTTGCTCATGGGTTCATAATAATGATCTGAAAAACAAGCGACCTGGATAGTGGATCACAGTCACCTATATTCGCTGCTTTTAATGTGAGGAAACTGATGAAGCCGGAAATCTTTCTTGATCAATTATTAGCCGGAGTTTTCTTGTAGGTGGAGCCATGATCAATTAATCAAACAAGTTTAAAAAATGTTAACGTCAATATCTGTCTTATAGTTTTTTGATTGGGTACATATCGAGTTCGAGCTATTTATCATGTAATTCTTTGAAAAATTATGAATTTTCACTTGGTTATTTTGCAACATTCTTGAAGAGGACCCAAGTGTTTTCTCTGGCTTTTCTTTCCGAATATTCATTTGATGATTGATGTGTAGAATGGTTCTGATACCTAGTACCTCTACAACTAACCGTACCTTGAGAAACATCCTTTTTTTTCTTTCTTTCTGTTTACTGGTATTTTGTTTTTGTATCATAACGTATGGTATTTAAAATTTTAATATGGTCTTGATAAACTAATTGTTAGTCATTATTAGGTCAGCATTTAGATTAGAATGGAAGATTACGTTCCAGTAATTTTCAAGTATATGGTGTTATTCATACCTTGTGGTTGAGATCGTCCAGAAGTGTGTAATTCAAAACTGAAACAAGAGTACGTAGCAAGGTATATGCGATCGTTTTATGTTGATTATAACAGGGAAGGACGCAGACCAGAAAGAACTTGAATCAACGGAGGGAAGAATGGCATGAATATAGGCATGTCGAGTATAAGAACTATTTGTGACAGAGTGGATTGGTGGAAGAATATCTGTGTTCTGGTCCCTAATTGGTCGAGATTGGTCCCTCGTATGACTTTATTATACCTAGGGGATCCCATTTCCATTATGTTGTGTACATGACGTTTCATCTTTTCGACACTAGTTTATGTTTGCATATGTTAATCTTGACGGACTGTCTTAAAGTGTTATGAATATTTTTTAATCTCTTGTTTCAAATAATACATTAATATTTTCAGCTATAAGGATTTTTTTCCCGTTGAGATGATATAATTAAATGAGTTGCAGTCTTGCTTACCTTATCTTTTTTGGATCTAGAACAGCTTTCTGCCTGTACATCATCTGGGGATAATAGTGCATCGATTTAATTTTTTAGAAATTTTTCTCGTATAACTGAGTTTTCGTTTTTCTTCCGCATTATCATTTAGGGAAGCTTTCAGAAAGGAGTGTCTAGGAAAGAAAAACCCAGAGGTCGTCATCATGGATTAACTACGCAAAAGAGGCAAGAGATAAGAGAAGCATTTGATCTTTTTGATACTGATGGCTCTGGTATGATTTTATAGAGGGCAACTTATTCATCTTTCACCTGCTTTTTCCTTCACAACTGACGCTACTGTCCATTCTACTGTTTTGAAGGCACGATTGATGCCAAAGAGCTGAATGTTGCCATGAGGTATTAAATTTCTCAAACTTCTCTCGAATTTGATCAGCTTGATGTAGCTTTTTATATTAATGTTTTCTTTGATTGTCTTCAGGGCTTTGGGTTTTGAGATGACAGATGAGGTATTACTTGTCCCTCAGCGGTTTGTAATATCAAATTTATCCTTTTTTCATTTTTTCTTGTTAATGCAGACCTATACCTTACCAATGAGCATGTTAATGTGTTCTCTTTGAGTGACCTATGTTGAATGTCCTTTAGCGATTTTATAATGTCTTTTCTAAGTGCCGTAGTAAATAGTATTATCTTGACGGTTAAATTGAGATGCGATGCAAGTGTCGTTTTTTATTGAAATTTAGTACTCTCTTAAACGTGAGCAGAAATGCATTCTGTTTTTTTCTTAGTGAGTGATTCGTGATAATGTTGGTGCTGAGATTTTTAATGAATTTGATTTGCTCAATGGTACAACTGCTACTATTTTTGGTGTCAGGTTGGAGATGAGATGAATAGATTTTGTGCTCAAACACTTTACAAACTTTTGTGTCAAGTTTGACGTAGGCCAACTCTTGTATGTCTTTGTTTATGGTTGGATCATCTCTCAGATGCTTGGATGACAGCTAAACTATGCTTCTGATATACTTAACTGTGTGCCTACGGTTGGTAGTTAAATTGAACTGATGATATTCTAAGCAACGCTATAAATCCCTGTCCAAGTTTCTTGTGAGATTTTTTTTGAGCTAATCAAACTGGAGAAGTACCAGAAGATCATCTTAGGGTACCTCATAACGTGAAGAATCACCAGTGACTCATTTCCGAGTATTTTTTTAAGTGTCCCAAATGCTTCTTTGATGTGCCTTCTCGCTAATTGCTTTGTGCTATTCATTCCTCTCATTTTCTCATAGCATCATTTGTATTAGGCTCTTTTCAATGCTAAAGACAGGAAGAATTGCATACCCTCATTCTAGTATCTCCCTCATTTTTCGTTACCCTTAGAGTTTCTTGTCACGAACAAGGTAACTGACTTGTAGTGATCAAGAAATACTGATAAGTTCCTGATGAACTGCTAATACTAAGATTCTTAGGCTTTCTTCATTAAATGAGAGTTACGGTTGTGCATTCCATGCAGTAATGTCTTGATGCATCCATATTAAGTCCAATTACACAGTCTAGAATTTAAAACCACGGTCAAGGAAAATTTAATTCTTCGACAAGAATTTTTGTCATTATGATTCCCCTGAATCTTCCAAACTGAGACGAGAGATTAGGAAACTTAGAATGACAAGATATTTTGTTCCTTCTTCACCGTTCTGTTATTGAAATATCTGACTAGTCATGCTCTTTTCATTGTTCATATGCTTCATGGGAATTTTTGTGGAAACATATGTACCGATGGACTATTATTAGATGCACCTTATGGTTCAGATGATCAGGAATAATGAAATTACTGATTTTTTTTATTCTCTCTGATCTGGAATGATCTAAATGGAGTCCTTTCACTCCATATGTGATCTGATTTTTTTACGCTTTTTTTTGTTTCTTTTTATGTTGGAGACTGATATCTGAAGCAATTCCATTGGTACAGCAAATCAGGCAGATGATTGCCGATGTAGATAAAGATGGGAGCGGGGCAATCGATTATGACGAATTTGAATACATGATGACGGCTAAGATCGGAGAAAGAGATACAAAAGAAGAGTTGATGAAAGCCTTCCGCATTCTTGACCATGATAAAAATGTGCAATCTCCTTCTTCAGCCTTTCTCATCTGCTTGCAAAGTTCTTGAATTGTTGTTCGCTCATTTTGTTCCAATGTTTGCCAAGTTTTGAGATTTGCATCTTCATTCCTTGCTCACTTTTCTTGGTTTCCTCTTTTCTTTGCAATAGGGGAGGATATCTGACGTAGATATTCAACGCATTTCGAAAGAAGTGGGAGAGAGTTTCACTCTCCCAGAAATCAGAGAAATGATTGAAGCAGCGGATCGTGACGGTGAGATACACTTGTTAATCGAGTTTTATGATCATCCTTTAATCTGAAATTTGCTTCCTGTGCCTAATTTCTCGTCCAAACAGTTTCGCCTTGTGGTTTGCAAGCTTACTAGAGAGAGAAGAAGGAAAGTGTCCTAAAAGGGCGAGAACAATATCCAGGGTTTCAGTGTGCTGAGAGATCCAGAAGTGGTTGCCCAAAGTAGTGATACTATTGGTGGCAGTTCTAGTATTCTGGATTGGCCCATTACACCTTTTCTTTACCACCCTAGAAATGACATGAATTACTTGTTCAGGGTGACTTTATATCTTTATACTGTGATGAAATCCAAGGATTCATTTGAAATTGTTTCTTTCTATACATAATGTCACTGTCCATCTATGAATAATCCAGGGAAGAGGCCAGCTACTCGCTCTTTCTTCCAGCTAACTGTCGCCTTCCATTGAGCTCCTCTGATATCATCTGTTAGCGTTATTGCCCCATCTAGCTAGAAACCAATATGGGGGCCACCCTTATTCATCCAACCAGTCTTCCCTACCTTCTGTGCGAGTCTCCAAAACAAGTGGGAGACATTATCAGAGACCTGGATGCCCAACGACCAGGTCTCACCCACATCTCATCTAATGGCTGTCACCTGGCTGAGCTCATCAAATTCTGCGCATTCATCCTATTATGACCATATTTCCCTATTGATTCATCTTCTTCTCTAATCATCGGCAAGAATTCCAGTCCCACCTTCAATGGGTTTCAACCAATATTCCGCTTCTTCTTCATCTCCAATTGTGAACGTATTTCCCCCATGGATCCACCTTGTTCTATAATCATCTCCCAGAATCTCGGACCCAGCGTTCTGAACCCCTTCCCGTCACCATCATCTCCAATGGGTTTCAACCAATATTCCGCGTCTTCCTCATCTCCAATGGTGAACATATTTCTCCATGGATCCACCTTGTTGTATGATCATCTCCAAGAATTTCGGAGCGTTCTGAACCCGTTTCCCTCACCAAGATTTCCTCTTGTGGGGTGTGCAGGTGATGGTGAGGTCGACACCGGCGAGTTTCTCCGGATGATGAAGAGAACTAACTTCGGCCAGTGAGCTTCATCCAGGATCCTTGAAAGACTGTTCTTTGATGATTCACATGCCCAGTATATGATGCTCTGTTGATTCCCGGGGATGGAGACATTTCTGCACGGATACTACTACTGCTAGATATTCTGTGTCTTTTTCTGTGCTGCTGTTGAATGATCGTATGAGGATACAAATTCTCACTTTTTATTATTATTATTATTATTATTATTATTATTATTATTTCGGTACATGTAATTTCTATTTAGATTAAAGAGAAAAAAAAAGATAAACAGGGAGGTGATTGGGGATAGGTCGGCGCCGTCGGTTTCCTTTTGCACCGGAAAGCGAGTATCCTACCGACGCGTACAACCGAAAGGCGCGGGAGGTTATCGGTTGGGAATAGGTTTGGGAGGGGCGGCGGACATTGGGACATCAAGCGCTGCCCTGGGAATGATATCGTGGCTTTTGAGAGCATATGCGCAATTATTTTCCTGCAAGTTTGACGCATCCAGGTCAGAATAACGAACCCTTGACCATTGAAGAGCCAGCAGACTGCGTAATTCATCGATACCTGTATATATATCCCTATATCCCTCGTCTGGTTTCTGTAACCATCCCACCGGAGAGAGTAGAGAGAGTAGAGAGAGAGAAGCCACTCTTCTGCAGTCGAGATGGCGTTCGTGAACGCGCGTCAGGTGCCCGAGCAGGAGATGACGTTGGAGGAGTTTGAGGCCTGGTTGCGCAGCTTCGGCGACGACGGCGATGGCTTCGTCTCGCTGAAGGCCCTCCAGCGGGCCATCCGCAGCCGTGGTCTGTGGTTGGTTTGGTGGAAGGCCCGCCAGGGGATGAAGGTCGCCGACGTCAACGGCGACGGCCGCATTGGCAAGGAAGAGATCAGCAAGCTGTACGTCTACGCCAAGAAGAAACTCGGCCTGAAGAAATCCACCGCCCACTCTTGACTACTCCTTGTTATGGAAATAACTCCACTGGGTTATCGTCACTGTCGCTGTCATCTCTTCGATTATCTTACTTTCAGTCCCTTAGTTGAAGGGATCAGTTGACTTCCGGGGATAATTACATTCGACAAGGTCAGCGGGAGAGATAGAAAGGCGGGTAAATCTTCACTCGGTGAATTCAACGCCTCGGTGCATGGCGACGTGGTCGTCACTCTCCCTCTGCTGTGGGTTCCCAGGAAGCAGGATGGATAAGTCGGTGCTAAAGTGGCAGATACTTTTAAATGGGTTCCCGGACCTATCTCGATTCATTTAAATGGAGAAGAGAAAGGCGGGTCCTTTTCTAGAAAGAGAAAATTTCGCTCTCGGCCAAAAAATTTCCGGAATGAGAGAACAAAATGGGAAGGAGACGGGAAAACTGATGGGTCGGATGCTTTCTTCATTTGTAGAGAGAGAAATTCCCACCTCCCAAAATATGGAAGGTTTCAGTAACATCAAGGCCCCCCCCGGCGTGCCATTACTGTTGAGAGAGATGCCTCTAAGCTTGAGCTCTTCTGGAGGCCACCGAAGATATGAACGTCCTGCAAGAGAAACGTTGCGCCGCAGAAGAGGAAATCCGAAGGTGGAGTGACGTGGAATGATTGCTATTGGTCAGCAAAAAAGGTCAGCATTTGCCTAATCGGGTAAGGTGTTCTTCTGGGAACCCATTTAAATCAGTCAGAATTCAGGCGAACATTATCCTTTCAAGGAGTTGACCGGGCCCTTTTCACGTATGGACTCCTGCGATAGAGAGTATTTGGAAGGTATTAACTTTTAGGTTATAAAATTAAAAAGCTCCCATATTTGGGGATCCGCCTTTGACCACTCAATGACCTGTCTAAAGCTCTCTCTCTCTCTCTCTCTCTCTCTCTCTCTCTCTTACTCTAACTTGTTGTTAACATGTTGTCGTATGGGAAACTATCTCTTCACCCGCTGCCCTTTCTCAGCCACCTCTTGTATCTGACCCGTCATTGAGTTTTTTGAAACGTGCGTGGAGGCATTTTTCTGTCTCGAGTTTTGACTACAGTTCGACGTGCGCAAAGGCCTCTCTCTCTCTCTCTCTCTCTCTCTCTCTCGCTATGTCTCCACCGCCCTTGGGCCAGGGGAACCGGTCACGTTATCCTCCGCCCACCCCACTGCGAGCTGCTCAATGAAAGCGTATCGATTCTCCCACACGACTGGTAGAGAGGGAATAAAGGAAACCTGGAGGAAAGAGAGCTCACCACGGCGCCGATAAGTAGCAGCAGTAAGGGAGAGAGAGGTGCAAGAGCTGGGAGGAGTTGGAGATAACCTAACCGCCGCCATGGCCATCAAGCAGGTCCCCTGCAGGAGGTCCTCCGAGCTGACGTTGGAGGAGTTCAAGGACTGGCTCAAGCGGTTCGACACCGACAAGGACGGTCGCATCAGCAAGCAGGAGCTTCGCCGAGCCATCCGCAGCCTCGGCGGCCGCTACAGCGGCTGGAAGAGCGGCCGCGGAGTCCGCGGCGCCGACGCCAATGGCAACGGCTTCATCGACGACGCCGAAATAGAGAACCTCATCTCCTTCGCCCAGAGGACCCTCGGCCTGAGGATCGTCGAGTTCTGACCTTCTAACCCTAAATATTTCCTCGTCCTTGTCTTCCTCCTCCATCTTCGGCCGCGGGTTCTTCTCTGTGCTTGTGAAACCTCGATGACCCAGGAGGGTGTCCAGTCCTTGCTGGGTTTCTCTCTCTAAGACTGGTAATAAATGTAATTGGTGTGTACAAGTTGGATCGTAGTAGGAACTCCCCTCCTCGTAGCCCTTCTTCGATGAGTTGGAGCTCTTTATGTATCTGTGATAAGTGATTTGGTATCTTCAAGTTTGTGAAGAGGAAGCCGTGGTGCAGCATGGTGGATGATTGTCTGAATGAAGATCCCATGCATCCCTGACCTTGATATTGTCTCTATAGTCATCATATCATAGGGTAACTCTATTTCTCCGGCTAATTCGTACGTTTTTTTCTATGCATGGAAGAGTCCTTTCCGACCCATCCCCCTCCTTCTCCCTTCGTGTAAGATGTCTTCCATCAACTCTCTCCTGTCTCTCCCTTTCTCGCTCGTTCTCTTTCACTCCTCTCTGCCTCTCTTTCTCTCTCCCTTTCTCTCTCTCTCTCTCCCTCTCTCTCTCTCTCTCTCTCTCTCTCTCTCTCTTTCCTCTTTCTCTCCCTTCTCTCTCTCTCCCTTCCTCTCTCTCTCTCTCTCTCTCTCTCTCTCTCTCTCTCTCTCTCTCTCTCTCTCTCCTCTCTCCTCTCTCTCTCTCCCCCTCTCTCTCTCCCCCCTCTCTCTCTCTCTCTGTCCCTCTCCTCTCTCCTCTCTCTCTCTCTGTCACTCTCATCTATCATCTCTCCTCTCTCCCTCTCTCTCTCTCGTTCTCTCTGTCCCTCTGTCCCTCTGTCCCTCTCTCTCTCTCTTTCTCTCTCTCCCCTCTCTCTCTCTGTCCCTCTGTCCCTCCCTCTCTCTCTCTCTCTCTTTCTCTCTCTCCCCTATCTCTCTCTGTCCCTCTGTCCCTCCCTCTCTCTCTCTCTCTCTTTCTCTCTCTCCCTTCCTCTCTCTCTCTCCCTCCCTCTCTCTCTCTCTGCCCTTCAGGGTCGTGGATATGGATTTTGTGAACGGGAAGGTTCTTGCTGGTGGCTAAGATGAGGGAGGGTCGGCTACTAAGGAACTCATCCGATATCTATTTTGCTTATTGGGAGTCAAAATGTACACATCTGATCTTCAACGGGTTCGGTATTAAAATGGGCCCACCATGTCAAGGAATATGGGCCTTTTTGGGCCATCGTATCTTATCCTACTTGTGAGGGAAGTCTAAATACGAGCGGCCCGGCCCATTTAGTTGCTAAGGGCTGTCCTGAATGGTAAGTATTTATGAGGTAGGGGCATCTATGGACATTTGAAATAAGCTCCCGCTTTCTCGTGGTCATCCCGCCAAACCTCTGTGTTCGAATGGCGCGCGGAGAGGGGCGGAGGGAGGGAGGAAAGATGGTGCCGTGGGAGGAAGAGGAGGACGACGTCTCGTCTAACTCCCAAATGACGGAAGACGAGGAGGATGGCGATGATGACGAGAATTTCAGTGGGGAAGATGAAGCAGCGGTGGAGGAGGAGGAAGAAGAAGAAGAAGAGAAAGAAGAAGGCAGTGATGGGGTCTCGAACATCGAGCATGATGAGGACCGAAAATCTCAGAATGTCGCCGCGCTTGTCAGGTAAATTCATATACCGCTCATCCTTTGCGAAATTTCCATGGTATCTGTCTCGGATTCAGCCAAATTTCCGAATTTGCATTGTTTTTTGCGTTGCCTTTTTCGTCCGCTGCGACAGCGCACGTTTGTTCCCCCCTCCTCCTTTTTCGCTTTCATGGGCTTGATTTGTTTGTAAAAAGCTGAAAAATCTGGAAAATGCATAGGGAAAGGTTCAAGAATGAAGAACACGCGCTGAAGCGTTGGTAACCTGATGTGCTATGTTGATGTCGTCAAGCCGTAATGGATTCCCAATTGGTTGTTGTTATTCATCAACTTATGGTTTTTCCTTACGAACTGATGAGCTAAAAATGTACTGGAAACCTGAACCTTTAACCAATGGTCAGTTGGGTTTACCTCATACAAAGAGTATGATATTTTCTGTGAAGCTATTTTTATCTAGATTCAATAAGAGAGCCACAGCAGTTGGCCTCAATGACCTGCAGTGACGTGACTGTAACGCAGGAGCTGTGTCATTAATGAATGCATCGATGGAATTCAAAACCTAGGGAATATCCTATAATTTTGATTCAAGAAGTGATGCATATCCTTGGGAAAGTATTGATGTGAAGACATTGATTTGAATACATTTGCGGTTCCATTAAAAAGTGGTAGGAAACTCCTTTGTGGTGCATATATTCTCTTTTCCACAGAAATGCATGAATTTTCTTTTCGGGCAAAGCAGAAAATCCATAAAGGACCGTTGATGTATATGAAGCACTGATATATCAATTTTCTGAGTTAACATTTTAACCGTTTCTTTTGCTCTAACAAGGACAATGGAACCCAATTCTTAATCAGGTAATTTTTTTTTCATTGTTGTTACACTGCGAAATTTCATCATTAACTTCTTTGTATTTGTTTTAGGATTTCTTTATGCTTCTCACATTGTCCATACATTAATGTTAAAATCAAGGAGTTGTTGATCGTTGCTACCATAGAAGGTCTTGATTGTCACATATGGTACTTTAGAACTACATGGCAAACAAGAACACTAATAGAATTAAATGTATTGATAGTTAGTAGATTGTTCTGCCACTGAGCCGAATTCTAAAATAAATTCATTTCTTCATCTATCACAAGCAGCATGGTTTCTATTGTCTTTCTTGCTTCTAATTTTTACACTCTTACATGTCATTTTTGACTATCCCTGCATTACAGATGTTTGAAAATGATTCGTCCTGCATTACATGACAAAAAAGTTATCTTGTATTTTGTTGTCTCTCTTCAATATTTTGTGCTTTTTCAGGGGGAACCTTAAGTGATGAAGATTCATATCTTGGTCATCTTGTGATCCATTTCTGTTACAAGGTGGTCATCATTCTGCATTGGCTAAAGCTTTATTTCAGCTGACTTTATATTTTGTTGTGAAACAGAGGCAACCTCACAGTAAAAAGGCAGGCGTTAATTCCCCGGTTTCTTTCCGTGTCTGATGGAGCAGAGGTAGCCAGGAAGCCATTCAAACCTCCATGTCTGAATGGGTACAATGACCATAATGAAGAACTTGTTCGTAGGCTTTGTGCTCGGAAGAGATTTGTCCCATGGGGTTCTTCACGACCAGTACTGGTTGCAATAAATAATTTTTTAAACATCCACAGTACTATTGAAAACGATCCCATTGAACCTAGTCCACCACTGCCACCTGGAATTAAGCCTTTGATTTTGTGGCAACCTGAGGTATCAAGAGAGCCAAATGAGCATATGTCTTCAATTGTGGTAGATCCATTGCTTGTTCTTTACCTACGGCCGCATCAAAGGTATTGCGGCTTTGCTATCATCTTGTTTCTGTCAGTCTATTAAGAACTCACATTAAAGTCCTTCCTGGATATCTTTCTTGGCAGATATTTTGAAATGAGGAATGATATAGTTGCCATAAGCTCATCTTTTTTTAGCATCGTTCCTCTATAAAGTCTTTTCCAACTATTTTTCTCACCAAATTTTTTTGATGGCGTGGTATTTTGTCTGCCGTTTTTTCTATGACGATTATTGTGATGAGATCTCTTTGAGCAATTTCCGAAGTTGCTCCTTCTTGCTAGTGGTGGTATTGTTCTTTCAACAAGTCGACTCTTCTTTCAAAAATTTCTTCTATTGTATTATGAACTCCAAATTTTCAAGTTATCTCATTATTTTCCAGATTGTGACATAAGTTTCTCTCATTTCGTGGGCAACTTGAATATTTTTGATTTGTGGACTACATTTTAGTGCACTTGTTCTAAGAAATATGGAAGGAATCGTTGTTTTATCTTTGTTTGCAAGGGTTTGGGGTTTGAACAGGACATGCTTTGTGTTGGGAGCCGAGAAACATAATTTTTTTCGGGATGCATGGGAATGTAAATGATATTTGACGTAATGATTGTGCATCTGTGTGCTCTTAGTACCTATTTTTGGAGCCACTGTTGTTTCTTCACTAAAATGCTGATTTATGTGAGCATCAAAGAAAGCTAGGGATTAGGCACGCCCATTGAAATAGCTGTGATGTTTTGTTACCCATTTTTTATTGATACAAACTTTTGTTTTCTTCCTAGAAGATTCTGTATTCCGATCTTGTTCTTTGTATTCTGTGCATAAGATAGCTCCTGAATGTTCTCTGCAGAGAAGGTGTTCAGTTTATGTTTGAATGCGTTTCTGGGATGTCGAATGAGGATGGTATTTCTGGATGCATTCTAGCAGATGATATGGGGTAAAGAAACTCATCGTATATGGCCTTGCCATTTTCACAGAATTGGCTTTTGCCATTATTTCACATTTTCCTTCTCTAACTTATCGTTTATGAATTCAATCTCCTTTTTTAGTCTAGGGAAGACGCTGCAATCAATCGCATTGCTCTACACACTTCTGTGCCAAGGATTTGACGGGAAGCCAATGGTTAAGAGAGCCCTTATCGTTACACCTACAAGCCTTGTTAGTAATTGGGAATCTGAAATTAATAAGTGGGTTGGTGGAAGAATACATGTACTTTCGCTTTGTGAAAGCACCAGGGCAGATGCTGCATCTGGCATCGATAACTTTCTGAGACCTGGCAGTCCTTTTCAGGTAATAGAGTAGAACCTCTTTTGAGATTTGTGTTTTAGTTGACATTGTTGAAAGCTGTCTATTCCTTTTTGTACTGTAGTGCCAATTACTGACCGAATTAACGTGGCAAACCCTTGCTAGGTGCTTATTATTTCCTACGAGACATTCCGTATGCATTCATCAAAATTTGTTAAAAGTGGGTGCTGTGATCTTCTCATATGTGATGAGGCTCATAGATTGAAAAATGACCAGACATTAACCAACCGAGTAAGTCAAAAGTCTGTTTCACTTATGATTATTTTTATAAGCTTTAGAATATTCTTTGTCGATCATGGCATATTCTTTTTTGGATATTTGTCTCTTTGTGGAATTCTCTATGTGGAAACGTTTTACAAGCAGTCATGCCTCCTCTGAATTTTCAATATAGCCCTCAATAATTTTCCATATATGAGAAAAAAACCTGGAGGTTTTCTATGTATCTAAATAATATTTGAAGATAGTTGATTGTGCTATCACCCATTACTTTCATAGATGTTTGTTGAATCAATGGCACGTGATGTGTTTTTCATAAAATGTGATTTTTCACCTAACTCTTTACGTTGTTTGATGGAAGGAAACCACACACTTTTATCAAATTCCTCTTATGCTATGCACTGAAATTTCTGACCAGTGCAAAGTGTACTTCTGAAGCTAAGAACCATTACTGTCGTAGTTTCATGCGTATAATTATGCTTCTCTAGCTATAGTTACTAATGATTCCACTCTTTTTTTTGTTAAATATTTTGATAATTTGAGTTGTCCGAATTATTATTTGTCAACAGGCTTTAGATGCTCTTCCTTGTCATCGCCGGGTCTTATTATCTGGAACCCCCATGCAAGTAAAGAGAAACCTCGGATAGTCCTGTTACAAATTCTTATTTATATCATTTCTCTCTACATATTCATTTGAAAATTCGGTATTTTGCAGAATGATCTCGAGGAATTCTTTGCCATGGTTAACTTTACTAATCCAGGAATTTTGGGGGATTCTACACATTTCCGCCGTTACTATGAAGTGAGTCAAATTATTTTTGACCAATGAGCACTGCAGAGCTTATAGAAATCTTGTTCATGTATCTCTCTTTGATTATGAATTCAGTTTATTACCTTTCCTCTGGAAAAAATAGACAAATAATGTGGAAAGGAAACCCATTAAGAAAATTCCTGTTTCATCCATACTTCGCTTATGTTGTGGAAAAACCTCTTAAACATTTTTTTTCCTCGTGTAATCTTTCAAATTAAGGCACCAATCATGTGTGGAAGAGAGCCCACTGCAACAGACGAAGAGAAAAGTTTGGGCATTGAGAGGTCTGCAGAATTAAGTGCGAAAGTTAATCAGGTAACTGCCAGTTTGTTGCTTTTTTTTTGTTGATACGGGCGCAGTTTTTTCTTCACTTCAGTCACAGAGATTATCATACAAGACTGGACTATGGAAGTGCTCCTTTCTACTCTAATATTTGTCGGTTTCTACTCACAAGGGTCGTTATGCTCATCAAAATTTGCTACCTGTAGGAAATTTTCTACAACACAGATATTCAGTTTCTTTATTACACAAACACTCAATAATAACTTGTCAACCTTGTGCTTTTTCCGAATTTATTTTAGCATATTAATGGAGACGCTAGTTTTTGTTTTTTTCCTCCTGATTTTTCCTTTTCTGGTAGATAATCAATATTACAGAAAATGTGGATAAAATTTCTATTTACTCTCACCATCTAAAGAACATTTCTGTTTAATTGATTTGTGGGAAACTCTTGCATTTTCAGTTTATATTGAGGAGGACAAATTCGTTATTATCAAACCATTTACCACCAAAGGTACGGTTGTCAAATTTTTTTTGTTCTATAATCTTGTGTACTGTGATGGACGGTTGCTTGTAATATGCCTTTATTTCATTGTTTATTTTTCAAGTGATGTTTTTAGTGTATAAAATCCACTAAATTAACCATGTTCTTCTCTTTTCTAAAAGTTCGAAAAGCTCGAGCTAATCTCCTTTGTTGATGAATCTTGCTTGATATTGGTGATCAATCAAATGATTTAGAAAGTAGTTTGGACCTTTCTTCACAGCTCAGTCATTTTATTGTTGCTATCCTCTCTAGCCTGATACGCCTTACTGTACTGTAAAACTCTTGATAAGGCCCAACTGCACGTTAACTTTGCGATACAATTAGACATAATGAAGATGCTAATGATTATTGTGGAGTTACTGATAGTTATGCGCTAGCAATGAGTATTTACTTGCCTAAAAGTATTTTGTGACTATGAACAAGAGCCATTTTGAAGTATGGCCATCTTAAAAAATTTCATAAACTAGTAGAATTAAAATGCCCTACTAGTGGGGTTATTTCTTCAATTTCACAGTTTTTATGGCATTAAAAAACCTCACTAGCATTGTCGTTAAAATCCCGTCAGCAAGTAGTAGACTATAGGGACAAATTTTCCGTTTTCATTGAGTGAATTCCAACCATCTCTTTCTCTCCCGCCCGCCCAATATATGTATGTGCGTATGTATCATCCTCTCTTAAGCTATTCACGCTCTTCTTTCATCAATATTTTATGGAACATAGTCTAGTGAGGTTGGGAAAAGCTCTAAAGAGAGATACAGTCGATCTATAATTTTTTTGGCAAGAGATATGCTAAGCATCATCAGCTTTTGTAAGGTCTATTTTGATGATCCAAACCACATGGGGATGGGCGAGTAACACGTGAAGTGGAGGATTCAAAATTGTGTGGATCTTCGTGAAAGGCTGAGAGTATGCCGGGGATAATGATATTTTTTAGGTTAACATTTATTTTTCCATTTTTGGATGTGGCAATCAATGCATCTTAAAGTATTAAATTACACGTCGTTAAAACGAATGCTATGTCCAAATATTTATCTAAAGCTTCCCTTGATCTTATATTGCATGTTTCATGCCCCATTATTGAATCATATATTTAATTATTCCGATACTTTTATTAAAACTATAAGGATCTAGGTTGCTCATATCTGTATTAGCCTGTTTGTTCTTACATGGTTCTCTTTTATACTTTTTTAGAAGAAAATCCGAGTGTTTATTAGTTCGTACGAGTGTTATTTCGTACTTTTGTGCTAACAAGGTAGCTCTATGAATTTTGGTCTCATTTCCTTCCTTTTTGTTCAACAGATTGTGGAGGTCGTCTGTTGCAAATTAACTCATTTGCAGCTAGAGCTGTACAACCATTTTCTTCAGTCTAAAAATGTAGGTTGTTATACTCATACTTATCATTGTTCTACAATATATTTCTAATGAAAGTTCATGCAACGAGTCAGTTATCACCATGAGATGCTTTTTTAGTGGTTTCTTATCAGTTATCTCTTCATTGAATATGTGATATAGGTTAAAAAAGCAATAACTACAGAAATGAAGCGGTCTAAAATTTTGGCATATATCACTGCTCTGAAGAAACTATGCAATCATCCGAAGGTAAGTCATATTAACTTTTTTTTTCCGACATTTCTATTTATGCTTGACTCTTGGTTCGTCACTGCTATCGCAGCGTAATCTCCAAGACGTTCACTTCTATTATGTCCATATCCAACTCACACGTTGATGCTTAAATACAACTTTTTTGATGTGAGGCCTTTTAATGAGTAGATGACAATCTTTTTGAAGAAAAAGGAAAAAATGATTTTCGCTATTCGTTTTTCGCTATTCCTATCTAAGGATAATTTTTCATGTTTTAATGATGTATGGCGCTGTTTTCTTGAGATGTTAATGTCAGATAAAATGCTTAATGGTAGATCCTGGAAAAGCTTTGGATGTTTAGATGATATACTTTCCTAAAAATCCTGAAGATTGCTTGAAATTTTTGTGCAAAATGTGGAACTTTAGAAAGAAAGTCAAACACACGCGTACAACTCATTATACACTATCAGACATCTTTGCATGTTCTTTGACTGTGAAGCTATGGGCGTGTCTTCAATGATGATACTATGTAGACACCATATGTTTGTTTGTGCATCAAAATGTCACGACTGAATGTAAAATCAATTTCATTATGTTGTATCATTTATACCTTTTAAAACATCGCAAAATATGTGTAATTTTCTTACTTCTTTGTTAGAATTTATATCTAGTGTCGTCAGACTGTAACCTCTACAATTTATGCATAAATTTTAATATATTTGAACAATTAAAATTTATTTAGATATACTTCTAGTGCTTATGATTATCCCTCCAGTTGGTGAAAATCAATCCAACTGATTGAATGCCATAAATAAACTAAAACAAATAGCATAACTGTCATGTGGAAGGCAACTACAGGAAGTCAAAGGTACCCTTAGTTGTCGGCTGGTGCTTGAGTATAATACTGCCTATTAAAAATAGTGCATTGCTGATGAATGACGGCAAAATTGATGGGTAATTTAACTACAAGATTTAATGATTTTATGAAAGAAATGTTTGTGTGTGTCATCCAACCATCAGCTCAGTGTCAAATGCCAGTTGATTATTCCAGATTTTCCTTCTGTGTTTGTGACTAGAAAGCATCCTTTTCTCTGCCTGTTTCTTCGGTAAAGCTGTTCGAAATGTGTTGCAGCTAATTTATGATACCTTAAGAAGTGGGAGTCCTGGTACTTCAGGGTTTGAGGACTGCCTTCGATTTTTCCCTCCTGAGTTATTCTCAGGGAGGTAAGTTGGCCGTGATATATTCTTTTTATTTACAAGTCGTGGCTGTAAACATGCTTCACGTCCATTTCTATCATTGTCGTACAGATCGAGCTCATGGACAGGGGGTTACGGAATCTGGGTGGAATTGTCTGGGAAAATGCAGGTCTTAGCTCGGTTACTGGCCAATCTACGCCAGAAAACTGATGATCGCATTGTTCTTGTGTCCAACTATACCCAGGTATTTCAAGTCCCATATAAGCTGATATAACTAATCAATGATGGTCCCTATTCTCATATTTTATGTTACGTAATTGCTTCCCATAATTAATTGAGTTCAAATAGTTGAAATGCCATATATGCTACACTAATATGGTTTGCCTTTTCCCTGAGATTCTGTAGAAATTCGTGCAGAGACACTTGATGACTTTGGTCAAACTGGTCAATATAACTATCCAAAATTTCTCATGTTTGAAGCCCAATCGTTGAATGGGAGAAGGAACTCTGTGTGACTGTGGGTGTTGGTTTTAGCTGAAATATTTCATTTCATACTCTAGCTTTTAAAGTCTAATGTGATCCCCCATTTGTCCTGTTGAATGATAAAGCAAGGTTGACTAGCTAATGCTTCACGGGGGCATTCATATGTGTTCCGATCTTGTGCTATTTACTATTTTATAAGAGTCATGAAGTACATAGTAACATTCATCGTGTCCAATTTCATGGTCAGGATGTTAAAAGAGAATGGAAAAAGGACATGATATGTCTTAGCTTGGAGACAGTGACAGCGTATTGAATGAAAGGCATGCATAACATCTAAGAAAACTGAATCAAGTCATATGAATGCTTTAGTCACAGTAATACACATTGCAATCTGTTACATCGACTGCTTTTTGCATACTGTCAGACATTGGACCTGTTTGCTCAGTTGTGCCGTGAAAGAAGATATCCATACCTGAGGCTTGATGGAACTACATCCATTGGTAAACGGCAAAAGTTGGTCAATCATTTTAATGATCCATCTAGGGTTCGTATCCTCCCCCACCTACCCACCCACGGAATGTCCCATGTAGGCACAGTAACCTTTCGATTGAATGAGTTGTCTAGGTTCTTTTCTGCAGGATGAGTTTGTTTTTCTTCTGAGCAGCAAGGCTGGTGGTTGTGGGCTCAATTTGATTGGTGGAAATCGCTTGGTGTTATTTGATCCTGATTGGAACCCAGCAAATGATAAGCAGGTAATCACATTCAATGCTTCTGATCTATACAATTTTGAAATAGGACCTTCGTTCATGCGATCTTTGACTTCAAACCGTCTGTATTGGCAATAAATAGGCTGCTGCAAGAGTTTGGAGGGACGGACAGAAGAAGAGAGTCTTTATCTACAGGTTCTTGAGTACTGGAACTATTGAGGAAAAGGTTTGAATCCGTTGAATGTGCACGCTGGTGATAGTAGTACAGCCTTCAATTTCTTTTTAAAAAATTCTGGTGAATTTCTCTAGGCAGTGTTTCATTTGTCTTTGCTGAACAGCTACGGTAAATCTTTGTCAGGTGTATCAGCGACAAATGTCAAAAGAAGGCCTGCAGAAGGTTATTCAGCAGGAGAGTAGATCCAATCAGGCAACATATATTTTCTCACTTCCCAGTTCTTCTTTTAATCAATGTAGGGTGATTCCTTGACGTCTGTGCTTTCATATTGTTTATTTTCAGGGGAGTTCCCTTTCAACAGAAGACCTGCGGGATCTCTTCACTTTGCATGTAAACGTCAGGTAATTCCTATCATAGCTACTGATCATTTGTGAATTTCTGAAAGTTCAAAATGTTTGCCTATTAGCACCATTTTGGCAGAGCTTGGCCCACGCCAATTTCGTGAATAATCCATGTTGAAGTCTCTAGTCATAAGCAATCAGCTTCTGTACATTTAAAAATTTCATGGGGTGCCAAGTGAATATTCCATGGGGTCAACGTGCTCACAAACTCGGTAAAAAATTGCAAAGTTGAAGTACTCACAACTCTCCGGAGGTTAAGCTGAGCGCAGTATTTCTGTACAGTTTTAGGGAAACCAAATCTCATGTCTAGTCTGTCGTCAGGATAGCGCAAAACTTCAATCACAAAAAGCTGGTAGATAGAACGGAAAAGAAAAAAAAATTGGAAATGGTAGGGAGGTCCTCATGTCGAGATGAGTGGCCAGAAAAAGGTCTCTTCGGAAGCCGGTTAGGCTGTCTCTTACCAATTGATTGAAGGAATTCCATTCAAAACAACATCCAAAGTTAGTAAAATCGAACAGCTTCCTAGTGTCCAAGTCTCCGCATTTTATTCATCTTTGTTTAATTAAAAACGGTTGAGATGTTCTCTTGAAGATGCCCATGTGCTTAAGATTTTTCATTTTATCCTAATTTCATCCATGTTTAAATAAATAAATAATTACGATTTAGATGTTCTTTGAAGATGCCCATGCACCTAGAGCTTTCATTTTATCCTAATTTCATCCTTGTTTAATTAAAACAAAAAGAGTACGATTTAGATGTTCTCTTGAAGATGCTCATGCACTTAGAGCATTCATTTTATCCTAATTTCATCCATATTTAATTAAAAAAATGTACGATTTAGATGTTCTCTTGAAGATGCTCATGCACTTAGAGCTTTCATTTTATCCTAATTTCATCCATGTTTTATTAAAAAAAAATTGTACGATTTAGATGTTCTCTTGAAGATGCCCATTATGCACTTGGAGCTTTCATTTTATCCTAATTTCATGCAATATTCATGCTGCTTTTGGAAGCAGACAGTTCAGTGAATCATATTAGACCGGCCATTTTATCTGCCAAAAACTATGGAACCATCTTCAGTCTTTTCCTTGACGTCCGTGATTATAAGCTTGAACGAGCGTCCATATTCTGCTTACCGATCCAAATGCCGCTCAGTATGCGTCAGAGAAGAGTCTATATCCATATTTCGCATGTCCAGCCACCAAAGTGGCCCGTTGACCCCATGCTTTTATTTTCCCAGAATAGCATTCTGTAATGATGTACATTCACCAAACTCATTCCTTTTATTATTTCAGGTCTGAAATCCATGAGAACATGAACTGCACCCGATGTGAAACTAATTCAGCAGCAGAGAACCGCGCTGGAAACATGGAAGGTTTCAATGGAACTGAAAGAACCAGCCCTGTAGAGAATGACATTGGAAGATTTGCTGAAATCGCTGGCTGCTTACCTCGGCTGAGAGAATATGAGAGGCAGGTGGGTTCTAATCAGCAGGTTAATTCGTTGAAATGGCCGTCCCAAGTCCAGAAACCTTATATGATTTGGATATTATTCCTGTCTTTATATTTTTATATGATCTAAGAACCATGATTTCATCTACAGCTTGGAACTCCACTTGAAGAGGATCTGGCGAGCTGGGGTCATCATTCTTCTCCGGACTCTGTCCCTGATGCCATCCTCCAAGCTTCAGCTGGCAACGAGGTGCGCTTCCTTGGCTCATTTCAGATGATTCTCTTGAATCTCTCACCCCCCCCAACTTGACTTAAATCATCCAACTCTTCCACGACAACCTCTCCACCGGACAGTTAAATCTGTGGGATCATGTGGCCTTTTTCGGTCAACGATTTGACCTTGGGTCGATTTAGAAGCGTGCCCGTTTTCTTAATCGGTCAACTTATAAACTGCAAGAGGATAGAAAGTGGTGGCACATTGCCCATTTGACCTTTCCTCTGCTGGTGAGGTCAGAGATGATTTCTCAATCTTGTAGGTAATAAGAGACGTGATCTGGTTAGTTTTTTTCTATTTTTGGCCTCTCCTCTGCCTGATTAAACCAGTGATTTCCCAATATTTGACTTAAATAACAGATGAATTTGACGGGACAAGATGACAGACAGGCTGACTTTTTCTCTCTCTCTCTCTCTTCCTATTATTGATCTCTCCTCTGCCTGATTAAACCGGCGGATTTTCCATCTTTTTATATGAAGAACAGATGATTTTGATGAAGCGAGATGACTGCTCAGCCTTCTTCATTATTTCTTTCTAATTTTGTCGCAGGTCACATTCGTCTTCACGAATCAAGTGGACGGCAAACTCATCCCCATCGAATCCGAAGGACGATCCGCCTCCAAGGGACCTCCCGGGCAGGGAGTCTCTCTGCCAATCGGGAATCGACCTGATGCTCACGTGGAGAAGTCAACCCGAAGCTCGAACAAGCTGCTGAGAGTACCCCGAAGAACGTGGAAGCCCCTTCATGATCCTAATAATAATACTAATAATGGTAATAATGATAATAATAAGAGTAGGAATATTTGTGGGATTCTAGTGAATGCGTCAGATGATGAGGATTTTCTCTGATGCTTGTAAAGCTCTGGGAGCCCGTTAGTGAGGCGTTGACTACGGTAATTCTCCCACTTGGAGGATACCGAGGAGGAAATGGTGTTTCTGTTGACCGAACGTCGGTGCCCAAACAGGATGGTTACACGTGTGTGCTGCTGGATGCCATGCGGCGCACGTGAGTTTATATACTGCACGCGTGCCTGTACCTGCCGGACCCGATACTGTACTTCGCAGCCATAGATAGTGAGAGATTGAGAGAGAGAGAAAGGTTGCTGGGGGAGTTTCTGGATTTCAATGGATTCGTACCCTCTATCATCATTGGCTAAACAGATGATCGAGATTCTCTCTGTGCCCAAGCCGAGATTCTAGAGAGAGAAAGGGCAAATATACGGGGCACTATTCAAGCCCCGCTGGTATACTTTCTGTGTGAAATCTGGCATTTATGAGGGGGCCCACACGGCAACGGGTCGGTTATCTTCTTCCTCCTGCAATGTCCTCATGTTTACGGCCGTATCTAAATTCAGACAGCATGATTGCCTAATGCGAACATCCCCTACAAGCTCTGAACAAGATGGGCTCCGGACAGGACCCCTCTGGAGATTGGCCCATTACCCCATAGCCCGCTCTGTAACGGCTTATGAGAGAGAGAGAGAGAGAGAGAGAGAGAGAGAGAGGAGGGGAGGACAAGGGTGGGGTCTTGGAGAAGCAGCAGCACTGGGTTGCCACGTATGTGTACACTGGCCATCTATCCTTACACTGTACTTACTGTACGTTAGATTTTCACGGATGGTGAGAGGGGGGAGGCGGGGAAGAGAGAGAGAGAGGGTGAAGACAGATGGATGGTATGGATCTGTGGGGATCACGTGGTGTTCTCGAGCTGTCGGCGTCGCCAGCTCACGGCTTGCTAAGAACAAACGAGTCAAATGCCGGTCAAAGAGAGAAGAACCACGCCGATCCCATATACTGCACCAGCCTCCCTACTTAAATTATGCCTTCTCTGGGTCTCTTTCTCTCTCTATCGACATATGACAGACTGTACTAGCAGTGGCAAGTCCCACGAGGGCCAAGATACGAGTCAACGCGGCGTCATTGACCAGGAATCCTCCGGGACAAGACCATTAAATCCCTTCTTTGCTGAGAGGCCCTTCGAGTAGGAGTTGAAGATTCCTGCGCTGTCCAGGAAGCTCTCTCTCTCCCCTTATCTCCTCTTTCTCTCCCTTGAAGGACCCACTGAATTCGGGTTTCCATTGATGGGGCTGGGTCAGATTAGAGAGAGATTCATTTAATGGGTGTTGATTACTGGAAACAGTTAAGGACTGGTGCAGGTGGGGGAGGGGAGAAGACGCTAAAGATTTGTGGTTGCAGTAGACGACGATGACGGATCTGTAGATGCTGGCCCCTGCTTTCATGGCACCCATTACACCATAACACGAATACACGGCGCCGGCACCTACCCTTTCACCATATATAAATACTCCCCTTCTCCTGGAGAGAGAGAGAGAGAGAGAGAGAGAGAGAGAGAGAGAGAGAGAGAGAGAGAGAGAGTAAGAGAGAGTGTAAGAGAGGGAAGGAGAGAGATAGTATGGCATGCATCAACCAGGGTATGTACGGAGGAGGAGGCAGAGGGGTGGCGGCGCCGCCCGTCGGCCCTCGCATCTCCTTCTCCAACGACTTTGCCCTGGACGCGGCCACCGGGCGCCCGGCGGTGAAGTACGAGCGAGCACCGGCGGCGGCTGCCGGCAACTCGCCGGACTTCGAGTTCTCGGTGGAGAGCTACGGGATGATGGCGGCAGATGAGCTCTTCTTCAAGGGGCGGCTAATGCCGCTCAAGGAGCAATCCACAGTGGCTCAGATACGCCGGATGACGCTGCGAGATGAGTTGCAGGCCGGAAACGGAGAGGACGACGGCGGTCTCACCTTCTTACCGCCGTCGTCGTCGTCGAGGCTTCCGAACAAGATGGCCCTTCGGTGGAAGGCACTGATGGGTCTGAGGAAGGCGAAGCACGACAAGAAGCAGCATGATGTGCTGCAGCAGCAGCAGGAAGACGGCGAGAAAGAAGAGGAAGAGGTATTCGGGAACGCCAGCTCTCACATCTCTCTCTCCAGATAGTCAACTTCAAAGAGAGGGAGAGGGAGAGAGAGCATGAAGAGGTTAGCGGTTTGTGGCCTAATGCCGTCTCTAATTGTAGGTGCGTGTGTGAGAAAGAGGGAGAAGAAAGAGTATTGGGTAATGCAGTTTTAGAGAGAGAGAGAGAGAGAGAGAGAGATCCTTTTATCGTTCTCTCGCGTTATCGTTGTTTTCTGATTTGGCAATCGTCTCATCGGCTTGCCCTCTTGTGCCTCTCTTGCCTCGTCCTGGAGAGAGGTGTCCTCTCTCCGGCCCTCATCTTCCCTACTGTTTCCCCCTCCTTGTCCACTAGAGACTGCTTTGTTACCGAAGGGCGTGTTTACTTGCGCGGGCTCTCATTTACTCCATTGACTTCTCTCTCTCTCTCTCTCTCCCCCTCACGCTCGCTCACTCGCTATTTCATTAATGTACAGGCTGTTCGCTATAATATCCGGATGTCTCCTCTCTTTCTCTAAAGTCTGACGTCCTTCAGATGTCTGTGATCACAACTCGGGTAGATAGATCCTCAGGGGGGAGAGAGAGAGGGAGAGAGAGAGAGAGAGAGAGAGAGAACGGACGAGAACGAAGAGAGAGCGTCTACTATTCTCCTAATAGCTTGATTGAGCTCTCATACGAGTCAGCCGTCCTCATTATATCTGATCGTATGGCGTCTAAAACGAGAATAATCTACACAGAGATTGGTGAGGAACGGGAAGGGAGGAGGAGACCATTCCTCGAAGGCACCGATCTTCCGCCCACTGGACGTCTCTTCTTCTGCACTCCACCATTTATGCACGGCTGTCACAGCACTCCCCATGCAGGAGATGAACGGCTCGGCGCAATTAAATTCCCCTCCCCTTTCTTTATTACCACTCCACATGCTCCATCCTCTCTCTCTCTCTATCTCTTCCCATCTGCGTTTTTCTAGATAGAGGAGATCGAAACTTGATCAAATGGGGTCAAATGGGTTCTAAGAGGATATCGAAACTTGATAGAACGCCAGGCTGAGGACGAACCTGTTGCAAACGCAGACGAAAACTTCACACCAAAATAAGAAGACGGATCGGTTCTTGAAGTGGACCAGTTTGTGTGTGTGTGTGTGTGTGTGAGAGAGAGAGAGAGAGAGAGAGAGAGAGAGAGAGAGATGAACCAAATAAGCCTTCAACCCGGCAAATCGTGGCCCAATTCGCCCCCGTCTGGTTCTTCCCATTCCCCTGAAAAGGCCGAGATGAAAAGTCCAGCCCAATTGAGAACCAAAGCCCAAAGTCATTAGGGGGCCCAAATCAGGCCCGCCCAACTTGTGCCTTTTTGGGAACAATCGGACCCCCCCCCCCTCCCCCAACAGCAATTCTGGTCTTAAGAGCCTACAAGACCAATAACTGGGTTCCAGCTTGGAGGCCCGGCCCAGATTAGAAAAACCAAAGCACACGCTATAACTAAAAGGAATCACATGTTCGCGGAAATTTCCCAACATTATATGAAAAATACCTCTATAAAATCATAAAAATAAAAAATCAGACGAAATATAATTGTACCTTAATATATAATAATAATAATACCCAGTTACTGGGGTATCGTATTTATGGCAAAATGATACAAAATGGGCCTGTCTGTCTTGGGTTCTATTTAGCCCAGACCCGCCCATATTTGGGAAAACTTCCCAACATTTTATTAAGGATATATAGATAAATTATAAAATAATAAAAATTCGCAGGAAATTTATCTTACATATGGCAAAATAATCCAAAATGGGCCGTTTCGTATTGGGCTATATTTGGGCCAGACCCCCTCATAGACGGAACCCACTTTTTGGCACGTGATCATCTCTCTCTCTCTCTCTATCTCTGTTTCTATCTCTGCACGGGGGTCCTATGATTGTCCGGTCACCGCCTGGCCCACTGGCACTCCTAATTATCATATATTTTAATTATTTAAATATTTTCAGAAGCCAGAGGTGAAGTAGCCGGTCCCCTCTCTCGTCAACGTTGGCAGGAAAACCAAATTTCCCGGTTTGTCGTCTCCTAAAAGGCCTGGAACGGGGAGGGAATAATGCCGACTCCGCAAGTGGCCGGCGGGGCCGCCTCCGCCGCCGCCCAGCCGCCGCCGCCGCCGCCGCCGGGAGCTCGCCGGCCGGAGCGGGGGAAGAGGGTCTTGTTTATCTCGATCCACCGGCTTCGAAGTGAACAGTCGCAGAGACCTGTGAATATTTTATTCAACAGATGGAGGCTTTGTCTTTCTCCGGAATGGGGACACCTCTCCTGAAGGGGGGGGGGGGGGGTTTCTTACAGACAGACTGTTTGATCCACGGCGAAGACGGGTCTCTTTTTTTACAGGAAGGATGATGATGATGACGATGATGGGGACGAGTAGGTTTCACGGCTGGAAGCCCTTCTCCTTGGTGGCGGCGATGGAGTTCTTGCAGTGGGCAATGGCCGCCTCGATGGCGCTCTGCAGCTCCTCCATGGTGCTCTCCTCCGACGACCCGCCGGAACCCCCCCCCGCCGCCGCCGCCGCCGTCGCCACGAGGAGGCCGCTGTTGGTGGGGGAGGTGCGCATGGAGGCCGGCGCGGAGAGCTCTCCCCGCCGCCGCCGCCACTGCTCGTCCCTCCCCATGGTGGCTTTGGCATTGGAGTTGCCGGTGAAGGAGTAGGGCCGCCGCTGCAACTGGTGGCGCTTCTCCGTCCCTCCTCTGAAGGAGAAGAGGGGTTCCACTGCGGCGACGTACTTCTTCACCAGCCGGCTCATGGCGTCGAACGCTGCCGTTCTCTTCTTCCGCCGCTTCTCCTCGTCCTCATCCCTCTCCCCGGCCTCCGGGGTCTTCCACCACCGCCCCACGCCGGTGAACAGCGAGGAGACGAGCTTCTTCTTCATCCTCTCCCGGTTCTCGCCGCCGCTGCTGGCCGTGCTGCAGCTGCTGCTGCTGCTCACGGTGTTGGCGGCGCTCCCGCTGCTCCGCCGGCTCTGTTCCAAAGCCGCCGCAGCCGCCGCCGGCACCGCCGCTGCCTCCGAGGCCCGGGCCGGGACCGGCGGCGGCGTGTGGGAGAGGATCTGGAGGGGCAGCAGGTGACCGTGGAAGAAAATGTCGTCGGCGGGGGCCAGGTCGTACACGTGGCATCTGCTCAACGGCGACTTCCCGCCGCCGCCGGAGGAAGACGGATGGTGGAACGATATCGTGAAGGAGAACTCGTGGGAAGGGGAAGAACAGGGGGAGGCGGCGGCGACCGGCAAGGGAAGCTTATTCGCCGCCAATTTTCCCTCCCCCCCCTCCGTCTTCGCCTCTCCTTCCATCGTGTCTGAGAAAGAGAAGAGAGCTAGAGAGAGACAGAGTGAAGAAGAGAGAGAGAGAGCGGTGGAGGGTGAGATGTCCGGGAAGCCAGTTCTGCTTCGTTCGGTGTTAACGTTCTATCAAAGGCAGAGACGGGGGAGAAGATTCGGGGCGGGTTGTTTTTTTGTGTATAGGCCCCTAGACTAGGCTACATTGATGTTGATACCCTACTTTCCGTCTTTTCTCGTATGAGGGCTTGCGTCGCGCACGCCCCGAGGAGCCTCGCGCAACGGTCTGGCCCCCGAGGGGCCTTCGTGAAAACCGCCAGCGGCCACGTGGTACCGCCGTCGGCGACTCCAACGCTCCTCCGCCACATAAGCGCCGCCTCTTCCGTCCTTGTCCTCATCCCATTTATCTCTCTATTATTATGTCTTCCAACTATTTCCAGCCCCCCTCTTTCCCTCCATTCTATCAACGGTCGACCAATTAGACAGAGAGAGAGAGAGAGTCAACGGTAGTAGACCAGGTTCAGTCACTAGAAGAACGAGGGCTAACCGGCCAAGGCGGTGAAAGGGCTTATTGGGCTGTATTGGGCCGCATAAGTTGTGGGCTCGGTAAACGACGAGCGGGAAGCGGACGGGACGGAGACGGCCCGTCGGCGGATTTCTCGCGAGTTCGTGAGAAAAAGCTGTTCCTCGGGAAAGGCCGAGGTACCGGTCCGAATAAGGCCAGCCAGAAGGAGGGATAGCTTTTTACACCTGTATACTAGCTTAGAATATAGACTTACATAAAAGGCCTCATGATGACTTCATATTAACAGATATACTCTCCTCGGAAACGGCTTTACGACAGGTGGAAGAGAACACAAAGAGGCCGAGAGCACATGCGGGTCTGGTCTGGTCTGGTCTGCCATCCGGTTCCGCACGTGCGCCTGGGACGGCCCAGCGCAGAGCTGTCTCGTCAGTGACCCACACGTCGGGGATCCCCACCCCCACGTGGCCGCCATACGACGGGTCCCCGCCCCTCCCCTTCGCGGGTCTCGCTGTCGCGCACGAGTGGGGGATACCTTTTTGCATAATATTGCCAAGAAATCATGGAAAGAAGTGGGATCATGGTGTAATTATTTTTCCCACCGTGTGATCAGTATATTATTTGACTTTTTAGTCAACGAAGAAAATCAAAAGGACAGCGAGAGCGAGAGAGAGAGATGGCATATCGAATGGGGTTAATTTAATTATTGAGGGAAGTTGGGTATGAACAGGGAAGGAAGGATGATGCGGCAAGAACGGTGCGAATTCTTCTTCTTCTTCTTCTTGCTCGGGGAGATTGAACAGAGATAGATAGATTCTCGCCGCGTTCTGGGAAATCAATGGGAAATGGGCTGTGAATGAATCGATGGCTCACCTCCGGGGAACGGCGACGCCGCCGCCGGTGGAGGCGAGACGGTGGCGCTGCTCTCTCGATCAAGACGGCTTTTTACAGTGGCGCAGCGGCGGCGGCGCCGGAGGAAGCCGAAGGAGGAAAAGGGAGGCCCTCTTTGCTTCACTTCTCCTGCTCCTCGTCGCCTGCCGCGAGAAGGAAGCCAAAAGCGCCACCAGACAGGTGCGATGCCACCGCCGGCCGACAGCGACTATTCGTCTCCGCTGCCGTTCCGGGGGGCTGAAATAGGGAGGGAGGAGGGAGCTCAGCTGCGAGATGGCAGGAGGTTGAAGGAAGTAGATGGAGAAGAGCAGGTGGGTTACCTCCTCCCCGGAATCTCTTCCCTTCCATGGCCTCCTTCTTGGCGTGGCAGCTCCGGCAGAGGAAGGGGCCGTCCCACGGGCGGAGCCGGCCGGTCTGCAACGAGCCGGCGTGCACCGAGGTGCCCTCTCCAGGCTTGAACTCTACCTGGCAGACCGCGCACATGAACAGCTTGAACATGTTGCAGATGGGATACTCCGTGTCCAGCCTGCAGCATATCGAAACCCTAGAAATCAGGACACGAAGAAGGGGGAGGTGGAGGAGGAGACTTGGGTTTGGGGGGGGGGGGGGAGACCTCCGGGCGAGCATGGCGGAGCCTTCCTCGAAGATTTCCTCCACGAGGTCCGGCTCGGAGCACTCTCGATCGGAATGCGACGTGGACTCGCAGGATTTCCGCCGGAACATGGACTTGAAGACGCCCTTCCCCTGCTTCTTCGGAGGCGGGAGGGGAGGGTTCTTCTCCTGCGGCAGGATATCCACCACGATACAGGTGATGTCGTCGTGAAGCCCTTTGATCTGTACTGCTTCCTGCGAACCAGAAGAAGAAGATGATGATGATGATGCGTGGGAATGAGGAGCTTATTCGGCGTCGGCGGCGGAATGGATGAGCACCTTGACGATCTGAGCGGCGGCGACCTCTGCCGGCAGCCCGCGCGAGCAGCTCACCGCCATTTCGAAGGTGACGGCGTCCCAGACGCCGTCACTGGAGATGATGAGCCGACCGCCAGCATTCGAAAGCTATTGCAGAGAAACAGACCGCTGATGAATAAAAGCCATACAATACAGAGAGCAAACACTATGGTTTAAATTATCCAATACGTACGTAATCTTCATTCTAAAGTGAGTTTAAAAAATAAAAATAAAAATTGTAAGAGAACCAGAAAGAAAATCAGAACCCATCGAAGAAGCTTGTCAAACTTTTTCCTTTCCAAACCAGAATCTTTCTCCGTATAAACCCTTTCTAAATGTGGCATCGAAAATAGGAAACCATTTGCGCCAAACACACAGAGACAGAGGGGCGTGGATACCTTCACTTGCTTCACATGAGGAACAGGAACGATGAACTCCCCCACATCCATGTCTCCAATCGATCTTGACAGACATAACCCACCTGGCCAGCACCTCAGGGGACCAATCTGAAGAAAGAAGATTCGCATTATTAGTATAGTATAGCAGTGAAAGGGCCAGAGAAAATCGGTTCCAGCTTATATGGGTCTAAAAAGCATGCAGACAGACAGACACCGTCAGATTGCACGTTCTATCGTACAATCTGAGAAGAGAGTGCCATGGTGAGGCTTCCCGAATTCTCGGTCAAAGAGCTCCAGACCAGGAGCGAGAACCGTACGAGTCAACTGATATACAATTAGTATAATCCTTCGTAGTGTTTCCTTTTCGGATATGGAAATCTGCAGTTGGGATTATTTATTCGTCTGCAATTGCACAGGTAGAGCTCTCAAATGCGGTAGAAGCCTCCTCGTTCACCAAACTCTTACTTCTCTGGCCGCCATGTGTTCCTCAACGGCTGCAGATGCCAGCCCACAACCAGGACTCAAGAGCGTGGCCACCTCTGGTCAACCCTCATTCACTGAGTCCTCCTGCTCTTCTACCTCGGGAAGGAAGGACCTCTTTATCACGTGGGAAAACTTCAACTATATCTCCCAGCCCAGCCCATCCCATCCCATCAACAACAGAAAGATACACCGACTTGAATAAATGTCTCACATGCTTTCCGTCACACCCAGCTGTCTTCCTGTTCATTTTTCAAGGCCTTTCCCTGTAAGACCCCCTCCCTGGTAGCTCTCCCATCTAACTGCTGTTTTCCATTGCCGTGGAGCCTATCTAGACCCCACACCGTGCTTAAAGAGGTCCAATTACCATGCATTTAAAACTTTAGGAAAAAATTGCATCAAGTAATACTTCAGAGAGGATGCTTCCTTCCCTTTCCATTGGAAAGTATGACTACTGGATCACCAAATCAACCAGAATCCGGCTCCATCTGCTGGAAAGCGCATCTCGCTTAAGCCTTCCAATTTTGGAATGCAATGGAAGCAGGAGTTTATAGTATCAGGTGGATTGATGTGCTACATTCCACTAAAAAATTCACAAAATCGGAATAAAAAAAATGTCTGCCCTGCCCGGAGTAAGACCCATGTATGCTGGCCTCACCCAGTTTGATTCCTGCTTCTTGGAATCATGGATAAAAACTATCAAGGATATGATGTTTTCTGACTTTAGACACAGTGATAGATAAGGGTTTTTCAAGATCGTGTCTCGTTAGAATTAGAGCTAATGAGGAACCATTAAGATGCCAATACAAGAGAAAAGAAAAGAACAATATGAAATGTCATCCAATTAAGCACGTGGATACCCAAAAAAAAAGGCGTCTTTAAGCAAGGAAGCGGTTACGAGGACTGGTTGATATAAAGATCAAGATATTTAACAAAACTACGTACCTCTGCACCTCCAATCATGTTTAGTCTGCCAACCTCACCACCGCTGGCTGTGATGCGCTCTACCCTGTGCGAGAAAAAAAAAAATCCCTAAATCATACAGCTCAAGACTATGAGAACATTCTCTTGTCAACCGAGACTTACTCCTGTTCATTAGCTTCTAGTCTATGATCTGCAGATAAGGAGTAAACTGCACCTTCAGCAGATTCAAGTATGCAACGTGAATCACCTACTGATGCCACCGTCACAACCCACCCGTCTATTATCACAAATGTAACAGTTGTCCCTGAAGTTTGAGCTTAATGAACAGCAAAGTAACGGACAGTTAGTGAATAGATTGCAACAACATACACACACACACACACACACACACGTATACGAAAATATATATTTATCTTTTTATGTCATCGTGTTGTTGTTTACAAAGAAAAAAATGAGAGAAGGAAGCAGTTTTTTACACCATTCAATAATACTATACTATTCAGTGTATACCCGATGTTTGTCTGATTTTTGTCATCAATGAGAAAGCACATACATGAAAACCATTTTTAAATGCAATCAAAAGAAGCATGGTGCTAAACACGATGCAAGTGCTACAATAGTGTCAACTGAAACTTCAGCTGATGCTTTAGGAAAACCAATTTCCACGAGAAAAGGGGATGCGCTAATATCTACATCTTTTGGGTCGTTAAATAGCTTAACAGAACTACATAAAAGAAAGATATTTGCACAGAATTTATACCAAGTCTATAAAATGACCACAAGTTCTTGACACACGCATCCCAATGCAAATTTGTGGGTGCAGAAAGATAAGCAGTTGTCCCAAAAGTTTTTAGAAGTAAGAGACTATAGATCAACATTAGTTATCACCCTGCAGTTAGATTCAGCACAAAGGTCCCTCATTGTGCAAGTCTTCAAATTAGCATACACGGTTGAAGGTCGAGTGAATTATGATTCAATATGTCCAAATTCACGGGTCCATCCATTTTATCTATTTTAGTATTAATCCACGCGTCGGTATTTATTGGATATTCTTTAGGGAAGGATTATATTAAACTAATATGTTCTTTCTAAACGAAGAATAATCTTCCAACGTAAAAAAGCACCTTACCTTATATTTGAATACGTTTCTACCTACGAATTCAACTGATATCAAAAGTAGATGCACATTTACCTGAAGCGAGCATATTAGCATACTAATCAAAACGATTCAACAAGGCATCATCAACAACGAAGGAAAAAGAAACCTAATGGTGAACCACGTGAGTGCCAATCAAGCGAGCGTTTTGGGAGGATGGAAAGGGTCATATGAGGAACAAGATTATGAACTGGAAAATCAATGCTAATGTGATTGCCAATTAACATAAAATAAGATATCAAACAAGATCATCTTTTGTTTTGAAGTGCAGACAAATATTTAGTGACCAAACCCCATTACACATACATGATGAAGTATAAAGCATTGCTGAAAACTAAACAGTGCGTGTTATGTAGTATAGTAGATGTGTTTGTAGAGAGGACTTATTAAAAAAAACTTTATGACATTCTATCTGCTTCCCGTGGCAAAATATTGTTGTCACAGCCATCATCTGGTAGTTTTCACATCAGAACCCCTTTCGTCTAGAAACTAATAACTGAGAAAAGTATTGAGTACCACAATCAAGAGAGTCTCTTGAATAAATATAGTTTAAACAAAAAAGAAAAGAAAAGGAAGATTTGACACAGTGTGGACGTCAATATTACTCTTTCGGTGGCAGGTGACTAATAACAAGCAGTGACTCCAGTACATAAGGGAATCAGATAATATAACGATGGTGATAGTCAGAAGGTAATTCTAATTATGCACCTTTGTCTTGTAAATCTTTATCCGTTTTGACAAAGCCTGCAACCAGAGCCCGTGGTAATGCGGCTAGCCACTCGTCCCTACTAAGATCCTGAGGGATGGCGCTTAAAACGTTACTCAAAAGATTCTCCTTCGCATATATGGCAGCAGCAGACCCATTGTGTCCGTCAAATAGCTGCAAAAGGAAGGGCAAACAATAACTAGTTGTAGGTCGCTGTATAGTTTGTATGATACAATGTCCTGGTTAACTCCAAGGTAGAAGCAATACATCTTCATGTATATTTTGTGCATAGTGAAACTGGCAATGAAATCGTGTTTTGCACCTTTTCAGAATCAAGTACAGATAATTATAACGCTGAAATCGTGTTTACTAGGCCTTATGCACAAGCATGATAACATTTATAGAGGAAATGAAGTGAGGAAAATCCTATTACGCAATATGAGAAGACAAGAAGAGCCGGATGCTAATAGAAAAAACAGCATCTTAAGGCTACACAATAACCATGGGCTAGACAAGAATCCAATTACGCAATATTCTACCAAACAAAAAATTGGAGACAGAAAACTCAAGGTTTATTTCCACCCATATTCCTCACAGATTCTACGACCAATTATGTACCCATGGCCAGATCATTCTACTGCCAACTGATGACATATTTGTAGACCTCTGATGACAAATAAAATGTCACCTCAGATTTTTAATTTCGTGGTATAAATTTTTTTGGTACACCTAGTGACAATCTACAAGCCACAACTGAGAAGGTCAATCTATTCTGTGGTTTGAATAATCAACTGAATTTTTCTATTATCTTCTTACGTCCATATAGAACAGCAGAGGGGTCAAAATTAATCAAAACTCAAATGCGCGTTTATTCTTGATGATAAAAAATAAAAGTGCATAGGATCCTCCACATTTCGACCTAGACAATCAAGGCCTTCCAAATTCCTTAGTGTTCCACATTATTCTAAATCGTCATGAGTTAAACCAGAAGATTTATAACACTCTGTGCATATAAAAACGAGAAGCATTACTTATATCTCTCATAGAACAAAACAGGAAAATATCCCTTCTTACCTCGCAACAAAAAATTCCAAAACAATAAAAAAAATCCTTTGATACTGAATAAGTCAAAATCCTTGGCAGGCTAAGTCAAATAAATGCAGTAATCGTTTCATTTATTTTTAATTCTTATCCCCGGAAATAAGGTGAGCTCGATAATGAGTCACTTTTTAGAGACTAACATTTTTAGGAGTTTTTCCATTAAACCCGCATTGCTCCAAAGCAAAACAAAACCTATACAACCCAACCCAAATTTTTTTCGCTTTCCGAGTTCCATTAGGGACACGAAGGCAAATCAACCATGCATGACCCATCAAACATCTAATCCCTTCTCTAGATCCCCTCTGTCTAAAGATGGCACCTATCATCTTACTTTCCATAAAGTTATCCCCTTCAAATCAACACAATAGTAATCGCTCCTTCACCAAAAAAAATGTGCCGTTTTGGCCGCGTGGTTGCGAAACCGGAAAAATCGCTTCTTACGATGATATTTTACAGATGTGAAATAAGGTGAAAGGGAATCCACACCCATGGTCAATAGCAACATCGTAAAATTAACGGAGCATGTAAGATAAGAAGGAAAACAATCTCTAGGACTTTCTGCTTTATTCTTATATGTCCATACCGCGAAGACAGAGAATGTGCTGATGCTATCCCCAGCGTACCGCTGGCACTCCGTCTTGACGAAGGTGAAATCCTCTCCCTTCTTTGTCTGATTCGCCAGCCCGGTAAGGATATCCGGCTTCTCGATCTTCTCGTTCGTCAGTTCCCGCTTCAACAAGACAGCCAGCGGCACCATCCGATCCCCGAAGGCCTTCGTAGTCGCTGCCGGCGCCGACATCATCATCCTCTTCCTTCCCTCTCCCCGGACGGTCGCCACCGCTTCCTCTCTCCCTAACAGGCCTCAAATTCTACCCGAAAACGACGAAACTGCGCATTTCTTCATCACGCGGGTAAATTGAAGGAAGGATAAAAACTGAAAACCCCTCCCCAGGCGATCAGATCGGATCAGCGGAGGCACGCCGCCAGGAAGACCCGCGCGAGGAAATCTCCACAGAAGGTGGACCGGAAGACCAGAGCCAACGAAAAAAATAGAAGCCGAGGTGACGAGGATGGATATAAATGGAATGCAGCTGGTTCGTCGTCGTCCTCCGCAAGGAATGGTAAAGAGAACGGAATAGGAAGAGGACGATCGGTACCGGGGACGCCCTCTCTCTCTCTCTCTCTCCTCTCTCTTTCTCGCGTCTTCCTTTCCCCGGTGGCGGAGGGTTTGCAACTGCTGCTGACTTGTCCAACGCCCGTCTATATTAGAACCCGGAAACAGTCAAGTCTAGTTTGGCGCGCATCGAAAGGCGTGCGTATCTGACAGAAAATCAAAGATTGCGGCATTGCGACCGGGAAAACGCCCCGCTGTTTGGCTGGGGGAAGAGAGCGAAGTCTACGACCGTGCGTACAATTACGCAGTGCGTATCGAAACGTCCTTCGACGCCGTGGGCGGGTTAACGTGCCCCTCCACTACCCCAAGAGTATGAAGCACGCGCTGCCACGTCAGCAATGCCGCGTGGGACACCCCAGTCTCTACCTATCCTGCGCCGGGTCTCTTCATTAGCACGGATCAGAACCTTCACGATGGCGACTTCCGCGCGACCAACCGTTCCCGCGGAGGAGGACGGCTTCCTCGGCGCTGTTACGTCCGCGATACCTCACAGTGCTCTGGTTAGACATAAATACCCCTGTACAGGGGACGTGGCCTCTGCTTAAGTCCCCCCCACTTTTCGTACCCGAGAACCGCGTGAAATCCGTCCGCCAGCGAATTGACAGGGTTTTGCGGGTGGTCCACCTGCAACAAAAGTCTTCATGGCCCCACCCGGTCGCAAGAACGAAGACGTGGACGAGGCACGAAATAACGATCTCCGCCGTCCGTCTTGTTCCCCGTTCCCACCGACGGCGGAGATCGACCGCGGATTCCTCCCAACCAACCCATATAGGAAGACCGAGCCAGCTCATGCTCGACCGCCCCACCGAATCCAAGTTGTCCAACGTGGGACGACGATGAAGTGACGTCATAGAATTCCCCACTCTCATCTTCAAAACTAATGGGAAACTTGGTACTCTCTTGTCTCCCCATCTCTACATATACCAGTCTGTGAAAGAGGGCCCCGTGGGGGTGTCAAAATGATTTTCTGATATTTTTCTAATTTTAAAAATGGAACTGAATGATATAATTTTCACATAATAAGGAACGGGAGTATTTTTTATATTAAAAAATTATCCTCTCTCTCTCTCTACATATGCACGTATGTGAAAGAGAAAGAAGTCATAAAAATGGTTTTCTGATATATATATATATATTTATTTAATTTCAGATGATATATTTCTTAAATGGAAGTAATTATTTTTTTTGCTATTTTATAATTTATGGGGTAAGTTTATCACAAATTAATGAACCGGAAATTGTTTTAATGGAAGCTGCTGGCTTTTATCCGTATCCCGACGAAGCTTCGACCTGATATTTTTCATGCGATACATAGTTTTTATTTTTCCACGACTTATTAGTATCATTGCGGATATTATTATTCTCAATTAAGTTATATATACATTATTTTTTTGGCTATGGGAAAAAAAGAATATCGTAGCTAGATATTTATGTGGTGGTGTTTTCGTAAATTGACGAGTATTTGAGGGCGGGGAGTTTTTCGTTGGGATAACGGTCTCTCTCTCTCTCTCCCTCTCTCTTTCGTTCGCTACCCCGTCTCCGCTCTTGGGTCTGTCAGTCTCTTCCCCCCCGAAGTTAGCGAGGGGACTGAGGGAAGGGGGGGCGGTAGCCGCAGGCTTCGACGACTGGGAATGGCTTTCACCACCTCTCTGCAACCACGTCTCCTATCTTCGTTTCTGGGGGAGCGTGTGGTCCAATCGGCGGCGAGCCCTCTCCAGCCTCTCCATCGCTCCGGTCGTCCAAGTTTGTCTCCGACTTTTATCTCCATATTCTGTTTTATGTTGGTATATAACATTGTGGGATGACCTGCGTGGTTATAAACAGAGAAACATAATTTTTTTATAGTGAAGTTCGTATTTCGTTCTTCCTTGGATTGTGGTCGAGTGATGATGGTGCTTTGGCTATCTGAAGTGCCATTCAGGATATGCAAGAACTGTTGCATGCTAGATTTATCATAGTTCTAGTGCAAGACCTTGCGTCCTATACAACTTTAACTCGGCTCAGTGTATGGCATTCGCCACTGCTGATCAGTATCTTAGGTGACATTGCACCCTGGCAACTAAAACGTGAGGGATTCCTGGTCATACGAGAATCAGGTCTCCTGTCCACCACCACATTGCTGACATTGTTATCCAACTAGACGATCTTTAAATTACAGACTGCGCATCTCAGAACGAAACACGGCATGCTATGGTTGGGGAGTTTTCTTTGAATGGCTTTCTGAATCATGTGATTTGAATTTCAGTAAAATGTGCTTCTCTGTCTCCCAAGTTTCACCAAATGCGTGGAATATGTCGGTTTATTGTCCGACATTAATTTCTCCTCTTTTTTTGTTTCTAAAGCTTTTAGCTTCTTGCTTTTTCTAACTTGCGAACCATGTATTTGACTGCTAGTGATATGGATTCATCATAGAAATGAGTTTCCTACAAGAAAAAAAGCACAATGTTGTTTTCATTGTAGGTCAAATGACAATATTTATTCTTCCAGATAACTCCAGTAAACTAGAAGAATGCTATTCTACCAGTTTTGAGAATCACTCCTAGTTTGTTTTCGATGACGAATTTCAGATGTAATGTCAATCATCTGTAATTTTGTTTCTGGTAGTGTTTTTTGATGAAAATATATACTTTTAGGACAATTCTGAAGAAGCTGAATGATAACTTATGTTGCTCTTTACTGTTCATCATTTTTAGATTAGAAAACGTGAGATTTTATTTTGTCTCAACATATACAGTAACCAAAATTCTCAGTTTGCTTTTCATAAACTGTACGCACAAGCTTTAACATTTACCTTTTTCTTATTTCAGGTTCTAAAGATGGTTCTACGCGAGTACCGAGAGCATTATCAAACATAGCTGACATCTTATTTAACAAAAGGCAAGCCATTTGAGTTTAGAGAGTTTCCTGCTTATTCATCCTCGTGAATATACCATGAAGCTGTTTGGCCATGATTTGTATATGTCTATGTTAGGACAAACCCACTTTCTGTGATAACTACACTTTTGTTGGAAAATTACAAGTTCATCATAAACACAAGTATGATTATCTTAAATGGGGTTTCTGTGAACCAACTCTGATATGGCATAGAAGAATGTGTAGAATCAGTTCCCAAGAAACCACACATACAACTAGTATTTCCCACTCCAGATCCTTTGTTGCATTTCTATTAATAGGTTGCATTTTTATTGGGTTTTGATCCTCTGTCAGTGATGAAAGTTCTTTTACGCATCAACTGGCTTTTTTGAGGTCACGGGTTTCGGGAGATATTCCTTAGTATTTTCCCTCGGTTTTGATGTAGATCAGTCATAAAGATATTGGCGCAGGGTCATCCCTGTGAACTATCATTGTGTACGTTAATGCCTTGATGCTTTCTCTTCTCTGGAACCATCAGGTAGATTTCTTTTCATAATCCTTTTTTGAAATTAAATATATCCGGATAAATTAAACATTGCTAGATATTTATCATTATGATTCTACTTCTATTTGTTGTGAAGAAAAAAACACATCAGACTGTGTGAATACAATTATCTCTTTCCATTTTTGAGGGAATCGTGAGATTATTGGGTGGGGGCATGTGAGGAGCCAATGGATCATTCAGACGATGAATAGTTAGAAATGATGACTGTTGGGTGCTTATGTTGTGGTTCAATAGGTATTTTGTTTTCATTCCTGTCTTGTGGTACCGCATTTGTCACCTTTGTTCTGGCTTTTCGTTGGGCCTTTTGTATTGTATTCGTGTTGCACAAATGAAAACGGAAAGATGGAAAACGTAAATCCGATATCTTGTCCTGATAGCAGGGCACATATTCCTATTGTAATCTATAATGTTTTTCTATTATGGAGCCAGGGACCCGCATATGTGCATTCGGCTGTCAACTATGTCCATGACTAACTGCTACTTTTTTTTCTCGCTGATGGGATCAGAAATCGGCCTGGCCTACAAAGTAATAAACGTAAACCTCTACAGCCAGGAAAAGTATCACCTCGGCGACCTGTTCCAAGTCACGTGATGAGGCCTCCCTATGTAAATACTCGGCAATCACCTGGTATTGCAAGCGGCCCTGAAATCCATGATGCAAGAGGAGTCCAGTGCATGAGAGCATCTGGAAAGCTCGCTGCAGAAGTTCTGTCATTTGCTGGATCTTTAGTTAAGGTAATACCTTATGCTTTTTCTTTAGTTACTTCCTGTTTTGAAAGTTTATTCGTTAGTATCTCATGCAGCATCAATATTGTTGCATTAATTCTCTATCTTAGTGAGCTGATGTAAACATGGTGAAATTTGGTTTCTTCCTAATTAAAAATGACCGTCAATTAATCTCATCGACAGTTTACTGAAGCGAAGTTTGCAATTTTTTTCTTATTAATTGTATCTGATGCTTGAAGATCTTCATCTATATGAAGTTGTCTTATCTATGTGAAGTTCTCACCTAGGCTGAGGTTTCCCTGTTCAGGAGGTACGCGTATTTACTGTTCAGTGAAGTTAACTGTGAGCTAATGTATAAAGCAAAATTTCGAAAATAAAAGAAGCTCATTTGGGATGAGAAGATAAGCTTTATGAATTTACAAAGAATCATTTCAGGAAAAAAATAGACACTAAAAAGATTAGAATGTGGGGTTTCTTTTTCTTATAATTAAGTCATCTGCATACGAGGAAACTAAAATCATCTATTCAATAACAATATTAACGGACTGATTGTGAACATGGGCCAACATTGACCATTATTCTCTGACGAACTAAATTACATCTCTACTAAAAGACCAACAAAAGTGAGTGAATTTTCTTGGATCATTGATCCGTAGCAATCTCTGTGATCCATATCACTTGTAAACTACAGTTTTTCTTCATATTCTTCATTTAAAAGGAGGTTTGGATTAGGTCACCTATTTGGACGTGCAGTTATTTACACCAGATAAACCAGAGCTTTCTTGTGTTGGGCAGCCAGGCATAACAACTGACGAAATTGACCAAGCAGTTCACCAGATGATCATCGATCATGGAGCATATCCATCACCTCTTGGGTATGGTGGCTTTCCGAAGAGTGTTTGTACCTCAGTCAATGAATGCATTTGCCATGGGATACCTGATTCACGTCCACTTGAGGTGCCTTTGGCAACAGTATATGGCTTTCATAATTGATTTTTATTATTGAAGAGAGCTTTGAATCTAACTTTTTTCATTGGCAGGATGGCGATATAATCAATATTGATGTTACTGTCTATTTGAATGTAAGTGTATTTGAATCGTGTGCTATGCATGTCGACAGACGTGGACAACTGCATTCATGGTTACTGTATTTCGTATTCATTGAAATTTGTCCGAAAAAAACCATAGTTAAACTTTTCTATTGCCAATCTTTCTCCATAGTACATTTTAGGTCGTTTAACCAGTTTTGTAAATCGAATTTGCCAGGCCTTTGTTTTTGTTGTATAATTCTATAGTTTTTTGTGCTATAAATGTTAATTCTTCTTCTTTGTAGATGATTTGGTACAGATATGTTTGTCTGTTTTAAAATTCAACTTTTGTAGGGCTATCATGGGGACACTTCTGCCACATTTTTTTGTGGCGATGTTGATGAGGATGCCAAAAGTCTTGTTCAGGTGAATCATTTTTGTCACACTATTTGTTGTGGTTATTTTCAACTCACTACAAGCTCTGCCTTACTTCTGTGCAATCCTTACATTTCTCATTGGAACTTAAAACGTTGTTTTTGCTTATCCATAAATTTAATGACGCAGAAATATTTGACAGCGATGGAATATCTTTTCTCTTTCCTTTCCCTTTCGCACTGCCCATATCCTCTTTTCAATAAAGCAGGACTACCTACCCATACCGGAGTGTGACTATGAGGGAAAAGAGGGCCTGCAACATTGTAGACATATACAATTTGATTTTTCATCCATTTCTTTTCATGTTGGTTGAATGAAACATGAAAGGATCATCATTCTTTGGTCTAAGTTTCCCCTTCATGCATGGGATGTTCTGTTTCCCAAATATCAAAGCTATCATCAGAGAGTCAAAAATCATGAGTTCCAAATCTCTGTACCGCATTGTTACTTGTTGAATTGACAACTGGTGGCTTTTGATGGTAACCTATACAACCTGTTTAACTAACTTAGATAATTGACTTCATGGTCGTGTAGTTGGGAGAGAGAAACACCAGCAGAAGTTTGAAGGAAAATTTAATGGCGACATTCAAAATTATCTCGTTTTTTTCATGCTAAAAGAAAATCGCCTCCCATCCTATGGCAGTGAAAAGACACTACTGGGGACCTTATTCTTCAGAGATGTTTATGTATGCCCAAAGCATCTTCGGGAACGTCAGATCTGGTGGCAGACATTTCTTGATTTGGAGTTGTAATGAAACCAACAGCAGGTGGTAGATCTGCCCCTAGATGAACTCCTATACAGTTTGGAGACATTGAGAATCAGTGAGTAATATGTGGTAAAGTCGACCTAAGAATGATGGGGCACGTCCCGGGGACAGTTATCCCTCTATATGGATGCAGGCACTGACAGGGATTATGTTAGCTTGTCTAAAAGGGAGAGTAAGAGTTGTCACCTTTTGGATAGGATATAAATAAATTTAAAATGAGGATGCTGGGGACTTTTTGATACCCACTGAATCTATGACCTGCTCTGGAGAAGAAGACAAAGAGGAGGAGACCGTTGAGTAAGCGGTTACAATCAATAATATGAGCTTGCTGAAAGGTTCTTGAAAGGTGTGTTAGCCTTGTACAGGGGGGCGGAATTTCTGGAAATATTTATTGAGGTAGATTATTCATAAGCATATGGGGTAAAGCTAGACTTATTATATTCTTAAGATCATGCACGAGTTGTACGCTTTCCTTGGGTTTCCTGTATACCTTGAGAATTGTGATTCACACAATGTATGGTTTAGGGGGTTGTAGATTGATTATGCGGTCCTGAAAAATCTAACTATGATTAACGTTAAATAATTAGTACAATACAAAGACGTCTGTATTTCTCATCTACAAAAATCTTGATTGTGGTTTTAATGTAAGGGCTGGATTTCTGAGACAGCAGATATTGAATAAATTTATGTCAAATGGGAATGTGGCCATACCGTGCCTTTTTAGGATTACAGGAGATTACGGGATGTGTGGAATGTCTCATATGATTGACACTGGGGTTTGAATAATTTTACATATTTAAGCTTGAGGGCCAGGTTCAACTTTTCTTGGATTCAGATCGTTTGAACAACAAAAAAGAGGAGATGTGTTCTCATTTTGTCCCTAAAGTTGAGTTGATCACATTGTGGGTGGTCAATGGATACCTCAGTCGAGTGGATTCTTTTGACATGTGGTGTGCTTGTGTGGATATGGTATGTGCAATTGAGTCAAATTACCAGAGGCTTGCTGTGATTGACATAATTACTCTATGATTCTCGTTATGTAATTTAGTCCCTGATATATGATATTGATTGCTGATTTTGATGATAAAATATTCTATGAAGATTGAGATGAGAACTGACATGTGACTATGATAATTCTGGGTAATTTATGGTGATATAATGGTGATTCTCATGCAGCGCGATGGAAAATATGCACAGGCTTCAAACTGAAGTAATGAGTTTTATTACTATCAAAAAAGTAGTGCAGTTACAGTTTGCTCTTCTGGATGTTATGGCCGGTTGTCTTTTTTATATCTGATTCTGTGTATGCGACAATTTCTATTTATGGGTGTTTCTGCCTCGGAGCATTTGAAGGTTAAGGTACTACCATTAAACATGACTTGGAATTCATGTAACTTGGTCATTTCCAGAAAGGATTTTGATCCTTCAACATAATCATTTCAAAATTTGTCATGCCAGATCTATTCTTGACAAGTAGAAATTCGAAAATCTTCAGTCCATGATGTGTTTTTAGATGACACCTATATGGTACTATTGTAAAGATATTGTTTGTAAGTGCCTATCAATGAACTCAATATTGCAGGTTTCGTTTCGATATCATGTATCAATCTACTATAACATGGTTTATTACCTTGTTGGTTGGTGTGTGGTCATGTGGGATGTTAAGAAGTACGGTGTATGAACATATATTCTTTACACGCTATATTCTATACGCGCACCATTTGTACTCAGGTATTCGTAGATTAAGCTTGCTCAAGTTTAGCATTTGGTTATTTTGGATACCATCTATATGCCTAGTTCCTAGGTTGTTTGATGACATTGAGATCTCTATGAGCCTTTGGCTTTGGTCTGTGAAAACACGTTATTTATCTCATTGAAATAAAAGATAATTGTATCTATTTCTTCACAGGTTACACATGACTGCTTGCAGAAGGCCATATCTCTATGTGCACCCGGTGTGGAGTACAACCGAATTGGCAAAACAATACAGTATGTTGTTTCTTAATCACTAATTTTCAGAGAGAGGTTCTTTTTGGGAGCCCATTAACCATATGCTTATATATTCCTCTCATTAATCTTTTAATGCATATGCTTCTATCCACGTTTTTGAAAACTGAAAGCCTATTCCATTTTAAAAGATCCTTTAACTTTTTCAGGATTTGGTTTTGGAGGAAGTATTTAAATTCATCCTGTTGAAACATACCATGAGGAATATGATAGGTCTGATACATGGAGATATCATGGTGGCGGCATAGTACTCTATACCATGGTTTATATTGTTAGCCTGACATTTTACCTTACAAATGCTGGGATAGAATCTGAGGCTTGAGGATGGGATGCGGGGAAAGATGCCCAGAGTAAAGGGTCGGCGGGCTGGACAAGGTGTAAATGGCCTTGTGTGGGCCTGAGTGGTTTCCAACCTGAAGAGAACTGGAGAAGGGAGGGAGGCCATGGGGTGTGGAAACAGGGCTCTGTCAGACAGATCTCACGTGGAGAATGACACAAACAGGATAAGGGAGAATAGGGTAAACAAGGGGGACACGAATGGGGCAGGCATCAGATGGCACTGGGGCCATTTGCTTTCTGCTTCTGGTGTTTCCTGTGGTAGTTGCTTGGGCATGTCTCAGCTCAGCCAGGAATATGCACAGTGGGTAAGGGCACAACAACTGGAGTAGGGGGAGGATGGGTAGAGGCAATGGCGACAGCGGGATAAACTGAGTGCACTCCATGCTTGCTTTTTCTCTGACATCTCATTTCATCAAATTATTCTCTCGAATGTCCTTCAGGTGAACTACTACATATATATAAGCATCACCCAATAAAGATGTGGGGAACAATAGAGGCAGGGTAGTGGAAAGGTGATGTCCATACACTGTCAGCCATTCAACGCCATGCAAGGGATATGGGTCCTGGCCTGCATTGTCATATTAGCAAAAGATACCTGTGGGTTTGCATTACTGATGCTTTATCTGTAAAAGAATCTTGTTGTTTTCTTTACTTTATTTCTCATGAAAGAGTTTCATTGGCTATAGTGCCTTTACTTCATTGGGGTAAGCCACAGCATGGAATACTGCCATAGAGTAGCCCAAGATTTTCATTGGGCCTTCAAATAGGCGCATCAAGGTCACGAGTCAGTGGCGACGTGTGCTGGATTGGTTAAACTTTTTATCAGATTCGAGGGTTCCTATCAGAGTGAAAGTACTTTTTAAAAACGTGAAAATAAAATAGGGAAGGAATTGGTCAATCTCAATAGGAAAGTCTGAGGGTGTAGGCTGCCAACGAATTGTCAAGAATGATGATTGAAGTAACAGCCAGGATAAATATGATTAAGAAGGGGGCATTTTTCAATATTTCTTCCTTATCCTTTTTACATTTTTAATGAAAGTCGGTTTTCTCCCTTTTGAGTGGTTGATGATCTCAGATGGAGAATCTTGGTCTGTGGGTTGGGGGAAATGCCCGGTGACGGCTGTATTGGCTATGACGGACGAATGATGGTGGAAGTAGAAAGGGTGAACCGCGAAAGGCCAAGTGTTGCTAATATTTTGTGATGGTTACGTGTTTCTGGACAATGGCCTTGGCACAGTTTTTTTGCTATGATTCCTGGGTTACTTGAGCTTAACCCAGTGAAATGATTAGTGAATTGTGAGATCATTGTCATCGTCCTCTTCTTGAATTGTGAGATCATTTGATCTCAGGCTTGTGTTTGTTCCACGAATATCTGAATATGCACGACACAGATATAGTAACGTACTGTAAATTGCTTCTAGTTAATGACTAGAAGCCTTGACCCTGTTTCTTTCTCATTTTACTGTTTAAGGAAAAAAGCTTCGAGTTTTATGATGAGCTAAGAAAACAATTAATGTTGTGCTGAACCCAAGCATGCTTTTCCTCGGTGAAAACATGAAGATCCTCAATGGTCCATGCTCTGCTGTTATCTATACATATCTCACTACCCGGTGGCGACAGCTATCTAACAATGACATACTATAAAGTGATCATGCAGATAAGTTCAAGTTTGGCGTGGTTCGACAATTCGTGGGCCATGGTGTGGGACGTGTGTTTCATGCCGATCCAGTGATCCTCCATAATAGTATGTGTGGTGCTGGTTTTTTCACCATGAGCTGCTTCAGATTATTTCCGAAGACTTTGATCGTCTCTCCTAACACGAGCTTATCTTGTCAAAAGTTTTGTTATTTGGGTTGATAAATGGTTTTTTTTTTCTTTTTTTGCAGGAAATAATGAACGGGGACGGATGGTATTGGGGCAAACCTTCACAATCGGTAATCATATAATATTACCCCATTTACCAATCTTTTTATGGAGGGATTTAGGGACCCACATAGCATTTAGTGAGAATTCATGAGGAAAATGCATAATGATCCAAGAACTTCTACCAAGCTTACTTTACCTTTTTTTCACGTTAATTATTATACGAAATTAAGATAATGTTCTGATAGAATCCTCCCCGCAATGGTGTTGCCTGCCATGGTTTGAGCTCTGCAGAACCAATGCTCACAATGGGCAGTATCAACTCCGTCATATGGGCCGATAACTGGACGGCAGTCACGGAAGATGGAAGCCTTTCGGCGCAGTTCGAGCACACCATACTGATCACCGAGAACGGCGCAGAGATACTGACGCAGTGCTAATCACGGTGGTCAAACATGACGCGGTAAATCAAACTATTTATCTTTCTTGGTCAATGTTTTAATGGGGTGTCCTGTGTTCTTTACCGTCCCGGAGATCGCCGCCAGTTGGGATCCTTACTGTTTATGGTAGTAATCATCTGCTTCCCTGTTGATTCTTTCGAGTTTATGGGCTCCACGTTTAAGTCTCATCTCATCTGATGTAATCTGGCCTTTTGTGTGCCATGAATGGATGGCATCAGAAGGATGAACACTCTGCAGAGATTCAATGCCGGGGCTGGGGGAGCTGATACGGCGGCAGCAGAGCTGATGATGAAGAGGAGGCGTTTTGATCCGTTGCAGATCAACACTTTGTGGGGAAACTGGTTCGTGCCAGGTATCGAGACGCTATTTCTGATGGGGGGAAGGGGGGGGGGGGACTCTGCGCCCGGTGTTAATAATAGAAAGATCGGATTTTTAGGCTTCTACTACTTCGGACCATTTATTTTTTATCTTATTATTATTTTCATTACAACTATTCGAGATTTTATTTTATATAATTATCGGTTTAAATTATGGATAATTCCTTGTGTTTTAACGTTATCAGTTGCATTCTGCAAAGTCTGTCAACGATAGTCAAAAGTCGTCGGTCTTTCCTCAACTGGGAAAAAGACTTGGCTACCCCCCCCTCTCTCTCTCTACTTCGTAATAATTAATTTTCTATTAATTATACAGTGCAATTATATTTCTCAAGATCACGTAACGAGATGAAGGAAAATGTAATGAAATAGTTGGCCGATAATTTCAAAAAAATGAATAAATAATGCGAGGAAAATCGCATCAAGTTTCTTTGAAAAAGGATTTTATTTGAATATGTTCTGAAAGTATTTTTTCTCAAGAAATGGTTTGTCGGCAATTTGTGGGACCCACTGAGCAGCAGGAGCCCGCTGAGAGATGATGGTGGTTATGATGATCGACCCTAGTTAAAGAACTCTAACGGAAATCATGGCCGCAATGTGAGAGCGAGAAAGAGACGACGTGTTCGGACCAGACGCCGGGGGGAATCGCCGGTGCTCGAGGAGGCTGCAAGGGAGGGAGGGAGGAAGGAAAGGCGGGGGGGGGGGGGAGAGGTGACGGGGTCGTCGCCGGTAGTCGTTTCGTCGGATTCTGGGGCGGGAGTGAAGGAGATGACATGAGAGGAGAGGTGGCGGAGGAGCAGAGGGCGGCGGTTGTGGTGGCGTGGGAATGGCGAGGGGCAGGGGAGGGGTGGTGGGGGAGTGGGGGCGGGGAGGCGGAGGGAAATGGTTGCCGTGCAAGAGGACGACGGTGGCCGTCTGCTGCGTAAATCTCTTGGCTCTACTCTACGTGCTCCGGGCGCTCTACACTTCTCTCTACGTCTTCTCATCTTCTTCTTCCACCGTTGCCGATGCTTCCTCCGGTTTCAGTTCCTTTCCAGGTCCCTTTTCTGCCTAGTCTCCTTTCTGAGATTTATCTGGTTTTTCTTCGTGCTCTGTTTGTGGATTTCAGTTGAAATTCTAGAACCTTTTTCTTCTTGATCGGAAAACTTGTCTATTTGCTTGCTATTATGAGATCCTCAGGGGTTCCGCCTCGTTCTCCATTCTTGGGTTGTTGTTCACCTTTACGTTTCTGCCCGACAGCTACTAAGTTCTCAGAGGATCAGATCCAGAGGATGAAAGAGTCTATCCGCCTGAGGAGCGCAGCTGAGCCCACGGAGCTTGCAAGACTGGTAACTGTAATAAAATCTCCATATCATGTGTTTCCTTCTCATGACTGATTGGGTTTATAAAAAAGGTCAAGAGATTGAGGAAGAAGCTTCCCAGAAAGGAAAGAGATTTGGGGCTGTCGCAGCTAATGAAGCAGGAACTGGCTACTGAGATTCTTCAGATGTTGAGAGCTCTAGAACCGCATGCTTATGTGACCGAGCAGCAAGGTTGGTAAGCTGTCTGTGTGGCGGAATCTTCAGATGTTGAGAGCTCTAGAACCGCATGCTTATGCGACTACGTTTTCAACCGGGTCTTCTTCTGTTAGTTAAATTTCTTTTGGATATAATTCTCCATTTGGCTTCCTTCTGACGGGTGTTTGTGGGTGGAAAGGGGGGGAGGGGAATGTTGGTGCAAAGGATGATTCGTGGCTGAAGAATGGTTCCTTTTATCTCTATCGTGGGGAGCATTGAAACTAAAGCAGTTGGCACGAAAATATTTTCTGGATCTACGTTCTAGTTTTCTGTCCCCTTTTTGTAAATAAATATTATCTGATGGTGTGCAAACTACATGCTAATGTTGAGTTCCGTTGGTGATTTCATTTTTTAATAGTTTTTTTTCTGTTATAATGGTGCGATAATTGGTAAATTTCACCAGAAGAAAAACTTCTAGAAAGTTCCAAGAAGCGCTATATTGGACAGTTTCAGAATTAATTCATGTGGAATTAGATGGGCCAAATTGGAAGGAAGCTGTGGACCCTCACGAGCGTAAAGCAAGTGCATTTGATAAATTTCTCCTGTTCATCTTAAGGGGATCTATCATCGTTGAGTTTTGCCCTGACTCGGTTTCATGATCAAAATTCATTCCTATGGTGGTGTAATTGTTCAAGGAGCGTGACATTTCATCCACAGTTCGTGGCCTAAGTGGTAGACTCTTCTTCAATGTCGGCAAATAATGCAATGCTACTGAAAAATTTGATGGCGGAATATTTTCACTAAATTTGGCTACTTGGATCGCAGAGAACTCGATGAACTTTAAGGAGAGAGTATGATTGAAGGCCATGTATAATCATTAGTTACAATTTTCTGGGGGGAGGGGTGTCAGTCAACCAATCCACTTACAGTGGGGGGACCTGGTAGAACAGATGTGAATGCAAGACTGCTTCTTAGTGTATTATTCAAGATTTTAAATGCTTATGCTCCTATATTATTGAAATAATGGGCCATAAGCTTTTTCTTCAAAACGGTGGATACAATCTTTCCCAGTTGGAATGTTCTGTTTGATTCCTAGTCTGAGGCTGTTTCTAGTATGGTGCTTCACCGCTGTTCCTCAAAAAGAAAGCGTTACTTTTGATATTTTTCAATGAGAATATTTTTAGTATGGCATGTCAGCTCCTAATATGGTGCAGTCAACTCCCTAACATGATCAAAACATATGAAGCTTCACGTTTTATATTTTTCAATGAGAAAGATATTTTTAGTATGACATATCTGCATTGTAGTATTTTCAAGCAATAACCATAATACTAAAAAAATTCTCAGTTCCTTTTATTTTTGACACCGTTCTAGATGAATTTGATGTACTTGACTCTGTTGAACAGAAGCACTGGAAAGATGGCGCTTGGAGAAGCTGGAGACAGTGAAGAGAGTGACTCGTGATTCATCTACTAGTGCACGAGAAGCAAGTGTGTAGGCTTCCATCTTCTTCCTTATTTCCGTTTTGAACTCTCAAGTCTCATCAGTTATCACATTCTTTTTTGGTTTCTGCGAAAAAAAAGAAGGAAAAAAAATAACTTACAGATCTAGTTGATCCAACAAGGAAAAAAATAATTCATAGCTCTAATTGATTTGGCTTTAACTCCAAGTTTTCTCATTTTGCCTGAATTCTCTCTCGTCCTGAGAGTGCAGAGCTGCTGGAAAGAGCCCTTGAAGTTAATTGGTTCATGCTATTAGAAGAAATTGGTCTTTCTATGCCAAATGAAGTCATCAATGAAGAAGTCGACGACAGGCCTGAACAAGTCCAACTGGGTAACATTCCCCATCCAGTGAAACCAACCTTTGTTCTGTGATTTCTAGAATTCATGGTTCAGCTTTGCAATCGATTGGATGAACCTACTTTACATAAAAAACAACTTTTTTTGGTATTATGACCATAGACGAGAATAAAATATCTCATGAGGAATTTCTAGATGAGGGTGAAATTTTCTTCTGAGAAGACAAGAGCGCTTGATCCAAACCCTGCAGTATGGATGAATATCAACCGAGCATGCAATCTCAGTCACAATACAGTCAAAGCTCTTTGTTGACCTTTGCGCCGTTTTCTTCAGAAGAGGAGTCTATTCCCCCGAAATGCCATGCCGAGCCCCACACTGAGTACGATGGGGTTGCTGTGAGGTGGGGCCTGACCCACCTCAAAGAAACTGCTGCTGACTGCTGCCAGGCCTGCCTTGATCAAGCAAAGCGCGCGAAGGATGGGGAAATGAAGTGCAACGTGTGGGTTTATTGCCCTTCAGAGACTGGATGCTATTCACCTGACGTCTATGTGCACAAGCACCAGGAGTGCTGGTTAAAACAGGTAGAACAATGGCTCCTTTCATGCCTTGAACTCCGAATGTTTTTGTTTCCAAAGACATGCGATGCTATGCAATTTTGAAGTTAAATTCTTTTTCACCTTTGCTGTTTTGGAGTGATGTGAATAATATATTCATCCGTATTTAGGGGGCATCAGTTAGCCAATTTAGAAGAAAGGTATATAATTTGGCAGGAATTATGAAAAAAACATTTTTTTGAAATATAAGGCTATTTTTAGAAATTATGTTTTAAGTCGTTGAGCGGAATAAATCTGATGGGAGCACAGGAAGAAGAGATGATGAAATATAGACCGAGTATCATGCATTTGGGTATCATCTATTGTTGTCGAACCAAAGAAGATAAAATCAGATCCAGATTGGATTGAATTCACCCGTCTTGTCCACGTAGAAGAAAGGTATATGATTTGGTTGAAATTATGTTTTTTTTTTTAAATTTTGTGAAATATAAGGCTATATTTAGAAATCTGACGGGAGCACAGGAAGAACAGATGATAAATAATGGGTGGCGGCAGTTTCTTTATGGTTCTATTTTCAGTACACCTATAGATGTTATCCTCCTGGAGACTGTTTATGAAGAGATAAAAAGGGTCATCTACCTTCATTTATAAACTGAAGATTGTTTGAATCAGTACTATAAATGGTAATATATCATTCAGTCTTTACCCATGTATCTTACTCGAATTTGATCAACTGATTCTGTGATTGCAGTCAGAAAAACCCAGGCTGAGCTTTAAAGATGCGTACCCGGAATGGTATAGAAATTCTCACCCAACTGCACCGTTGACTGTTCCATGGATTTCTGGTGTTATCGGCTGATGTGTTGACCATCACTTCTGATGTCACCAAAGCTGTCATCTGTAGAACAGAAACTATGGAAAATCTATTAACAATTTTCTTCTTCACCCAGCAGTATTATTCTTGGAAGAACTTCAGACGGCTGCAGGGGAATCATATTTATTTATTTAATAGGCATTTATTTTTCGTTCAGAGAGTTGACCATCTCAGATGTGATTCTTCAAGAGGATTTATGAACGCTTGCTCATTTCTCTGATAACTGATTAAAAATGTCTTCGTCAGCGTTGTTGCAACTGCTGTTGACCTTGTTCGAAAGTTTTAGGCAATGCTTCTTCAAAAGGAAACAAGTAGAGACTGCAAATGCCACGGTCAACGCTGGTGAAAGCATCCATATGGAAAATAAAAACAGCCCTGCTACAATGTCCTCAAACGTTGACTTATTGCCGAATAACTAGACATGGACAATACCTTTCCAAGGATATACTATATGTACAGAAGCATCGCAGCAGGACCATGTATTTCTGATGCCATGCCCATGAATAATATTATCAATAAGCACCCATTTTACATACATTGTTATCGTACAGCTCGGATTTGCTCCATATTATCAGACTGTTTCTGGAAAGTTGAGACAAAAAAGGCCTCATGATTGATGAAAACTGTTTCTTTAAAACAAAAGGGGAGCAGCTAATGCTCTCAGCTGGTGGTGAGGTCGTTGACTTCTTTCAAGCGGAAAACATGGCTTTCTCTCTCTTTCCTGCAACATAGGCAGGTGGGCATCGATTCGCCTCTCATAAAGTCGGGTCGCTTGCAACGTCCTGGCTATTATTAGGTGCGTGACAGAAATATGCAGTGATTCCCTTCAGCTTCCCATTTAAGTAGTTCTTCTCCACCTGAAAACAAGTCGTCCATTGCTAAAAGAAATCAGAAGATTCATGCACCCCGACGCTTCAGAGTGAGAATATCACATCTAGTTTATCCATTGGAGATTCTAGCTAAAAATGGTAAAATAATGAGAGAATTCTATCTAAACAGCCGTATCTACTAACACCACAGGAGAGAACAGAACAAAGGAAGGGTAAGAGGTGCAGAATGTAAGAGGCTGAGTGTCTACGATGAGAGAGAATGTATTAAAGAATGAGAACTCCCCAAATTTGTACAGAGGCATTATGCTACTTGATATCATACCTCTAATTCCCATGGAGGATCACTTAGTAGCGACAACTCTGCCAGCTGATTTGGGTCTACATTCCTCGGAAGAAACATCACGATCTTCGATGCAATCTTCATAGCAGTCAAGAAGAGAAAACGCCTGAACAGGGATTTTTTTTTTTTCCATAGTCAATCAGAAGCCCATGGAAAGAAGTCAATATATTGTCAACGTCGGAGGTGGACAAACCCATCGCGAGGCTTCAGCATGCTCTGGATATCATAAGTTCGAACTCTTGCATAATCTGGACCTCCCCAGGGGGGCGACAGGAAAATCGCATCTGCCTGCGTGTCCATGAAATGGTAAGCGATTGGTTGTGGCTCAGTCATGCCCAATGGAAGGAAAATGAATAGCAACAGCTTATATTCAGTGCATGATCATGTAACAGAGCTGCAACATTGATTTGAAGTGGGCGCCACATTCTATCTTGTTTCATTAAGAATCAAGCTACGACCCAGTCCAGCTTGTGGACCAGATCCCCAGGCATACGTCAAGTCCAACACAAAACACAAGAACATTAATGAAAAATTGAATTCATGAAATAATGTAAAAAAACAATTAGAGCACGTAAAATGGGCCAGAGGGTCTGGTAGTCCTTCGCCAGATATCCATTATTCATAGTAATTTCGAAGCTTCTGAATACAAGACTTTGATAGAGTGCACACTTACCTTCAGGTGTGAAGAAAGAAGGAAAAAGTCCCCCAGAATGAATTCTATATTATTTCTGACTCCATAAATTGTTGCGTTGTGTTGTGCATCATCCACTTTCTTCGGGTCGATGTCAATGGCAAGAACATGATTGTTCCTAAAATAGGAAATTAAAAAATGAAATTAGAAATCAACGGTGACATTCTTAGAAAGAACTGGAGGTGGCCGAACAAAACTATGATAAAACAGCACAATTCTAGGACAAACATCCTGTCAGCAAGTATAATGTGATATATAGACGAGGAAATCTAAATGAAAGCTAAAACATGGGAAAGAATATTGCTGAGTTACAAACAAATTGGTATCTGCGATTGTTTAATAACCATCTTTCGAAGGCCTGGCTTGAGGCAGAATGTGAAGGCTTTCTTACCAAAGAAGTAAAATACTGCATGGCCAGCAACTTGCTCATACTGATATTATAAGACACCAGTATACAAGATCATGGACTTTCATTGGACATTTTCGCAAAAGTTCTCAAAGCAGAATGAACAAACGAGAAGTTTTGAGCTGGGTAGTTGAATCAGGACATCCTAACAGCAGTACTCACTTCATTGCAAACTGAATGGCGTTGCCCCCAACTCCACTGAAAGGATCAATCACTAAGCCAGGGCCACAACGAGATGCATGATGTCTAGCAATAGCCTCTGGGGTGACAGAGAACCACCCTTCCTCGTCCATCTTCACACCGCGATCAAATTTGGAAAACAGCAAATATCTCTGACACCAGTATTTGGCAAGGTGAGCAGGTAGTCCTTCTATTGCTCCATATGGACTTTGTCCTGCGGAAGAGAAAAAAGATAGATGATTTTACGAGAATCAATAGCCTTCTTCATACGCCATAATTAGAGTTAATAATAATAAATTTCAATATCCCACTGATATTAGCTACCAGGGGTCTAACCCACAGGCAAGAGCCAGTCAACCAGAAAAATATACAAGTGTAGCTAGTTCAAAAGCGTTTTCAATAATACAAGTTCCAACCTCACTATTGTGTCCCTAAAAGTAGTCATCCCATGAATATAAGTATCAGAACATGGTTTTGGAAAAGTGATCAACACTTTCCTAAACTATATGTTGCAATCATGGATGATCCTTAGGTTTGCATATATTCCATATGACTCAGCTTTTGAAACCTTGCAGATCGTCGTTCTTGCTGGGAACCAGCTATCTTTGTTTCTTCGTGTTATGGTCATTTGGACCCATTAAATCTGAATCTTCTTTTGGCACACTAACTTGCTGTCTCTGATCTACTTTGAGTCTACTAAACAGGCACTGCTGAGTCTACATATACGGCATTCCCTTCAGGATGAATGTGAGAAGGATATAGAGAATCCCTCTGCATTATTCGGCCTAGTGAATCCATTTATTCTTCTTATCTATCTCAATACCGAGGATTTTCTTGTGTTCTGCTTTTCTCCCTCCGTTTTGAGGTCCTTCTTCAGTTCTTAATTTTTTTTTTTCCTCAAATGGAAGGACTGGGCTTTCAAACTCAACACAATTCGCATACACTTGATCACATAATTTAAAATGTTTCGTTCAATTCCGAGCGTGTGAACTATTCGATGGCTTTACCCTATGGACAACATGAATGGTGGCCCACTCTCATGGGCAAAATATTTAGCTTTAGTCACATATTAACGAATTAGGGATATCCAATTCAAAACCAGCTGATGGCAAGAAAAATAGGAATATCATTTGAATTGCTTGATCTTAAGTATCATAACGCCTCCTATGGACTGAATTAGAGAAAGACTGCCTAGGATACAGGCCGTTTAATTCAGTGGCAAGGCCTTTTTATCTCTAACAACAATGCTCGGAATGCTGGAAGATAGTTGGCATGTGACTCCCAGCCTAGGGCACACCCAAAACATCCACAGGAGCACGAGTGTTGTAGGGAGCACTGAGGTCGGTCACGATTCTCCAATTCACAAATGAAGCTAAGATTACAGACTCTCAAAATCAGATAGCTTGCCCAGTCTGGGCTCAGAATATTAATAAAGCAGTATAGACTACCGGTTGATCAGATAACTATATCATAAAAGACATGCTTGAATATCATAACACGACAAACCTTCACCAAGACTGTCATTAGTACAGCAAAAGAGCATGGATAAAAGAAAATACATTCCTATTCTGTTAACCCTTTATAAATAATTTACTTTTCCTGGAACTGATAGATCAATTCATTTGAGATTAGTTTCTATTACCGGGGAACCTGGACTCAATAAGAGACTAACCATTAGGTTTGCAAGATATTAAGATTTACATGACAGAAAAGGAATTTGAGCGTCTGAAAGCCACGGCTTGTTTATAATGACCATAGCATTGAGATCATACAGAAGCCTATATGCAAAAAATCGGACAGAACTCTAGTTTACCTCCCAATCATGTCATAGGTCCCATAATACTACAAGGTCACAAGTTGCAGGACCTTAAGGAAAACCTGCAATGTTTGTCGGTAGAGGTAGACTCCATCTTTACTTCTTTTTCCCCAGGATGCATAATCAAAGCACATATAGTCATGCACGCGAAATGAGAAATATATAACCAATATGGTTGTAATTGAAATGATTGAATCAGGGTAGGTGTTCCCTCGAACCCGAATCAGTGGGTGACAATATTTTAGAAGAAATATCTGGTTCTCATAGGTTGACTTCAGAGATCACTAACAAAAAGAGGGACACTTTTTGCTACTCAATCCCAACAACGAATGCTATTAGTACAGAAATAGATCAAGGAATGCAACGAGCAGAAGTCATGAGACATAAAAGGTCCGGGTCCTGGACAAGAAGAGTTATTCATCAAAGTGACCTACTATTAAGTTTCACACGCAAGAAACTCCTTTGCCACATAATGGAGATAGGTCTCCTAAAAATGCGACAGACTACAAAGCAAGCACGTTCTACATTCAAGATAACACTTTTTTTTAATGTCTCGACAAGTGAATAGAGCCCACGTCATCAACATCACCATCATCATGAACTTTTCGCTGCCAATCTCACATTGGATAGTTCCAGTGAAGGATCCAAGTTTGATCAACTTCTCATGAGCAGCTACCTGCCTAACTCCATTGCTCCCAGAGTGAGTGTCAGGGTACCGAGCCAAAATAATTTTCACACAAGAGAGTCTCCCAAAGGAAACTGTTGAGAATTGATCTTGATTGAGATTCTTGCAGCTTGGAGAATGAAAGGAGTCGATCTTCACGATCCTCCTCTTCCAGGAAGATGAATCAGTCACCACTTCTTGGAGCAGGGTTTCCGTAATCCCAAATGCATACATCAATTATCATGGTTTCCCGCTTAAGTACGGGTTACATGAGTTAATAGGCCAGGCCCATTATATTTAGTCTTTAAGTGGATCCGTTAACAGTCTTAGGGATCCACTTAACATAGGGACTGACAGGAAAGGACGAAAATGCTGTGAAAAGAAACAGATAGAAAGGAAAACAGTCCTAGAAAGTTCAACAGAAACAATGGCCCATTTGATAGAATATTACTGATCACATGTTAATTTCTTATATAAAAGTTCACAGAAGGCTGGCTTTAACCGGTAATATCTTTCCATTTAGGTATCATCCTTCTTTCCTTTAATTGTTGATATTCACAACGATTGATTCCCACCTCGTAAATCGGCCATCACAAAATTGATAAAATAATAAAGTATTGACATTATAAATTGACAACCGAACTAAACCTTGACGTGAAGTAAAACATTAGGAAAGTGAAAGGAAAATTAAAACGACAATTCTTAAGAAAAGAAATGGTATGGCAGCTATATTACCTTTATTTTCGCCAGATAGTCTCTTTTGATTGGATCTGATCCTTTTCACTTTATTTTTCTTGTTAGCTTTCAAAACACACTGATGACTATGCAAGCCATCAGAGATCAATATCACATCTGTTGTTTGCGAAATACTACTTCCCTTTTCTTCGGAGCATGTTTCTGTCGATGCATTTGTTGATCTGGGAAGGGATACGATCCTTCAGTGCATGTAACACATAGTATATCACAAAAGCAAACATTAAACCTAATCCGAGTTATTTGTCGTTATTCAAAATCACTTTCTCCATAAAAAAACGAACATTATTTATCAACAGTACATAAATTGCTTCATTGGTTGTCATTGGACGATTATATAGAATGGTCTATCGACATATGAGTTATTGGTTTTCATTTGTATAAATTATAATTACGCATGCCGAATGAACAACTCAAAAGAAGACGGATTTGTCTCACCATCCTCCAGAGGCAACTCTCCATTGTTCATACCTACATACTTGCCAGTGTTTCATCAGAGCCCCTATATATCAAGGCGGGTGGCCCATTTTAAGGTTATGCTTTTTAAAAATTAGATCTTAATTTATTTTTTAAAATTTCCATATATGCAGAAAATTGAAAGGTGAACTTTACTGAATGGTACCTGTCCACTTGTTCTGTTGTATCTGAGGAACGATATGGAACATCACCGGAATCTTTAGCAGAAACACTAGTTTCAGAGAAATTAATCTGCTTCATATGCTTAACTAAGTTCTTGGAGCCAGCCCTCGAAGGAAGATTCAGGTCAGAAATTGTGTTTACATTTTCATAGTTGCCTTCGGACATAATATCAAGGAATGTATAACCTGATGATTCTCCATTTTGTTCTTCCTGAGACACCAAAGCTGCCTTCAGTGCATCTTGTTGGTTTTTATCACGATAGGGTTCTTCTTTGACCAGATCAGAGTGTTCCTCACTTGATATGTACGAGAGAGCTGAATTTTCCAGGCCAGATGGTGGAAACCATGTTGATTCTTGTGTATGGAAATTATAGTAGTAATTTCTCGAGTAGAAAGCATCCCAAAATACACCCCACTCTACATCATTGATAGAAAACCTAGAATTATCAGAAGAACATTTTGAAGACCCACAGTCAACTGACATGTCTTCAGATTCCGCCACACAGCATGAACTAGAAATATCCTCCAAATTAGAAACTTCTCTATGTTCAAAGTTCAACTTTTCATCCTTGTAGCAAACAGGACCTACATTCTCCGCAGTGTGTTTCTGAAAGTTTGGTGAAATAAAATCAGCAGGATGAATGCGAGTCTCAGTATTATATTCCGAATTAACACTTGCAGACCTACAAATAGAAACCGTCATTTTGGCTGTTTAAAATTTAGCACCAACCTGTTCCTGGAGAATATCCTCCACGATGACAGCATTCTTGCCGTTTTGCTCAACATCAGACTGTAGAACAGCTTGGATAAATGTACTGTCAGCGTTTAAATATGTTGCATTATTTTCCTCATTTACGGTCGCAGAATTTACAGACATGCATTGGTCATCGTCAGAAACTCGACATAAGATTTTGTCTAGTACATCTGGTTTATACATTTCAGGAACCCGAGCCTCTTCGGCTTCATTAACCAAAGCTGATTTTGCTAGAACCCCTTTGCTTTTTGCTTTTGTAGTTTCATTTCTCATCCGCTGCAAAATTCCAAAATAAGCAATAGAATCAATTCTGGAGGCTTTCCAGATAAACAGATAAGAATATACATTGGAAGATATCAAAGTGCAAGATGCATTAACATGATGATCATCACTAAGAAAGCATGAGGACCTATATTTAACATCAGACAAAAAAGGGGGAATCAGCTTTGAACGGAAAGCGCACAGAGAACCAAAATCAAAGCAAGCAATAAAATTTAGACCTTCAAGAAAATAAGAGTCTAAGGCCAACAGATTGCCTTCGCAAAGAACACATTAAAAAGCAAAGATACAAAGAGAAATAAATAAATAAGCAAATAACTTGCCTCCTTGTTTGTTTTAAAGGATGTAGGGAGGCCCATTGCATTCATCTCTTTGACTAAATACAAATCCTCTTCTGCAGAGTCATCTATGAAATCGTAGTACAGACGTCAAAGGACTTTTGAGTTAACTCTCCCAATAAAAACAACGACAAGAAAATGTTCAATACATAATTGAGTCAATTTTGACAAATACAGAACAAGTAAAACATCAACAAATCAGCACGAAAAATTGAATAACAAGAGAAAAATTAAAGAAATCCTTCAACTTGTAAATCAACGAAGAAAAATGTTAGTTGAAACAGATAAGTAAGGTGGCTATGGTCGTCATGTATAAAAGTGGGCAAAAGGAATATTCAAGAGTTTGACCAATAAGTTGCTATGGAATATTCCGCAGTAAATCAGTTTGTGCCCCGTTTTTCTTATACAATTAAATTCTTTCTATATGGATTAAAAAGTGGATGGCTGTCTCAAGGCTGAATTAGTAGTCTTGCAGAGGTTCGAACAAGAATCTCATTATCTGCCAGAGCCACATGGTCTGACAAGATTTTGTAATTTCAATAGCAAGGCGGAGCTAACTGGATGAATAAAACTGAATCATAGCAAATGGCAGAACTCTTATGGAGATGGAAAACGATATATCACTCATCAGTAGCCGTGAGCTTAGGAGTGTTGAACCCAGCGGATCTTTTATGTGAAAATATTCTCAGCGTAAAATAAACTTTCTCACAATTAAGGGCCTGATTAGGTCCAAGTGAAGATCACCTTTCTAAGGCATGGGGCAAGTAAATCAACTTTAAGCTTGAGAACTCATCAGAACTTCCAACAAAAGACGTTGCCAAAAACTATTTTTTTTTTACTGTACAACCTCAGGTAAAATCCAATAACTAAAACAGTTTTGATGAGTAGCCCGGCCAGATTATTAGGATATAATTAATTTATAAGTTGACCGAGTGATATCACCTCTCAATTAGTGATGCATAGTCATGTAAAGGAAATGGTATTTACCCCGTTCATTCATTTGATATTCATACCATTTATCTCAAGATATTGAACTTTACATTGACTAATTGCGGTTTTTAATCATCTAAAAGAGTTGCGCCAAACGCCGAATTAAGCACGTTTGGTTTTCCTGCGAATGGTATTGAATTTGTTTTTCTCTGAAGAGTCCAGTTAATCTCTTCTAAGATAAACTGGGAAGCAATGCCATTACAGTCAGAAAATTCCTCGGCTCAATTCCACGAAAGTCACGACAACCCTATGTCCTTGGAATCAACTTGAATCGTTTTTTCTGTTTTACCGTAATCTGGGACGAAAGAAAAAGAAAAAAATGCAACCTTGAGGTGCGCACTGAAAGTAGATTACATTGATGTTCTGAATTTTAATATAAACTGAGCTACATCAATCCAAATTTCGAACAGATATTGAGGTATGCACCCATGTTAGAGATACTGAACTCGTTATACCATTTAATGAATCACACACAACTACCAATTATTTCCGCAGCGCAGTTGTTCATTAGGGAAATCTTGGAAGAAAACAAAGAATACTTCAGAAAAAAACTGACTATCAAAATGGGAGATGTGTGCTAATTTTATCCAGAGAAATGGATTAAACTCACCAACCATTTTCAAATCCAAGAATGAACACGAAACAGAGGAACTACTGTGACCCTGCAGGTAACAGAATACACTTACTTCAGAGATGAATTGCTAAAAAGGTGAACATCAAATAAAAAAATCAAGCATCCATCGTTTTAAATGCATAGGTTTAAAGTCGCCGATTTTACCCTCACTTTTAAGAATAAATTTTGTGAAATCTATAAGCAATGATTTCTACCCATTTGAGCATCAGAATATTTGCATTATTGACTGTTCCAGTTTAAATTATTATTATTATTAGGGCACTCCAAAGACAGTAAGAAATAGAGTAGTTCCAATCCCACGATTACCCCCAATATGCCATGCAAAAGTTCTAGAATTAGTGTCATAAACCTATGATGAGGGCTAGTCTATTCAAGATGAAAGTTACTCCTTATAATTGAAGTGGCATGCTTATTTTCTTTCATTCAATTTCTAATACGTGTACCGCTTTTTCTGCATTATTTGACCACTTCTAATATAGGGTTCAGTAGGATCGAATTAAGTAGGCCAAGGCAAAACGATTATTACATCAGTCAAAGACTTGTGTTCTTGTCATTTCTGAGGGCAATGTATACACTGAAACACTGTATTAACCCTCTTTCGCGCAATAAATGCAGCAAGGTTTAGATTTATGTTCAGAGGTGGAATATATTGTTTAGAGAGCTTCTTGGTTTCCTGAGTTCAGATAATGATTAAGCGATACGAATGAATGTCTTTAAGTGATGGAGTCTCTTCCCTCAACCCTCTTCTTCCTCAATTTTCTTGGTAGATAATTCTATGTATTCATTAACCTTGAAAAATAAAGGAGGGTAGAATATGGACGAAATCAGATATATATATATATATATAATCCTTATCAAAGAATAAAATAAACACGGAAAGATGGTATATGCTTGTCTCTAAATCGATGGATCTAAAAATGAAAGATTCATCTCCTTATACATTATGAAGCAATCTTGCTCCTTCCTTCACACTTACAGAAATTAAAGGAATTGTATCCATTGAGCACTTCTCCAGCAGAAATATGTGCATGTTTTCCTCTAATTGGTTACTCTATAATCATCTTACTCTTTGTAACCGTGGTCAAAACCCAATCTGCCCAGTGATCATCACGCTTACCAAGGGTATCCGCAACATTCTACAAAATGCATTTTTATAAACTCACGTAAAGGAATTAGCTCTGAGCTTACCTTCTAAATTACATCATTTCAATCTTTTATGCACCTCATCCTCTTTCACAATGACTTGTTCTTACAAGCTACAAGAGTGGAAAAATTAGTAGTTTATATTTCAAAAGGTTTTCTTATAAGTGGAAGTTATCACCAGCCCTTTTCTGAAGCTTTCCAACCCTAGTGAATATCCTTTTATCCTTGGAAATGTGACCGAACTTCTGAAAATTTTCCAGCAGAGATTCTCCATAGGCCACCTCGTAGTATGAGTCTAATTTTTTACGATAATACAAATGATACTTCGTAGAAGTTGAAATATATTCAGATACTAGAAGAATTGCTCTGAAAATCGTTGACAAGCATGAAAAGAATGCAAGGGAAAATATTCTCTAAATTGCATTTTCAAAGACATTTGGGTCTGAAAACGGAATTCCAAAAAAAAAAATTCCATTCAAATCCTCCGTAATCATTGTGTAAGGAAAATGCCGCATAAAAATGAACCGTTGTACTTTTCTCTGTACAGTAAGATAGCAGACAGAAAATGAATCACACCAACATACACTTCAACCGAATAAGAAAATATCATAAATGAAACAAAAGCTTACAGAAGAGATCTCCTCGATTGAGGTGTCATGGCTAGCCGAATTCTCTGAGATGTCACCAAGACCATCATCCCTGGAAATGAAGGAAGATAGTACTAAAACCAAGAAATATTCCAAGCCATCAAGTTATTATTTTCCAAGCCTACTCATTAATGACCGTAGGGTGGCGAACGACTTATAAGGTTATTTCCTCTGTAATCGCCCAAGTCAGCTTAACATGCTATTCAAAACGACGAAAGATAGACTCCCCGCCGCGAACAACATAGGTCCACCGGTAAGAGGAAAAACTATAAACTTTGGAAAGCCAAAAACAGTCTAGAACAACTATGAACTAGAGCTTTGGGTGAGGATCACGAACCACAGAAAGACCTCTGTGACCCGGAAGAGATGCCCCAAAGTTCTGATAGCGGCGTCCCCGTCTCCAGCTCCGGCATCCATCGCGGTAGGGCCAAGACGTGCGCCGGCTATGGCTTACTTCGCGGGGTGAAACCCCGTAACGAGCACTTCAACTCTCCCGACGCTCCGCAGTCGGAAGTTCCCTGCCTTCCTCAACTCGGCGGAGGATTGACCTCTTGCTCGGTCGTTCCCTCGTCGAGGAAAATATTCGCACGCAGGACCATAGAGTCCGCACGTGCGTGCTTCTTCAGAAGTCTTGCAGGACCTTAATCAATGGCCGTCCATGGAATGATTGATGATTGAGATATGTATATATATATATCAATCTTTTTTCTTCAAATTCCAACTTTTGAACTGGCTCTGTTGTGTACTGCTAATCGATAAGTTCGCTCGCAATTACACAGTCAGATGATAGACTCCTGGTTACATGGAAGAAAGCAAGTGATGGTACAAGATGAATGAACCTGAGCACTATCTTCAACGATAGAACCCGCAACAGAAGCAGGAAAACCAGCTTTTCTGTTGAGCACCGAGAGCCACCGCAGGGGATGAAGAGGACGATTCCTCTGGCTCTGCTGGCTTCTTCTGCTGCTGCTTGTGCTGCGTCCGTTCAACCTTCACAGACCCACTCCTTGCTTCTGCAAATCTGCAAGCAGCTGACCTCCGTCAGGCTTCTTGTTGATGTGGATGATCTTAGGAGTTGGGAAGGAAAAGACGTACACGGGGAATGCAAAAGACTGGTTGCTTGCAATAGAATGGCGCGAGGTGCTTGCAGAGTGGCGGTTGCTCTCAACAGGAAGTTTGCTTCCATCGCTGTGGCCAATTGCAGCAGCTCCCGGGACGTCCTTCATGGCCTCGGCTTTTGCAGCTGCGCGGAGATCGTCCCCCGGGGCTTGTGGGCCAGGACTGATGGAGAAGTTGGGCAGCTCGCCGGACATACCGGAGAGGAAGAGATAATCCCTCGAAAAGCTGGAGTTGCCCGCGTGGATGCTGAACAGGGATTCATTGGAGGCGACGCTCCACTCCACCGGTGCCGTTGACTTGGTTCTCTCGAAGATGGACGAGGGAATCCTGCAGTCATCAGGGCCTTTCGATCTCACCATCGCCTGTGTTGAGGGAGATTGCTTCGCCAAGTGAAGGGAGGAATCATCTGATTCATCAAACCACGTCAGACGGTTCTTCAGGCCAAGTCAGTGCACAGGGGATGGATGGTCTTTTCTCTTCTCACCCGAACTTCCCGCCTGGGATGTTTCGTCATGCCGGCCCAGCAAATTCGAGGAGACACACGGAGCATCTGTCATGGAAGCAGAAGGGAGCCTCGAACAGCCCACGTGGATCTCTGGATTCACTGTGGGTGGGATGCCGAATTCTCCGGTTTTTAGCTGCAGGCAATCTTTATCTGAGGAAGAAGACGAGCTGGAGTCGGCTTCTCGACAGGTGGGACTCATGTCTGAGCTCAGAACAACATGTACATCATTCTCTCCACTTCTTCCAGTCCCATTCAAGAGGTGCATCTCGAATCCAGAACTGCGCCTTCTAGAGATCTATTAATGGCCATCAAAGAGCATCAGGATCCTAAGACAGACCGAATCAATGCCGGGCGTCGAAATTCATCATCGTAATCGGAACTATGGAAGGATTCAGAGGACACAGACGAGAAGAACAACAGTTTTATCCACTCAAATATATTATTCAGTCACAGGTGTCAATGAATGGGAAAGGGTAAAAAATGAATAAGGTAAAATTTCATCTGGATGAGCTCTAAAAGAAAATATAACCAGATTTCATTGGAAAAGAAATTACTACGAATGAAGGATAAAAGAAATATATGCTTAAAATTATCAGCATTTATTGGTATTAGCCGAATATAGTTTTGTTTTAGTTCAGGTTCTCAATTAATGGACTCCTTATCATGTCATGTTCCTATGTTCTCTAGTCAGGCATGCCGCACTTACAAATCAAGATAATAAATTTAAAATTATGCATATATATATAAAACTCAATGGACTCAGCAGTTCTGAATTGAATGTCACAATCATTCGCCATCGATATAGGTTGATTTTTTCCATCGGTACAGCATTGAGTCGAAAACATATCTATCTCATGATTCGACTTATTGGCCCTTTTCTTCCGCGCCTGAATTGAACATCAAAATCCCAGGACTAGATCAGGAAGCATTAACTGCGAGATCCTGCTGAAAAACGCATCCCCATACCCACAAAACTATCAAAAACTTGAAATCGAAGAAGCGATCTCATTCCTGAGTGGATCGATTAGGAATCTTCGCGACCGAAGTCCGGCACCTGAACCGTGACCTCCGACTGTCAATGTACGCCAGACAAGACGTCATGCAGGAACCGATTCTATTCATCAGGACGCAGCCTTCAATTTTGAACTTGTTCGAGAAGAACCAAGAGGAAGCAAAAAGCCGAAGGACGCATGCAAACCTCTCGAATGAGAAATCGGAAATCCCTTCTGTCTCGGCACCGCTCCTGCCGGCCTCTCCTCCTCCCAGGGCCACGCCTCTGCTCCTCTGCCACCAGCAGCTTCCTGCTGTTGAGACAGATGGCCGCAATCGAGCGAGGAGAGACGGAAAAGAGGCAGGGACAACAAGCAAGAGAGAGAGAGAGAGAGAGAGAGAGAGAGAGAGAGAGAGACAGAGACAGAGACAGAGACAGAGAAGGAGAGAGAGAGAGACAGAGGATGGTGGCGAACGGAGAGGGAGAGAGGCGATAAGAGCGCGGGAAAACCGGGGAGAGAGAGAGAGCACGACCAGGCTAACTGTTTTAATCAACAGACCGGATTCGCCTCGACCGGCCTACCCGTCTGCTTCACGCCTCCCTTCGAGCTGGTCCGAACCGTTCTTACCAACGGCCACGGAATGATCCAATAGCTCGCGAGTGGGTGCTAGCTGGTCCGCCCTTGCCCGGGCCGTATAAAGCCCGGCCCGGTAGCTACCTTGGGTCAGGTAACAAGCCCGGGTCATCATCACCTCCCAGAGCGAGTGAGTGAGCGAGCGAGAGAGGGAGAGAGGGAGGGAGGGAGAGAGAGAGAGAAGAGGCGGCCATGAGAGATTATTTACTCATCGGATGACACGAAATATAGAATTAATTAATTATATATTTGAGTTGAAAACCCATTTGCCACTACCAACATTCATGTTGATGACACCGATGCAAGCGTTATTAAGCAGAGGTTTATCAAATTTGATAGCCATGGCCACCCACCTTCCAAGATCTTTTGATACTTGAGTAAAGTAGGTGAGCTCACTTGAGAGAAATAATGAAACAAGTAGGCAAAATATGATGATGTGATAATAGTACATGAGACAAAGTTGTTGAAGCAATGACAAACGTACTTAATTTGTATGATAGATGTTGATGATTCAAGAAAAGAGAAGGTCAATAATAGTATCTTCAACATAATAAAATGGGCAATTTTCATAATTGTATCAATAAAAACGGAAGTAGAAGATGGTGAGGGCATTATCTATTCAATGGACTCTACAGGTCAACTCATAAATGACCATATAATATATGGTGTAAAAGATGGTGTTGCCAAGATACATGGAATAATTTTTGATAGATCCAAAAATAGAAAGATAAATTCATCAGAAATAATATATTAGGAGATATGAGTTGACAATCCCCTCTTGTACATGCCGCCTTTGCCTTATACATGAATGGGTATATTGTATCCTACTTTGAGTGATGAGGTGGTAGTAGCTGCCCAAGTGTGAAAAGAGAGAGAGAGAGAGAGAGAGAGAGAGAGAGAGAGAGAGAGAGAGAGAGAGAGAGAGAGAGAGAGAGATATGTTACCGTGGAATGTGACGTGAGTCAAACTTAATTATTCTTTTTTACTAGTGGGTCTAAGTAAAGTATTCTCTTTTTAAAGAATTAGAATACTACTATATTTAATTTTTTTCGAAAATTTAGAAAATTATCTTGTTTTATAAAATTCACACCATTCTGATCTTTTGCTTCACGTTGACTTGAGCAGTGGATAGAGAAAAGGGGGAAGAGGGGGGTGTATATATATATATTGTGGAAGGTGACATGAGTCAAACTTAAATGTATTCTTTACTTTTACTAGTGGGTCTAACTGAAGTATAATATATTTTTAAATAATTTAAATACTAATATTTAAAAAATTAGAAATAATATGCACATTTAGAAACTATCTTGTCACATAAAATTCACACCATCTTGATCATTTCCTTTGCATTAACTTGTGCTGCGGAGAGAAATATATCTATGTTATATGCAAGGTTATAGGAATCAAACTTAAAAGTATTCATTATTTTCACTAGTGGGTCTAACTGAGGTATTATCCATTTCTAAATAATTTGAATACTACTATGTAAATTTTTTTATAAATAATATGCACATTTAGAAAACTATCTTGTTATATAAAATTCGCACCATTCTGATGTGGAGAGAGAGAGAGCGGGGGGAAGATGGGGGGGGGGGGTGAGATATCTATGTATATATATATCTATATCTACATATATATATCATGTAGAAGGTGACATTAGTCAAACTTAAGTATTATTTATTTTTACTAGGATCTAATTTTAGTATAATATCTTTTTAAATAATATAATACTACTACTAAAATATTTTAAAATAATAATGGACGCATTTAGATAATTAAATTTTATAAAAATTTGCACCATTCTGATCATTTGTGTTAACTTGAGCGGTGGAGAGAGAGGGGAAGAGGGGAGGAGAGAGGGGATATATATAAATATTATGTGGACGATGACATGAGTCAAACTGATTTTATTCTTTATTTTTATTTTTAGGTTTAACTTAAGTATGATCTGCTTTTAAATAATTTGAATACTACTATTTATTTATTTTTTTAAGAAATGCCATGCACATTTAGAAAATTATCTTCTTATATAAAATTCACACCATTCTGATGATTTGCTTCGTTTTGACTTCAGGTGTAAAATAGTCCAGACGTAGGGCTCGTATAAGGAATCTAACTGGCTACAGCAAACATAGGTATGGGATAATTTTGACCCTTCTTCTTGATCCGAGAGTGAATACCCCTATCTTGTTGACAAGGAATGTATTATGACGCAAAACATAGAATCAATAGTGAAAAATCGTCGTCTTACTACAGTGAGGCCAAACGAATTTTTATCTCGGAAAAGTTAACACCAGAGAATTACATCACAAGAAGGAGAGCATTCAGACATGAAGACTCAAGCGGGAACCAACGTTATCGGCAGAGGCCCACAATCGTAGCCCACGACAGACGATACGATCCTGGGGAACATATACCTGTAGAAGGCGCCGTCCCTGATGAACTTGACTGCAGATTCCCACCATCCTGAGCCACCCTGCTGAATCCGACCTGAGACATACGCCCCCGCAATCAATCCGGCGGCGCGCCACCGTCTCTCCCTCACGAAGTCGTCGAGACACCTCTCAACTTTCTCTGCATCGACGCTCCCATCGATGTGAAGGGTAGCGGCAATGTTCCTGCCGAGGACGACAGCGTCCTCAAGGGCGGCACACCCGCCTTGCCCAAGGTCGGGAGTCATCGGGTGCATGGCGTCGCCGGCAACGGCGACACTGCCCCGGTGCGTGGGGCCGACGACAACGTCCCATGGGAGCCTGAACTTGAGGGGAGCCCATGAAACTGTGGATAACTCGGAATGGTTAACAACATCGCGGAACGCTGGGGGGAAGCCCTTTGCCATCGTCTCTGTGACATTCTTGAGTATTAAATCAGGCTCTTTCGCCATGTCTTTGTCTGAGAGGACGTACAGAAGCAAAATCAGTATATTGAACTACTCGCCTGGGACCCAATGATATCAAAGGAATCGAGGGACTAGAATCTCACCACTTGGGTTGGACCTCCTGGTGATGAACCAGTAGATCTCCTTGTCATTCATGGGAAAGAACCCCGTTCTCTCATTCTTGCCGAGAAACTGCTGGGATCCGCTGCTGAATCCATGACCATCTGGGTACACGGAAAGCCCTCGGACAGCACCTCGACCGGAGTCTATCGGAGTGGAGAGACCCAGCCACCTTGCCACCGCCGAATGCACTCCATCACAGCCAATCAAGGCCTGACATCCCCATCAACAGCTCAAGATACGCACGCGCAGATAGCTCGACATTCGAAGAATTAGGTCGAATAGTCCAAGACAATTCGAGAAGAGTAGCACATCCGGAGCTCACCTTAGCTCTAATGACAGTCCCGTCCTCGAGGTCGAGGATGACCCCGGAGGATGCATCCGTTGGTTTCTGTCTTGTGATTGAAGTGAGTTTAGAGGAAAACCGGATTGTGCCTGGCGGCAGTTCTTCTGCGAGACTCTCCAACAGAGCCCTGCGGTGCACCACTCTCACTTCCATTCCCCTCCTGCAGGAAAAGCATCCAACAGAGACGTTAGTCAATAAATCCGCGATAGTCGGAGAACATAGGGAACAAGCTTGGCCTTACAAGACTGGTGCTCCATCTAAGGATACTTCCTGCGTTTCTCCGGTGCTCGTGTGGGTTACTCGAAACCTGCATAATATCACAATTCAGATGAGTACCATCGTAAGCGAGTGAGAGAGTGAGATGGGGGAAAGGGGGTGGAGAGAGAGAGAGAGAGAGAGAAACGAGTACTTTCGAAGTGGCGGATAGAGCGGAATGAGCTTGTGGGCGATGCCGAGGACGTCGAGAGCCCTCCAGGCATTGGGGAAGAGGCCGAGAGCGGCGCCGGTTGACCGGAGACCGGCGGCACTCTCGACCACCACAATACTTTTGATCCCGACCTTCTTCATCGCCAGTGCTGCGGCCAGCCCCGCGATCCCGGCCCCAACGATGGCCACCTCCACATCTAAACGATCTTCTGACATCTTCTCAGCTCGATGATTCACCTGGTTCTTCATTCTTCTTTCTTCTGGCTGCTTGGGTACCTGCTAAGCTCCCCGCCCACCAATATATACGTGTCTCTTCCCGCCGGACTTCCCTTGTCGTCTACCCGACTTTGCCGGAACCCGTGTACCGTTCTTCGAGGTTCTTTCTTGCACGGCACTTCCGTGGTCAATGGAGAAAAGATAAGCATAAAAGAAAGGTCCAGGCCGTATCTAGAAGAATCGGCCGATATTGATACGAACCGAGATCAGCAGCTCCGTTTCCAATCTAGACAGGTGGTTTTCATCGGTGCGATCTCGCCTTGGATCCCGTTTCCTCGGTCATCACCGCCAGCATGAACGCTGTTGGGATTGCCTCTCCGCATTGACGACGAGAATACGGACGAACCTTCGTCTCCGACAGCCGTCAGTCGCAACTGGGTCTAGACCGGCGTCATGTTCATGATTAATCTGGTTTTAAGAATCAGCAATAATTTATTTATATTTTTCTAAAATAAGAAACATGGTAGAATAAATAATTAATACGTTTTATTCAGGTCTCTTCGATTTTTCTAAGTTCCATTTTTATGTCCAAACGAGAGTTCATATCCACTATTCCATATGCAATATTGAGCACCTCATATATATACGCACACACGGCCAGATAGAGAAATATTAATGTATATATATATATCTAGAGAGAGAGAGAGAGAGAGAGACGGCATGGTTTTCCTCTACGTCCAGGCTGGACTCGCAAAGTTTTCTTGGCCTTAAGTGATGTATTTTAAAGGTCGAGACTTGCCACCAAACCCTAACCGGCCATCATCTTCTCGCATACCCTCACCTTTCTTGCAGGACACCTAGTGGACAGAGGTCCAACCTACATCTCACCAGGGGCTCTTGAACACGGGAAGGGTGGCACCCCCTACTCTTGCAGGCCTCGTATTTAATGGAAGCCGAACAAGGGTTCAGTTTTCTGTCGGTTGCAGAGCAGGAAGAGCCACCGATGGGCGCTTCCACGAAACTCGTTATTTTGATCTTGGCCTCTCAACGCCGCCTCCCCGGGGAGCACTCTCTCGGACGGCATCCGGGTCGATCTGACCCACGTCGACTCCGTTGGCACCTTCACCTGGCAGGAGAAGATGCAGCGCGCGCTGATGTGGGGCAGCCAGCGGATGACCTCTGCTGGTCACCGCTGGCAGCGGTGAATTCATCGTCAAACTTGCCATCGGCACCCCCCTCGTCCCCTTCCCGGCGATCATCGACACCGGCAGCGACCTTATATGGACGCAGTGTCAGCCCTGTGCCGACTGCTACCGGCAGGGGACGGCCATATTCAACCCCTCGGCCTCCAGGACCTACGTCAGCCTTCCCTGCTCCAGTAAACTCTGCCGGGCCCTCCCGGTCTCCGACTGCCGCTCTGGCTGCGAGTACATTTACTCTTACGGGGACTACTCCTCCACTCAGGGAGTTCTTGCCACAGAGACATTCACCATGGGGGAAGGAGTCCTCGTCCCCCGCGTCGGCTTTGGGTGCGGCGTTTCCAACCAGGGGGAGGGGTTCCAGCAGGCGGCCGGCCTCGTCGGGCTCGGCAGGGGTCCACTCTCCCTTGTTTCTCAGTTGCGTATTGGCAGATTCTCCTACTGCCTCACCAGGCTCGACGAGACAAAGACGAGCCCTCTCTTCCTGGGCTCCCTCGCCAGTTTAGACATCAGTGCTGAAGCAAAGTCAACGCCATTTCTCCGAAACCCAAATCAGCCAACCTTCTACTACCTCTCGTTGAAGGGCATCACAGTGGGAGCAAGAGCCCTCAAGATCCGGGTCACCACCTTCGCCCTCAACGACGATGGCACCGGGGGGCTCATCATAGACTCGGGGACCTCCATCACCTACCTGGAGTTCGAAGGCTACAGGCTGCTGAAGCAGGCGCTTCTATCGCAGGTGAATCTCCCACTCGGAGATGGCTCGTCCGTCGGGCTCGATCTATGCTTCCAGGTACCAGTGGGCGCATCGCCGGCGGCGCTTGAGCTGCCAAAGATAATATTCCACTTCCACGGGCGGACCTAGAGTTGTCGCCGGAGAACTACATGGCGGCGGACGCGAGCTCCGGGCAGTTGTGTGGTAAGATGATGGGGTCAAGCGGGATCTCCATCCTTGGCAACTTCCAGCAGCAGGGTTTCCACATGCTCTATGATCCAGAGGGAGATAATTTGTCTTTCCAACAGACGCGGTGCGATCAGCTATGAACCCATGAAGAATATAAAGTTCTTATCCTTCACTTTCCATGGTTATTTGTTGAAGAAATCATTTCCAAGTAAAAATTAATAGGTTATGAGCAGTTTTAGCTCCTTTATTGGCTACATTATTTAAATTATAGCGTAGAGAGAAGGTGGCATCTCTTATGAGTAATGATTATCTTATGTGGAGACAGTGGTATGTCTCATCACACATGCTGCTTGGAGTGAGAGGGTGCTGTGTAAATTTAGTTCATAGTGATGTCGAAGAACCAAGAATAACACATAAATCTAAATCTACAAATTATCTGAAATGAAAATATCATAAAATATTTTCATCTTTCTCTGACGCAGACATTAAGTTGAACAATGTGGCTTCGGTGCTTAAGAAACAGGTTCCCCTATTCTCTTGGCTAATAGATATGCATTGACAGCTGAGAGAGGATTCGTCCATCTGCTGTTTCATCTGATGTTCAGGCAAAGAAAGAAAAGTCAATTATGGAATACCTGATGGCTGGTGGTTTCAGCCCATAACCAGGATTCATATCTACTTGACATGTGCATTCTTCACTGGAGCACCACTATGGTTTGGAATCTCTATGTATATCCCATAAGAGAGAGAATACATTGGAAGTGTATTTCTGAAACTTTTTTGGGTAGATTCCCCAATACCTAATTTTAAATGTTAAAGTGTGAATATAATCAAGAGATTAAAGCAACTAGATGATGTGGTCTCAAGAGCATTGCCCTTGGATCTCTATTACACGCTGAAATAATCTAAAAATGAAAAATTTAGTCAGTCTATTTCACCTTGAAATGCCATAAAAGAACCCCCAAAATTCATATTTGGGGGCTTCTGCCCCCACATGGTTATGTTGCAATCATTCTAAGATTTCCAACTCTTTTTTTTTTGGAGTTACCGTATACATGATTTATTTTCAATGCTTGTTTGTGTTACCCAAAATAGGTCATGAGGCAATGAAATTATATTTTCACATATTATAAATAATAGTGTATAAAGTCCTCAACTTTAGAAAGTATTCTATAAGATCGTAAACTTTAACTAGCATGTTGATATCAACTGTTGCACTAATAAAGATGAAGATATCATGTAAATGTGTTTTGAAGCATGTGTCAGGAAATTTTAGAGAATTTCAAAATTACATTAATTTTAATACCTTTTCTAATCTATAAATAGTGCAAGGCGTCCAATGCTTTGATACTCTATGAATTGTCAACCATGGGACATGGAAAGGATTCTAGAATGTTTAAGTTCTCAGGATATAGCATATGTTATGTGATAAACATTTGAAGCGTACCTTTGGAATATCTATTTTTAAATCATTTATGTAGGGTCCAATTTTTTTTTTCATGAGTCTTCTTTGAGATCTTCAATTAATAACTTAATTATTTTATTGTCCTTAGGAGAAATAGTCCTAAATAGGAAAATATTACTGCAATAAACTCTACATACATTTCAAAATCAAAACATTGCTTTTATAAATCAGTAGGATATTATAATGATGATTTTTACAATCTAGAAATTTCCCTTGGATTTATTTTGTCTTTTTTTCGAATATTGTCAAGTTCATAAAGAAGATTACTCAAAAATAAATATTTTTCTGGTTGTTAGAGATCAATAAGTTAATTATGAAGCATGATACTATCACATCAAAACATTACACCATTTAACAATAAATTAATTTTTTGAGAGGAGCACACATGGGGGGTCCCGTTGGTAAGGAAAAATAAATTACTTCAACGTGCTTTGATGTGCTAAATTTAATCTAAATTAACAAAAAAAATTCATATGATCTTAATCATATTAAGCAACATTATGAAAACCCATTGTCAATATGAATAATATGAAAAAAAAAAATCCCATAAAAAAGAAATAAAGACGTGTTGGATTGGCCCCATTTGTGCCTGTCTAAGTACGATCGTTGACGTCGTGACACGTGGCTTCAGAAGCGGATGTACCCATATTCGAGAGAGAGAGCGCGCGACCGGGCTTAACTGTTCTGATCGACGGACCGGATTCGACTCGACCGGCCTACCCGTCTGCTTCATGCCTCCCTTCGAGCCGGTCCGAACCGTTCTTACCAACGGCCACGGAATGATCCAATAAATCGCAGGTGGGATGTTAGCTGGTGCGCCCGGGCCCGAGCCGTATAACGCCCAGCCCGGTAGCTACCTTGGGTCAGGTAAGAAGCCCTCCCAGAGCGCGCGAGTGAACAAGAGAGAGATAGGGAGAGAAAGAGAGAAGAGGCGGCATATGCCGATGAGAGATTATTTACTCATCGGATGGCACGAGAAAGCCCGGGCCCTGTTGAGATAATGCCCGGTCCGGTGAGATTTCCTTTTCGGGCTCGGTCCTGAGGGTGCCACCCTGCTCCTTTTCTGACCATTTTACCGCCCATTTCATGTAATCCTCTGCTTCCCACCCATTCGATGCTCATATTTACATGCAACATCGAAGAGAACCACCGATTTCAGCCGACTATTCACAAACTGGGCCCTGCTTTTACTGTCTTGGGTATTCGTAGACGATCCCTTCGGCGACGCTTCTGGCTCTTGCATGGCCGAAGAGCTTGCTCACAATCGCCAGGGAGAAATCCATCACAGTCCCAAGGCCCCTGCTTGTGATCACCTTCCCGTCGATTATTACACCTGCTCCGTCGACCACCTGGCCATTCAGCTGGTCGATCACTGAAGGATGGGCCGCGATTCTTTCGTTCTGTATGGGAATAAAATGAATAATTCATGTAAGCTATTGGCCTTTTTAAGATATTACCAAATAAATACTCTCCGACTGTAGGACAGAGATGGCGGCGCAGTACTGTGAGCAAGCGTTGCTTCTGGAGGACGGCTGGGGATGAGCAGATTGCGCCATAAACCCTCCCTGCTAGCTTCTGCTCTTTGAGCAATTTCCTCAGAACCCTAGATTTATGAAGCCGTTCTGCTCCAGCAGCTCCACCCTGAAAATTTCGAGCACATATATGGAATCATTTTTTTCTTTTGGTGGCAGTATTAAAAGAGGAAATTAGTGCCATTGATCCGCCAGCGTGTCATGGATAATCACTCAGCTGGAGCATCCACAAATGATGGGCCAATCATGGGATTTATTCATAGAATGATCTCGGAAGTTTATGGAAATGATGGGCCAATCATGGGCTAAACCGAAGTTTATGGAGCTAAACAGATATGAGAAATAACATACTGGAAGAAAAAATAAATAATTATGAGGTGTTTCGTCTTACTGGCAAAATGATCAAATCATATACTGATTCAGCTGCAGCAGAGATGGACTTATCAGCAATTATTGTCGTATTTTGGGAGGCTAAAATCTTTGTAGATCTTTCAACTGAAGCGACCACGACTTCCACCTTCGCACGCCGCAAAATGTCCACGAGAATTACAACTTCCATCTCTTCTGAGCCATTTGCGACCGGAACCAGCACCTGTTGAAAGCTACTAATCAGTTGGAAAATAATAGATATAAAAATATAGAATTATATATATATATATATATATATATTGCGTTTAAACTTAAAATAGGAGCGATCAGGCTTTTACAAAAGCCATCAATAAAAGGGGGCAAGCTTTAAGGTCATAAGAACAGGATTTCAGCAGCCAGGAAACCATGAAAGAAATAAAAGATTTTATTGCCTCTCAGTTTACTTTCGTAGCATTAAAATTTAGATTGCATCAGCTCTAATATGCATTCATTCAAGTGCCTGATGATCGAATTATTCAACTTGGGAACAATTACATGTGCACATAAGGCGCTCATTATCCAAGAGGCTATTTTAGGCATTCTACTCTTGTCGCTTATAAGTAAAGGTGTCATGACGCAATGAAGGAGTCAATCTCCAAGACTCATTAGTTAAATGGGGTGATTTCGCCAAGGCAGAAAAAACTTACCCGAGGATTTTGATTAAAAGACCATTCGGACGTGTTGAATTCCTCCTTTTTTGGATGGTCATTGGCATTCTGCATCAACAACTGCAAGTGAATAGGGAGGTTAGCGTTTTTTTCTACTGAAAAAGTACTTCACACAACAGATGATGATATTTTTATGCAATAACCAACATATAATTTAGAGCATCTTCTCTCAGGTTCGTGATATAAAAATGTATTTAAAAGGTAGCATAAAACTGCAGAAGGATTAAAGATGGCCACCATGGAAGTCACTAGAGTGGATGGAAACATACGCAAAGAGAAAAAAAAAAGAAGACGATAGTTTTCTACCTAAACATGTTTCCAAATACCAACTCTGCTAAACGTGCTTGCCAACTGACATATGACATGCACTTGAAAAAGTTCACTTATGCACAACTCTGGGCGAAGGCTTTTGATTTAGTCTCTCGAATGGTAAAGAAATCAATTTTAATCTATCATATCTAAGTAAAACCCTTCAGAAAGAAACCCTTAAGAAAACGGTGCCTCTAACAATACTTTTCCATTTTATCCATAATTTCAAAGCTTTGATGTTTTTGGGTGATTAACTTTTTGGGTTTTTATACTTGGGAATTTTCATCGAGCTATTAACTTTTTGGGTTTTTTTCTTTTTGTATCAATGAGGGAATAAAAGTGCATTAATGGGGACAAAATTAAGGATCATGATAATGAATTTTTTGCTCATCATAAAAAAGCAAAATGGCAGGGGAAAGAGTCACTCAAAACTTAAAACTCCACAGAAAAAAATACCAGGTTTCCTCCTAGTTCTTCCGAAACACTACTTCCAAACAACTGCTCAACAAGTGACAGTGCAAACTCAAAGGCTGTCCCTGGACCACGGCTAGTAGTGAGCTCCCCTGATACTTGGATGTTTGATTTAACTGCCCAGAAAGTTGGAAGCTTGTCCATAAAGGCAGGGTGTCCTGTTGTCTTGCAAAAGATAATGGAACCCACGTATAAGGCCATATATTTTCATCCATTAAGAATTTTCCGTAGCCTCAAAATAAAAAGCAGATGGCACACCTACCTGCTTCCTCCTTAAAAGACCCCAAGGCTTCAAAACAACAGCTGGAGCAGCACAAATAGCACCATAGAGTCTTTTTTCGTCAGCCTGCTTGCAGGTAATCTTCTGAAGGATTTCACAATCCCTCAGCCTGGCAGAACCTGGCATACCTCCCTGTAATCAATCACACGATTTAGGTGGATGATAAGGTCAACATTCATCAATTTAACTGAGAAAAATAAGATAGTCATTAGAAATAGGGAGATTGATAATACCAAACAGGCAATGCTAATGTATAGCAGAATAAAATGATTTCTTAAGTAGCATATATCTCAACGAGGGTGACGGAGATTAGGATAAGAAAAAAAAGATTTAGTCAAGGGATAATCAGGAAGAAAAACACAAGGTAGGTGTCTGACCAGACATCCAATGCTAATATTCAGCAGAATAAAATGAATTTTCAAGTAGCATATATCTCAACCCAGGATGATGGTGATATGGATCAGAAAAAAGGGATTTAGTCAAAGGATAAGCAGGAAGAAAACCATAAGACAGAAGTCTGACCCAGAGTGGGGGGGGGTGTAATTGGACATAATTGAATTTGTGTATATTTGTATTTGGACTCTGCATGACGGTTAGAATTGCAACCGAAATAATCGAACAATTCTAAACTTAGAAGAGCAAAAAATAGGAGAAACAGAGCGAAGATGAAAGGATGCCCTTAACTTCGATCAAGTGACTCTCAATGACCCATGAAAGACTAGTACCATAAGAACAAGCAAGACACAAACTCAAGATCCAAAAGTGAACGACAAAAAATTCGGAGGACAAATTGTGCAAGCATTTCTGTAGGCCATTCTGCAGTTACAGCTCCCTGGAAACATAATTAGCTCTAGACGTCAAAGTCCATGGATACTTAGTTAGTCACAGTTTGTCATCTTTTTCAATTAGCTAATATATCAAAGGCAGAATGTGTAGCTCCAATTGTTGGGTCCTCTGCTTCTTTGGAGATTCTAACCCGAAATGTTGGAAAACTAAGCAAATGAACAATGATATATCCCCAATCTACAGTGACATAGAATTTTGTCGATATGATTTAATCCAGTTCGTTCCTTTTATTTTTACTACTACTGTTAATTGATATATCGAATTGGACAAAAAAAGAAAATAGATAGAAAGACGCAACGATAGCGCTAGCGGAAGAAATCTCAATTCGCTTTGGCATCGGGTGGAGATGTGGAAGAGGACATAGTGCTCCAGAGGCCAGCTCGCTCACCGGGAGAGCTATGAGATCAAATATCTCACTGAAGCAGTCCCCAATGGGCGCGTCGGCGACCAGCTTCGTACCGGAGGAGCCCTCCACTTCAAGCCCCATCTCAACCGAGGCCACGAGCACCTCAGCCCCAGCCCGCCGGAGCACGTCCACGAGGACGACCGCTTCAATCTCCTCGGTGCCCATTCCTATCGGCACCAGGACCTGCACCACTACCCTGACGGAGGTCATCCTCCGGGGCAATTCACCCCGAAACTGGAAGGACAGAGAAGCGGAAGGGAGGAAAGAGTGGGATTCACCTTCTTCCTCTTGGGAACCAAGGGAGTGGGGGCAGCAGGCGTAAGGGGGACCGTCGGCTTTACCCTGCGCCTCGAGCTAACGGCGGCATTGACGACGGCACGTCGGCTGGGCTGCGGGCTGAGGTGAGACCAGTACGCAGACGGCGGCGCCGCCATAGCCGCCATGGCCGCCATCCGTCCTTTTAAACACCGTCCGGCGACGGCGCGCGATAAGAGACGGAAGCTTTTCGGAGGTCGAAGCTCTTATGCTGTCCCCCGCCCAGTTTCAGAGCGCTTCCTCGCAAATCCGTTTGGAAGTGATTCTAATTTTTCCCCACCTCGCCCCCCCTCCCCCAGCTGTTTGGGAACACGAGCAGATTCGGAATTCCGGTTCCGGGAAATGGGAACCATCTCTGCGTCTTAGATACCAAATCATCCTCTATTTATCTACTTCATTATGTGCCCATATAACGCATTATAAAAGTATCCACATAAACTACATGCATTGTCTAAATATCTGCATTTCTAATTCATTATATTACCTCATTAAATAATATCGTATGCACATATCACGGATTATTCAAATATCAACATAAAATACATCCATTGTCTGAATATCTACATGTTTTTTGCGCTTTATGTAGATACTCATATTTATAATTCAACCGGGATCGTTGACCACCCATCGTTGAGGTTTTCATAAGCAGTTTCTCCGAGGAACAGACTCCGACCTACCGGGGAGAAACGAATGGCGGAGCTCGCTCCTGAAGCAGGGACGTCTTCGTCAACCTCATGGAGTTGACGTAGTCGTAAGGAAGGTGAGGGGGGAGACCTGGTATGGCCAGCCCGAGGAACCGGAGGGTGGTCATAGCCCAGGACTCTCTGTAAGCCAACCCCTTGATCCGGCCGATGAGCAGTCCGCGGAGGAGTTCCCAAGCAGCGTTCGCGTACTTGGGGATCACATACAGCGGCGAGAAGTAATTCTTGTTGGGCTCCTCCTCCATTATCTGAGAGAGAGAGAGAGAGAGAGAGGTGAGGTGAGGGAGAAGAGAGGAGGATAGATGCGTGGTAAGGAGAGGTGGCAGATGTTCACCGTTCCCCTGTACCAGGCGTCGTAGTAGAGGCAGGCTCCGAAGTGCTTGAACAGGAGGGTAGAGTCGTCGTAGGGCAGGCGAGGCACCACGTCATTGCAGTAGACGAACCGTTGGTACCTTGGTGGAGAGCCGTCCAGGTGCTTGCTGAGGAATGCCGCCAAGTTCTCGTCCCCTACCCTGGGTTGCCCGAAGGTGTACACACCCTCCAACCTCTGCAGCATCTCCTCCTCCTCGTGCAGCGACAGCACCGCCGGGAAGAGCACTGCCAGGGCGCCGCCAAGGCTGTGCCCGGTGACCAAGAACTTGGCCTCCGGGTTCTGTCGTAGCCCCGCCTTCAACTCCTCCCTTATCGCGTAGTACGCGAATGGCGGGTGGCCCTCCGCTTGATTGACCTCCTTCGGCCAACCGCCGGCTTTCTGCAGGCCGAGCGCCTTCATGAAGCCGCCGTGGACCTTCCCAACCCCGGGGATGTCGTACCACGAGATGTCCATGTCAACGCTCCACTGGGCCGTGTTGAAGACCTCCGTTCCCCGGAACGCCACCACCACGAGCTCCGGCCGCCGCCTCTTGTCGCAGAACATGAACGCCCGCGTCGTCAACTGGTTCTCGTAGTCTGTAGAATGTCGAAAGCTTCAGATTTACTTCAAAATAACGGCGCACTGAATCACCGAATCCCTCACGATCTCACCGTTCCAGCAGTCAAAGAAGCCCAGGAACTCCATCTGCAAGAACATTGTACACAATGAAGGTCAGCTGCATGAGGGGAACTCCAAGGGAGACGACAACGGGAATGGCTGACTCACTCTCCAGAGGTCGATGACGGTGCGGCGGATGTGAGCCTCGTTCTCGTAGGCGAGCTTGGCGGCCATGATGGAGAGATTTGCGAGGTATCTGCCGTCTTCGGGGGAGATATCCGGGTCGAGCTCCACTCTGTCGTCGAAGAAGTCGACCGCCGATCGAAAGGAAGATGAATTCCTCCTTGGGATCACAGCTTGACCTTTGTACAAAAAACGGTAAGTAAATTACTACCTTGCACCAGCATCAAGTATTTGAATTTTTAAAAAATATTATTAATCAAATACATAATGCTGGTTTGCCTAATTAAAGTTAGTTTCAATCATTTGAAAACAAAAAATTATTCATAAGAAAATTCATATATGGTTGGACATTTATGGGTGACAGATCTACGAAGAGGAACCCATGAAGGAGAAGTGACTAAATTGGGAAAGATTCGTGGCATTTGGTGTGAAACTGGCGCCCGGAAACGTAGGGAAACAGTAAATATATTTTCTTCATTTTATGCCTGAAACTTCTTTCGTTGACGAACGCTGGGGGTCACCTCGCAGATAGTTCCAGATGAGCGCTCCCAGGCCGTGGTTCACTGAGAGCAGGTTCGCCATGAACTCAACCTTCGACCCAAACCAGACCACGGGCTCCTTCAATATCAGGAGCGTCTTCTGGGCAGTGACAGAGACGAAGATGAGCCACCGCCGGCTTATCTCCGCGATGCCTGTCCCCTCCGGGCAATCGACGGTGTTGTTTCGGTAGAGATCCCCATCGTACAGGAGGTAGAAGAGATCCCGCATCCCCGCTTTGTCTGGCCTTGTGACCACGTAGTCGCTGAAGTACCCTTCGCGCCCTGTCGCCATGAGAAGGAGAGGGAGAGGGAGAGCGAGAAGGGGGGGGGAGGGGAGAGAGAGAGAGAGAGAGCAAGAGAGAGAAAGAGAGAAGCCTTTCGAAGAAATAAACTCGCACAGTCTAGGTTGCTCAAGAGAGGGAAGAAGGCCCCATCTCCTTCTGTCATTTAACAGGATACGCATTTCTTCACTGAACGGGCTATGAGCTCAGACGTGTGCGAGAAAAGGTTATCCTTCTCCCTCATTGGATCTTGGATGGTGAATCCTTGCACGCTAGCGTTCGATCGATTTATCCTTCTGCCCGCGCGTGTCGTCTTGTTTCAAGGCAAAAGCTCTGTTCTTCGTTGTTCTATAAGCTTTTCCTCGCCACGGGGTTTGAAGAAGAACATTCCTCCTCTCTCTCTCTCTCTCTCTCTCTCTCTCTACATATGTATATACCCTCATTTGAAGGGTTGTCTATGGAGTCACGCCTTGCATGAGTAGAATAGTAAACCTGAGGACGGTTTCTTAATTTAAGTATTCTCCTATCTTATGCATGACACCTTCGCCTAGCACAAGCATGGTGATATCGTATTCTGCTTCGAATGCGGAAGCGGTAGTAGCTGGGAGAGAGAGAGAAGAGTTCACCGATGTACGTCGTGCGTGCATGGTGAGATATCTGAGTAGGAGATCGCCGGGAAGGGGATAGCCGACGGCGGCTTCATGACGGCACACCGCCAGGAGATGAGTGCCAGGTGGCCGAAGAAGGTCGAGCGCGCCGAGAGCCGCCCCCCAGCGATTTTAACGACACAGGAAGGAGATGAGTTAGATGCTGCAGCGGAGCTCAGAGGCAAAGCTCCTTGTCCTCGGGCACAGGCTGGGCGTTGCGCTGGCGGTGCTCTTCCCTCCAGGTACAATTGATTCGGCTGCTCGGAAGGTGTTATGCCCAGGCCGGCCGCCAACGCCCCTCACCTTCAAGCACCTCGGCACATGCCTCCACTGCGACCCTATCTCTCCTCCTTACCTCTTCCAATCTTCTCTCTAGCCTTCTTCCTCCCTCCCTCTCTCTCTCACTCCTTCCAGAAAACGGACGAGGATCTTATTGAATCTAAGATTGGCTGATGAAACTAGATTGATTCGAGCCCAGCCGACCCAGACTCAGTTTGGGTTTAGCAGTTCAGTGAATTACGAACTAATAGATATTGTTCATTTGGATAAAATGGGTGAATGGGTAGAACGAATGATTAGTGGCGTAGATAGAGGGTAGAATTGAGAAGTCGAGAAACACATGGAGAGGTAGGATGGTGGAGTGAAAAGAGCAGACAGTCATAAAGTAATGGGGCAATAGAATTGTAAGCGGCGGTACGATTGAATAGACTGAGGGATAGGAATAATCCATGGCATATAGTGGCTGAAGGATGGAGGACGATGCCGATGGACGGTTTAGAACGTCTGGTGGCGGTGGATAATGGTGGTAGAACACGAATGATGAGAATGGTGGATGGTAGTGGTAGATGTAAATAGGTAGTAGCCCTCACGACCTCTCCCTCATATAATGATGATAAATGATCATCGTGACATCAACCTCACAAAGCTGATAAACTTCCAAAATGATTTTCGTCTTCCCTACTTCTAGGATTACGAAAGTTATTTATAAACTCCCCTAATATATAACAAGAAGACATAAATATTTGAGAATAAATAAATCGTTGTTTAATGGAGTTAGGATGATGAGCTAACGATATAGATGGTGGCATGTTTCTTCTATCCCTGTCACCTTGAAGGATGTGTCCATTGGGTTTTGTCTGGTGATTCAAGTGAGCTTAGAACAGGATCAGATGATGATTGGTGATCCGTCTTCCACGAGACTCTCCGACAGAACCTATGGTGCACTACTCCCATCTCCAATCATCCTCAGCAAGAATGGCTTTCAGCATAGATATTAGTCAATAGATTCGTGATAACTATAGAACAAAGGGATGGAGTTTAACCTTATCAAACTAGTTCTCTATTAAAGGATACTTTATATGGTGCTCTTATGCTGATGTTGATTACTCGAATCTTACTTATCCCAAGTTAGATGACTACCATTACTAGTGTGCATGCGTGCGCATGCGTGCACGGGCGTGCATGTGCACTCGCAAGACATATTTTCAGTTCGATACTTACCTGATACTTTCCTTCCTCTCACTTCAGACTATTGAGGCACCTGCTAAGCTCCCTACACCATGATATATGTCTCTTTGGGAAGGTCTTGCTTCATTGTTTACCAAACTTCCTCATGACACATAATATCATTCTCAGACGTCCTATCTTCCACAACATTTTGATGGTCAATGGAGAAAGGATAAGTCTGAAAGAAAGGTCCAGATTATAGCTACAAGAATCTGCCGATATGAATATGAATCGAGATGAACACCACCAGATCCAATCTAGAGAGTAGACTTGCATTCCTATGATCCCATCTTCAGCCTTATTTCCTCAA